TCGGTTACACGGCGACGGGCACCGACCACTGCGTATACTCTTGGCTCGATGATCGTCAATGTCCACACTACATCGCACTGTACGTCGACGACCTCCTGATGATCAGCCCGGAACTGGCCGAAATCGAACGTGTCATCTCAGGCCTGGACCAACGCTACGGAGTCAAGCGCCTCGGCCCGGCCGAGTATATCCTCGGCATCCAGATCAGGCGGTTCGACGACGGCTCTATCGCCCTATCCCAGGAACGGTACATCATGGACGTGCTCGCTCGGTTCCACTTCGACACCCACGACTCGCGGCACTACAGTTCCGATGACTCCCGGCCTTTCGCTCACTGCTATCCCGGGTCAAGGCACCGAACGGATCAGGTCATGGTATCTGCAGGCTATCGGCTCGCTCCTCTACATTTCGCTCGGTACCCGCCCTGACATCGCCTTCGCCGTGTCCTACCTGGCCCGCTTCGCAACAACCCCGGTCGTCGTCATTGGATTGCGGTCAAGCACATCCTACGCTATCTCCGGGCCACGTATCGCAACGAACTCGTGTATGCTCGCGGCCAGGCTCGCATCACGGGGTGTGGTAGGCTACTCCGACGCGAACTGGGGGGCCTGCATCGACACATCGGTGTCCACCATGGGCTACGTCTTCTACATCGCTGGCTCGGCCGTGTCCTGGTCGTCCAAACGCCAGTCTCGAGTTGCCGATTCGACCACCGACGCTGAATACCTCGCCCTCTCGCATGCTGGCAAGGAAGGGATTTACCTCAGTCAGCTGCTCGAAGAGCTCCATGTACAACCTGTTGCACCGGCTCACATCTTTACTGACAACGAAGCCGCTGCTGCAGTTGCTCACGATCCTGTCCGCGTCTCTGGCACTCGGCACATACGCTTGCGTGAGCACTTCGTTCGGGACATGGTGAATCGGGGCGACATCTCTCTCTCGCATGTGGGTACCAGCGACATGGTGGCCGACATCTTCACCAAGGCTCTCGGCCCAAAGGTCTTCTCAACGCACTGCTACGCCCTCGGCCTTCGCACTCGACACCCGCGGCTTGGGTCTGCCTCGCATTCGCGTGGGGGGGGGTGTGAAGAGTCCACTCTCAGCTCGACAGGGGCGCCTCGGTCGTTGCGCGCACTTGCTAGCCCGCCCCCGGCGGTGGGGACTTAGACGCGCGCGACTGCCTCAGCGCGCCAGCGCCGGCGGATTCATGCGCGCGCCCGCTAGCCCGCCCCTTGCGGTGGGGACTTAGGCGCGCCGGCGATTTCACCCGCGGCTGACTTAGGGATGTACATTGTCACGCGCCTGGGACTATCCCAGCGTGGCCCCCCCTTTCTGTTTCTTAGCTTCCTTCTCATCACTTCTGTTCGACTCTCAACCTCTCCTGACAGTAGTGGTGAACGTCTCATAGGTACGCTGAAATAGATCACTTCTGTTCGACTCTCAACCTCTCCTGACAGTAGTGGTGAACGTCTCATATGCAGGGGGCATCAACGCCATCGGAACGGGAAACATCGCCTTCATTGCCGCCTCGGGTCATCCGATCACGCTTACCGGCGTGCTGCACACTCCGGGCCTGTTTGTCAATCTTCTCTCGGTCTCTCGACTTTGCGACACCGACGATGTCCGTGTCGCCTTCACAAAACACGGCATCCACATTGACAAGGACGGCAACGACATCGCTGAAGGCGCACGACTCGACGAAGGGCTCTACTTGCTGGACGCTGATCATTCCAAATGTCAGCACCTTGCTCTCCTTTCTCGCTCACAGTCGTCCGTGCCCCTGCTGACTCTCCATCGCTGCCTCGGCCATCTCGCACCGTCCTCCATACAGAAGATGGTTGCCGCTGGTTTGCTGGAGGGTCTCAGGGCCGGATATAGTGACGAAGAGGTAGAGAAGTTTGTCTGCAATGCTTGCCTCAGCGCAAAGGGCCATCGTCTTCCCTTTCCCGATTCGGATTCGCACTCCTCAGAGTGTGAGGAATCCACTCTCCGCTCGGCTCAGGACTTAGGCGCGCGGAGCGAACCGGGCGCGGACTTAGGCGCGCGGAGTGAGCCGGGCGCCCCGGCCCAGGACTTAGGCGCGCGAAGCGAGCCTGGGACTTAGGCGCGCGGAGCGAGCCTGGGCCATTGGCTCAGCCCCAGGCTCGCTGGCTGTGGACTTGGGGCGCGCGGGTCTCTTATTGTTAGCTTCCTATTCATCACTCTTGGCTATAACTACATCGCTGACGTAGTAGAGTTGATCGAATAGGTATGTTGAAATGCATTGATCACTCTTGGCTATAACTACATCGCTGACGTAGTAGAGTTGATCGAATAGGTTATGAGCCCAACGAGCTACCAGCTGCTCGTCCGTGAACGTGAGTCGGAAGCTGTCGAGGCAAGACGGGACCATGGCGAGCACGTGGGTGGCGAGCACGTCGTTGAGCGATGTTTTGGCGTCGCGTATTTCCTGAGCAATCGACATGTACTCGCGTAGCCAAGTGTCGTAGGCCTCGACGGAGGCAGGCATCTTCCTGAAGTCCCAAAGGCGAGCGAACAACTCGAGAGTGCGTGTAGCGTCGTCCGGTGCAAAACGAGCCTTGAGAGCGGCAAAGATGCGCGGTGCCGACAGGTCGTCGCTGGGGATGGCGTCGAGGGTGGCCGATACGTCGGCGGAGTCGATAGAGCCAACGATGATTTCCCGGGCGGCGTCGTCACGTGCGGCAAGCTGGTCGGCGGTCCAGGTCGGGGGAACGACACCGTCGAGAACGTAACCACGAACCTGGTTCGGGAGTGCAAGACGGAGTTGACGCAACCAGTTGGTGAACGACTTGGGGCCGTCCAGACGAGCGTGCTTGGGAAACACGACCTTGGATGCGGTGGCGGCGTTCCCCGGCACGATGGTGACGGCCGGGGGTGCGGCGGCTGCGGCGGCGGCGGGTTGCGAGGCCTGCAGAGCGGCAAGCTGGGCCTGTAGAGTGGCGATTTGTTCGCCGATCGAAGATTCAGGGGAGCTGGGATCCCTGGGGGCCAAAGGCGAGGCGGGAGAGCTGTCCATGATGTGATGGTGCGATGGACGTGTGCGGCTCGAGTGGCTGGGCTCGAGCGAAAAAGCCTCAAGCGGCGGGGCTGGTAGCTCGTGGGCTTATAACCTATTCGATCAACTCTACTACGTCTTTGTAGTCGATTCGGGTGCCACGACACACATGGTCGCCGACCGATCTCTATTCACGACTTATCGTCAGACGGCACACACCAAGATCGGCGGCATCGCGGGCGGCATCACGGCTATCGGCATGGGGGACGTGGCATTCGTCGCCAAGACTGGACACCCGATCACGCTCCGTGGTGTTCTTCACACGCCTGGCCTACACGTCAACCTCCTCTCTGTCTCTCGCCTCTGCGACACCGACCGCGTTCGTCTCGCCTTCACCAGCGACGGCATCGACATCGCCAAGGACGGCCGGGCCATTGCTCACGGTACCAGGGTCAACGACGGTCTTTACCTTTTGGACGCGGATCACACCAAGTGTCAGCATCTTGCCTTCCTCTCACGCTCTGAGTCTCCCGTGCCCCTGCTTACCCTACACCGCTGCCTCGGCCATCTTGCCCCATCCTCTATACAGAAGATGATTGCTGCAGGTTTGCTGGACGGGTTTGGGGCCGGGTACAGTGACAAAGACGTAGAGGAGTTTGTTTGCAATGCTTGCCTTGGTTCCAAAGGTCACCGCCTTCCCTTTCCCGACTCTGAGTCGCATTCCGCCGAGAGACTTGGCCTCGTGCACAGCGACGTCCTGTCGTTCCCCACTCCGTCCTTGACCGGGAAGCGCTACCTTGTCACGTTTCTAGACGACCACTCTCGCAAACTCTGGGCATATGCGATCGATCACAAAAGCGATGTTTTCCCGACCTTCCAGACTTGGCTCGCCGAAGTGGAGTTAGAGACGAACGCGCGGTTGAGGATCCTTCGAACCGACAATGGCGGGGAGTACCGATCAAACGCATTCACGGAGTTCTGCAAATCCAAGGGCATTCGTCGTCAATACTCTATCCCTTACACGCCTCAACAAAACGGTCGCGCCGAACGTGTCAACCTCTCCATCGTCGAGGGCGTCCTCGCTCTCCTTGCGGACGCCCGTCTGCCGGCCACCTTTTGGGATGAAGCGGCTGCGTATTTCGTTTATTGCAAAAACAGGTGCTCACACTCAGCTTTGGCCAAACAGACTCCAGAATCCGTTTGGAACGGCCAACGCACCACCGCCACCGCCCTCCACCCGTTCGGCTGCACAGCCTGGCTCACGGTCGCCCCGGACCTTCGCAGCAAGCTCGACCCCAAGGCCGCGCGCGTGATCTTCACAGGTTACGACCTCGCCTCCAAAGCTTTCCGTTTCTTTGACCATTCCATCAACAAGATTGTACTTGGTCGCAATGCCACCTTCCTCGACGACGACTTCCCCGGCCTGCCAGTCACCACGCCCGTCGATGCAGACGACACCGACCGTCAGTTCGTCGTTCCCGCCGACACGCCCGCCCCTGCCGTCAAGACGAGGACCCCACTAGTAAGGTCGGCGCACATGGACGTCTCATCCTCCCTTGATGATTCTGCCATGAGCGCCGTTGACGTGGCCCCAGGGTACACTGGCGGAACCTTACTTAATTCCACAGATACCGAATCGTCCTCGTCACCGTCTCCTGAGCCGTCCTCGTCACCGTCGCCCACAAACCCTTTGTCACCGTCGCCTGCGCTGTCACCGTCGTTGGCAGCGTCATCGTCACCCTCGGTCTCACCGACCGACTCTGACTACTCCGCCGACCCTCTGGACCTCATCGGCTCACAGACCCCGACTCGCCTTGGCCCACCGGACGTGCACCGCCCAGACTTCAGCACGTACCGTGAGCCCGCATCGGCTGAGGAGTCGCCCGACGAACTCGACATCATTGGGCGTCACTCACGCGATGAATCGCCGGATGAAATCGATTTCCTCACCCAACACCACCGCGCCTTCATCGCCACAGACGACGACGACCCCACCCTCGACGCCATCGAGCCCGTCAAATCGATCACTAGCGACCCCCAGACCTGGCGCGAAGCAATGTCCAGCGACGAGCACAACATCTGGGCTGAGGCCGCCGCCGCCGAGTTCACCGCCATGCGCGACGACTTCAAGGTGTTCACCATCGAGCCTCGCTCATCTGTACCGCCGGGCGCCACCATCGTCACCTCCAAATTCGTCTGGAAGACCAAGCGCAACGCAAGCGGTGAAGTCACGGGGCGGAAGGCACGTCTTGTAGCGCAGGGTAACCGACAGCGCGACGGCATCGACTTCTCAGAAACCTTCGCACCCGTCGCCCGTTTCTCCTCCATTCGCTGCCTCCTGGCTCTTGCCGCTGCCAATGGCTACCACGTTCATCAGGCCGACATCGACAAGGCTTACCTCCACGGCGAGCTCGATCATGATATCTGGATGACGACACCACGCGGTTTCGACTTCCCGAGCGATAAGGTTCTCCGGCTGCGACGCTCAATCTACGGTCTCAAGCAGGCCGGTCGCATCTGGAATCGTCACATTGACACATCACTCAGGAATCTGGGGTACAAGGCAACAGGCACTGATCACTGCATTTACTCTCGCATTGACGATCAGCAGCGGCCTCACTATATCGCCTTGTATGTCGACGACCTCCTCATTGTCAGTCCAGCCCTCGACGAGATCGAACGTGTCATCTCCGGCCTTGAACAGCGGTACGGCGTCAAACGACTCGGCCCCGCGGAGTACATCCTCGGAATCCAAATACGCCGCCTGGACGACGGTTCCATTGCTCTATCCCAGGAGCGCTACATCATGGACGTGCTGGCCCGTTTCCACTTCGACACCACGACACGCGGCACTACGGTGCCGATGACGCCCGGCCTCTCGCTCACGGCAATTCCGGGTCAGGGAACGGAGCGCATTCGTTCGTGGTACCTACAGGCCATCGGCTCCCTCCTCTACATCTCCCTTGGCACTCGACCCGACATTGCCTTCGCCGTCTCGTACCTGTCCCGGTTCGCCAACAACCCCGGCCGCCGCCATTGGATTGCCGTCAAACACGTCCTTCGCTACCTTCGCGCCACGTACCGCGATGAGCTTCTCTATGCCCGCGGCCCAGCAAAAGTCACGGGTGTGGTTGGTTATTCTGATGCGAACTGGGGCGCCTGCGTCGACACATCCATTTCAACGATGGGCTACGTATTTTACTTGGCAGGCGCCGCTGTCTCTTGGTCGTCGAAGCGTCAGACTCGGGTAGCGGATTCCACCACTGATGCCGAGTACCTGGCCTTGTCGCACGCGGGTAAGGAAGCGATCTACCTTAACCAACTCCTCTCCGAGCTCCACGTTTGCCCAATCGCTGCAGCTCACATCTTCACCGACAACGAGGCCGCGGCCGCCGTCGCTCACGACCCCGTTCGCACCTCCGGCACCCGGCACATTCGCCTCCGCGAGCATTTTGTCCGTGACATGGTCAATCGAGGTGATATCTCTCTCTCACACGTTGGCACAGCAGACATGGTTGCGGACGTATTCACCAAGGCGCTAGGCCCCAAGATTTTTGGTACACATTGCTATGCTCTAGGCCTCCGGACGCGACATCCACGGCTCAAGTCTACCTCGCGTTCGCGTGGGGGGGGGTGTGAGGAATCCACTCTCCGCTCGGCTCAGGACTTAGGCGCGCGGAGCGAACCGGGCGCGGACTTAGGCGCGCGGAGTGAGCCGGGCGCCCCGGCCCAGGACTTAGGCGCGCGAAGCGAGCCTGGGACTTAGGCGCGCGGAGCGAGCCTGGGCCATTGGCTCAGCCCCAGGCTCGCTGGCTGTGGACTTGGGGCGCGCGGGTCTCTTATTGTTAGCTTCCTATTCATCACTCTTGGCTATAACTACATCGCTGACGTAGTAGAGTTGATCGAATAGGTATGTTGAAATGCATTGATCACTCTTGGCTATAACTACATCGCTGACGTAGTAGAGTTGATCGAATACAGAGAGACTCGGCCTTGTACACAGCGATGTGCTTTCCTTCCCCGAGCGGTCCTTGACTGGCAAACGTTACCTGGTCACATTCCTTGACGATTACTCGCGCAAACTCTGGGCCTACGCAATCGGACACAAAAGCGAAGTCTTCGGCATATTCAAAACTTGGCTAGCCGAGGTTGAACTCGAGACGGGTGCGACGCTGAAGGTCCTCCGAACCGACAACGGTGGCGAATACTGTTCGAGAGCGTTCACAGAGTTCTGCAAGACACGAGGCACCCGTCGACAATACTCTATCCCACGCACGCCTCAACAGAACGGTCGTGCAGAGCGGGTCAATCGTTCCATTGTCGAAGGCGTCCTTTGACAGGCAACGTCGGAGGGGATGACGATGACTACACGCGAGAGACGAGGGAGAGAGCGAGAGAGCGCGCGAAAGCGCGAAGGAGCGAAGGGGGTGTCGACCGAGGCGGCGGCAGTCGACCGAGAGGCAACCGCGGAGGATACGCGGCTGCAAGGCTCGCAGCAAGTCCAGTGTACCGAACTATGGTAGCCAACGAGGTCGGACAGAAGAGGGAGGGCAAACGATCCAAGAAATAGCTGACCAGGCCGGTGGGAAGGTCGAGTCGGCTGGGCGGCGGAAGTCGACCGAGAGGCAACCGCGGAGGATACGCGGCTGCAAGGCTCGCAGCAAGTCCAGTGTACCGGACTATGGTGGCCAACGAGGTCGGACAAAAGAGGAAGGGCAAACGATCCAAGAAATAGCTGACCAGGCCGATGGGAAGGTCGAGTCGGCTGGGCGGCGGCAGTCGACCGAGAGCAACCGAGGAGTGGATTCGGTCGGAAGGCTTCGCAGCAAATCAAGTGTAACGGACTTAATTGCCAGCGAAATGGGTAAAAAGAGGGAGGGTACGAGTCATGATAATGAGTGGACCAAGCTCTAGGGGAAGGGTGGCAAAAGCAAAAGGAGGGAAGTGCTCCGAGCGAAGGAAAGACTGAATCAAATAACTACACCACGAGGTCGCTTCAGGGGTAAAAAGGATTGCCTGCAAGGCACCGGTAAAAACCCCGAAGCCGGGCCTCGGATAACAAAAAGGAAAAGAAACCAAAAGGCAGATCACGCTCCGGGCGGATCGAACCCTCGACCACTGAGTGCGCGCCCGCGCGCCCTCACGACTACACCATCGCGCCGACAATGCTTGCAACGAACAAACCGGTAGCTGATGTCGACTCCGGCCGCAAACTTGGGAGACTTCCTTCGAGTATTGATGGCAGTGCAGGCTGTGCTCCTGACACTATCCCCCCAGAAGGAAGTCTACCGTGCGGCGAGGCGGTGACGGTGCGGAATGAGTTGGGCGGCGGGCGGACTTAGGCGGTTTCGCGCGGCCGGGTCGGTCGGAGTTGGCCGTGCTCGGCCGGGGTCGGATTGGCGGAAGGGGACGGCGGGCCGTCTTCGGCAGCGGCGCAGGACGTGTCGCGCTCGGTGGCCATGGCGATCGCTCAACACGACAGTCGATGATTCCAGGACGAACGAGGCGGGCACGAGGCGACCATGCAATAAGGCGGCGGCGGTGCGAAACGAGTGTGGTGGCAGGCGGACTTGGGCGGGTTCGCGCGGCCGGGGTCGCGGTTGCGAAGAGGCGCGGCGCGCTGGCTGCGGCAGCGGCGCGCGACGTGTCACACTCGGCGGCCATGGCGATCACTCAACTCACAGTCAACAGCGATTCCAGGGCGAACGAGGGCGGTCACGAGACGGTAAGAAGAGGTGGGGGGGTGGGGGTGGGGGAGGTGTGGGGGGGTGGGGGGGAGGAACCACGCGGTCGTCAAAGAGGCCGAACTCGAGAGGCCGAACGGAGAGGAGGCGGACGACGCGAAGACGAAGGGCGGGAGGGCGGGAATGCTCGTCCAGGGTGTGGGACTGAGCGGTGAGAGAAGCTGGGACTGTCGCTAGCAATGCCGAACTTGAAAAAAGTGACAGGCAACGTCGGAGGGGATGACGATGACTACACGCGAGAGACGAGGGAGAGAGCGAGAGAGCGCGCGAAAGCGCGAAGGAGCGAAGGGGGTGTCGACCGAGGCGGCGGCAGTCGACCGAGAGGCAACCGCGGAGGATACGCGGCTGCAAGGCTCGCAGCAAGTCCAGTGTACCGAACTATGGTAGCCAACGAGGTCGGACAGAAGAGGGAGGGCAAACGATCCAAGAAATAGCTGACCAGGCCGGTGGGAAGGTCGAGTCGGCTGGGCGGCGGAAGTCGACCGAGAGGCAACCGCGGAGGATACGCGGCTGCAAGGCTCGCAGCAAGTCCAGTGTACCGGACTATGGTGGCCAACGAGGTCGGACAAAAGAGGAAGGGCAAACGATCCAAGAAATAGCTGACCAGGCCGATGGGAAGGTCGAGTCGGCTGGGCGGCGGCAGTCGACCGAGAGCAACCGAGGAGTGGATTCGGTCGGAAGGCTTCGCAGCAAATCAAGTGTAACGGACTTAATTGCCAGCGAAATGGGTAAAAAGAGGGAGGGTACGAGTCATGATAATGAGTGGACCAAGCTCTAGGGGAAGGGTGGCAAAAGCAAAAGGAGGGAAGTGCTCCGAGCGAAGGAAAGACTGAATCAAATAACTACACCACGAGGTCGCTTCAGGGGTAAAAAGGATTGCCTGCAAGGCACCGGTAAAAACCCCGAAGCCGGGCCTCGGATAACAAAAAGGAAAAGAAACCAAAAGGCAGATCACGCTCCGGGCGGATCGAACCCTCGACCACTGAGTGCGCGCCCGCGCGCCCTCACGACTACACCATCGCGCCGACAATGCTTGCAACGAACAAACCGGTAGCTGATGTCGACTCCGGCCGCAAACTTGGGAGACTTCCTTCGAGTATTGATGGCAGTGCAGGCTGTGCTCCTGACATCCTTGCCCTCCTTGTCGACGCCCACCTACCCAAGACATTCTGGGAGGAGGCTGCAGCTTATTTCGTTTACTGCAAGAACCTGTGTCAACACGCGGCCCTGGACAAGGCAACACCAAACTCCGTCTGGCAGGGTGACCACACCACTGCCTCGGCGCTTCACCCGTTCGGCTGTACAGCTTGGCTTACGGTCGCGCCCGAACTTCGCTCCAAACTCGACCCGAAGGCGGTTCGCGTTTTTTTCACCGGCTACGACCTGGCTTCAAAAGCCTTTCGCTTCTACGACACTACAACACAGAAGATTATACTTGGCAGAAATGCCACGTTCCTCGACACTGAATTCCCCGGATTACATGGCGACCCCACTGAGCAAGACGGCGACACGCACTTCGCCAGCGCTCCCACCACCGAATCTCAAACCGTTGTCAAGACATGGACCCCACTAGTAAGGTCGGCGCACATGGACGTCTCATCCCCCCTTGATGATTCTGCCATGAGCGCCGTTGACGTGGCCCCAGGGTACACTGGCGGAACCTTACTTAACTTCACAGATGCCGAATCGTCCTCGTCACCGTCGCCTGCGTCGCCCTCATCACCGTCGTCTGCGCCATCGCCTGCACTTTCACCATCGTCGGCTGCGTCATCGTCACCCTCGGCCTTACCGACCGACTCTGAAGACTCCGCCGATCCCCTCGACCTCCTCGGCTCACAGCCCCAGGTTCGCCTCGATCTACAGGACGTGCACCACCCAGACTTCAGCACGTACCGCGAGCCCGCATCGGCTGAGGAGTCGCCCGACGAACTCGACCTCATTGGGCGCCACTCTCGCGACGAATCTCCGGACGAAATCGATTTCCTCACCCGACACCACCGCGCCTTCATCGCCATCGACGACGACACCTCTGACACAGAGGCAATTCAGCCAGTCAAGTCCATCACGAGCGACCCACAGACCTGGCGCGAGGCGATGTCTAGCGACAAGCGTGAAGTATGGGCCAAAGCCGCCACCGACGAGTTCACCTCCATGCGCGACGACTTCAAGGTCTTCACCATCGAGGACCGAGCCACGGTGCCCGCGGGTGCGACTATCGTTACATCCAAGTTCGTCTGGAAAACGAAACGGAACGCACTCGGCGAAGTCACTGGACACAAGGCAAGGCTGGTCGCGCAAGGCAATCGGCAACGCGACGGCATCGACTTCAACGAAACGTTCGCACCGGTCGCACGCTTCTCCTCGATACGCTCACTCCTCGCGCTGGCGGCCGCCAACGGCTTGCACGTGCACCAGGCGGACATCGACAAAGCATATCTGCATGGCGACCTTGACCACGACATCTGGATGACGGCACCGCGCGGCTTCGACCTTCCCAGCGACAAGGTGCTTCGCCTGCGACGCTCCATCTACGGGCTCAAACAGGCTGGCCGAATCTGGAATCGACACATCGACGCTTCGCTTCGGGCCCTCGGTTACACGGCGACGGGCACCGACCACTGCGTATACTCTTGGCTCGATGATCGTCAATGTCCACACTACATCGCACTGTACGTCGACGACCTCCTGATGATCAGCCCGGAACTGGCCGAAATCGAACGTGTCATCTCAGGCCTGGACCAACGCTACGGAGTCAAGCGCCTCGGCCCGGCCGAGTATATCCTCGGCATCCAGATCAGGCGGTTCGACGACGGCTCTATCGCCCTATCCCAGGAACGGTACATCATGGACGTGCTCGCTCGGTTCCACTTCGACACCACGACTCGCGGCACTACAGTTCCGATGACTCCCGGCCTTTCGCTCACTGCTATCCCGGGTCAAGGCACCGAACGGATCAGGTCATGGTATCTGCAGGCTATCGGCTCGCTCCTCTACATTTCGCTCGGTACCCGCCCTGACATCGCCTTCGCCGTGTCCTACCTGGCCCGCTTCGCCAACAACCCCGGTCGTCGTCATTGGATTGCGGTCAAGCACATCCTACGCTATCTCCGGGCCACGTATCGCAACGAACTCGTGTATGCTCGCGGCCAGGCTCGCATCACGGGTGTGGTAGGCTACTCCGACGCGAACTGGGGGGCCTGCATCGACACATCGGTGTCCACCATGGGCTACGTCTTCTACATCGCTGGCTCGGCCGTGTCCTGGTCGTCCAAACGCCAGTCTCGAGTTGCCGATTCGACCACCGACGCTGAATACCTCGCCCTCTCGCATGCTGGCAAGGAAGGGATTTACCTCAGTCAGCTGCTCGAAGAGCTCCATGTACAACCTGTTGCACCGGCTCACATCTTTACTGACAACGAAGCCGCTGCTGCAGTTGCTCACGATCCTGTCCGCGTCTCTGGCACTCGGCACATACGCTTGCGTGAGCACTTCGTTCGGGACATGGTGAATCGGGGCGACATCTCTCTCTCGCATGTGGGTACCAGCGACATGGTGGCCGACATCTTCACCAAGGCTCTCGGCCCAAAGGTCTTCTCAACGCACTGCTACGCCCTCGGCCTTCGCACTCGACACCCGCGGCTTGGGTCTGCCTCGCATTCGCGTGGGGGGGGGTGTGAAGAGTCCACTCTCAGCTCGACAGGGGCGCCTCGGTCGTTGCGCGCACTTGCTAGTATTCGATCAACTCTACTACGTCAGCGATGTAGTTATAGCCAAGAGTCATGAATGCATTTCAACATACCTATTCGATCAACTCTACTACGTCAGCGATGTAGTTATAGCCAAGAGTGATGAATAGGAAGCTAACAATAAGAGACCCGCGCGCCCCAAGTCCACAGCCAGCGAGCCTGGGGCTGAGCCAATGGCCCAGGCTCGCTCCGCGCGCCTAAGTCCCAGGCTCGCTTCGCGCGCCTAAGTCCTGGGCCGGGGCGCCCGGCTCACTCCGCGCGCCTAAGTCCGCGCCCGGTTCGCTCCGCGCGCCTAAGTCCTGAGCCGAGCGGAGAGTGGATTCCTCACACCCCCCCCCACGCGAACGCGAGGTAGACTTGAGCCGTGGATGTCGCGTCCGGAGGCCTAGAGCATAGCAATGTGTACCAAAAATCTTGGGGCCTAGCGCTTTGGTGAATACGTCCGCAACCATGTCTGCTGTGCCAACGTGTGAGAGAGAGATATCACCTCGATTGACCATGTCACGGACAAAATGCTCGCGGAGGCGAATGTGCCGGGTGCCGGAGGTGCGAACGGGGTCGTGAGCGACGGCGGCCGCGGCCTCGTTGTCGGTGAAGATGTGAGCTGCAGCGATTGGGCAAACGTGGAGCTCGGAGAGGAGTTGGTTAAGGTAGATCGCTTCCTTACCCGCGTGCGACAAGGCCAGGTACTCGGCATCAGTGGTGGAATCCGCTACCCGAGTCTGACGCTTCGACGACCAAGAGACAGCGGCGCCTGCCAAGTAAAATACGTAGCCCATCGTTGAAATGGATGTGTCGACGCAGGCGCCCCAGTTCGCATCAGAATAACCAACCACACCCGTGACTTTTGCTGGGCCGCGGGCATAGAGAAGCTCATCGCGGTACGTGGCGCGAAGGTAGCGAAGGACGTGTTTGACGGCAATCCAATGGCGGCGGCCGGGGTTGTTGGCGAACCGGGACAGGTACGAGACGGCGAAGGCAATGTCGGGTCGAGTGCCAAGGGAGATGTAGAGGAGGGAGCCGATGGCCTGTAGGTACCACGAACGAATGCGCTCCGTTCCCTGACCCGGAATTGCCGTGAGCGAGAGGCCGGGCGTCATCGGCACCGTAGTGCCGCGTGTCGTGGTGTCGAAGTGGAAACGGGCCAGCACGTCCATGATGTAGCGCTCCTGGGATAGAGCAATGGAACCGTCGTCCAGGCGGCGTATTTGGATTCCGAGGATGTACTCCGCGGGGCCGAGTCGTTTGACGCCGTACCGCTGTTCAAGGCCGGAGATGACACGTTCGATCTCGTCGAGGGCTGGACTGACAATGAGGAGGTCGTCGACATACAAGGCGATATAGTGAGGCCGCTGCTGATCGTCAATGCGAGAGTAAATGCAGTGATCAGTGCCTGTTGCCTTGTACCCCAGATTCCTGAGTGATGTGTCAATGTGACGATTCCAGATGCGACCGGCCTGCTTGAGACCGTAGATTGAGCGTCGCAGCCGGAGAACCTTATCGCTCGGGAAGTCGAAACCGCGTGGTGTCGTCATCCAGATATCATGATCGAGCTCGCCGTGGAGGTAAGCCTTGTCGATGTCGGCCTGATGAACGTGGTAGCCATTGGCAGCGGCAAGAGCCAGGAGGCAGCGAATGGAGGAGAAACGGGCGACGGGTGCGAAGGTTTCTGAGAAGTCGATGCCGTCGCGCTGTCGGTTACCCTGCGCTACAAGACGTGCCTTCCGCCCCGTGACTTCACCGCTTGCGTTGCGCTTGGTCTTCCAGACGAATTTGGAGGTGACGATGGTGGCGCCCGGCGGTACAGATGAGCGAGGCTCGATGGTGAACACCTTGAAGTCGTCGCGCATGGCGGTGAACTCGGCGGCGGCGGCCTCAGCCCAGATGTTGTGCTCGTCGCTGGACATTGCTTCGCGCCAGGTCTGGGGGTCGCTAGTGATCGATTTGACGGGCTCGATGGCGTCGAGGGTGGGGTCGTCGTCGTCTGTGGCGATGAAGGCGCGGTGGTGTTGGGTGAGGAAATCGATTTCATCCGGCGATTCATCGCGCGAGTGACGCCCAATGATGTCGAGTTCGTCGGGCGACTCCTCAGCCGATGCGGGCTCACGGTACGTGCTGAAGTCTGGGCGGTGCACGTCCGGTGGGCCAAGGCGAGTCGGGGTCTGTGAGCCGATGAGGTCCAGAGGGTCGGCGGAGTAGTCAGAGTCGGTCGGTGAGACCGAGGGTGACGATGACGCTGCCAACGACGGTGACAGCGCAGGCGACGGTGACAAAGGGTTTGTGGGCGACGGTGACGAGGACGGCTCAGGAGACGGTGACGAGGACGATTCGGTATCTGTGGAATTAAGTAAGGTTCCGCCAGTGTACCCTGGGGCCACGTCAACGGCGCTCATGGCAGAATCATCAAGGGAGGATGAGACGTCCATGTGCGCCGACCTTACTAGTGGGGTCCTCGTCTTGACGGCAGGGGCGGGCGTGTCGGCGGGAACGACGAACTGACGGTCGGTGTCGTCTGCATCGACGGGCGTGGTGACTGGCAGGCCGGGGAAGTCGTCGTCGAGGAAGGTGGCATTGCGACCAAGTACAATCTTGTTGATGGAATGGTCAAAGAAACGGAAAGCTTTGGAGGCGAGGTCGTAACCTGTGAAGATCACGCGCGCGGCCTTGGGGTCGAGCTTGCTGCGAAGGTCCGGGGCGACCGTGAGCCAGGCTGTGCAGCCGAACGGGTGGAGGGCGGTGGCGGTGGTGCGTTGGCCGTTCCAAACGGATTCTGGAGTCTGTTTGGCCAAAGCTGAGTGTGAGCACCTGTTTTTGCAATAAACGAAATACGCAGCCGCTTCATCCCAAAAGGTGGCCGGCAGACGGGCGTCCGCAAGGAGAGCGAGGACGCCCTCGACGATGGAGAGGTTGACACGTTCGGCGCGACCGTTTTGTTGAGGCGTGTAAGGGATAGAGTATTGACGACGAATGCCCTTGGATTTGCAGAACTCCGTGAATGCGTTTGATCGGTACTCCCCGCCATTGTCGGTTCGAAGGATCCTCAACCGCGCGTTCGTCTCTAACTCCACTTCGGCGAGCCAAGTCTGGAAGGTCGGGAAAACATCGCTTTTGTGATCGATCGCATATGCCCAGAGTTTGCGAGAGTGGTCGTCTAGAAACGTGACAAGGTAGCGCTTCCCGGTCAAGGACGGAGTGGGGAACGACAGGACGTCGCTGTGCACGAGGCCAAGTCTCTCGGCGGAATGCGACTCAGAGTCGGGAAAGGGAAGGCGGTGACCTTTGGAACCAAGGCAAGCATTGCAAACAAACTCCTCTACGTCTTTGTCACTGTACCCGGCCCCAAACCCGTCCAGCAAACCTGCAGCAATCATCTTCTGTATAGAGGATGGGGCAAGATGGCCGAGGCAGCGGTGTAGGGTAAGCAGGGGCACGGGAGACTCAGAGCGTGAGAGGAAGGCAAGATGCTGACACTTGGTGTGATCCGCGTCCAAAAGGTAAAGACCGTCGTTGACCCTGGTACCGTGAGCAATGGCCCGGCCGTCCTTGGCGATGTCGATGCCGTCGCTGGTGAAGGCGAGACGAACGCGGTCGGTGTCGCAGAGGCGAGAGACAGAGAGGAGGTTGACGTGTAGGCCAGGCGTGTGAAGAACACCACGGAGCGTGATCGGGTGTCCAGTCTTGGCGACGAATGCCACGTCCCCCATGCCGATAGCCGTGATGCCGCCCGCGATGCCGCCGATCTTGGTGTGTGCCGTCTGACGATAAGTCGTGAATAGAGATCGGTCGGCGACCATGTGTGTCGTGGCACCCGAATCGACTACAAAGACGTAGTAGAGTTGATCGAATAGGTTATAAGCCCACGAGCTACCAGCCCCGCCGCTTGAGGCTTTTTCGCTCGAGCCCAGCCACTCGAGCCGCACACGTCCATCGCACCATCACATCATGGACAGCTCTCCCGCCTCGCCTTTGGCCCCCAGGGATCCCAGCTCCCCTGAATCTTCGATCGGCGAACAAATCGCCACTCTACAGGCCCAGCTTGCCGCTCTGCAGGCCTCGCAACCCGCCGCCGCCGCAGCCGCCGCACCCCCGGCCGTCACCATCGTGCCGGGGAACGCCGCCACCGCATCCAAGGTCGTGTTTCCCAAGCACGCTCGTCTGGACGGCCCCAAGTCGTTCACCAACTGGTTGCGTCAACTCCGTCTTGCACTCCCGAACCAGGTTCGTGGTTACGTTCTCGACGGTGTCGTTCCCCCGACCTGGACCGCCGACCAGCTTGCCGCACGTGACGACGCCGCCCGGGAAATCATCGTTGGCTCTATCGACTCCGCCGACGTATCGGCCACCCTCGACGCCATCCCCAGCGACGACCTGTCGGCACCGCGCATCTTTGCCGCTCTCAAGGCTCGTTTTGCACCGGACGACGCTACACGCACTCTCGAGTTGTTCGCTCGCCTTTGGGACTTCAGGAAGATGCCTGCCTCCGTCGAGGCCTACGACACTTGGCTACGCGAGTACATGTCGATTGCTCAGGAAATACGCGACGCCAAAACATCGCTCAACGACGTGCTCGCCACCCACGTGCTCGCCATGGTCCCGTCTTGCCTCGACAGCTTCCGACTCACGTTCACGGACGAGCAGCTGGTAGCTCGTTGGGCTCATAACCTATTCGATCAACTCTACTACGTCAGCGATGTAGTTATAGCCAAGAGTGATGAATGCATTTCAACATACCTATTCGATCAACTCTACTACGTCAGCGATGTAGTTATAGCCAAGAGTGATGAATAGGAAGCTAACAATAAGAGACCCGCGCGCCCCAAGTCCACAGCCAGCGAGCCTGGGGCTGAGCCAATGGCCCAGGCTCGCTCCGCGCGCCTAAGTCCCAGGCTCGCTTCGCGCGCCTAAGTCCTGGGCCGGGGCGCCCGGCTCACTCCGCGCGCCTAAGTCCGCGCCCGGTTCGCTCCGCGCGCCTAAGTCCTGAGCCGAGCGGAGAGTGGATTCCTCACAGATTCCTCACACCCCCCCCCACGCGAACGCGAGGTAGACTTGAGCCGTGGATGTCGCGTCCGGAGGCCTAGAGCATAGCAATGTGTACCAAAAATCTTGGGGCCTAGCGCTTTGGTGAATACGTCCGCAACCATGTCTGCTGTGCCAACGTGTGAGAGAGAGATATCACCTCGATTGACCATGTCACGGACAAAATGCTCGCGGAGGCGAATGTGCCGGGTGCCGGAGGTGCGAACGGGGTCGTGAGCGACGGCGGCCGCGGCCTCGTTGTCGGTGAAGATGTGAGCTGCAGCGATTGGGCAAACGTGGAGCTCGGAGAGGAGTTGGTTAAGGTAGATCGCTTCCTTACCCGCGTGCGACAAGGCCAGGTACTCGGCATCAGTGGTGGAATCCGCTACCCGAGTCTGACGCTTCGACGACCAAGAGACAGCGGCGCCTGCCAAGTAAAATACGTAGCCCATCGTTGAAATGGATGTGTCGACGCAGGCGCCCCAGTTCGCATCAGAATAACCAACCACACCCGTGACTTTTGCTGGGCCGCGGGCATAGAGAAGCTCATCGCGGTACGTGGCGCGAAGGTAGCGAAGGACGTGTTTGACGGCAATCCAATGGCGGCGGCCGGGGTTGTTGGCGAACCGGGACAGGTACGAGACGGCGAAGGCAATGTCGGGTCGAGTGCCAAGGGAGATGTAGAGGAGGGAGCCGATGGCCTGTAGGTACCACGAACGAATGCGCTCCGTTCCCTGACCCGGAATTGCCGTGAGCGAGAGGCCGGGCGTCATCGGCACCGTAGTGCCGCGTGTCGTGGTGTCGAAGTGGAAACGGGCCAGCACGTCCATGATGTAGCGCTCCTGGGATAGAGCAATGGAACCGTCGTCCAGGCGGCGTATTTGGATTCCGAGGATGTACTTGTTGAACTTTGCTCCATCTCACTTCTAGGACAATATGCGCTCACTGAAGTAGAGGTGCCTCGCCTTTTGGTGCAGTGGTATATTGTTCCTTCATAGGTTATGAGCCCAGAGCAACCAGCAGGTCATGAGTTCAATCCCCCCTGGGGTCAGGCAATTTTGCGCGCATACACTCAGCGTCCCGGCCCCCGCACTTGCCCAGCGGCGTGCCAAGCACCCTGGCGCATCGACAGTGCTCACAGTGCCCAAGCTGCACTTGCCCAAGCGACCTGATCAACATGCCCAGTTGCCTCACAGCCGCACCCACTGCCACAAGCTCTTCAGCTTCGCGCACAGGGGGGTGTTGAACTTTGCTCCATCTCACTTCTAGGACAATATGCGCTCACTGAAGTAGAGGTGCCTCGCCTTTTGGTGCAGTGGTATATTGTTCCTTCATAGTACTCCGCGGGGCCGAGTCGTTTGACGCCGTACCGCTGTTCAAGGCCGGAGATGACACGTTCGATCTCGTCGAGGGCTGGACTGACAATGAGGAGGTCGTCGACATACAAGGCGATATAGTGAGGCCGCTGCTGATCGTCAATGCGAGAGTAAATGCAGTGATCAGTGCCTGTTGCCTTGTACCCCAGATTCCTGAGTGATGTGTCAATGTGACGATTCCAGATGCGACCGGCCTGCTTGAGACCGTAGATTGAGCGTCGCAGCCGGAGAACCTTATCGCTCGGGAAGTCGAAACCGCGTGGTGTCGTCATCCAGATATCATGATCGAGCTCGCCGTGGAGGTAAGCCTTGTCGATGTCGGCCTGATGAACGTGGTAGCCATTGGCAGCGGCAAGAGCCAGGAGGCAGCGAATGGAGGAGAAACGGGCGACGGGTGCGAAGGTTTCTGAGAAGTCGATGCCGTCGCGCTGTCGGTTACCCTGCGCTACAAGACGTGCCTTCCGCCCCGTGACTTCACCGCTTGCGTTGCGCTTGGTCTTCCAGACGAATTTGGAGGTGACGATGGTGGCGCCCGGCGGTACAGATGAGCGAGGCTCGATGGTGAACACCTTGAAGTCGTCGCGCATGGCGGTGAACTCGGCGGCGGCGGCCTCAGCCCAGATGTATGAGACGTTCACCACTACTGTCAGGAGAGGTTGAGAGTCGAACAGAAGTGATCTATTTCAGCGTACCTATGAGACGTTCACCACTACTGTCAGGAGAGGTTGAGAGTCGAACAGAAGTGATGAGAAGGAAGCTAAGAAACAGAAAGGGGGGGCCACGCTGGGATAGTCCCAGGCGCGTGACAATGTACATCCCTAAGTCAGCCGCGGGTGAAATCGCCGGCGCGCCTAAGTCCCCACCGCAAGGGGGCGGGCTAGCGGGCGCGCGCATGAATCCGCCGGCGCTGGCGCGCTGAGGCAGTCGCGCGCGTCTAAGTCCCCACCGCCGGGGGCGGGCTAGCAAGTGCGCGCAACGACCGAGGCGCCCCTGTCGAGCTGAGAGTGGACTCTTCACACCCCCCCCACGCGAATGCGAGGCAGACCCAAGCCGCGGGTGTCGAGTGCGAAGGCCGAGGGCGTAGCAGTGCGTTGAGAAGACCTTTGGGCCGAGAGCCTTGGTGAAGATGTCGGCCACCATGTCGCTGGTACCCACATGCGAGAGAGAGATGTCGCCCCGATTCACCATGTCCCGAACGAAGTGCTCACGCAAGCGTATGTGCCGAGTGCCAGAGACGCGGACAGGATCGTGAGCAACTGCAGCAGCGGCTTCGTTGTCAGTAAAGATGTGAGCCGGTGCAACAGGTTGTACATGGAGCTCTTCGAGCAGCTGACTGAGGTAAATCCCTTCCTTGCCAGCATGCGAGAGGGCGAGGTATTCAGCGTCGGTGGTCGAATCGGCAACTCGAGACTGGCGTTTGGACGACCAGGACACGGCCGAGCCAGCGATGTAGAAGACGTAGCCCATGGTGGACACCGATGTGTCGATGCAGGCCCCCCAGTTCGCGTCGGAGTAGCCTACCACACCCGTGATGCGAGCCTGGCCGCGAGCATACACGAGTTCGTTGCGATACGTGGCCCGGAGATAGCGTAGGATGTGCTTGACCGCAATCCAATGACGACGACCGGGGTTGTTGGCGAAGCGGGCCAGGTAGGACACGGCGAAGGCGATGTCAGGGCGGGTACCGAGCGAAATGTAGAGGAGCGAGCCGATAGCCTGCAGATACCATGACCTGATCCGTTCGGTGCCTTGACCCGGGATAGCAGTGAGCGAAAGGCCGGGAGTCATCGGAACTGTAGTGCCGCGAGTCGTGGTGTCGAAGTGGAACCGAGCGAGCACGTCCATGATGTACCGTTCCTGGGATAGGGCGATAGAGCCGTCGTCGAACCGCCTGATCTGGATGCCGAGGATATACTCGGCCGGGCCGAGGCGCTTGACTCCGTAGCGTTGGTCCAGGCCTGAGATGACACGTTCGATTTCGGCCAGTTCCGGGCTGATCATCAGGAGGTCGTCGACGTACAGTGCGATGTAGTGTGGACATTGACGATCATCGAGCCAAGAGTATACGCAGTGGTCGGTGCCCGTCGCCGTGTAACCGAGGGCCCGAAGCGAAGCGTCAATGTGTCGATTCCAGATTCGGCCAGCCTGTTTGAGCCCGTAGATGGAGCGTCGCAGGCGAAGCACCTTGTCGCTGGGAAGGTCGAAGCCGCGCGGTGCCGTCATCCAGATGTCGTGGTCAAGGTCGCCATGCAGATATGCTTTGTCGATGTCCGCCTGGTGCACGTGCAAGCCGTTGGCGGCCGCCAGCGCGAGGAGTGAGCGTATCGAGGAGAAGCGTGCGACCGGTGCGAACGTTTCGTTGAAGTCGATGCCGTCGCGTTGCCGATTGCCTTGCGCGACCAGCCTTGCCTTGTGTCCAGTGACTTCGCCGAGTGCGTTCCGTTTCGTTTTCCAGACGAACTTGGATGTAACGATAGTCGCACCCGCGGGCACCGTGGCTCGGTCCTCGATGGTGAAGACCTTGAAGTCGTCGCGCATGGAGGTGAACTCGTCGGTGGCGGCTTTGGCCCATACTTCACGCTTGTCGCTAGACATCGCCTCGCGCCAGGTCTGTGGGTCGCTCGTGATGGACTTGACTGGCTGAATTGCCTCTGTGTCAGAGGTGTCGTCGTCGATGGCGATGAAGGCGCGGTGGTGTCGGGTGAGGAAATCGATTTCGTCCGGAGATTCGTCGCGAGAGTGGCGCCCAATGAGGTCGAGTTCGTCGGGCGACTCCTCAGCCGATGCGGGCTCGCGGTACGTGCTGAAGTCTGGGTGGTGCACGTCCTGTAGATCGAGGCGAACCTGGGGCTGTGAGCCGAGGAGGTCGAGGGGATCGGCGGAGTCTTCAGAGTCGGTCGGTAAGGCCGAGGGTGACGATGACGCAGCCGACGATGGTGAAAGTGCAGGCGATGGCGCAGACGACGGTGATGAGGGCGACGCAGGCGACGGTGACGAGGACGATTCGGCATCTGTGAAGTTAAGTAAGGTTCCGCCAGTGTACCCTGGGGCCACGTCAACGGCGCTCATGGCAGAATCATCAAGGGGGGATGAGACGTCCATGTGCGCCGACCTTACTAGTGGGGTCTATGAGATGATCACCACTACTGTCAGGAGAAGTCGAGAGTCGAACAGAAGTGATCTATTTCAGCGTACCTATGAGATGATCACCACTACTGTCAGGAGAAGTCGAGAGTCGAACAGAAGTGATGAGAAGGAAGCTAAGAAATGGAAAGGTGGCCCGCGCTGGGATATGCCCAGGCGCGGGCGAAATCGCTGGAGCGCTGAGGCAGTCGCGCGCGGCTAAGTCCCCACTGCAAGGGCGGGCTAGCGGCGCGCGCCCGAAAACCGCCGGCGCCGGCGCGCTGAGGCACTCGCGCGCGCCTAAGTCCCCACCACAGGGGCCAGGCTAGCAGGCGCGCGCAACGACCGAGGCGCCCCTGTCGAGCTGAGAGTGGACTCTTCACACCCCCCCCACGCGAATGCGAGGCAGATCCAAGCCGTGGGTGTCGAGTGCGAAGGCCTAGTGCGTAGCAGTGTGTCGAGAAAATCTTTGGGCCAAGAGCCTTTGTGAAGATGTCGGCCACCATGTTGCTGGTTCCCACATGCGAGAGTGAGATATCGCCCCGATTCACCATGTCCCGAACAAAGTGCTCGCGCAAGCGTATGTGTCGAGTGCCGGAGACGCGGACAGGGTCGTGGGCAACTGCGGCAGCGGCTTCATTGTCAGTAAAAATGTGAGCCGGTGCAACAGGTTGGACATGGAGCTCCTCGAGCAGCTGACTGAGGTAGATCCCTTCCTTGCCAGCATGCGAGAGGGCGAGGTATTCAGCGTCGGTGGTAGAATCGGCAACTCGAGATTGACGCTTGGACGACCAAGACACGGCGGATCCGGCAATGTAGAAGACGTAGCCCATAGTGGACACCGACGTATCGACGCAGGCCCCCCAGTTCGCGTCGGAGTAGCCAACCACGCCCGTGATGCGTGTCTCGCCGCAAGCATAAACCAGTTCGTCGCGATATGTGGCCCGGAGATAGCGGAGGATGTGCTTGACCGCGATCCAGTGACGACGTCCAGGGTTGTTGGCGAAGCGGGCCAGGTAGGACACGGCGAAGGCGATGTCGGGGCGGGTGCCGAGCGAAATGTAGAGGAGCGAGCCGATAGCCTGCAGATACCATGACCTGATCCGTTCGGTGCCTTGACCCGGGATGGCGGTGAGCGAAAGGCCGGGGGTCATCGGGACTGTAGTGCCGCGAGTCGTGGTGTCGAAGTGGAACCGAGCAAGCACGTCCATGATGTACCGTTCCTGGGACAGGGCAATAGAACCGTCTTCGAGTCGCCTGATCTGGATGCCGAGGATGTACTCTGCCGGGCCGAGGCGCTTGACGCCGTAGCGTTGTTCGAGGCCCGAGATGACACGTTCAATTTCGGCCAAGTCGGGGCTGATCATCAGGAGGTCGTCGACGTACAGCGCGATGTAGTGTGGGCGTCGCCGATCGTCGATCCGAGAGTACACGCAGTGGTCGGTGCCCGTCGCCGTATAGCCGAGATCTCGAAGCGATGCGTCGATGTGTCGATTCCAGATTCGGCCAGCCTGTTTGAGTCCGTAGATGGAGCGTCGCAGACGAAGCACCTTGTCGGTGGGAAGGTCGAAGCCGCGCGGTGTCGTCATCCAGATGTCATGGTCAAGGTCGCCATGCAGATAGGCTTTGTCGATGTCCGCCTGGTGCACGTGCAAGCCGTTGGCGGCCGCCAGCGCGAGGAGTGAGCGTATCGAGGAGAAGCGTGCGACTGGTGCGAAGGTTTCGTTGAAGTCGATGCCGTCGCGTTGCCGATTTCCCTGCGCCACGAGCCGTGCCTTGTGGCCGGTGACTTCGCCGAGTGCATTCCGTTTCGTTTTCCAGACGAACTTGGATGTGACGATGGTCGCACCCACTGGTACCGTGGATCGGTCCTCGATGGTGAAGACCTTGAAGTCGTCGCGCATGGAATTGAACTCGTCGGTAGCGGCCTTGGCCCACACTTCGCGCTTGTCACTCGACATTGCCTCGCGCCATGTCTGTGGGTCGCTGGTGATGGACTTGACTGGTTGAATGGCTTCTGTGTCAGAGTTGTCGTCGTCGGTGGCGATGAAGGCGCGGTGGTGTTGGGTGAGGAAATCGATTTCGTCCGGCGATTCATCGCGCGAGTGGCGCCCAATGATGTCGAGTTCGTCGGGCGACTCCTCAGCCGATGCGGGCTCACGGTACGTGCTGAAGTCTGGGCGGTGCACGTCCGGTGGGCCGAGGCGAGTCGGGGTCTGTGAGCCGATGAGGTCCAGAGGGTCGGCGGAGTAGTCAGAGTCGGTCGGTAAGGCCGAGGGTGACGATGACGCAGCCAACGACGGTGACAGCGCAGGCGACGGTGACAAGGGAGTTGCGGGCGACGGTGACGAGGACGGCTCAGGAGACGGTGACGAGGACGATTCGGCATCTGTGGAATTAAGTAAGGTTCCGCCAGTGTACCCTGGGGCCACGTCAACGGCGCTCATGGCAGAGTCATCAAGAGAGGATGAGACGTCCATGTGCGCCGACCTTACTAGTGGGGTCCATGTCTTGACAACGGCTTGGGATTCGGTGGTCGGGCAAGCGCTGGCGAAGTGCGTGTCGGCGTCTTGCTCGGTGGAGTCGCTACGTAACCCGGGAAATTCGTTGTCGAGGAACCTGGCATTTCTGCCCAAACTGATCTTCTTGGTCGTCGTGTCGTAGAAACGGAAGGCTTTAGAAGCCAGGTCATAGCCGGTGAAGAGAACGCGAACCGCTTTCGGGTCGAGTTTCGAGCGAAGTTCAGGCGCGACTGTGAGCCAAGCCGTGCAGCCGAACGGGTGAAGCGCCGAGGCGTTGGTGCGGTCGCCCTGCCAGGCGAAGTTCGGTGTTGCCTTGTCCAGGGCCGAGTGTTCGCACAGGTTCTTGCAGTAGACGAAATAAGCTGCTGCCTCCTCCCAGAATGATTTGGGTAAGTGGGCGTCTGCAAGGAGGGCAAGGACACCTTCGACGATAGAACGATTGACTCGTTCGGCACGACCGTTCTGTTGAGGCGTTCGAGGGATAGAGTATTGTCGACGTGTGCCGCGTGCCTTACAGAATTCCGTGAACGCTCTCGAACAGTATTCGCCACCATTGTCGGTTCGGAGGACCTTCAGTTTTGCATCCGTCTCGAGTTCGACCTCGGCAAGCCATGTCTTGAACACGCCAAAGACTTCGCTTTTGTGTCCGATCGCGTATGCCCACAGTTTGCGCGAGAAGTCGTCAAGAAACGTGACCAGGTAACGCTTGCCAGTCAAGGACGACTCGGGAAAGGAAAGCACATCGCTGTGTACGAGGCCGAGTCTCTCTGAGGAGTGCGAGTCCGAATCGGGAAAAGGAAGACGATGGCCCTTTGCACTGAGGCAAGCATTGCAGACAAACTTCTCTACCTCTTCGTCACTATATCCGGCCCCGAGACCTTCCAGCAAACCAGCGGCAACCATCTTCTGTATGGACGACGGTGCGAGATGGCCGAGGCAGCGGTGAAGGGTCAGCAGGGGCACGGAAGACTGTGAGCGAGAGAGGAGAGCGAGATGCTGACATTTGGAATGATCAGCGTCCAGCAAGTAGAGCCCTTCCTCGAGTCTTGCGCCTTCAGCGATAGCATTGCCGTTCTTGTCGATATGGATGCCGTGCTTCGTGAAGGCGACACGGACATCGTCGGTGTCGCAAAGTCGAGAGACCGAGAGGAGGTTGACAGACAGGCCCGGGGTGTGCAGCACGCCGGTAAGCGTGATCGGGTGACCGGAGGCGGCAACAAAGGCGATGTTTCCCGTTCCGACGGCGTTGATGCCCCCTGCAATACCACCAATCTTCGTAGGAGCGATGTGGCGATAGGCCGTGAACAGCGACTTGTCCGAGACCATGTGCGAAGTGGCACCCGAGTCGACGACGAAGGAGTTGTTGCGAAGCTGACGACGATGTGCGAGAAGACCGGTGGCGAGACATCCGACATGGTGTTGCGCATCAGAGGTGTCGGGCGTTTTCCCGTCCTCAAGAGCCTTTTTGCAGTCGAAAGACCAGTGGTCCTTCTTCTTGCAGGAGCGACACGGGCCTGGCGGTGGATGCTGGGCCCTTGTAGGGCATTGTGCGACGCGGTGAGAAGGGCTGCGACAGGCGAGGCACTTGGTACGGGTAGAACGTGGCGACGACGAGGCAAGGAGGGCCGATTGATCGTTGGAGAGGTTCGTTGACCGGAGTTGAACTCGCATACGGTCGGCCACTGAATCGATGTCAGGGAGAGTTCGTTGCGTGCGTTGTTCGTCGGTGAACGTTGCCTTGAAGCTCTCGAGTGACGGGTGGGCGATCGCGAGGAGGAGTGTGGCAAGGACGTCGTTGATCGTCGTTTTCGTATCGATGATCTCTTGCGCGACCGACTTGAAGTCCATGATCCAACTGTCAAATTCGCCAACCGTTCCGGGCATGGGTCGGAAGCCCCAGAGTCGCGAGAAGAGCTCGAGCGTGCGAGTGGCGTCATCAGGGGCGTATCGCGATTTCAGCGTCGAGTAAATCTTGGGCGCTGTGAGGTCGGCCGTAGGGATCTTGTCGAGGACTGCCGAGACTTCGGCCGAGTCGATTGAGTTTGCAAGGATCTCGCGTGCCACGACGTCGCGGGCGGAGCGTTGCGAAGGCTTCCAATCGTCGGGGGTGATTCCGTCGAGGACGTAGGAGCGGATGTCGTCCGCTAGGCACAGGCGAAGCTGGCGTGTCCAGTTCGCGAACGTCTTCGGCCCGTCCAACCGCGCATGCTTCGGGAAGGCATTGCGATTGGAGCCGGATGTCGTGGCGGGTGCGGTAGTGCCGGAAGCGGCAGCGGTGAGTCCCGACAGCAGCGATGTAAGTGCGGCAAGCTGTTCGGCGGGAATTGTCGGGTTGGCGCTCGTCGCGAGGGTTGACGACGTGTCCATGCCAGCGGTAGCTCGATGGGCTTATAACCTATGAGATGATCACCACTACTGTCAGGAGAAGTCGAGAGTCGAACAGAAGTGATCTATTTCAGCGTACCTATGAGATGATCACCACTACTGTCAGGAGAAGTCGAGAGTCGAACAGAAGTGATGAGAAGGAAGCTAAGAAATGGAAAGGTGGCCCGCGCTGGGATATGCCCAGGCGCGGGCGAAATCGCTGGAGCGCTGAGGCAGTCGCGCGCGGCTAAGTCCCCACTGCAAGGGCGGGCTAGCGGCGCGCGCCCGAAAACCGCCGGCGCCGGCGCGCTGAGGCACTCGCGCGCGCCTAAGTCCCCACCACAGGGGCCAGGCTAGCAGGCGCGCGCAACGACCGAGGCGCCCCTGTCGAGCTGAGAGTGGACTCTTCACAGGGTCCATGTCTTGACAACGGTTTGAGATTCGGTGGTGGGAGCGCTGGCGAAGTGCGTGTCGCCGTCTTGCTCAGTGGGGTCGCCATGTAATCCGGGGAATTCAGTGTCGAGGAACGTGGCATTTCTGCCAAGTATAATCTTCTGTGTTGTAGTGTCGTAGAAGCGAAAGGCTTTTGAAGCCAGGTCGTAGCCGGTGAAAAAAACGCGAACCGCCTTCGGGTCGAGTTTGGAGCGAAGTTCGGGCGCGACCGTAAGCCAAGCTGTACAGCCGAACGTGTCAGGAGCACAGCCTGCACTGCCATCAATACTCGAAGGAAGTCTCCCAAGTTTGCGGCCGGAGGCGACATCAGCTACCGGTTTGTTCGTTGCAAGCATTGTCGGCGCGATGGTGTAGTCGTGAGGGCGCGCGGGCGCGCACTCAGTGGTCGAGGGTTCGATCCGCCCGGAGCGTGATCTGCCTTTTGGTTTCTTTTCCTTTTTGTTATCCGAGGCCCGGCTTCGGGGTTTTTACCGGTGCCTTGCAGGCAATCCTTTTTACCCCTGAAGCGACCTCGTGGTGTAGTTATTTGATTCAGTCTTTCCTTCGCTCGGAGCACTTCCCTCCTTTTGCTTTTGCCACCCTTCCCCTAGAGCTTGGTCCACTCATTATCATGACTCGTACCCTCCCTCTTTTTACCCATTTCGCTGGCAATTAAGTCCGTTACACTTGATTTGCTGCGAAGCCTTCCGACCGAATCCACTCCTCGGTTGCTCTCGGTCGACTGCCGCCGCCCAGCCGACTCGACCTTCCCATCGGCCTGGTCAGCTATTTCTTGGATCGTTTGCCCTTCCTCTTTTGTCCGACCTCGTTGGCCACCATAGTCCGGTACACTGGACTTGCTGCGAGCCTTGCAGCCGCGTATCCTCCGCGGTTGCCTCTCGGTCGACTTCCGCCGCCCAGCCGACTCGACCTTCCCATCGGCCTGGTCAGCTATTTCTTGGATCGTTTGCCCTCCCTCTTCTGTCCGACCTCGTTGGCTACCATAGTTCGGTACACTGGACTTGCTGCGAGCCTTGCAGCCGCGTATCCTCCGCGGTTGCCTCTCGGTCGACTGCCGCCGCCTCGGTCGACACCCCCTTCGCTCCTTCGCGCTTTCGCGCGCTCTCTCGCTCTCTCCCTCGTCTCTCGCGTGTAGTCATCGTCATCCCCTCCGACGTTGCCTGTCAGAACGGGTGAAGCGCCGAGGCAGTGGTGTGGTCACCCTGCCAGACGGAGTTTGGTGTTGCCTTGTCCAGGGCCGCGTGTTGACACAGGTTCTTGCAGTAAACGAAATAAGCTGCAGCCTCCTCCCAGAATGTCTTGGGTAGGTGGGCGTCGACAAGGAGGGCAAGGACGCCTTCGACAATGGAACGATTGACCCGCTCTGCACGACCGTTCTGTTGAGGCGTGCGTGGGATAGAGTATTGTCGACGGGTGCCTCGTGTCTTGCAGAACTCTGTGAACGCTCTCGAACAGTATTCGCCACCGTTGTCGGTTCGGAGGACCTTCAGCGTCGCACCCGTCTCGAGTTCAACCTCGGCTAGCCAAGTTTTGAATATGCCGAAGACTTCGCTTTTGTGTCCGATTGCGTAGGCCCAGAGTTTGCGCGAGTAATCGTCAAGGAATGTGACCAGGTAACGTTTGCCAGTCAAGGACCGCTCGGGGAAGGAAAGCACATCGCTGTGTACAAGGCCGAGTCTCTCTGAGGAGTGCGAATCCGAATCGGGAGAGGGAAGACGATGGCCCTTTGCGCTGAGGCAAGCATTGCAGACAAACTTCTCTACCTCTTCGTCACTATATCCGGCCCTGAGACCCTCCAGCAAACCAGCGGCAACCATCTTCTGTATGGAGGACGGTGCGAGATGGCCGAGGCAGCGATGGAGAGTCAGCAGGGGCACGGACGACTGTGAGCGAGAAAGGAGAGCAAGGTGCTGACATTTGGAATGATCAGCGTCCAGCAAGTAGAGCCCTTCGTCGAGTCGTGCGCCTTCAGCGATGTCGTTGCCGTCCTTGTCAATGTGGATGCCGTGTTTTGTGAAGGCGACACGGACATCGTCGGTGTCGCAAAGTCGAGAGACCGAGAGAAGATTGACAAACAGGCCCGGAGTGTGCAGCACGCCGGTAAGCGTGATCGGATGACCCGAGGCGGCAATGAAGGCGATGTTTCCCGTTCCGATGGCGTTGATGCCCCCTGCAATACCACCAATCTTCGTAGGAGCGATATGGCGATAGGTCGTGAACAGCGACTTGTCCGAGACCATGTGCGAAGTGGCGCCCGAGTCGACGACAAAAGAGTGGTTGCGAAGCTGGCGACGACGAGCGAGAAGACCGGTGGCGAGACATCCGACATGGTGTTGCGAGTCGACGGTCGAGTCAGCGGTGTCGGGCTTTTTGCCGTCCTCGAGCGCCTTCTTGCAGTCGAGAGACCAGTGATCCTTCTTCTTGCAGGAGCGACAGGGTCCTGGCGGCGGGTGTTGCGCCCTCGTAGGGCACTCCGCGACTCGGTGCGAAGGGCTGCGACAGGCGAGACACTTGAGACGAGTAGAACGTGACGACGACGAGGCAAGAAGGGCCGATTGAGTGCTGGGGATGTTCGTTGACCGAAGTTGGACTCGCATACGGTCGGCAAGCGAATCAATGTCGGGGAGAGTTCGTTGCGTGCGCTGTTCATCGGTGAACGACGCCTTGAAGCTCTCGAGGGACGGGTGGGCGATTGCAAGGAGGAGTGTGGCGAGAACATCATTGATAGTTGTCTTTGTGTCGATGATCTCTTGCGCAACGGCTTTGAAGTCCATGATCCACCCGTCGAATTCGGCAACCGTGCCGGGCATGGGACGGAAACCCCAGAGTCGTGAGAAGAGCTCGAGCGTGCGGGTGGCGTCGTCAGGGGCGTACCGCGATTTCAGCGTCGAGTAGATTGTCGGCGCTGTCAGGTCGGCGGTAGGGATTTTGTCGAGGACTGCCGAGACTTCGGCCGAGTCAATCGAATTCGCAAGGACCTCACGAGCGACGGCGTCGCGAGCGGAGCGTTGCGAAGGTGTCCAGTCGTCGGGTGCGATACCGTCGAGGACGTACGAGCGGATGTCGTCCGCTAGGCACAGGCGAAGTTGGCGTGTCCAGTTCGCGAAGGTCTTCGCACCATCCAAGCGTGCGTGCTTTGGAAAGGCAGTGCGAGTGGTGCCGGACGTCGTGGCGGGTGTGGCAGTGCCGGAAGCGGCAGCGGTGAGACCCGACAGCAGCGATGTAAGTGCGGCGAGCTGTTCGGCGGGAATCGGAGGGTTGGCACCCGTCGCGAGGGGTGGTGTCGTGGTCATGCCAGCTGGTGGCTCGTGGGCTTATAACCTATGAGACGTTCACCACTACTGTCAGGAGAGGTTGAGAGTCGAACAGAAGTGATCTATTTCAGCGTACCTATGAGACGTTCACCACTACTGTCAGGAGAGGTTGAGAGTCGAACAGAAGTGATGAGAAGGAAGCTAAGAAACAGAAAGGGGGGGGCCACGCTGGGATAGTCCCAGGCGCGTGACAATGTACATCCCTAAGTCAGCCGCGGGTGAAATCGCCGGCGCGCCTAAGTCCCCACCGCAAGGGGGCGGGCTAGCGGGCGCGCGCATGAATCCGCCGGCGCTGGCGCGCTGAGGCAGTCGCGCGCGTCTAAGTCCCCACCGCCGGGGGCGGGCTAGCAAGTGCGCGCAACGACCGAGGCGCCCCTGTCGAGCTGAGAGTGGACTCTTCACAAGATGTTGTGCTCGTCGCTGGACATTGCTTCGCGCCAGGTCTGGGGGTCGCTAGTGATCGATTTGACGGGCTCGATGGCGTCGAGGGTGGGGTCGTCGTCGTCTGTGGCGATGAAGGCGCGGTGGTGTTGTGGCAGGCAACGTCCTCTTCAGAAGACGTTGACTACACGCGGAGGAGGGGATCAGGCCGAAGGAAGGTCGACTGGGCGGGGGCAGGCGACCGAGGGACAACCGAGGAGGGGACGCGGTTGTGAGGCTCGCAGCAAGTCAAGTATATCGGACTTTATTGCCAACGAGATCGAAAACGAAGGATGAAGGTGAAGGGATCTTGGGAGATGTGGCGGACCAGGCTGAGTGGGAAGGTGCTAAAAACAAAAGGGAGGCACTCAGGCGCAGAGGGGACTTAGCCAATTCAGCTACTCCAAGAGGTCGCCTCAGGGGGAAAAAGGATTGCTCGCGGGAGCACCGGTAAAAACCCTGAGGCCGCGCCTCAGCTAACAAAAAGAACAAAAACCGAGAGAAGATTGCGCTCTGCGCGCCTTGAACCCGCGACCATTAAGTGCGCGCCCGCGCGCCGAACGACTACGCCATCACGCCCACAATGCTTGAATGGAGGGAAGCATTTGGTGACCTCAACTCTACCTGCACATTACCTCAGGGACTTCCTTCGAGTGTTGCTGTCAGTGTATCGCTGTTTGCCTGACATTGTCCCCCCCAGAAGGAAGTCTACCGGGAGGACAGGCGGCGATTTGAGCGATCGAGTTGTGCCAGGTAGGCGTCGAGTAAGGATGGATGGTCGAAGCGGAGGGACTGCTCTGACATCCAAGTGTCATCGATGTCCTTACGGCCAATCCATCGAACCAAGAACGAACGATTGCCCCGAGCGTTCCGACGATCGCGAACAATCCGTTCCGGAATGGCGGAGTTGTCGGCCGCGTCGGCTACATCTTCAACAAAAAGAACTGCGGGGTCACGCCCAGGGAACCTCTCAGCATCGTTCTCAACATAGGGGCGAAGCAGTCGAGCATGGAAGCGACTGTGCACTCGCGACATTGCTGGGGGAAGCTCGAGGTCGTAACTGGACGTCGCTGGAATGGCCGCTCGGATACGGAAAGGACCAATGTAGCGCGGCAACAACTTCGACTTCATCCCTTCAGGAACTGCCAGGTTCTTGGTCGAAAGATAGACATAACTGCCGGTCCGAAAGGCGGGATCATCCGGGCGTCGATGCTTGTTGGCCTGGTGAGTCTGATCGAGGCGTGCACCAATGATCGCATCCGTGACGTCGAGATTCCGTAACTGTCGGATTCGGGCAAACGCTTCCGCACGCGGGACGTCCGAGACAGACCAGGAATCGGTGGGCCAGCGTCGAGGAAGGTAACCGTAAGTCGCCTCGAAAGCCGACAGAGACGTGGAAACCGCAACGGAAGAGTTAAGAGCGAACTCAGCTTCAACAAGACGAGATGCCCAAGCCTCGTGGTTTGACGACACCATGATGCGCAGGGTTTGGGTGACCATCTTGATTCGGTTCTCACTCGATCCGTCGGTCTCTGGGTGCGCCGCTGTTGACATCCGCAAGACGGTGCCGACCTTCGCCTGCAATGCTCGCCAAAACTGCGAGGTGAACTTGGGATCGCGATCGGAAACGATGGCGGAAGGCGTCCCATGCAGTCGAAAGATGGTGGCGTAGTACCTGTCGGCAACGAGCTCGGAGTCGGCGTCGGCTGGGAGGGGAATCAGGTGGACCATCTTGCCCCAAGTGTCAGTGACCACCATGATTTGAGCGACCATCATCCCTTCGAACTCGACCGGAGGCAGTCCCGTCATGAAGTCGATGGCCACTTGTTCCCATGGGCCAGAAGGGATCGGCATCGGATGCAGTCGGCCATAAGGGACTTGAGTGGACGCTTTGCCTCGGGCACAATCTTCGCATGAATGGCAGAACTTGGCGCAATCGGCAGACATGGACGACCACCAATACAAAGGACGTATGGCGGCCAAGGTGATGCGATGTCCCGCGTGCCCGACGCTCCGATGGATCTCCGAAAGCACGAGCTCGCGCAGCGATGGGAGCTTGTCGGAGTCGACAACGCCGGTAGCGAGACCGCGAGGCACAAACAGGGAAAGAGACTCATCTGGATGTACACGCAAGATCCTCCCTTCCTCGGTCACCCGAAACATCGGCCATGACAGCGGGTCGTCAACAATGACTTGGGCTTGCGAATCGTGGGCGTAGGCTCGGATGACGGCGTCGAGGAAAGGTTGCGGCAGCGGGTCGGGCGGTCGATGGACTACAGGGGCGTCGTTGACCTCATCGGCGGCGGCTCCCAGTAAGTCGAGTTCATCGGCGTCGGCATCGACTGGAATGGGCGCGTCGTTGGCGGGGGCCGCGGCGATAGCATGAACTCGATTGACGGCGATGGGAGGAGAAAGGGGGCCGGTAGAAGAGTCGACGGCGTCCATAATGTTCTCGGCCAGACGATGGGAACCGGGAGAGCCTGCGTCGTAGCCGTGATCCCAGGGCCCGAAGGCACAATCAACAGGGGGCAACCGATCGTGCGAAGGTGAGGTGTAAGGACGTTCCTCAGGGAGGCTCTCACCAGGTGTAGTGAACTCGTGGCATTCTTCCTTCAAGAACAAATTCCCTAAATCCCGTCCATTCACGTCCTCGTCTTGCGATTCGTCCTTGAGCGCGTAGTATCCGGGAGAGCCTGCCTCGCAATCGTCGCGTTGGGGCCCGAAGGCAAAATCAACAGGAGGCAACCGATCGGGAGATGGTGAGGTGTAAGGACGTTCCTCAGGGAGGCTCTCACCGTGTGTAGTGAATCCGTGGCGTTCTCCATCAAAGAACATATCCTCCAACTCATTCTCCTTGACCTGATCCTCGGGCGATCCCTCCTTGACTTCCCACAAGCGTGACAACGAATCGGCAAGGGAGTTGTTCTTGCCCGCAATGAATTCGAATTCGAAGTCGAAACGGCTGAGTTCGAGACACATGCGGATGTGCCGGGGTGTTTGGCGTAACTTCTGCGTTTTAATCGTGCGAAGGGCTTGGTGGTCGGTGACGATGACGAAGGGGTAACCGATCAAGTGCTGCTCGAACGCCCGACACGCCGAAACGACGGCTAAGAACTCCTTATCAGTGACGTGATAATTGAGCTGAGCGCCATTGAACTTAGCGGAGAAGAATCGCGTAGGAATGGCCTGCGAACGAGTGGGGCCCGAGGCCAGGCAAGCGCCAATGCCAACACGACTGGCATCGGTGAACAAGTAGATTTTGTGCTCGCCGGAGGTGACCTTAGCGCCGTCGATCGGTCGCAGTGTTGCTGGCACGAGGGACTTGACGGTGTCGAAGGCCTGCTGCTCGCGCTCGTTCCAACGCCACGACGTCGATTGCGCTAATAATGCGGTGATGGGCTCCAAGGTGATCGAGAGGTGGGGCAGGTGATCTCGCATCCAATTCACGGTGCCGAGGAAACGCTGAACGTCGGTCTTGTTGTGTGGAGTCGGCCACTGTCGGATACGCTCCCACTTGGCCGGGTCGACCTCGATGCCGTCGTCGGAGATGATCGCGCCCAAGGAATCTAACGACTTTGAGAACCACTCGGATTTGTTGGATCCTAAGTAGAACCGATAATGTCGCAGTGTCATCAGCAAAATCTCGATGTGTCTTAAGTGCGCGCGACGAGTATCGGAATGGACGTGAACATCGTCGAAAAAGATCTTGGCAAACGAGAGGCACGGCTGAAACATCGCCGATGTCAACAAGTTCAGGGTGTTGGGCGCATTGGTGTCCCCAAACTGCATCACCCGCGACGTGTACGTGCCCGTGACCGTGGCGAAGCCGGTGCGATCGACGTGCTCGGGTATGACCCGCACCTGCTCAAACGCTGCGGCCACGTCGAATTTGGACCGGTAGCGCGAACGTGCCACTTCGTAGCGAACACTGGTCATGTCGGGGATAGGTGAAAAACGCTTGGCGGTGTTGCTGTTGCGAGCGCGGAGGTCGATCACAAAGCGAGCGGTCTGGGAGTTCTTTTTCGGAATGGCGAAGACCGGAGCCGCAGAGTCGATCGGACCAGAAACCCAGAAGCGACCGCGAGTGTACTTAGCTGAATGCTCCGCCCACTGGCTACGATATTTGTCGGCAAGGGGATAGACCCTCGGCTTGACCTTCTCGTTGGGGTCGATCAAAGGGATTTCGTGATTGACGGGTCGATAAGGCGGGAGTCGGTCCATTGGGAGCGAATCTACGAACACATCAGAGTATTTCTCGAGTAAGGCAGCCAATCGTGTTCGTGCTTCGGACTCAGACAAATCCTCGAGCGCCGGGTCGTCGACGACATCCAGCAGAGGGTTGTGCGGCTCGAGGCCAATGATCTCGTCGTCAGGAAGCAACCCTGGGTGATCGTAGCCAATGGCAGAGCCGGAGCAGATGGGCGCCACCGTGACTGCGCGATCCCACTCGTGAGTGCCCTTGGCGACCGGCTGCGAAGGGCCCGGCCGTGCGACGGTGAAGACGCCCCAGCCTACCAGCATGCCGGTGTCCTTCAGAAACGGCAAACCCAGGATAGCATCATATGCCGTCACACGGCAAATGAAAAACGCCCGCAAGCCGAGGTCGAGGGAACCGGACGTGAAGAGGGCGTTGGCAAACACGGCGCAGCGGTCAGATTTGTCGCGAGTGCCGAGGCGCAAGTGCAGCGGCGCGGTAAGGCGGGACGTCGTGAAACTCGGGTCTGTTCGCACGACATCCTGATCCACCAAGTCCACTTCCGAACCAGAGTCGACGAGGCAACGCAGCGTTCGCCCAGACGGCAACGTCCACGCAATAATATTGCGGGCGCGCACAATCGCGGGCTCGGCGTGACAGGCAACGTCGGAGGGGGTGACGATGACTACACGCGAGAGACGAGGGAGAGAGCGAGAGAGCGCGCGAAAGCGCGAAGGAGCGAAAGGGGTGTCGACCGAGGCGGCGGCAGTCGACCGAGAGGCAACCGCGGAGGATACGCGGCTGCAAGGCTCGCAGCAAGTCCAGTGTACCGGACTATGGTAGCCAACGAGGTCGGACAGAAGAGGGAGGGCAAACGATCCAAGAAATAGCTGACCAGGCCGGTGGGAAGGTCGAGTCGGCTGGGCGGCGGAAGTCGACCGAGAGGCAACCGCGGAGGATACGCGGCTGCAAGGCTCGCAGCAAGTCCAGTGTACCGGACTATGGTGGCCAACGAGGTCGGACAAAAGAGGAAGGGCAAACGATCCAAGAAATAGCTGACCAGGCCGATGGGAAGGTCGAGTCGGCTGGGCGGCGGCAGTCGACCGAGAGCAACCGAGGAGTGGATTCGGTCGGAAGGCTTCGCAGCAAATCAAGTGTAACGGACTTAATTGCCAGCGAAATGGGTAAAAAGAGGGAGGGTACGAGTCATGATAATGAGTGGACCAAGCTCTAGGGGAAGGGTGGCAAAAGCAAAAGGAGGGAAGTGCTCCGAGCGAAGGAAAGACTGAATCAAATAACTACACCACGAGGTCGCTTCAGGGGTAAAAAGGATTGCCTGCAAGGCACCGGTAAAAACCCCGAAGCCGGGCCTCGGATAACAAAAAGGAAAAGAAACCAAAAGGCAGATCACGCTCCGGGCGGATCGAACCCTCGACCACTGAGTGCGCGCCCGCGCGCCCTCACGACTACACCATCGCGCCGACAATGCTTGCAACGAACAAACCGGTAGCTGATGTCGACTCCGGCCGCAAACTTGGGAGACTTCCTTCGAGTATTGATGGCAGTGCAGGCTGTGCTCCTGACACGGCGGGTCGGGCGAAGTCGTCGACGTCGATCAGGGGCGTGTCGGACTCCAAGAGAGAAACCCCCAACGGCACCGGAACACGAACAGAGCTCACCGATGCAGTCCTCTCCGCTTTGCGCGACGACACCACCTCCGGCCCCCAGTATCGCCGCATTCGCGACGCGGCATCAGCATAAGAGGGGACGTCTTCCACCGCGTCAAACGCAGAGTCGGTCGAGTCATCGGCAAGACGACGTAGATCTGCATCACTTGCCGGCGCGGTTGGCTGCGGATTACTTGATGAGACTTCGACGTCGACTGAAGAAGAAGCCCCTTCTTTCATTCGGCCAACGGGGTCTGCGGGAGGGCAAGAAGGGCGCGTCATTGAAGCGGAAACGGAACTCAAAGGTCGAGTCTGAACACGCTCGAGTGAAATGGGGACTCTCACCTCGGGATCCTCGTCACCACCTGCGACCGAGGACCACTCTTCGTCATCCAAGTCGGCCACAGCGACCGCTGAGAGTTGGACGGCGACCGGGGATTGACGCTCCGCGGTGCAGTGCTGCGAGAAATGACCGCCTCGTCCGCAGTTGAAGCAAGCCATGCTGGTGGGTACCCCGCTGGGCGCCGGGGAAAACCAGGTGGAGCGGTCCTTCCACAAGTGCGATTGCTGCCACTTAGTAGCGCGGTCGACCCATCGAGCTCGTCGGATCTGGAACCTCTCGTCGACGGTGGGCGTGTTGGTCGCAGGTGGGCTCACTCGGGGAGCTTTGACGATCGCGCCATAGGTCGCGGTGCGGCTTGGTGGGGTCGGAACCGAAGGCGGAGGAGAAATGTCGTCGGCGATAGCGGCCCACTCGGTAATCTCGTCGATGGACGGGACCTTCAGTCCGAATCGCCCAATTGTCACCAGCGAGTTGTCGTGGTATTCACGTAACATTCCCGCCCGCACTTCCCGCTTGGAGGAGTCACTGAGCGATTGGTAGAAGGTCGTGGCGAGCTGAAGCGGCGACAGGGTGAAACTATCGTTGTCGTGCACGAAGGCACGGTACCGCGCCCGCCACTCCCCGACATGGTCGTAAGCCCGAGACGACGACTGGCGACATCCGTGGAAGTCTTGAGCCACTCTATCGGCGAACCCGGGGTCGGGCCAACGACGTCCCACTGCCTTCATGAGCGACGTCCAACAATGAGGGCGCCCTTCTCCAAGCGCGTCCCTCATCGCCTCGACGGCCCAATCGAGCGGGGATTGGCGGCGCTGTCGGGTTGTCGTACGAAAAAATAGCGTCGCCACAAGCTGGATCACTCGGCTCGTGTCGAAAAGGTCGGAGGTGGAGATGTCGCACAAGAGAGAAAGATACGACTCCCCAAACGCAGTGAAAATCACCAACCTTTCCGGATGATCTCCGGTCCATAACCCTTCCCGGTCCGGCAATGTCCCTCTCCAACGAGAGCTAATCACCGCCGAGGAAGGGCCGTCCCTAATTCCGCTGTGAGATTCCCCCCCAGGGGTACGAGCAAGGGGGTCAGCGGCAGCTCCCGGGCGTCCCAAAAATGTGTGCGGGGGGACGTCCAGGGGGACCGGTCTCACCGGCAGAGCCTCCCCGACCTGCGCCCCAGCAAGTGCGGTGGATTCTCTCATCAATCGTTCCACCATCTGCTCCAATTTGCGGATGCGTGTCTCCGAGTCGCGGCGCAGGGCTTCCGATTCTGCGAGGCGGGATTCAAGGGACGTGATGACGGCGGCGGCCTGGAGCGGGTGCGGCGAATGCGTCGGCGGGGACTTAGGCGGATTCGCGCGCGAGGGGTCTTCGCGGACGGGGGCGGTGGTGTCTCGCGACGTGTCGGTGGGTTCGGCCATGGCGAGTTCGCGGCGTAGCGGTTGGCGGTTGTGGGGAGAACGGATGCGAGCTCGAGAAGGATGGAAGAAGGGGTACGAAGGGATGACGCGTTCGTCGTCGGACTCAGTGAATGAGGTGGCGAATGACCACGACGCGTCAGCGGGGGATGAGTTCGGCAACGGGGAGGAAGCTGACGACTCAGGGGTAGTGGACGATTGCTCGTCCAGGATGCAGGATAGAGCAAGGGCAAGCGAGATCGAAGGTTGGCGGTGCCGGACTTGAAAAAAGTGGCAGGCAACGTCCTCTTCAGAAGACGTTGACTACACGCGGAGGAGGGGATCAGGCCGAAGGAAGGTCGACTGGGCGGGGGCAGGCGACCGAGGGACAACCGAGGAGGGGACGCGGTTGTGAGGCTCGCAGCAAGTCAAGTATATCGGACTTTATTGCCAACGAGATCGAAAACGAAGGATGAAGGTGAAGGGATCTTGGGAGATGTGGCGGACCAGGCTGAGTGGGAAGGTGCTAAAAACAAAAGGGAGGCACTCAGGCGCAGAGGGGACTTAGCCAATTCAGCTACTCCAAGAGGTCGCCTCAGGGGGAAAAAGGATTGCTCGCGGGAGCACCGGTAAAAACCCTGAGGCCGCGCCTCAGCTAACAAAAAGAACAAAAACCGAGAGAAGATTGCGCTCTGCGCGCCTTGAACCCGCGACCATTAAGTGCGCGCCCGCGCGCCGAACGACTACGCCATCACGCCCACAATGCTTGAATGGAGGGAAGCATTTGGTGACCTCAACTCTACCTGCACATTACCTCAGGGACTTCCTTCGAGTGTTGCTGTCAGTGTATCGCTGTTTGCCTGACATGTTGGGTGAGGAAATCGATTTCATCCGGCGATTCATCGCGCGAGTGACGCCCAATGATGTCGAGTTCGTCGGGCGACTCCTCAGCCGATGCGGGCTCACGGTACGTGCTGAAGTCTGGGCGGTGCACGTCCGGTGGGCCAAGGCGAGTCGGGGTCTGTGAGCCGATGAGGTCCAGAGGGTCGGCGGAGTAGTCAGAGTCGGTCGGTGAGACCGAGGGTGACGATGACGCTGCCAACGACGGTGACAGCGCAGGCGACGGTGACAAAGGGTTTGTGGGCGACGGTGACGAGGACGGCTCAGGAGACGGTGACGAGGACGATTCGGTATCTGTGGAATTAAGTAAGGTTCCGCCAGTGTACCCTGGGGCCACGTCAACGGCGCTCATGGCAGAATCATCAAGGGAGGATGAGACGTCCATGTGCGCCGACCTTACTAGTGGGGTCCTCGTCTTGACGGCAGGGGCGGGCGTGTCGGCGGGAACGACGAACTGACGGTCGGTGTCGTCTGCATCGACGGGCGTGGTGACTGGCAGGCCGGGGAAGTCGTCGTCGAGGAAGGTGGCATTGCGACCAAGTACAATCTTGTTGATGGAATGGTCAAAGAAACGGAAAGCTTTGGAGGCGAGGTCGTAACCTGTGAAGATCACGCGCGCGGCCTTGGGGTCGAGCTTGCTGCGAAGGTCCGGGGCGACCGTGAGCCAGGCTGTGCAGCCGAACGGGTGGAGGGCGGTGGCGGTGGTGCGTTGGCCGTTCCAAACGGATTCTGGAGTCTGTTTGGCCAAAGCTGAGTGTGAGCACCTGTTTTTGCAATAAACGAAATACGCAGCCGCTTCATCCCAAAAGGTGGCCGGCAGACGGGCGTCCGCAAGGAGAGCGAGGACGCCCTCGACGATGGAGAGGTTGACACGTTCGGCGCGACCGTTTTGTTGAGGCGTGTAAGGGATAGAGTATTGACGACGAATGCCCTTGGATTTGCAGAACTCCGTGAATGCGTTTGATCGGTACTCCCCGCCATTGTCGGTTCGAAGGATCCTCAACCGCGCGTTCGTCTCTAACTCCACTTCGGCGAGCCAAGTCTGGAAGGTCGGGAAAACATCGCTTTTGTGATCGATCGCATATGCCCAGAGTTTGCGAGAGTGGTCGTCTAGAAACGTGACAAGGTAGCGCTTCCCGGTCAAGGACGGAGTGGGGAACGACAGGACGTCGCTGTGCACGAGGCCAAGTCTCTCGGCGGAATGCGACTCAGAGTCGGGAAAGGGAAGGCGGTGACCTTTGGAACCAAGGCAAGCATTGCAAACAAACTCCTCTACGTCTTTGTCACTGTACCCGGCCCCAAACCCGTCCAGCAAACCTGCAGCAATCATCTTCTGTATAGAGGATGGGGCAAGATGGCCGAGGCAGCGGTGTAGGGTAAGCAGGGGCACGGGAGACTCAGAGCGTGAGAGGAAGGCAAGATGCTGACACTTGGTGTGATCCGCGTCCAAAAGGTAAAGACCGTCGTTGACCCTGGTACCGTGAGCAATGGCCCGGCCGTCCTTGGCGATGTCGATGCCGTCGCTGGTGAAGGCGAGACGAACGCGGTCGGTGTCGCAGAGGCGAGAGACAGAGAGGAGGTTGACGTGTAGGCCAGGCGTGTGAAGAATACCACGGAGCGTGATCGGGTGTCCAGTCTTGGCGACGAATGCCACGTCCCCCATGCCGATAGCCGTGATGCCGCCCGCGATGCCGCCGATCTTGGTGTGTGCCGTCTGACGATAAGTCGTGAATAGAGATCGGTCGGCGACCATGTGTGTCGTGGCACCCGAATCGACTACAAAGGCGTCAGTTGGGAGTTGGCGACGAGCGAAGAGGCAGGAGGCGAAATAGCCGACGTTCGGTTGCGAGGCCGCGGAGGAAGACGTGTCGTCCTGGGTGTCGTCGCTGCTACGTGCCTGTTTATGAAGGAACAATATACCACTGCACCAAAAGGCGAGGCACCTCTACTTCAGTGAGCGCATATTGTCCTAGAAGTGAGATGGAGCGAAGTTCAACACTGTTCACCCCGGTTCTTGCAGTCGAGTGCCCAGTGACCTTTCTTGTGGCATCGGCGGCAGGGGCCGGTGGGCGGGTGCTTCGCACGTGAAGTGCAGTCGCGCAGGCGGTGACCGGGAGCGCGGCAGGCGGGGCAGGGGGAGCTGGTGGCAAGCATGGCCGAATGCGAGGTCGAGAGTCCTGCCGAACGAAGCTGGATGCGAATGCGGTCCGTAAGCGTCGTGAGTTCGGGAAGGTCGCGTCGGTTTCGCTGCTCGTCCGTGAACGTGAGTCGGAAGCTGTCGAGGCAAGACGGGACCATGGCGAGCACGTGGGTGGCGAGCACGTCGTTGAGCGATGTTTTGGCGTCGCGTATTTCCTGAGCAATCGACATGTACTCGCGTAGCCAAGTGTCGTAGGCCTCGACGGAGGCAGGCATCTTCCTGAAGTCCCAAAGGCGAGCGAACAACTCGAGAGTGCGTGTAGCGTCGTCCGGTGCAAAACGAGCCTTGAGAGCGGCAAAGATGCGCGGTGCCGACAGGTCGTCGCTGGGGATGGCGTCGAGGGTGGCCGATACGTCGGCGGAGTCGATAGAGCCAACGATGATTTCCCGGGCGGCGTCGTCACGTGCGGCAAGCTGGTCGGCGGTCCAGGTCGGGGGAACGACACCGTCGAGAACGTAACCACGAACCTGGTTCGGGAGTGCAAGACGGAGTTGACGCAACCAGTTGGTGAACGACTTGGGGCCGTCCAGACGAGCGTGCTTGGGAAACACGACCTTGGATGCGGTGGCGGCGTTCCCCGGCACGACGGTGACGGCCGGGGGTGCGGCGGCTGCGGCGGCGGCGGGTTGCGAGGCCTGCAGAGCGGCAAGCTGGGCCTGTAGAGTGGCTATTTGTTCGCCGATCGAAGATTCAGGGGAGCTGGGATCCCTGGGGGCCAAAGGCGAGGCGGGAGAGCTGTCCATGATGTGATGGTGCGATGGACGTGTGCGGCTCGAGTGGCTGGGCTCGAGCGAAAAAGCCTCAAGCGGCGGGGCTGGTAGCTCGTGGGCTTATAACCTATTCGATCAACTCTACTACGTCAGCGATGTAGTTATAGCCAAGAGTGATGAATGCATTTCAACATACCTATTCGATCAACTCTACTACGTCAGCGATGTAGTTATAGCCAAGAGTGATGAATAGGAAGCTAACAATAAGAGACCCGCGCGCCCCAAGTCCACAGCCAGCGAGCCTGGGGCTGAGCCAATGGCCCAGGCTCGCTCCGCGCGCCTAAGTCCCATGTCAGGCAAACAGCGATACACTGACAGCAACACTCGAAGGAAGTCCCTGAGGTAATGTGCAGGTAGAGTTGAGGTCACCAAATGCTTCCCTCCATTCAAGCATTGTGGGCGTGATGGCGTAGTCGTTCGGCGCGCGGGCGCGCACTTAATGGTCGCGGGTTCAAGGCGCGCAGAGCGCAATCTTCTCTCGGTTTTTGTTCTTTTTGTTAGCTGAGGCGCGGCCTCAGGGTTTTTACCGGTGCTCCCGCGAGCAATCCTTTTTCCCCCTGAGGCGACCTCTTGGAGTAGCTGAATTGGCTAAGTCCCCTCTGCGCCTGAGTGCCTCCCTTTTGTTTTTAGCACCTTCCCACTCAGCCTGGTCCGCCACATCTCCGAAGATCCCTTCACCTTCATCCTTCGTTTTCGATCTCGTTGGCAATAAAGTCCGATATACTTGACTTGCTGCGAGCCTCACAACCGCGTCCCCTCCTCGGTTGTCCCTCGGTCGCCTGCCCCCGCCCAGTCGACCTTCCTTCGGCCTGATCCCCTCCTCCGCGTGTAGTCAACGTCTTCTGAAGAGGACGTTGCCTGCCATCCCAGGCTCGCTTCGCGCGCCTAAGTCCTGGGCCGGGGCGCCCGGCTCACTCCGCGCGCCTAAGTCCGCGCCCGGTTCGCTCCGCGCGCCTAAGTCCTGAGCCGAGCGGAGAGTGGATTCCTCACACCGACCAGCTTGCCGCACGTGACGACGCCGCCCGGGAAATCATCGTTGGCTCTATCGACTCCGCCGACGTATCGGCCACCCTCGACGCCATCCCCAGCGACGACCTGTCGGCACCGCGCATCTTTGCCGCTCTCAAGGCTCGTTTTGCACCGGACGACGCTACACGCACTCTCGAGTTGTTCGCTCGCCTTTGGGACTTCAGGAAGATGCCTGCCTCCGTCGAGGCCTACGACACTTGGCTACGCGAGTACATGTCGATTGCTCAGGAAATACGCGACGCCAAAACATCGCTCAACGACGTGCTCGCCACCCACGTGCTCGCCATGGTCCCGTCTTGCCTCGACAGCTTCCGACTCACGTTCACGGACGAGCAGCGAAACCGACGCGACCTTCCCGAACTCACGACGCTTACGGACCGCATTCGCATCCAGCTTCGTTCGGCAGGACTCTCGACCTCGCATTCGGCCATGCTTGCCACCAGCTCCCCCTGCCCCGCCTGCCGCGCTCCCGGTCACCGCCTGCGCGACTGCACTTCACGTGCGAAGCACCCGCCCACCGGCCCCTGCCGCCGATGCCACAAGAAAGGTCACTGGGCACTCGACTGCAAGAACCGGGGTGAACAGGCACGTAGCAGCGACGACACCCAGGACGACACGTCTTCCTCCGCGGCCTCGCAACCGAACGTCGGCTATTTCGCCTCCTGCCTCTTCGCTCGTCGCCAACTCCCAACTGACGCCTTTGTAGTCGATTCGGGTGCCACGACACACATGGTCGCCGACCGATCTCTATTCACGACTTATCGTCAGACGGCACACACCAAGATCGGCGGCATCGCGGGCGGCATCACGGCTATCGGCATGGGGGACGTGGCATTCGTCGCCAAGACTGGACACCCGATCACGCTCCGTGGTGTTCTTCACACGCCTGGCCTACACGTCAACCTCCTCTCTGTCTCTCGCCTCTGCGACACCGACCGCGTTCGTCTCGCCTTCACCAGCGACGGCATCGACATCGCCAAGGACGGCCGGGCCATTGCTCACGGTACCAGGGTCAACGACGGTCTTTACCTTTTGGACGCGGATCACACCAAGTGTCAGCATCTTGCCTTCCTCTCACGCTCTGAGTCTCCCGTGCCCCTGCTTACCCTACACCGCTGCCTCGGCCATCTTGCCCCATCCTCTATACAGAAGATGATTGCTGCAGGTTTGCTGGACGGGTTTGGGGCCGGGTACAGTGACAAAGACGTAGAGGAGTTTGTTTGCAATGCTTGCCTTGGTTCCAAAGGTCACCGCCTTCCCTTTCCCGACTCTGAGTCGCATTCCGCCGAGAGACTTGGCCTCGTGCACAGCGACGTCCTGTCGTTCCCCACTCCGTCCTTGACCGGGAAGCGCTACCTTGTCACGTTTCTAGACGACCACTCTCGCAAACTCTGGGCATATGCGATCGATCACAAAAGCGATGTTTTCCCGACCTTCCAGACTTGGCTCGCCGAAGTGGAGTTAGAGACGAACGCGCGGTTGAGGATCCTTCGAACCGACAATGGCGGGGAGTACCGATCAAACGCATTCACGGAGTTCTGCAAATCCAAGGGCATTCGTCGTCAATACTCTATCCCTTACACGCCTCAACAAAACGGTCGCGCCGAACGTGTCAACCTCTCCATCGTCGAGGGCGTCCTCGCTCTCCTTGCGGACGCCCGTCTGCCGGCCACCTTTTGGGATGAAGCGGCTGCGTATTTCGTTTATTGCAAAAACAGGTGCTCACACTCAGCTTTGGCCAAACAGACTCCAGAATCCGTTTGGAACGGCCAACGCACCACCGCCACCGCCCTCCACCCGTTCGGCTGCACAGCCTGGCTCACGGTCGCCCCGGACCTTCGCAGCAAGCTCGACCCCAAGGCCGCGCGCGTGATCTTCACAGGTTACGACCTCGCCTCCAAAGCTTTCCGTTTCTTTGACCATTCCATCAACAAGATTGTACTTGGTCGCAATGCCACCTTCCTCGACGACGACTTCCCCGGCCTGCCAGTCACCACGCCCGTCGATGCAGACGACACCGACCGTCAGTTCGTCGTTCCCGCCGACACGCCCGCCCCTGCCGTCAAGACGAGGACCCCACTAGTAAGGTCGGCGCACATGGACGTCTCATCCTCCCTTGATGATTCTGCCATGAGCGCCGTTGACGTGGCCCCAGGGTACACTGGCGGAACCTTACTTAATTCCACAGATACCGAATCGTCCTCGTCACTGTCTCCTGAGCCGTCCTCGTCACCGTCGCCCACAAACCCTTTGTCACCGTCGCCTGCGCTGTCACCGTCGTTGGCAGCGTCATCGTCACCCTCGGTCTCACCGACCGACTCTGACTACTATTCGATCAACTCTACTACGTCAGCGATGTAGTTATAGCCAAGAGTGATGAATGCATTTCAACATACCTATTCGATCAACTCTACTACGTCAGCGATGTAGTTATAGCCAAGAGTGATGAATAGGAAGCTAACAATAAGAGACCCGCGCGCCCCAAGTCCACAGCCAGCGAGCCTGGGGCTGAGCCAATGGCCCAGGCTCGCTCCGCGCGCCTAAGTCCCAGGCTCGCTTCGCGCGCCTAAGTCCTGGGCCGGGGCGCCCGGCTCACTCCGCGCGCCTAAGTCCGCGCCCGGTTCGCTCCGCGCGCCTAAGTCCTGAGCCGAGCGGAGAGTGGATTCCTCACACCCCCCCCCACGCGAACGCGAGGTAGACTTGAGCCGTGGATGTCGCGTCCGGAGGCCTAGAGCATAGCAATGTGTACCAAAAATCTTGGGGCCTAGCGCTTTGGTGAATACGTCCGCAACCATGTCTGCTGTGCCAACGTGTGAGAGAGAGATATCACCTCGATTGACCATGTCACGGACAAAATGCTCGCGGAGGCGAATGTGCCGGGTGCCGGAGGTGCGAACGGGGTCGTGAGCGACGGCGGCCGCGGCCTCGTTGTCGGTGAAGATGTGAGCTGCAGCGATTGGGCAAACGTGGAGCTCGGAGAGGAGTTGGTTAAGGTAGATCGCTTCCTTACCCGCGTGCGACAAGGCCAGGTACTCGGCATCAGTGGTGGAATCCGCTACCCGAGTCTGACGCTTCGACGACCAAGAGACAGCGGCGCCTGCCAAGTAAAATACGTAGCCCATCGTTGAAATGGATGTGTCGACGCAGGCGCCCCAGTTCGCATCAGAATAACCAACCACACCCGTGACTTTTGCTGGGCCGCGGGCATAGAGAAGCTCATCGCGGTACGTGGCGCGAAGGTAGCGAAGGACGTGTTTGACGGCAATCCAATGGCGGCGGCCGGGGTTGTTGGCGAACCGGGACAGGTACGAGACGGCGAAGGCAATGTCGGGTCGAGTGCCAAGGGAGATGTAGAGGAGGGAGCCGATGGCCTGTAGGTACCACGAACGAATGCGCTCCGTTCCCTGACCCGGAATTGCCGTGAGCGAGAGGCCGGGCGTCATCGGCACCGTAGTGCCGCGTGTCGTGGTGTCGAAGTGGAAACGGGCCAGCACGTCCATGATGTAGCGCTCCTGGGATAGAGCAATGGAACCGTCGTCCAGGCGGCGTATTTGGATTCCGAGGATGTACTCCGCGGGGCCGAGTCGTTTGACGCCGTACCGCTGTTCAAGGCCGGAGATGACACGTTCGATCTCGTCGAGGGCTGGACTGACAATGAGGAGGTCGTCGACATACAAGGCGATATAGTGAGGCCGCTGCTGATCGTCAATGCGAGAGTAAATGCAGTGATCAGTGCCTGTTGCCTTGTACCCCAGATTCCTGAGTGATGTGTCAATGTGACGATTCCAGATGCGACCGGCCTGCTTGAGACCGTAGATTGAGCGTCGCAGCCGGAGAACCTTATCGCTCGGGAAGTCGAAACCGCGTGGTGTCGTCATCCAGATATCATGATCGAGCTCGCCGTGGAGGTAAGCCTTGTCGATGTCGGCCTGATGAACGTGGTAGCCATTGGCAGCGGCAAGAGCCAGGAGGCAGCGAATGGAGGAGAAACGGGCGACGGGTGCGAAGGTTTCTGAGAAGTCGATGCCGTCGCGCTGTCGGTTACCCTGCGCTACAAGACGTGCCTTCCGCCCCGTGACTTCACCGCTTGCGTTGCGCTTGGTCTTCCAGACGAATTTGGAGGTGACGATGGTGGCGCCCGGCGGTACAGATGAGCGAGGCTCGATGGTGAACACCTTGAAGTCGTCGCGCATGGCGGTGAACTCGGCGGCGGCGGCCTCAGCCCAGATGTTGTGCTCGTCGCTGGACATTGCTTCGCGCCAGGTCTGGGGGTCGCTAGTGATCGATTTGACGGGCTCGATGGCGTCGAGGGTGGGGTCGTCGTCGTCTGTGGCGATGAAGGCGCGGTGGTGTTGGGTGAGGAAATCGATTTCATCCGGCGATTCATCGCGCGAGTGACGCCCAATGATGTCGAGTTCGTCGGGCGACTCCTCAGCCGATGCGGGCTCACGGTACGTGCTGAAGTCTGGGCGGTGCACGTCCGGTGGGCCAAGGCGAGTCGGGGTCTGTGAGCCGATGAGGTCCAGAGGGTCGGCGGAGTAGTCAGAGTCGGTCGGTGAGACCGAGGGTGACGATGACGCTGCCAACGACGGTGACAGCGCAGGCGACGGTGACAAAGGGTTTGTGGGCGACGGTGACGAGGACGGCTCAGGAGACGGTGACGAGGACGATTCGGTATCTGTGGAATTAAGTAAGGTTCCGCCAGTGTACCCTGGGGCCACGTCAACGGCGCTCATGGCAGAATCATCAAGGGAGGATGAGACGTCCATGTGCGCCGACCTTACTAGTGGGGTCCTCGTCTTGACGGCAGGGGCGGGCGTGTCGGCGGGAACGACGAACTGACGGTCGGTGTCGTCTGCATCGACGGGCGTGGTGACTGGCAGGCCGGGGAAGTCGTCGTCGAGGAAGGTGGCATTGCGACCAAGTACAATCTTGTTGATGGAATGGTCAAAGAAACGGAAAGCTTTGGAGGCGAGGTCGTAACCTGTGAAGATCACGCGCGCGGCCTTGGGGTCGAGCTTGCTGCGAAGGTCCGGCACCAAAAGGCGAGGCACCTCTACTTCAGTGAGCGCATATTGTCCTAGAAGTGAGATGGAGCAAAGTTCAACACCCCCCTGTGCGCGAAGCTGAAGAGCTTGTGGCAGTGGGTGCGGCTGTGAGGCAACTGGGCATGTTGATCAGGTCGCTTGGGCAAGTGCAGCTTGGGCACTGTGAGCACTGTCGATGCGCCAGGGTGCTTGGCACGCCGCTGGGCAAGTGCGGGGGCCGGGACGCTGAGTGTATGCGCGCAAAATTGCCTGACCCCAGGGGGGATTGAACTCATGACCTGCTGGTTGCTCTGGGCTCATAACCTATTCGATCAACTCTACTACGTCAGCGATGTAGTTATAGCCAAGAGTGATGAATGCATTTCAACATACCTATTCGATCAACTCTACTACGTCAGCGATGTAGTTATAGCCAAGAGTGATGAATAGGAAGCTAACAATAAGAGACCCGCGCGCCCCAAGTCCACAGCCAGCGAGCCTGGGGCTGAGCCAATGGCCCAGGCTCGCTCCGCGCGCCTAAGTCCCAGGCTCGCTTCGCGCGCCTAAGTCCTGGGCCGGGGCGCCCGGCTCACTCCGCGCGCCTAAGTCCGCGCCCGGTTCGCTCCGCGCGCCTAAGTCCTGAGCCGAGCGGAGAGTGGATTCCTCACAACTACTCCGCCGACCCTCTGGACCTCATCGGCTCACAGACCCCGACTCGCCTTGGCCCACCGGACGTGCACCGCCCAGACTTCAGCACGTACCGTGAGCCCGCATCGGCTGAGGAGTCGCCCGACGAACTCGACATCATTGGGCGTCACTCGCGCGATGAATCGCCGGATGAAATCGATTTCCTCACCCAACACCACCGCGCCTTCATCGCCACAGACGACGACGACCCCACCCTCGACGCCATCGAGCCCGTCAAATCGATCACTAGCGACCCCCAGACCTGGCGCGAAGCAATGTCCAGCGACGAGCACAACATCTGGGCTGAGGCCGCCGCCGCCGAGTTCACCGCCATGCGCGACGACTTCAAGGTGTTCACCATCGAGCCTCGCTCATCTGTACCGCCGGGCGCCACCATCGTCACCTCCAAATTCGTCTGGAAGACCAAGCGCAACGCAAGCGGTGAAGTCACGGGGCGGAAGGCACGTCTTGTAGCGCAGGGTAACCGACAGCGCGACGGCATCGACTTCTCAGAAACCTTCGCACCCGTCGCCCGTTTCTCCTCCATTCGCTGCCTCCTGGCTCTTGCCGCTGCCAATGGCTACCACGTTCATCAGGCCGACATCGACAAGGCTTACCTCCACGGCGAGCTCGATCTGACAGGCAACGTCGGAGGGGATGACGATGACTACACGCGAGAGACGAGGGAGAGAGCGAGAGAGCGCGCGAAAGCGCGAAGGAGCGAAAGGGGTGTCGACCGAGGCGGCGGCAGTCGACCGAGAGGCAACCGCGGAGGATACGCGGCTGCAAGGCTCGCAGCAAGTCCAGTGTACCGAACTATGGTAGCCAACGAGGTCGGACAGAAGAGGGAGGGCAAACGATCCAAGAAATAGCTGACCAGGCCGGTGGGAAGGTCGAGTCGGCTGGGCGGCGGAAGTCGACCGAGAGGCAACCGCGGAGGATACGCGGCTGCAAGGCTCGCAGCAAGTCCAGTGTACCGGACTATGGTGGCCAACGAGGTCGGACAAAAGAGGAAGGGCAAACGATCCAAGAAATAGCTGACCAGGCCGATGGGAAGGTCGAGTCGGCTGGGCGGCGGCAGTCGACCGAGAGCAACCGAGGAGTGGATTCGGTCGGAAGGCTTCGCAGCAAATCAAGTGTAACGGACTTAATTGCCAGCGAAATGGGTAAAAAGAGGGAGGGTACGAGTCATGATAATGAGTGGACCAAGCTCTAGGGGAAGGGTGGCAAAAGCAAAGGGAGGGAAGTGCTCCCAGCGAAGGAAAGACTGAATCAAATAACTACACCACGAGGTCGCTTCAGGGGTAAAAAGGATTGCCTGCAAGGCACCGGTAAAAACCCCGAAGCCGGGCCTCGGATAACAAAAAGGAAAAGAAACCAAAAGGCAGATCACGCTCCGGGCGGATCGAACCCTCGACCACTGAGTGCGCGCCCGCGCGCCCTCAGGACTACACCATCGCGCCGACAATGCTTGCAACGAACAAACCGGTAGCTGATGTCGACTCCGGCCGCAAACTTGGGAGACTTCCTTCGAGTATTGATGGCAGTGCAGGCTGTGCTCCTGACACGATCATGATATCTGGATGACGACACCACGCGGTTTCGACTTCCCGAGCGATAAGGTTCTCCGGCTGCGACGCTCAATCTACGGTCTCAAGCAGGCCGGTCGCATCTGGAATCGTCACATTGACACATCACTCAGGAATCTATGAGACGTTCACCACTACTGTCAGGAGAGGTTGAGAGTCGAACAGAAGTGATCTATTTCAGCGTACCTATGAGACGTTCACCACTACTGTCAGGAGAGGTTGAGAGTCGAACAGAAGTGATGAGAAGGAAGCTAAGAAACAGAAAGGGGGGGGCCACGCTGGGATAGTCCCAGGCGCGTGACAATGTACATCCCTAAGTCAGCCGCGGGTGAAATCGCCGGCGCGCCTAAGTCCCCACCGCAAGGGGGCGGGCTAGCGGGCGCGCGCATGAATCCGCCGGCGCTGGCGCGCTGAGGCAGTCGCGCGCGTCTAAGTCCCCACCGCCGGGGGCGGGCTAGCAAGTGCGCGCAACGACCGAGGCGCCCCTGTCGAGCTGAGAGTGGACTCTTCACACCCCCCCCCACGCGAATGCGAGGCAGACCCAAGCCGCGGGTGTCGAGTGCGAAGGCCGAGGGCGTAGCAGTGCGTTGAGAAGACCTTTGGGCCGAGAGCCTTGGTGAAGATGTCGGCCACCATGTCGCTGGTACCCACATGCGAGAGAGAGATGTCGCCCCGATTCACCATGTCCCGAACGAAGTGCTCACGCAAGCGTATGTGCCGAGTGCCAGAGACGCGGACAGGATCGTGAGCAACTGCAGCAGCGGCTTCGTTGTCAGTAAAGATGTGAGCCGGTGCAACAGGTTGTACATGGAGCTCTTCGAGCAGCTGACTGAGGTAAATCCCTTCCTTGCCAGCATGCGAGAGGGCGAGGTATTCAGCGTCGGTGGTCGAATCGGCAACTCGAGACTGGCGTTTGGACGACCAGGACACGGCCGAGCCAGCGATGTAGAAGACGTAGCCCATGGTGGACACCGATGTGTCGATGCAGGCCCCCCAGTTCGCGTCGGAGTAGCCTACCACACCCGTGATGCGAGCCTGGCCGCGAGCATACACGAGTTCGTTGCGATACGTGGCCCGGAGATAGCGTAGGATGTGCTTGACCGCAATCCAATGACGACGACCGGGGTTGTTGGCGAAGCGGGCCAGGTAGGACACGGCGAAGGCGATGTCAGGGCGGGTACCGAGCGAAATGTAGAGGAGCGAGCCGATAGCCTGCAGATACCATGACCTGATCCGTTCGGTGCCTTGACCCGGGATAGCAGTGAGCGAAAGGCCGGGAGTCATCGGAACTGTAGTGCCGCGAGTCGTGGTGTCGAAGTGGAACCGAGCGAGCACGTCCATGATGTACCGTTCCTGGGATAGGGCGATAGAGCCGTCGTCGAACCGCCTGATCTGGATGCCGAGGATATACTCGGCCGGGCCGAGGCGCTTGACTCCGTAGCGTTGGTCCAGGCCTGAGATGACACGTTCGATTTCGGCCAGTTCCGGGCTGATCATCAGGAGGTCGTCGACGTACAGTGCGATGTAGTGTGGACATTGACGATCATCGAGCCAAGAGTATACGCAGTGGTCGGTGCCCGTCGCCGTGTAACCGAGGGCCCGAAGCGAAGCGTCGATGTGTCGATTCCAGATTCGGCCAGCCTGTTTGAGCCCGTAGATGGAGCGTCGCAGGCGAAGCACCTTGTCGCTGGGAAGGTCGAAGCCGCGCGGTGCCGTCATCCAGATGTCGTGGTCAAGGTCGCCATGCAGATATGCTTTGTCGATGTCCGCCTGGTGCACGTGCAAGCCGTTGGCGGCCGCCAGCGCGAGGAGTGAGCGTATCGAGGAGAAGCGTGCGACCGGTGCGAACGTTTCGTTGAAGTCGATGCCGTCGCGTTGCCGATTGCCTTGCGCGACCAGCCTTGCCTTGTGTCCAGTGACTTCGCCGAGTGCGTTCCGTTTCGTTTTCCAGACGAACTTGGATGTAACGATAGTCGCACCCGCGGGCACCGTGGCTCGGTCCTCGATGGTGAAGACCTTGAAGTCGTCGCGCATGGAGGTGAACTCGTCGGTGGCGGCTTTGGCCCATACTTCACGCTTGTCGCTAGACATCGCCTCGCGCCAGGTCTGTGGGTCGCTCGTGATGGACTTGACTGGCTGAATTGCCTCTGTGTCAGAGGTGTCGTCGTCGATGGCGATGAAGGCGCGGTGGTGTCGGGTGAGGAAATCGATTTCGTCCGGAGATTCGTCGCGAGAGTGGCGCCCAATGAGGTCGAGTTCGTCGGGCGACTCCTCAGCCGATGCGGGCTCGCGGTACGTGCTGAAGTCTGGGTGGTGCACGTCCTGTAGATCGAGGCGAACCTGGGGCTGTGAGCCGAGGAGGTCGAGGGGATCGGCGGAGTCTTCAGAGTCGGTCGGTAAGGCCGAGGGTGACGATGACGCAGCCGACGATGGTGAAAGTGCAGGCGATGGCGCAGACGACGGTGATGAGGGCGACGCAGGCGACGGTGACGAGGACGATTCGGCATCTGTGAAGTTAAGTAAGGTTCCGCCAGTGTACCCTGGGGCCACGTCAACGGCGCTCATGGCAGAATCATCAAGGGGGGATGAGACGTCCATGTGCGCCGACCTTACTAGTGGGGTCCATGTCTTGACAACGGTTTGAGATTCGGTGGTGGGAGCGCTGGCGAAGTGCGTGTCGCCGTCTTGCTCAGTGGGGTCGCCATGTAATCCGGGGAATTCAGTGTCGAGGAACGTGGCATTTCTGCCAAGTATAATCTTCTGTGTTGTAGTGTCGTAGAAGCGAAAGGCTTTTGAAGCCAGGTCGTAGCCGGTGAAAAAAACGCGAACCGCCTTCGGGTCGAGTTTGGAGCGAAGTTCGGGCGCGACCGTAAGCCAAGCTGTACAGCCGAACGGGTGAAGCGCCGAGGCAGTGGTGTGGTCACCCTGCCAGACGGAGTTTGGTGTTGCCTTGTCCAGGGCCGCGTGTTGACACAGGTTCTTGCAGTAAACGAAATAAGCTGCAGCCTCCTCCCAGAATGTCTTGGGTAGGTGGGCGTCGACAAGGAGGGCAAGGACGCCTTCGACAATGGAACGATTGACCCGCTCTGCACGACCGTTCTGTTGAGGCGTGCGTGGGATAGAGTATTGTCGACGGGTGCCTCGTGTCTTGCAGAACTCTGTGAACGCTCTCGAACAGTATTCGCCACCGTTGTCGGTTCGGAGGACCTTCAGCGTCGCACCCGTCTCGAGTTCAACCTCGGCTAGCCAAGTTTTGAATATGCCGAAGACTTCGCTTTTGTGTCCGATTGCGTAGGCCCAGAGTTTGCGCGAGTAATCGTCAAGGAATGTGACCAGGTAACGTTTGCCAGTCAAGGACCGCTCGGGGAAGGAAAGCACATCGCTGTGTACAAGGCCGAGTCTCTCTGAGGAGTGCGAATCCGAATCGGGAAAGGGAAGACGATGGCCCTTTGCGCTGAGGCAAGCATTGCAGACAAACTTCTCTACCTCTTCGTCACTATATCCGGCCCTGAGACCCTCCAGCAAACCAGCGGCAACCATCTTCTGTATGGAGGACGGTGCGAGATGGCCGAGGCAGCGATGGAGAGTCAGCAGGGGCACGGACGACTGTGAGCGAGAAAGGAGAGCAAGGTGCTGACATTTGGAATGATCAGCGTCCAGCAAGTAGAGCCCTTCGTCGAGTCGTGCGCCTTCAGCGATGTCGTTGCCGTCCTTGTCAATGTGGATGCCGTGTTTTGTGAAGGCGACACGGACATCGTCGGTGTCGCAAAGTCGAGAGACCGAGAGAAGATTGACAAACAGGCCCGGAGTGTGCAGCACGCCGGTAAGCGTGATCGGATGACCCGAGGCGGCAATGAAGGCGATGTTTCCCGTTCCGATGGCGTTGATGCCCCCTGCAATACCACCAATCTTCGTAGGAGCGATATGGCGATAGGTCGTGAACAGCGACTTGTCCGAGACCATGTGCGAAGTGGCGCCCGAGTCGACGACAAAAGAGTGGTTGCGAAGCTGGCGACGACGAGCGAGAAGACCGGTGGCGAGACATCCGACATGGTGTTGCGAGTCGACGGTCGAGTCAGCGGTGTCGGGCTTTTTGCCGTCCTCGAGCGCCTTCTTGCAGTCGAGAGACCAGTGATCCTTCTTCTTGCAGGAGCGACAGGGTCCTGGCGGCGGGTGTTGCGCCCTCGTAGGGCACTCCGCGACTCGGTGCGAAGGGCTGCGACAGGCGAGACACTTGAGACGAGTAGAACGTGACGACGACGAGGCAAGAAGGGCCGATTGAGTGCTGGGGATGTTCGTTGACCGAAGTTGGACTCGCATACGGTCGGCAAGCGAATCAATGTCGGGGAGAGTTCGTTGCGTGCGCTGTTCATCGGTGAACGACGCCTTGAAGCTCTCGAGGGACGGGTGGGCGATTGCAAGGAGGAGTGTGGCGAGAACATCATTGATAGTTGTCTTTGTGTCGATGATCTCTTGCGCAACGGCTTTGAAGTCCATGATCCACCCGTCGAATTCGGCAACCGTGCCGGGCATGGGACGGAAACCCCAGAGTCGTGAGAAGAGCTCGAGCGTGCGGGTGGCGTCGTCAGGGGCGTACCGCGATTTCAGCGTCGAGTAGATTGTCGGCGCTGTCAGGTCGGCGGTAGGGATTTTGTCGAGGACTGCCGAGACTTCGGCCGAGTCAATCGAATTCGCAAGGACCTCACGAGCGACGGCGTCGCGAGCGGAGCGTTGCGAAGGTGTCCAGTCGTCGGGTGCGATACCGTCGAGGACGTACGAGCGGATGTCGTCCGCTAGGCACAGGCGAAGTTGGCGTGTCCAGTTCGCGAAGGTCTTCGCACCATCCAAGCGTGCGTGCTTTGGAAAGGCAGTGCGAGTGGTGCCGGACGTCGTGGCGGGTGTGGCAGTGCCGGAAGCGGCAGCGGTGAGACCCGACAGCAGCGATGTAAGTGCGGCGAGCTGTTCGGCGGGAATCGGAGGGTTGGCACCCGTCGCGAGGGGTGGTGTCGTGGTCATGCCAGCTGGTGGCTCGTGGGCTTATAACCTATGAGACGTTCACCACTACTGTCAGGAGAGGTTGAGAGTCGAACAGAAGTGATCTATTTCAGCGTACCTATGAGACGTTCACCACTACTGTCAGGAGAGGTTGAGAGTCGAACAGAAGTGATGAGAAGGAAGCTAAGAAACAGAAAGGGGGGGGCCACGCTGGGATAGTCCCAGGCGCGTGACAATGTACATCCCTAAGTCAGCCGCGGGTGAAATCGCCGGCGCGCCTAAGTCCCCACCGCAAGGGGGCGGGCTAGCGGGCGCGCGCATGAATCCGCCGGCGCTGGCGCGCTGAGGCAGTCGCGCGCGTCTAAGTCCCCACCGCCGGGGGCGGGCTAGCAAGTGCGCGCAACGACCGAGGCGCCCCTGTCGAGCTGAGAGTGGACTCTTCACAGAATCTGGGGTACAAGGCAACAGGCACTGATCACTGCATTTACTCTCGCATTGACGATCAGCAGCGGCCTCACTATATCGCCTTGTATGTCGACGACCTCCTCATTGTCAGTCCAGCCCTCGACGAGATCGAACGTGTCATCTCCGGCCTTGAACAGCGGTACGGCGTCAAACGACTCGGCCCCGCGGAGTACATCCTCGGAATCCAAATACGCCGCCTGGACGACGGTTCCATTGCTCTATCCCAGGAGCGCTACATCATGGATGTGCTGGCCCGTTTCCACTTCGACACCACGACACGCGGCACTACGGTGCCGATGACGCCCGGCCTCTCGCTCACGGCAATTCCGGGTCAGGGAACGGAGCGCATTCGTTCGTGGTACCTACAGGCCATCGGCTCCCTCCTCTACATCTCCCTTGGCACTCGACCCGACATTGCCTTCGCCGTCTCGTACCTGTCCCGGTTCGCCAACAACCCCGGCCGCCGCCATTGGATTGCCGTCAAACACGTCCTTCGCTACCTTCGCGCCACGTACCGCGATGAGCTTCTCTATGCCCGCGGCCCAGCAAAAGTCACGGGTGTGGTTGGTTATTCTGATGCGAACTGGGGCGCCTGCGTCGACACATCCATTTCAACGATGGGCTACGTATTTTACTTGGCAGGCGCCGCTGTCTCTTGGTCGTCGAAGCGTCAGACTCGGGTAGCGGATTCCACCACTGATGCCGAGTACCTGGCCTTGTCGCACGCGGGTAAGGAAGCGATCTACCTTAACCAACTCCTCTCCGAGCTCCACGTTTGCCCAATCGCTGCAGCTCACATCTTCACCGACAACGAGGCCGCGGCCGCCGTCGCTCACGACCCCGTTCGCACCTCCGGCACCCGGCACATTCGCCTCCGCGAGCATTTTGTCCGTGACATGGTCAATCGAGGTGATATCTCTCTCTCACACGTTGGCACAGCAGACATGGTTGCGGACGTATTCACCAAAGCGCTAGGCCCCAAGATTTTTGGTACACATTGCTATGCTCTAGGCCTCCGGACGCGACATCCACGGCTCAAGTCTACCTCGCGTTCGCGTGGGGGGGGGTGTGAGGAATCCACTCTCCGCTCGGCTCAGGACTTAGGCGCGCGGAGCGAACCGGGCGCGGACTTAGGCGCGCGGAGTGAGCCGGGCGCCCCGGCCCAGGACTTAGGCGCGCGGAGCGAGCCTGGGCCATTGGCTCAGCCCCAGGCTCGCTGGCTGTGGACTTGGGGCGCGCGGGTCTCTTATTGTTAGCTTCCTATTCATCACTCTTGGCTATAACTACATCGCTGACGTAGTAGAGTTGATCGAATAGGTATGTTGAAATGCATTTATCACTCTTGGCTATAACTACATCGCTGACGTAGTAGAGTTGATCGAATAGGTTATAAGCCCACGAGCTACCAGCCCCGCCGCTTGAGGCTTTTTCGCTCGAGCCCAGCCACTCGAGCCGCACACGTCCATCGCACCATCACATCATGGACAGCTCTCCCGCCTCGCCTTTGGCCCCCAGGGATCCCAGCTCCCCTGAATCTTCGATCGGCGAACAAATCGCCACTCTACAGGCCCAGCTTGCCGCTCTGCAGGCCTCGCAACCCGCCGCCGCCGCAGCCGCCGCACCCCCGGCCGTCACCGTCGTGCCGGGGAACGCCGCCACCGCATCCAAGGTCGTGTTTCCCAAGCACGCTCGTCTGGACGGCCCCAAGTCGTTCACCAACTGGTTGCGTCAACTCCGTCTTGCACTCCCGAACCAGGTTCGTGGTTACGTTCTCGACGGTGTCGTTCCCCCGACCTGGACCGCCGACCAGCTTGCCGCACGTGACGACGCCGCCCGGGAAATCATCGTTGGCTCTATCGACTCCGCCGACGTATCGGCCACCCTCGACGCCATCCCCAGCGACGACCTGTCGGCACCGCGCATCTTTGCCGCTCTCAAGGCTCGTTTTGCACCGGACGACGCTACACGCACTCTCGAGTTGTTCGCTCGCCTTTGGGACTTCAGGAAGATGCCTGCCTCCGTCGAGGCCTACGACACTTGGCTACGCGAGTACATGTCGATTGCTCAGGAAATACGCGACGCCAAAACATCGCTCAACGACGTGCTCGCCACCCACGTGCTCGCCATGGTCCCGTCTTGCCTCGACAGCTTCCGACTCACGTTCACGGACGAGCAGCGAAACCGACGCGACCTTCCCGAACTCACGACGCTTACGGACCGCATTCGCATCCAGCTTCGTTCGGCAGGACTCTCGACCTCGCATTCGGCCATGCTTGCCACCAGCTCCCCCTGCCCCGCCTGCCGCGCTCCCGGTCACCGCCTGCGCGACTGCACTTCACGTGCGAAGCACCCGCCCACCGGCCCCTGCCGCCGATGCCACAAGAAAGGTCACTGGGCACTCGACTGCAAGAACCGGGGTGAACAGGCACGTAGCAGCGACGACACCCAGGACGACACGTCTTCCTCCGCGGCCTCGCAACCGAACGTCGGCTATTTCGCCTCCTGCCTCTTCGCTCGTCGCCAACTCCCAACTGACGCCTTTGTAGTCGATTCGGGTGCCACGACACACATGGTCGCCGACCGATCTCTATTCACGACTTATCGTCAGACGGCACACACCAAGATCGGCGGCATCGCGGGCGGCATCACGGCTATCGGCATGGGGGACGTGGCATTCGTCGCCAAGACTGGACACCCGATCACGCTCCGTGGTGTTCTTCACACGCCTGGCCTACACGTCAACCTCCTCTCTGTCTCTCGCCTCTGCGACACCGACCGCGTTCGTCTCGCCTTCACCAGCGACGGCATCGACATCGCCAAGGACGGCCGGGCCATTGCTCACGGTACCAGGGTCAACGACGGTCTTTACCTTTTGGACGCGGATCACACCAAGTGTCAGCATCTTGCCTTCCTCTCACGCTCTGAGTCTCCCGTGCCCCTGCTTACCCTACACCGCTGCCTCGGCCATCTTGCCCCATCCTCTATACAGAAGATGATTGCTGCAGGTTTGCTGGACGGGTTTGGGGCCGGGTACAGTGACAAAGACGTAGAGGAGTTTGTTTGCAATGCTTGCCTTGGTTCCAAAGGTCACCGCCTTCCCTTTCCCGACTCTGAGTCGCATTCCGCCGAGAGACTTGGCCTCGTGCACAGCGACGTCCTGTCGTTCCCCACTCCGTCCTTGACCGGGAAGCGCTACCTTGTCACGTTTCTAGACGACCACTCTCGCAAACTCTGGGCATATGCGATCGATCACAAAAGCGATGTTTTCCCGACCTTCCAGACTTGGCTCGCCGAAGTGGAGTTAGAGACGAACGCGCGGTTGAGGATCCTTCGAACCGACAATGGCGGGGAGTACCGATCAAACGCATTCACGGAGTTCTGCAAATCCAAGGGCATTCGTCGTCAATACTCTATCCCTTACACGCCTCAACAAAACGGTCGCGCCGAACGTGTCAACCTCTCCATCGTCGAGGGCGTCCTCGCTCTCCTTGCGGACGCCCGTCTGCCGGCCACCTTTTGGGATGAAGCGGCTGCGTATTTCGTTTATTGCAAAAACAGGTGCTCACACTCAGCTTTGGCCAAACAGACTCCAGAATCCGTTTGGAACGGCCAACGCACCACCGCCACCGCCCTCCACCCGTTCGGCTGCACAGCCTGGCTCACGGTCGCCCCGGACCTTCGCAGCAAGCTCGACCCCAAGGCCGCGCGCGTGATCTTCACAGGTTACGACCTCGCCTCCAAAGCTTTCCGTTTCTTTGACCATTCCATCAACAAGATTGTACTTGGTCGCAATGCCACCTTCCTCGACGACGACTTCCCCGGCCTGCCAGTCACCACGCCCGTCGATGCAGACGACACCGACCGTCAGTTCGTCGTTCCCGCCGACACGCCCGCCCCTGCCGTCAAGACGAGGACCCCACTAGTAAGGTCGGCGCACATGGACGTCTCATCCTCCCTTGATGATTCTGCCATGAGCGCCGTTGACGTGGCCCCAGGGTACACTGGCGGAACCTTACTTAATTCCACAGATACCGAATCGTCCTCGTCACCGTCTCCTGAGCCGTCCTCGTCACCGTCGCCCACAAACCCTTTGTCACCGTCGCCTGCGCTGTCACCGTCGTTGGCAGCGTCATCGTCACCCTCGGTCTCACCGACCGACTCTGACTACTCCGCCGACCCTCTGGACCTCATCGGCTCACAGACCCCGACTCGCCTTGGCCCACCGGACGTGCACCGCCCAGACTTCAGCACGTACCGTGAGCCCGCATCGGCTGAGGAGTCGCCCGACGAACTCGACATCATTGGGCGTCACTCGCACGATGAATCGCCGGATGAAATCGATTTCCTCACCCAACACCACCGCGCCTTCATCGCCACAGACGACGACGACCCCACCCTCGACGCCATCGAGCCCGTCAAATCGATCACTAGCGACCCCCAGACCTGGCGCGAAGCAATGTCCAGCGACGAGCACAACATCTGGGCTGAGGCCGCCGCCGCCGAGTTCACCGCCATGCGCGACGACTTCAAGGTGTTCACCATCGAGCCTCGCTCATCTGTACCGCCGGGCGCCACCATCGTATGAGATGATCACCACTACTGTCAGGAGAAGTCGAGAGTCGAACAGAAGTGATGAGAAGGAAGCTAAGAAATGGAAAGGGGGGCCCGCGCTGGGATATGCCCAGGCGCGGGCGAAATCGCTGGAGCGCTGAGGCAGTCGCGCGCGGCTAAGTCCCCACTGCAAGGGCGGGCTAGCGGCGCGCGCCCGAAAACCGCCGGCGCCGGCGCGCTGAGGCACTCGCGCGCGCCTAAGTCCCCACCACAGGGGCCAGGCTAGCAGGCGCGCGCAACGACCGAGGCGCCCCTGTCGAGCTGAGAGTGGACTCTTCACACCCCCCCCCACGCGAATGCGAGGCAGATCCAAGCCGTGGGTGTCGAGTGCGAAGGCCTAGTGCGTAGCAGTGTGTCGAGAAAATCTTTGGGCCAAGAGCCTTTGTGAAGATGTCGGCCACCATGTTGCTGGTTCCCACATGCGAGAGTGAGATATCGCCCCGATTCACCATGTCCCGAACAAAGTGCTCGCGCAAGCGTATGTGTCGAGTGCCGGAGACGCGGACAGGGTCGTGGGCAACTGCGGCAGCGGCTTCATTGTCAGTAAAAATGTGAGCCGGTGCAACAGGTTGGACATGGAGCTCCTCGAGCAGCTGACTGAGGTAGATCCCTTCCTTGCCAGCATGCGAGAGGGCGAGGTATTCAGCGTCGGTGGTAGAATCGGCAACTCGAGATTGACGCTTGGACGACCAAGACACGGCGGATCCGGCAATGTAGAAGACGTAGCCCATAGTGGACACCGACGTATCGACGCAGGCCCCCCAGTTCGCGTCGGAGTAGCCAACCACGCCCGTGATGCGTGTCTCGCCGCAAGCATAAACCAGTTCGTCGCGATATGTGGCCCGGAGATAGCGGAGGATGTGCTTGACCGCGATCCAGTGACGACGTCCAGGGTTGTTGGCGAAGCGGGCCAGGTAGGACACGGCGAAGGCGATGTCGGGGCGGGTGCCGAGCGAAATGTAGAGGAGCGAGCCGATAGCCTGCAGATACCATGACCTGATCCGTTCGGTGCCTTGACCCGGGATGGCGGTGAGCGAAAGGCCGGGGGTCATCGGGACTGTAGTGCCGCGAGTCGTGGTGTCGAAGTGGAACCGAGCAAGCACGTCCATGATGTACCGTTCCTGGGACAGGGCAATAGAACCGTCTTCGAGTCGCCTGATCTGGATGCCGAGGATGTACTCTGCCGGGCCGAGGCGCTTGACGCCGTAGCGTTGTTCGAGGCCCGAGATGACACGTTCAATTTCGGCCAAGTCGGGGCTGATCATCAGGAGGTCGTCGACGTACAGCGCGATGTAGTGTGGGCGTCGCCGATCGTCGATCCGAGAGTACACGCAGTGGTCGGTGCCCGTCGCCGTATAGCCGAGATCTCGAAGCGATGCGTCGATGTGTCGATTCCAGATTCGGCCAGCCTGTTTGAGTCCGTAGATGGAGCGTCGCAGACGAAGCACCTTGTCGGTGGGAAGGTCGAAGCCGCGCGGTGTCGTCATCCAGATGTCATGGTCAAGGTCGCCATGCAGATAGGCTTTGTCGATGTCCGCCTGGTGCACGTGCAAGCCGTTGGCGGCCGCCAGCGCGAGGAGTGAGCGTATCGAGGAGAAGCGTGCGACTGGTGCGAAGGTTTCGTTGAAGTCGATGCCGTCGCGTTGCCGATTTCCCTGCGCCACGAGCCGTGCCTTGTGGCCGGTGACTTCGCCGAGTGCATTCCGTTTCGTTTTCCAGACGAACTTGGATGTGACGATGGTCGCACCCGCTGGTACCGTGGATCGGTCCTCGATGGTGAAGACCTTGAAGTCGTCGCGCATGGAATTGAACTCGTCGGTAGCGGCCTTGGCCCACACTTCGCGCTTGTCACTCGACATTGCCTCGCGCCATGTCTGTGGGTCGCTGGTGATGGACTTGACTGGTTGAATGGCTTCTGTGTCAGAGTTGTCGTCGTCGGTGGCGATGAAGGCGCGGTGGTGTTGGGTGAGGAAATCGATTTCGTCCGGCGATTCATCGCGCGAGTGGCGCCCAATGATGTCGAGTTCGTCGGGCGACTCCTCAGCCGATGCGGGCTCACGGTACGTGCTGAAGTCTGGGCGGTGCACGTCCGGTGGGCCGAGGCGAGTCGGGGTCTGTGAGCCGATGAGGTCCAGAGGGTCGGCGGAGTAGTCAGAGTCGGTCGGTAAGGCCGAGGGTGACGATGACGCAGCCAACGACGGTGACAGCGCAGGCGACGGTGACAAGGGAGTTGCGGGCGACGGTGACGAGGACGGCTCAGGAGACGGTGACGAGGACGATTCGGCATCTGTGGAATTAAGTAAGGTTCCGCCAGTGTACCCTGGGGCCACGTCAACGGCGCTCATGGCAGAGTCATCAAGAGAGGATGAGACGTCCATGTGCGCCGACCTTACTAGTGGGGTCCATGTCTTGACAACGGCTTGGGATTCGGTGGTCGGGCAAGCGCTGGCGAAGTGCGTGTCGGCGTCTTGCTCGGTGGAGTCGCTACGTAACCCGGGAAATTCGTTGTCGAGGAACCTGGCATTTCTGCCCAAACTGATCTTCTTGGTCGTCGTGTCGTAGAAACGGAAGGCTTTAGAAGCCAGGTCATAGCCGGTGAAGAGAACGCGAACCGCTTTCGGGTCGAGTTTCGAGCGAAGTTCAGGCGCGACTGTGAGCCAAGCCGTGCAGCCGAACGGGTGAAGCGCCGAGGCGTTGGTGCGGTCGCCCTGCCAGGCGAAGTTCGGTGTTGCCTTGTCCAGGGCCGAGTGTTCGCACAGGTTCTTGCAGTAGACGAAATAAGCTGCTGCCTCCTCCCAGAATGATTTGGGTAAGTGGGCGTCTGCAAGGAGGGCAAGGACACCTTCGACGATAGAACGATTGACTCGTTCGGCACGACCGTTCTGTTGAGGCGTTCGAGGGATAGAGTATTGTCGACGTGTGCCGCGTGCCTTACAGAATTCCGTGAACGCTCTCGAACAGTATTCGCCACCATTGTCGGTTCGGAGGACCTTCAGTTTTGCACCCGTCTCGAGTTCGACCTCGGCAAGCCATGTCTTGAACACGCCAAAGACTTCGCTTTTGTGTCCGATCGCGTATGCCCACAGTTTGCGCGAGAAGTCGTCAAGAAACGTGACCAGGTAACGCTTGCCAGTCAAGGACGACTCGGGAAAGGAAAGCACATCGCTGTGTACGAGGCCGAGTCTCTCTGAGGAGTGCGAGTCCGAATCGGGAAAAGGAAGACGATGGCCCTTTGCACTGAGGCAAGCATTGCAGACAAACTTCTCTACCTCTTCGTCACTATATCCGGCCCCGAGACCTTCCAGCAAACCAGCGGCAACCATCTTCTGTATGGACGACGGTGCGAGATGGCCGAGGCAGCGGTGAAGGGTCAGCAGGGGCACGGAAGACTGTGAGCGAGAGAGGAGAGCGAGATGCTGACATTTGGAATGATCAGCGTCCAGCAAGTAGAGCCCTTCCTCGAGTCTTGCGCCTTCAGCGATAGCATTGCCGTTCTTGTCGATATGGATGCCGTGCTTCGTGAAGGCGACACGGACATCGTCGGTGTCGCAAAGTCGAGAGACCGAGAGGAGGTTGACAGACAGGCCCGGGGTGTGCAGCACGCCGGTAAGCGTGATCGGGTGACCGGAGGCGGCAACAAAGGCGATGTTTCCCGTTCCGACGGCGTTGATGCCCCCTGCAATACCACCAATCTTCGTAGGAGCGATGTGGCGATAGGCCGTGAACAGCGACTTGTCCGAGACCATGTGCGAAGTGGCACCCGAGTCGACGACGAAGGAGTTGTTGCGAAGCTGACGACGATGTGCGAGAAGACCGGTGGCGAGACATCCGACATGGTGTTGCGCATCAGAGGTGTCGGGCGTTTTCCCGTCCTCAAGAGCCTTTTTGCAGTCGAAAGACCAGTGGTCCTTCTTCTTGCAGGAGCGACACGGGCCTGGCGGTGGATGCTGGGCCCTTGTAGGGCATTGTGCGACGCGGTGAGAAGAGCTGCGACAGGCGAGGCACTTGGTACGGGTAGAACGTGGCGACGACGAGGCAAGGAGGGCCGATTGATCGTTGGAGAGGTTCGTTGACCGGAGTTGAACTCGCATACGGTCGGCCACTGAATCGATGTCAGGGAGAGTTCGTTGCGTGCGTTGTTCGTCGGTGAACGTTGCCTTGAAGCTCTCGAGTGACGGGTGGGCGATCGCGAGGAGGAGTGTGGCAAGGACGTCGTTGATCGTCGTTTTCGTATCGATGATCTCTTGCGCGACCGACTTGAAGTCCATGATCCAACTGTCAAATTCGCCAACCGTTCCGGGCATGGGTCGGAAGCCCCAGAGTCGCGAGAAGAGCTCGAGCGTGCGAGTGGCGTCATCAGGGGCGTATCGCGATTTCAGCGTCGAGTAAATCTTGGGCGCTGTGAGGTCGGCCGTAGGGATCTTGTCGAGGACTGCCGAGACTTCGGCCGAGTCGATTGAGTTTGCAAGGATCTCGCGTGCCACGACGTCGCGGGCGGAGCGTTGCGAAGGCGTCCAATCGTCGGGGGTGATTCCGTCGAGGACGTAGGAGCGGATGTCGTCCGCTAGGCACAGGCGAAGCTGGCGTGTCCAGTTCGCGAACGTCTTCGGCCCGTCCAACCGCGCATGCTTCGGGAAGGCATTGCGATTGGAGCCGGATGTCGTGGCGGGTGCGGTAGTGCCGGAAGCGGCAGCGGTGAGTCCCGACAGCAGCGATGTAAGTGCGGCAAGCTGTTCGGCGGGAATTGTCGGGGTGGCGCTCGTCGCGAGGGTTGACGACGTGTCCATGCCAGCGGTAGCTCGATGGGCTTATAACCTATGAGATGATCACCACTACTGTCAGGAGAAGTCGAGAGTCGAACAGAAGTGATGAGAAGGAAGCTAAGAAATGGAAAGGGGGGCCCGCGCTGGGATATGCCCAGGCGCGGGCGAAATCGCTGGAGCGCTGAGGCAGTCGCGCGCGGCTAAGTCCCCACTGCAAGGGCGGGCTAGCGGCGCGCGCCCGAAAACCGCCGGCGCCGGCGCGCTGAGGCACTCGCGCGCGCCTAAGTCCCCACCACAGGGGCCAGGCTAGCAGGCGCGCGCAACGACCGAGGCGCCCCTGTCGAGCTGAGAGTGGACTCTTCACACATCGTCACCTCCAAATTCGTCTGGAAGACCAAGCGCAACGCAAGCGGTGAAGTCACGGGGCGGAAGGCACGTCTTGTAGCGCAGGGTAACCGACAGCGCGACGGCATCGACTTCTCAGAAACCTTCGCACCCGTCGCCCGTTTCTCCTCCATTCGCTGCCTCCTGGCTCTTGCCGCTGCCAATGGCTACCACGTTCATCAGGCCGACATCGACAAGGCTTACCTCCACGGCGAGCTCGATCATGATATCTGGATGACGACACCACGCGGTTTCGACTTCCCGAGCGATAAGGTTCTCCGGCTGCGACGCTCAATCTACGGTCTCAAGCAGGCCGGTCGCATCTGGAATCGTCACATTGACACATCACTCAGGAATCTGGGGTACAAGGCAACAGGCACTGATCACTGCATTTACTCTCGCATTGACGATCAGCAGCGGCCTCACTATATCGCCTTGTATGTCGACGACCTCCTCATTGTCAGTCCAGCCCTCGACGAGATCGAACGTGTCATCTCCGGCCTTGAACAGCGGTACGGCGTCAAACGACTCGGCCCCGCGGAGTACATCCTCGGAATCCAAATACGCCGCCTGGACGACGGTTCCATTGCTCTATCCCAGGAGCGCTACATCATGGACGTGCTGGCCCGTTTCCACTTCGACACCACGACACGCGGCACTACGGTGCCGATGACGCCCGGCCTCTCGCTCACGGCAATTCCGGGTCAGGGAACGGAGCGCATTCGTTCGTGGTACCTACAGGCCATCGGCTCCCTCCTCTACATCTCCCTTGGCACTCGACCCGACATTGCCTTCGCCGTCTCGTACCTGTCCCGGTTCGCCAACAACCCCGGCCGCCGCCATTGGATTGCCGTCAAACACGTCCTTCGCTACCTTCGCGCCACGTACCGCGATGAGCTTCTCTATGCCCGCGGCCCAGCAAAAGTCACGGGTGTGGTTGGTTATTCTGATGCGAACTGGGGCGCCTGCGTCGACACATCCATTTCAACGATGGGCTACGTATTTTACTTGGCAGGCGCCGCTGTCTCTTGGTCGTCGAAGCGTCAGACTCGGGTAGCGGATTCCACCACTGATGCCGAGTACCTGGCCTTGTCGCACGCGGGTAAGGAAGCGATCTACCTTAACCAACTCCTCTCCGAGCTCCACGTTTGCCCAATCGCTGCAGCTCACATCTTCACCGACAACGAGGCCGCGGCCGCCGTCGCTCACGACCCCGTTCGCACCTCCGGCACCCGGCACATTCGCCTCCGCGAGCATTTTGTCCGTGACATGGTCAATCGAGGTGATATCTCTCTCTCACACGTTGGCACAGCAGACATGGTTGCGGACGTATTCACCAAAGCGCTAGGCCCCAAGATTTTTGGTACACATTGCTATGCTCTAGGCCTCCGGACGCGACATCCACGGCTCAAGTCTACCTCGCGTTCGCGTGGGGGGGGTGTGAGGAATCCACTCTCCGCTCGGCTCAGGACTTAGGCGCGCGGAGCGAACCGGGCGCGGACTTAGGCGCGCGGAGTGAGCCGGGCGCCCCGGCCCAGGACTTAGGCGCGCGAAGCGAGCCTGGGACTTAGGCGCGCGGAGCGAGCCTGGGCCATTGGCTCTGTTGAACTTCGCTCCATCTCACTTCTAGGACAATATGCGCTCACTGAAGTAGAGGTGCCTCGCCTTTTGGTGCAGTGGTATATTGTTCCTTCATAGGCTCAGCCCCAGGCTCGCTGGCTGTGGACTTGGGGCGCGCGGGTCTCTTATTGTTAGCTGTTGAACTTCGCTCCATCTCACTTCTAGGACAATATGCGCTCACTGAAGTAGAGGTGCCTCGCCTTTTGGTGCAGTGGTATATTGTTCCTTCATATTAGCTTCCTATTCATCACTCTTGGCTATAACTACATCGCTGACGTAGTAGAGTTGATCGAATAGGTATGTTGAAATGCATTTATCACTCTTGGCTATAACTACATCGCTGACGTAGTAGAGTTGATCGAATAGAGCGAAAGATTTGCTCGTGGTCGCGGATCGACTATATTCTTGTCCAATGCAGTTGGGCGAACCGGTTGTTGAGCGCTTCTACGCTCTTCGATGCGCCCTGTTCGGACCACAGACCTGTAGTTGCGACTTTCGCTTTGCCTACATCGAACGCTGATGCCGAACCCCCCCTTTCTCTTCCCTCCACGAGCGATTTCATTTCGAGGCTCAACCCAATGGTCTTTGACGATCAAGACTTTGTCGCATCGATTCCCGGGGTCGTCAACGAGGTCTATCGAAGGCTCGAGGGGACCACTCCGCTCGGCGACGTCTATGACGCCGCTCTGCGGGCGGTTGCAGTCGCTGGCCATGCACGATACCGCTCGACTTGTGCCGACATGCGCCAACTGCGGGCCGAGAGCCAATCCGTCATGGAGGCTTTGGAGGCACGCGGTGAGCACATGAATGAGGCCGAGCGCGATGCGTATGCTCTTGCCAAGTCGCGGTTGGACCAGTTGGCAGTAAAGGAGGCTCAGTGGCTGCGCATTCGTGCGCATGTGCCGTCAGTCGACTCGAGGGAAGGTCAATCGGCAAGCATTCGCATGCGCCTCAACCGCCGGAGTCGCCAGACGAGCATCGTCTCGCTGGAGGATGTGGATGGCACCGAGACCGTTGACATGCAGGAGGCGCTGGGTATTGCTTCACGGCACGCGCAGTCGCTCTTCACGCCGGACCCAGCTCGTGGCGACCCGACGAACGCACACCGGTCCCTGCTCAACCCTATTCGCGCAGCGAAATGCTACGATGACGACCGCTCGGACCCTACGTTCGGTCGTCGGCTGCCTCGTCAAGCGAGAGTGGCGCTTGACGAGCCCTTCACCCTCCTCGAGATTGAAGCGGCGTTGAAGAAGACGGATTCGGGGCGATCACCGGGGCCCTCGGGCATTCCGTACGAGCTCTTCAAGGCGCTGCCAACCTACTTTGCTCCCAAGCTGTTGGACTTGTTCAACTCGATTTGGGAGGGCGGCAAAATGATGGCGTCCTTGGCAGAGGAGCTGGTGCGTGACAGGCAACGTCGGAGGGGATGACGATGACTACACGCGAGAGACGAGGGAGAGAGCGAGAGAGCGCGCGAAAGCGCGAAGGAGCGAAGGGGGTGTCGACCGAGGCGGCGGCAGTCGACCGAGAGGCAACCGCGGAGGATACGCGGCTGCAAGGCTCGCAGCAAGTCCAGTGTACCGAACTATGGTAGCCAACGAGGTCGGACAGAAGAGGGAGGGCAAACGATCCAAGAAATAGCTGACCAGGCCGGTGGGAAGGTCGAGTCGGCTGGGCGGCGGAAGTCGACCGAGAGGCAACCGCGGAGGATACGCGGCTGCAAGGCTCGCAGCAAGTCCAGTGTACCGGACTATGGTGGCCAACGAGGTCGGACAAAAGAGGAAGGGCAAACGATCCAAGAAATAGCTGACCAGGCCGATGGGAAGGTCGTGTGAGGAATCCACTCTCCGCTCGGCTCAGGACTTAGGCGCGCGGAGCGAACCGGGCGCGGACTTAGGCGCGCGGAGTGAGCCGGGCGCCCCGGCCCAGGACTTAGGCGCGCGAAGCGAGCCTGGGACTTAGGCGCGCGGAGCGAGCCTGGGCCATTGGCTCAGCCCCAGGCTCGCTGGCTGTGGACTTGGGGCGCGCGGGTCTCTTATTGTTAGCTTCCTATTCATCACTCTTGGCTATAACTACATCGCTGACGTAGTAGAGTTGATCGAATAGGTATGTTGAAATGCATTTATCACTCTTGGCTATAACTACATCGCTGACGTAGTAGAGTTGATCGAATAGGTTATAAGCCCACGAGCTACCAGCCCCGCCGCTTGAGGCTTTTTCGCTCGAGCCCAGCCACTCGAGCCGCACACGTCCATCGCACCATCACATCATGGACAGCTCTCCCGCCTCGCCTTTGGCCCCCAGGGATCCCAGCTCCCCTGAATCTTCGATCGGCGAACAAATCGCCACTCTACAGGCCCAGCTTGCCGCTCTGCAGGCCTCGCAACCCGCCGCCGCCGCAGCCGCCGCACCCCCGGCCGTCACCGTCGTGCCGGGGAACGCCGCCACCGCATCCAAGGTCGTGTTTCCCAAGCACGCTCGTCTGGACGGCCCCAAGTCGTTCACCAACTGGTTGCGTCAACTCCGTCTTGCACTCCCGAACCAGGTTCGTGGTTACGTTCTCGACGGTGTCGTTCCCCCGACCTGGACCGCCGACCAGCTTGCCGCACGTGACGACGCCGCCCGGGAAATCATCGTTGGCTCTATCGACTCCGCCGACGTATCGGCCACCCTCGACGCCATCCCCAGCGACGACCTGTCGGCACCGCGCATCTTTGCCGCTCTCAAGGCTCGTTTTGCACCGGACGACGCTACACGCACTCTCGAGTTGTTCGCTCGCCTTTGGGACTTCAGGAAGATGCCTGCCTCCGTCGAGGCCTACGACACTTGGCTACGCGAGTACATGTCGATTGCTCAGGAAATACGCGACGCCAAAACATCGCTCAACGACGTGCTCGCCACCCACGTGCTCGCCATGGTCCCGTCTTGCCTCGACAGCTTCCGACTCACGTTCACGGACGAGCAGCGAAACCGACGCGACCTTCCCGAACTCACGACGCTTACGGACCGCATTCGCATCCAGCTTCGTTCGGCAGGACTCTCGACCTCGCATTCGGCCATGCTTGCCACCAGCTCCCCCTGCCCCGCCTGCCGCGCTCCCGGTCACCGCCTGCGCGACTGCACTTCACGTGCGAAGCACCCGCCCACCGGCCCCTGCCGCCGATGCCACAAGAAAGGTCACTGGGCACTCGACTGCAAGAACCGGGGTGAACAGGCACGTAGCAGCGACGACACCCAGGACGACACGTCTTCCTCCGCGGCCTCGCAACCGAACGTCGGCTATTTCGCCTCCTGCCTCTTCGCTCGTCGCCAACTCCCAACTGACGCCTTTGTAGTCGATTCGGGTGCCACGACACACATGGTCGCCGACCGATCTCTATTCACGACTTATCGTCAGACGGCACACACCAAGATCGGCGGCATCGCGGGCGGCATCACGGCTATCGGCATGGGGGACGTGGCATTCGTCGCCAAGACTGGACACCCGATCACGCTCCGTGGTGTTCTTCACACGCCTGGCCTACACGTCAACCTCCTCTCTGTCTCTCGCCTCTGCGACACCGACCGCGTTCGTCTCGCCTTCACCAGCGACGGCATCGACATCGCCAAGGACGGCCGGGCCATTGCTCACGGTACCAGGGTCAACGACGGTCTTTACCTTTTGGACGCGGATCACACCAAGTGTCAGCATCTTGCCTTCCTCTCACGCTCTGAGTCTCCCGTGCCCCTGCTTACCCTACACCGCTGCCTCGGCCATCTTGCCCCATCCTCTATACAGAAGATGATTGCTGCAGGTTTGCTGGACGGGTTTGGGGCCGGGTACAGTGACAAAGACGTAGAGGAGTTTGTTTGCAATGCTTGCCTTGGTTCCAAAGGTCACCGCCTTCCCTTTCCCGACTCTGAGTCGCATTCCGCCGAGAGACTTGGCCTCGTGCACAGCGACGTCCTGTCGTTCCCCACTCCGTCCTTGACCGGGAAGCGCTACCTTGTCACGTTTCTAGACGACCACTCTCGCAAACTCTGGGCATATGCGATCGATCACAAAAGCGATGTTTTCCCGACCTTCCAGACTTGGCTCGCCGAAGTGGAGTTAGAGACGAACGCGCGGTTGAGGATCCTTCGAACCGACAATGGCGGGGAGTACCGATCAAACGCATTCACGGAGTTCTGCAAATCCAAGGGCATTCGTCGTCAATACTCTATCCCTTACACGCCTCAACAAAACGGTCGCGCCGAACGTGTCAACCTCTCCATCGTCGAGGGCGTCCTCGCTCTCCTTGCGGACGCCCGTCTGCCGGCCACCTTTTGGGATGAAGCGGCTGCGTATTTCGTTTATTGCAAAAACAGGTGCTCACACTCAGCTTTGGCCAAACAGACTCCAGAATCCGTTTGGAACGGCCAACGCACCACCGCCACCGCCCTCCACCCGTTCGGCTGCACAGCCTGGCTCACGGTCGCCCCGGACCTTCGCAGCAAGCTCGACCCCAAGGCCGCGCGCGTGATCTTCACAGGTTACGACCTCGCCTCCAAAGCTTTCCGTTTCTTTGACCATTCCATCAACAAGATTGTACTTGGTCGCAATGCCACCTTCCTCGACGACGACTTCCCCGGCCTGCCAGTCACCACGCCCGTCGATGCAGACGACACCGACCGTCAGTTCGTCGTTCCCGCCGACACGCCCGCCCCTGCCGTCAAGACGAGGACCCCACTAGTAAGGTCGGCGCACATGGACGTCTCATCCTCCCTTGATGATTCTGCCATGAGCGCCGTTGACGTGGCCCCAGGGTACACTGGCGGAACCTTACTTAATTCCACAGATACCGAATCGTCCTCGTCACCGTCTCCTGAGCCGTCCTCGTCACCGTCGCCCACAAACCCTTTGTCACCGTCGCCTGCGCTGTCACCGTCGTTGGCAGCGTCATCGTCACCCTCGGTCTCACCGACCGACTCTGACTACTCCGCCGACCCTCTGGACCTCATCGGCTCACAGACCCCGACTCGCCTTGGCCCACCGGACGTGCACCGCCCAGACTTCAGCACGTACCGTGAGCCCGCATCGGCTGAGGAGTCGCCCGACGAACTCGACATCATTGGGCGTCACTCGCGCGATGAATCGCCGGATGAAATCGATTTCCTCACCCAACACCACCGCGCCTTCATCGCCACAGACGACGACGACCCCACCCTCGACGCCATCGAGCCCGTCAAATCGATCACTAGCGACCCCCAGACCTGGCGCGAAGCAATGTCCAGCGACGAGCACAACATCTGGGCTGAGGCCGCCGCCGCCGAGTTCACCGCCATGCGCGACGACTTCAAGGTGTTCACCATCGAGCCTCGCTCATCTGTACCGCCGGGCGCCACCATCGTCACCTCCAAATTCGTCTGGAAGACCAAGCGCAACGCAAGCGGTGAAGTCACGGGGCGGAAGGCACGTCTTGTAGCGCAGGGTAACCGACAGCGCGACGGCATCGACTTCTCAGAAACCTTCGCACCCGTCGCCCGTTTCTCCTCCATTCGCTGCCTCCTGGCTCTTGCCGCTGCCAATGGCTACCACGTTCATCAGGCCGACATCGACAAGGCTTACCTCCACGGCGAGCTCGATCATGATATCTGGATGACGACACCACGCGGTTTCGACTTCCCGAGCGATAAGGTTCTCCGGCTGCGACGCTCAATCTACGGTCTCAAGCAGGCCGGTCGCATCTGGAATCGTCACATTAACACATCACTCAGGAATCTGGGGTACAAGGCAACAGGCACTGATCACTGCATTTACTCTCGCATTGACGATCAGCAGCGGCCTCACTATATCGCCTTGTATGTCGACGACCTCCTCATTGTCAGTCCAGCCCTCGACGAGATCGAACGTGTCATCTCCGGCCTTGAACAGCGGTACGGCGTCAAACGACTCGGCCCCGCGGAGTACATCCTCGGAATCCAAATACGCCGCCTGGACGACGGTTCCATTGCTCTATCCCAGGAGCGCTACATCATGGACGTGCTGGCCCGTTTCCACTTCGACACCACGACACGCGGCACTACGGTGCCGATGACGCCCGGCCTCTCGCTCACGGCAATTCCGGGTCAGGGAACGGAGCGCATTCGTTCGTGGTACCTACAGGCCATCGGCTCCCTCCTCTACATCTCCCTTGGCACTCGACCCGACATTGCCTTCGCCGTCTCGTACCTGTCCCGGTTCGCCAACAACCCCGGCCGCCGCCATTGGATTGCCGTCAAACACGTCCTTCGCTACCTTCGCGCCACGTACCGCGATGAGCTTCTCTATGCCCGCGGCCCAGCAAAAGTCACGGGTGTGGTTGGTTATTCTGATGCGAACTGGGGCGCCTGCGTCGACACATCCATTTCAACGATGGGCTACGTATTTTACTTGGCAGGCGCCGCTGTCTCTTGGTCGTCGAAGCGTCAGACTCGGGTAGCGGATTCCACCACTGATGCCGAGTACCTGGCCTTGTCGCACGCGGGTAAGGAAGCGATCTACCTTAACCAACTCCTCTCCGAGCTCCACGTTTGCCCAATCGCTGCAGCTCACATCTTCACCGACAACGAGGCCGCGGCCGCCGTCGCTCACGACCCCGTTCGCACCTCCGGCACCCGGCACATTCGCCTCCGCGAGCATTTTGTCCGTGACATGGTCAATCGAGGTGATATCTCTCTCTCACACGTTGGCACAGCAGACATGGTTGCGGACGTATTCACCAAAGCGCTAGGCCCCAAGATTTTTGGTACACATTGCTATGCTCTAGGCCTCCGGACGCGACATCCACGGCTCAAGTCTACCTCGCGTTCGCGTGGGGGGGGGTGTGAGGAATCCACTCTCCGCTCGGCTCAGGACTTAGGCGCGCGGAGCGAACCGGGCGCGGACTTAGGCGCGCGGAGTGAGCCGGGCGCCCCGGCCCAGGACTTAGGCGCGCGAAGCGAGCCTGGGACTTAGGCGCGCGGAGCGAGCCTGGGCCATTGGCTCAGCCCCAGGCTCGCTGGCTGTGGACTTGGGGCGCGCGGGTCTCTTATTGTTAGCTTCCTATTCATCACTCTTGGCTATAACTACATCGCTGACGTAGTAGAGTTGATCGAATAGGTATGTTGAAATGCATTTATCACTCTTGGCTATAACTACATCGCTGACGTAGTAGAGTTGATCGAATAGGTCGAGTCGGCTGGGCGGCGGCAGTCGACCGAGAGCAACCGAGGAGTGGATTCGGTCGGAAGGCTTCGCAGCAAATCAAGTGTAACGGACTTAATTGCCAGCGAAATGGGTAAAAAGAGGGAGGGTACGAGTCATGATAATGAGTGGACCAAGCTCTAGGGGAAGGGTGGCAAAAGCAAAAGGAGGGAAGTGCTCCGAGCGAAGGAAAGACTGAATCAAATAACTACACCACGAGGTCGCTTCAGGGGTAAAAAGGATTGCCTGCAAGGCACCGGTAAAAACCCCGAAGCCGGGCCTCGGATAACAAAAAGGAAAAGAAACCAAAAGGCAGATCACGCTCCGGGCGGATCGAACCCTCGACCACTGAGTGCGCGCCCGCGCGCCCTCACGACTACACCATCGCGCCGACAATGCTTGCAACGAACAAACCGGTAGCTGATGTCGACTCCGGCCGCAAACTTGGGAGACTTCCTTCGAGTATTGATGGCAGTGCAGGCTGTGCTCCTGACAGTGCGGCTCTTGCCCAAGAATAAACCGGGGGCCAATCTGAAATCACTGGGGGCATACCGACCGATCACATTGCGCGAGACGACCTACAAGGTCCTCAGCAAGGTCTTGGTGGCGCGACTCAATGGGGTGCTCGGCGAGCTTTTGCCGCCGGCGCAACACAGTTTCATGCCATCAAGACGTTCAGCGGACGCGGGAAGTCATCTCACTCTCCTTCTCGAAAAACTCAAGTCGCTAGGCACTGATGTTTTCCCCGAGGGCGCCCTCTTGTCTTTGGATCAGCAGAGCGCGTACGATCGGGTCGATCACGCCTGGATCTTCGAGGTCTTTGAGGCCTTTGGGTTCGGTGAGCGTTTCATCTTGCTGCTGCGCGCTCTCTACGATCCCGAGACTCTGGGGGTGCGCTACCTTGTCAATGGGTTCCCCACGGTGACTCGAAACTGTTTTGGACCCATGTTCTTGACAGGATCAAGGCCAAGGCCCGCGCCGCTCAAGACCGGACACTTTCGCCGAGTGGGAAGGTTTTCTATGCCAACGCTCACATCATCTCGGCGGTCCTCCACGTGCTGTCCTTCGACATACCGCCTCAATGGTTCATTAAGGCGGCGGAGACGGCACTTACGGACTTTGTCTGGGGAGGAGCAGGGCGAAATACCGTCGCTCGCGATTCCGTGTTCCAGGCTCGGGAGGACGGTGGCTTGGGTTTGATTTCGATTGGCGACATCGTTCATTCGGTGGCGCTTCGATTTTGGGATGCTGTGGCGGGCTCGGACGAGGCGATCTGGGCGCCCCTAGCTCGCGAGAGCTGGAGGTGCCTCGTCGCTGCGACCCGCGATTTCAGTCCGTGGGGGTTCTTCAGCAGCACGGCTCGGGTCGAGAAGCTGTATCGCGACTCGACGCGCTGGGGGGCAGTCGTTGCAGCGGCCAGGGTCACAGTTCCAACCATCAAGTCCGAACTCCTTACGCTTCCCGAATTGCTCTCGCTTCCGCCTCGCCTCCCTTCACTCTATGCTGAAGGTGCCCAGCACGCATATGACGATGCGGACGCGGTGGCGAAGTTTGCGCAGATCGCGGACCTGTACTGGAGGGACGAAGGGAAGGGATGGGCTCTGGTTGGTCATCGACGCGGGTTCTGGCAGCACTCTAAGGAACCCGCCCTACAGCACGAGCACGTGTGGTCGCGCGTGGGTCAGTTGCTCAAGGCGAAAGCGTTGCTGCCCAAGACCGCGTTGCGACCTGCTCGGATACCTCTCAAGGAGGCTCCCCGTCCTCGGTGCTTCAACTTCTTTGGGCTCTCCCGACCTTTTACGATTCGCAAGCTTCGTCGGCTTGTGAACAAGGTGCGGTTCCCAGGGAGGGAGGACCGTGTCAAGCGTTTCCCTGATGGGACTTCTCAGAGCGATAGGAAGCGCTTCTGGAGATGGCTTCATGACCGGTTCGCGTCTGCTGTCGAGCAGGACACCCACTGGCGGCTCATGTACGACGTGACGCCGACGCGCAAGAGGCAGCATACTCAGGGTCACGCCTCTTCGCCGACGTGTCTGTTCTGCGGCAACGATGCAGCGGTCATCGAGACGGTGTCCCACTACTTTTTCGAGTGCGCGTACTCGACCAGCTTCTGGGGTGGGGTGCTACGCATTCTGCTTGACAAGCTCGGCATCGAGGATACCGACATCGATCCGTTGACGTTCACTCCGGAGCAGCTGACTATGGGGCTCCCCCTTTTGCGGGGTCGTGGGAGAACGACCTTGAAATGGATGTGGGTTCGGCTGGCCTGCGCGATCGGCTTCCAGCGGCTGCACCTGCTCCGCTGGCGCGTTCATCAGCGGTTCGAGCTGGACAACGTCGTGTGAAGAGTCCACTCTCAGCTCGACAGGGGCGCCTCGGTCGTTGCGCGTGCCTGCTAGCCTGGCCCCTGTGGTGGGGACTTAGGCGCGCGCGAGTGCCTCAGCGCGCCGGCGCCGGCGGTTTTCGGGCGCGCGCCGCTAGCCCGCCCTTGCAGTGGGGACTTAGCCGCGCGCGACTGCCTCAGCGCTCCAGCGATTTCGCCCGCGCCTGGGCATATCCCAGCGCGGGCCCCCTTTCCATTTCTTAGCTTCCTTCTCATCACTTCTGTTCGACTCTCGACTTCTCCTGACAGTAGTGGTGATCATCTCATAGGTACGCTGAAATAGATCACTTCTGTTCGACTCTCGACTTCTCCTGACAGTAGTGGTGATCATCTCATAGGTTATAAGCCCATCGAGCTACCGCTGGCATGGACACGTCGTCAACCCTCGCGACGAGCGCCACCCCGACAATTCCCGCCGAACAGCTTGCCGCACTTACATCGCTGCTGTCGGGACTCACCGCTGCCGCTTCCGGCACTACCGCACCCGCCACGACATCCGGCTCCAATCACAATGCCTTCCCGAAGCATGCGCGGTTGGACGGGCCGAAGACGTTCGCGAACTGGACACGCCAGCTTCGCCTGTGCCTAGCGGACGACATCCGCTCCTACGTCCTCGACGGAATCACCCCCGACGATTGGACGCCTTCGCAACGCTCCGCCCGCGACGTCGTGGCACGCGAGATCCTTGCAAACTCAATCGACTCGGCCGAAGTCTCGGCAGTCCTCGACAAGATCCCTACGGCCGACCTCACAGCGCCCAAGATTTACTCGACGCTGAAATCGCGATACGCCCCTGATGACGCCACTCGCACGCTCGAGCTCTTCTCGCGACTCTGGGGCTTCCGACCCATGCCCGGAACGGTTGGCGAATTTGACAGTTGGATCATGGACTTCAAGTCGGTCGCGCAAGAGATCATCGATACGAAAACGACGATCAACGACGTCCTTGCCACACTCCTCCTCGCGATCGCCCACCCGTCACTCGAGAGCTTCAAGGCAACGTTCACCGACGAACAACGCACGCAACGAACTCTCCCTGACATCGATTCAGTGGCCGACCGTATGCGAGTTCAACTCCGGTCAACGAACCTCTCCAACGATCAATCGGCCCTCCTTGCCTCGTCGTCGCCACGTTCTACCCGTACCAAGTGCCTCGCCTGTCGCAGCTCTTCTCACCGCGTCGCACAATGCCCTACAAGGGCCCAGCATCCACCGCCAGGCCCGTGTCGCTCCTGCAAGAAGAAGGACCACTGGTCTTTCGACTGCAAAAAGGCTCTTGAGGACGGGAAAACGCCCGACACCTCTGATGCGCAACACCATGTCGGATGTCTCGCCACCGGTCTTCTCGCACATCGTCGTCAGCTTCGCAACAACTCCTTCGTCGTCGACTCGGGTGCCACTTCGCACATGGTCTCGGACAAGTCGCTGTTCACGGCCTATCGCCACATCGCTCCTACGAAGATTGGTGGTATTGCAGGGGGCATCAACGCCGTCGGAACGGGAAACATCGCCTTTGTTGCCGCCTCCGGTCACCCGATCACGCTTACCGGCGTGCTGCACACCCCGGGCCTGTCTGTCAACCTCCTCTCGGTCTCTCGACTTTGCGACACCGACGATGTCCGTGTCGCCTTCACGAAGCACGGCATCCATATCGACAAGAACGGCAATGCTATCGCTGAAGGCGCAAGACTCGAGGAAGGGCTCTACTTGCTGGACGCTGATCATTCCAAATGTCAGCATCTCGCTCTCCTCTCTCGCTCACAGTCTTCCGTGCCCCTGCTGACCCTTCACCGCTGCCTCGGCCATCTCGCACCGTCGTCCATACAGAAGATGGTTGCCGCTGGTTTGCTGGAAGGTCTCGGGGCCGGATATAGTGACGAAGAGGTAGAGAAGTTTGTCTGCAATGCTTGCCTCAGTGCAAAGGGCCATCGTCTTCCTTTTCCCGATTCGGACTCGCACTCCTCAGAGAGACTCGGCCTCGTACACAGCGATGTGCTTTCCTTTCCCGAGTCGTCCTTGACTGGCAAGCGTTACCTGGTCACGTTTCTTGACGACTTCTCGCGCAAACTGTGGGCATACGCGATCGGACACAAAAGCGAAGTCTTTGGCGTGTTCAAGACATGGCTTGCCGAGGTCGAACTCGAGACGGGTGCAAAACTGAAGGTCCTCCGAACCGACAATGGTGGCGAATACTGTTCGAGAGCGTTCACGGAATTCTGTAAGGCACGCGGCACACGTCGACAATACTCTATCCCTCGAACGCCTCAACAGAACGGTCGTGCCGAACGAGTCAATCGTTCTATCGTCGAAGGTGTCCTTGCCCTCCTTGCAGACGCCCACTTACCCAAATCATTCTGGGAGGAGGCAGCAGCTTATTTCGTCTACTGCAAGAACCTGTGCGAACACTCGGCCCTGGACAAGGCAACACCGAACTTCGCCTGGCAGGGCGACCGCACCAACGCCTCGGCGCTTCACCCGTTCGGCTGCACGGCTTGGCTCACAGTCGCGCCTGAACTTCGCTCGAAACTCGACCCGAAAGCGGTTCGCGTTCTCTTCACCGGCTATGACCTGGCTTCTAAAGCCTTCCGTTTCTACGACACGACGACCAAGAAGATCAGTTTGGGCAGAAATGCCAGGTTCCTCGACAACGAATTTCCCGGGTTACGTAGCGACTCCACCGAGCAAGACGCCGACACGCACTTCGCCAGCGCTTGCCCGACCACCGAATCCCAAGCCGTTGTCAAGACATGGACCCCACTAGTAAGGTCGGCGCACATGGACGTCTCATCCTCTCTTGATGACTCTGCCATGAGCGCCGTTGACGTGGCCCCAGGGTACACTGGCGGAACCTTACTTAATTCCACAGATGCCGAATCGTCCTCGTCACCGTCTCCTGAGCCGTCCTCGTCACCGTCGCCCGCAACTCCCTTGTCACCGTCGCCTGCGCTGTCACCGTCGTTGGCTGCGTCATCGTCACCCTCGGCCTTACCGACCGACTCTGACTACTCCGCCGACCCTCTGGACCTCATCGGCTCACAGACCCCGACTCGCCTCGGCCCACCGGACGTGCACCGCCCAGACTTCAGCACGTACCGTGAGCCCGCATCGGCTGAGGAGTCGCCCGACGAACTCGACATCATTGGGCGCCACTCGCGCGATGAATCGCCGGACGAAATCGATTTCCTCACCCAACACCACCGCGCCTTCATCGCCACCGACGACGACAACTCTGACACAGAAGCCATTCAACCAGTCAAGTCCATCACCAGCGACCCACAGACATGGCGCGAGGCAATGTCGAGTGACAAGCGCGAAGTGTGGGCCAAGGCCGCTACCGACGAGTTCAATTCCATGCGCGACGACTTCAAGGTCTTCACCATCGAGGACCGATCCACGGTACCAGCGGGTGCGACCATCGTCACATCCAAGTTCGTCTGGAAAACGAAACGGAATGCACTCGGCGAAGTCACCGGCCACAAGGCACGGCTCGTGGCGCAGGGAAATCGGCAACGCGACGGCATCGACTTCAACGAAACCTTCGCACCAGTCGCACGCTTCTCCTCGATACGCTCACTCCTCGCGCTGGCGGCCGCCAACGGCTTGCACGTGCACCAGGCGGACATCGACAAAGCCTATCTGCATGGCGACCTTGACCATGACATCTGGATGACGACACCGCGCGGCTTCGACCTTCCCACCGACAAGGTGCTTCGTCTGCGACGCTCCATCTACGGACTCAAACAGGCTGGCCGAATCTGGAATCGACACATCGACGCATCGCTTCGAGATCTCGGCTATACGGCGACGGGCACCGACCACTGCGTGTACTCTCGGATCGACGATCGGCGACGCCCACACTACATCGCGCTGTACGTCGACGACCTCCTGATGATCAGCCCCGACTTGGCCGAAATTGAACGTGTCATCTCGGGCCTCGAACAACGCTACGGCGTCAAGCGCCTCGGCCCGGCAGAGTACATCCTCGGCATCCAGATCAGGCGACTCGAAGACGGTTCTATTGCCCTGTCCCAGGAACGGTACATCATGGACGTGCTTGCTCGGTTCCACTTTGACACCACGACTCGCGGCACTACAGTCCCGATGACCCCCGGCCTTTCGCTCACCGCCATCCCGGGTCAAGGCACCGAACGGATCAGGTCATGGTATCTGCAGGCTATCGGCTCGCTCCTCTACATTTCGCTCGGTACCCGCCCTGACATCGCCTTCGCCGTGTCCTACCTGGCCCGCTTCGCCAACAACCCCGGTCGTCGTCATTGGATTGCGGTCAAGCACATCCTACGCTATCTCCGGGCCACGTATCGCAACGAACTCGTGTATGCTCGCGGCCAGGCTCGCATCACGGGTGTGGTAGGCTACTCCGACGCGAACTGGGGGGCCTGCATCGACACATCGGTGTCCACCATGGGCTACGTCTTCTACATCGCTGGCTCGGCCGTGTCCTGGTCGTCCAAACGCCAGTCTCGAGTTGCCGATTCGACCACCGACGCTGAATACCTCGCCCTCTCGCATGCTGGCAAGGAAGGGATTTACCTCAGTCAGCTGCTCGAGGAGCTCCATGTCCAACCTGTTGCACCGGCTCACATTTTTACTGACAATGAAGCCGCTGCCGCAGTTGCCCACGACCCTGTCCGCGTCTCCGGCACTCGACACATACGCTTGCGCGAGCACTTTGTTCGGGACATGGTGAATCGGGGCGATATCTCACTCTCGCATGTGGGAACCAGCAACATGGTGGCCGACATCTTCACAAAGGCTCTTGGCCCAAAGATTTTCTCGACACACTGCTACGCACTAGGCCTTCGCACTCGACACCCACGGCTTGGATCTGCCTCGCATTCGCGTGGGGGGGGGTGTGAAGAGTCCACTCTCAGCTCGACAGGGGCGCCTCGGTCGTTGCGCGCGCCTGCTAGCCTGGCCCCTGTGGTGGGGACTTAGGCGCGCGCGAGTGCCTCAGCGCGCCGGCGCCGGCGGTTTTCGGGCGCGCGCCGCTAGCCCGCCCTTGCAGTGGGGACTTAGCCGCGCGCGACTGCCTCAGCGCTCCAGCGATTTCGCCCGCGCCTGGGCATATCCCAGCGCGGGCCCCCTTTCCATTTCTTAGCTTCCTTCTCATCACTTCTGTTCGACTCTCGACTTCTCCTGACAGTAGTGGTGATCATCTCATAGGTACGCTGAAATAGATCACTTCTGTTCGACTCTCGACTTCTCCTGACAGTAGTGGTGATCATCTCATACGTCGTGGCCCCTCCCTCGCTTCCCAGTGCGCTCAGAGCGTTCGAGCGAGATTTTCTCTCTCGAGCGGGTTTTGTGCCTGGGGTTCGAGATTGGGAGGTGTGATGACCGAGTTAAGTCCTTCCTTCCCATTTTCCTCCCCTCCTTTCCTCCCTTCCTTTTCGGTCAGAAGCTGACTGTCTTGAAACTTGTTGCGCAGTGGAAGGCTGCGCACTTCTCCCTCTCTCTACTTTGTGCAGTAGTGGTTTTCGTTCTTGGATGGATCGGCAAGCCGGGTCGATCGTCGTTGCGTTGGAGGCTTTGTGAAGTTCTCCCCTCTCTTTCCCCTTTCTCCCTTCCCTTCCTCTTCTCGTTCCTGTTGCTCGGTTGTTGACTACGCTTCAGCCACTTCTCCTTTTATTCCTAAGCCGTGTGTTGGATTCCGTCGAATAGATCGTTCGTTCGCGTTGGTCAAGATCTACGGCATGGATCGGGAAGAAAGGTCACTCGTTTTTTTGGTCAATATCCTCGCGTCAAGGCGAGGCTTGTTTCGTTGTATTGGATCGTTTTCGCTCGGCCCCGACGGCTCAACAGCCAGCACTCGAGACTCAGCCAAGGGAGGACATCAGGCGCTGTCGGGGTGACGAGTAGCTGGGGCTTGGCTGCGGCCTGTCAGTCCCTGGGGACCTCTAGCTCTGGCTTCGACCCCCTCCCTTGGCCCCTCGGGTGTGTTCCCCTCCTCCTCCCCTCCTCTCTGTCTTAGTATTCCTGGTTCTCCGTGTTTCCAGTCGTGAATTTTTGTGTATTCTCCCCTTTTCTTTCTCTAGGTGCTCTTGCCTGGTTTTCGAGTATCTTCGCTCCCGCTCTTGGGACGTGAAGCGGCAGCAGTACTCACCGCCCGTTGGAGTCCGCGTTAGGTGCTCGGCGGGTTTTGATCTGCGCAGGGGTTTGACTTTCACCCAATTGCTTGCCGTCGTTGCTTTATAACCTCTTTTAGCTCTTTTTGTAGCGGTCCCAGCCAACCTGAAGGATTGCAATTTATGAGCCCCAGTAAAATAAATATAAAAAAAATGGCTGTGGGGTGGGCCTTCTGTCGTTAGTACATTTCTTTTCTTTCTCTTCATCTCTCTTTCACACTCTCATTCGTCTCCTGGGGGGGAGCAACCGCTTGGCTAGGGCATTTGAATCCGAATCTCGGATTGGTGGACTTGGCTCGTTTCTCGCACTTTTGCGGGCGGTTTGTGTTATCATCGTAGTCTTCCATCTAGTTTTTCCGTAGGCCGAAACAGGGGGAACAGGAATTGGGGGCAATATGATGAACGTTTTCTACAAAAAAAAAAATCCTTCGAGTATTGATGGCAGTGCAGGCTGTGATCCTGACACCCACACCCCGTCACCTCCTTCCACCAAACGCACCAGCGGCCTTCCCCAAGGACTCCAAGCTGAAAGGGGACAACTATGTCGACTGGGACCTCACCATGTCACTTACTGTCGCTCGGGAGGTTTGTGCCTACTTGCGCCGAGGGATGATCTGTGAAGAGTCCACTCTCAGCTCGACAGGGGCGCCTCGGTCGTTGCGCGCACTTGCTAGCCCGCCCCCGGCGGTGGGGACTTAGACGCGCGCGACTGCCTCAGCGCGCCAGCGCCGGCGGATTCATGCGCGCGCCCGCTAGCCCGCCCCCTTGCGGTGGGGACTTAGGCGCGCCGGCGATTTCACCCGCGGCTGACTTAGGGATGTACATTGTCACGCGCCTGGGACTATCCCAGCGTGGCCCCCCCCTTTCTGTTTCTTAGCTTCCTTCTCATCACTTCTGTTCGACTCTCAACCTCTCCTGACAGTAGTGGTGAACGTCTCATAGGTACGCTGAAATAGATCACTTCTGTTCGACTCTCAACCTCTCCTGACAGTAGTGGTGAACGTCTCATAGGTTATAAGCCCACGAGCCACCAGCTGGCATGACCACGACACCACCCCTCGCGACGGGTGCCAACCCTCCGATTCCCGCCGAACAGCTCGCCGCACTTACATCGCTGCTGTCGGGTCTCACCGCTGCCGCTTCCGGCACTGCCACACCCGCCACGACGTCCGGCACCACTCGCACTGCCTTTCCAAAGCACGCACGCTTGGATGGTGCGAAGACCTTCGCGAACTGGACACGCCAACTTCGCCTGTGCCTAGCGGACGACATCCGCTCGTACGTCCTCGACGGTATCGCACCCGACGACTGGACACCTTCGCAACGCTCCGCTCGCGACGCCGTCGCTCGTGAGGTCCTTGCGAATTCGATTGACTCGGCCGAAGTCTCGGCAGTCCTCGACAAAATCCCTACCGCCGACCTGACAGCGCCGACAATCTACTCGACGCTGAAATCGCGGTACGCCCCTGACGACGCCACCCGCACGCTCGAGCTCTTCTCACGACTCTGGGGTTTCCGTCCCATGCCCGGCACGGTTGCCGAATTCGACGGGTGGATCATGGACTTCAAAGCCGTTGCGCAAGAGATCATCGACACAAAGACAACTATCAATGATGTTCTCGCCACACTCCTCCTTGCAATCGCCCACCCGTCCCTCGAGAGCTTCAAGGCGTCGTTCACCGATGAACAGCGCACGCAACGAACTCTCCCCGACATTGATTCGCTTGCCGACCGTATGCGAGTCCAACTTCGGTCAACGAACATCCCCAGCACTCAATCGGCCCTTCTTGCCTCGTCGTCGTCACGTTCTACTCGTCTCAAGTGTCTCGCCTGTCGCAGCCCTTCGCACCGAGTCGCGGAGTGCCCTACGAGGGCGCAACACCCGCCGCCAGGACCCTGTCGCTCCTGCAAGAAGAAGGATCACTGGTCTCTCGACTGCAAGAAGGCGCTCGAGGACGGCAAAAAGCCCGACACCGCTGACTCGACCGTCGACTCGCAACACCATGTCGGATGTCTCGCCACCGGTCTTCTCGCTCGTCGTCGCCAGCTTCGCAACCACTCTTTTGTCGTCGACTCGGGCGCCACTTCGCACATGGTCTCGGACAAGTCGCTGTTCACGACCTATCGCCATATCGCTCCTACGAAGATTGGTGGTATTGCAGGGGGCATCAACGCCATCGGAACGGGAAACATCGCCTTCATTGCCGCCTCGGGTCATCCGATCACGCTTACCGGCGTGCTGCACACTCCGGGCCTGTTTGTCAATCTTCTCTCGGTCTCTCGACTTTGCGACACCGACGATGTCCGTGTCGCCTTCACAAAACACGGCATCCACATTGACAAGGACGGCAACGACATCGCTGAAGGCGCACGACTCGACGAAGGGCTCTACTTGCTGGACGCTGATCATTCCAAATGTCAGCACCTTGCTCTCCTTTCTCGCTCACAGTCGTCCGTGCCCCTGCTGACTCTCCATCGCTGCCTCGGCCATCTCGCACCGTCCTCCATACAGAAGATGGTTGCCGCTGGTTTGCTGGAGGGTCTCAGGGCCGGATATAGTGACGAAGAGGTAGAGAAGTTTGTCTGCAATGCTTGCCTCAGCGCAAAGGGCCATCGTCTTCCCTTTCCCGATTCGGATTCGCACTCCTCAGAGAGACTCGGCCTTGTACACAGCGATGTGCTTTCCTTCCCCGAGCGGTCCTTGACTGGCAAACGTTACCTGGTCACATTCCTTGACGATTACTCGCGCAAACTCTGGGCCTACGCAATCGGACACAAAAGCGAAGTCTTCGGCATATTCAAAACTTGGCTAGCCGAGGTTGAACTCGAGACGGGTGCGACGCTGAAGGTCCTCCGAACCGACAACGGTGGCGAATACTGTTCGAGAGCGTTCACAGAGTTCTGCAAGACACGAGGCACCCGTCGACAATACTCTATCCCACGCACGCCTCAACAGAACGGTCGTGCAGAGCGGGTCAATCGTTCCATTGTCGAAGGCGTCCTTGCCCTCCTTGTCGACGCCCACCTACCCAAGACATTCTGGGAGGAGGCTGCAGCTTATTTCGTTTACTGCAAGAACCTGTGTCAACACGCGGCCCTGGACAAGGCAACACCAAACTCCGTCTGGCAGGGTGACCACACCACTGCCTCGGCGCTTCACCCGTTCGGCTGTACAGCTTGGCTTACGGTCGCGCCCGAACTTCGCTCCAAACTCGACCCGAAGGCGGTTCGCGTTTTTTTCACCGGCTACGACCTGGCTTCAAAAGCCTTTCGCTTCTACGACACTACAACACAGAAGATTATACTTGGCAGAAATGCCACGTTCCTCGACACTGAATTCCCCGGATTACATGGCGACCCCACTGAGCAAGACGGCGACACGCACTTCGCCAGCGCTCCCACCACCGAATCTCAAACCGTTGTCAAGACATGGACCCCACTAGTAAGGTCGGCGCACATGGACGTCTCATCCCCCCTTGATGATTCTGCCATGAGCGCCGTTGACGTGGCCCCAGGGTACACTGGCGGAACCTTACTTAACTTCACAGATGCCGAATCGTCCTCGTCACCGTCGCCTGCGTCGCCCTCATCACCGTCGTCTGCGCCATCGCCTGCACTTTCACCATCGTCGGCTGCGTCATCGTCACCCTCGGCCTTACCGACCGACTCTGAAGACTCCGCCGATCCCCTCGACCTCCTCGGCTCACAGCCCCAGGTTCGCCTCGATCTACAGGACGTGCACCACCCAGACTTCAGCACGTACCGCGAGCCCGCATCGGCTGAGGAGTCGCCCGACGAACTCGACCTCATTGGGCGCCACTCTCGCGACGAATCTCCGGACGAAATCGATTTCCTCACCCGACACCACCGCGCCTTCATCGCCATCGACGACGACACCTCTGACACAGAGGCAATTCAGCCAGTCAAGTCCATCACGAGCGACCCACAGACCTGGCGCGAGGCGATGTCTAGCGACAAGCGTGAAGTATGGGCCAAAGCCGCCACCGACGAGTTCACCTCCATGCGCGACGACTTCAAGGTCTTCACCATCGAGGACCGAGCCACGGTGCCCGCGGGTGCGACTATCGTTACATCCAAGTTCGTCTGGAAAACGAAACGGAACGCACTCGGCGAAGTCACTGGACACAAGGCAAGGCTGGTCGCGCAAGGCAATCGGCAACGCGACGGCATCGACTTCAACGAAACGTTCGCACCGGTCGCACGCTTCTCCTCGATACGCTCACTCCTCGCGCTGGCGGCCGCCAACGGCTTGCACGTGCACCAGGCGGACATCGACAAAGCATATCTGCATGGCGACCTTGACCACGACATCTGGATGACGGCACCGCGCGGCTTCGACCTTCCCAGCGACAAGGTGCTTCGCCTGCGACGCTCCATCTACGGGCTCAAACAGGCTGGCCGAATCTGGAATCGACACATCGACGCTTCGCTTCGGGCCCTCGGTTACACGGCGACGGGCACCGACCACTGCGTATACTCTTGGCTCGATGATCGTCAATGTCCACACTACATCGCACTGTACGTCGACGACCTCCTGATGATCAGCCCGGAACTGGCCGAAATCGAACGTGTCATCTCAGGCCTGGACCAACGCTACGGAGTCAAGCGCCTCGGCCCGGCCGAGTATATCCTCGGCATCCAGATCAGGCGGTTCGACGACGGCTCTATCGCCCTATCCCAGGAACGGTACATCATGGACGTGCTCGCTCGGTTCCACTTCGACACCACGACTCGCGGCACTACAGTTCCGATGACTCCCGGCCTTTCGCTCACTGCTATCCCGGGTCAAGGCACCGAACGGATCAGGTCATGGTATCTGCAGGCTATCGGCTCGCTCCTCTACATTTCGCTCGGTACCCGCCCTGACATCGCCTTCGCCGTGTCCTACCTGGCCCGCTTCGCCAACAACCCCGGTCGTCGTCATTGGATTGCGGTCAAGCACATCCTACGCTATCTCCGGGCCACGTATCGCAACGAACTCGTGTATGCTCGCGGCCAGGCTCGCATCACGGGTGTGGTAGGCTACTCCGACGCGAACTGGGGGGCCTGCATCGACACATCGGTGTCCACCATGGGCTACGTCTTCTACATCGCTGGCTCGGCCGTGTCCTGGTCGTCCAAACGCCAGTCTCGAGTTGCCGATTCGACCACCGACGCTGAATACCTCGCCCTCTCGCATGCTGGCAAGGAAGGGATTTACCTCAGTCAGCTGCTCGAAGAGCTCCATGTACAACCTGTTGCACCGGCTCACATCTTTACTGACAACGAAGCCGCTGCTGCAGTTGCTCACGATCCTGTCCGCGTCTCTGGCACTCGGCACATACGCTTGCGTGAGCACTTCGTTCGGGACATGGTGAATCGGGGCGACATCTCTCTCTCGCATGTGGGTACCAGCGACATGGTGGCCGACATCTTCACCAAGGCTCTCGGCCCAAAGGTCTTCTCAACGCACTGCTACGCCCTCGGCCTTCGCACTCGACACCCGCGGCTTGGGTCTGCCTCGCATTCGCGTGGGGGGGGGTGTGAAGAGTCCACTCTCAGCTCGACAGGGGCGCCTCGGTCGTTGCGCGCACTTGCTAGCCCGCCCCCGGCGGTGGGGACTTAGACGCGCGCGACTGCCTCAGCGCGCCAGCGCCGGCGGATTCATGCGCGCGCCCGCTAGCCCGCCCCCTTGCGGTGGGGACTTAGGCGCGCCGGCGATTTCACCCGCGGCTGACTTAGGGATGTACATTGTCACGCGCCTGGGACTATCCCAGCGTGGCCCCCCCCTTTCTGTTTCTTAGCTTCCTTCTCATCACTTCTGTTCGACTCTCAACCTCTCCTGACAGTAGTGGTGAACGTCTCATAGGTACGCTGAAATAGATCACTTCTGTTCGACTCTCAACCTCTCCTGACAGTAGTGGTGAACGTCTCATATGATCGACCCCACGTGGACTCCCACAGTGCGCTCGCGCTGGCAAGACTACGCATTGCATGTACTCGCGGGCTCACTTACGCCTGCCACGAAGGCCACGATTGGCCCGGTAGCAGGGGGGATCTGCCCACGACTGCTGGCTCGCCCTAGCCGCTTGCTACGCACCAAGCGATGCTCAAGGGCACTTGACCCTGATCAAGGACTACTTCGGCATGCCACAATGCCCATCCACTTGGGAAGGTTTCATCGGCTGGTCGAATCGAGCATTGGTCCTCATCAACCACCTTCGAATGGCCCAGCTCGATATAGAACAGGCGATGGCGGCCCGCGCGATCGACAACCTGCCGCCCATGTTCGACGGCTGGCGTACCACATTCTACGCGCTTCAGGCCGACAAAACCAAGCTCCCCAGGGCTGAGGATATCTTCGCATCCATGGAGGCCGTTGCTCGAACCTCGCGCGACCTGTCAGGATCACAGCCTGCACTGCCATCAATACTCGAAGGAAGTCTCCCAAGTTTGCGGCCGGAGTCGACATCAGCTACCGGTTCGTTCATTGCAAGCATTGTGGGCGCGATGTCGTAGTTGTGAGGGCGCGCGGGCGCCCTCAGTGGTCGAGGGTTCGATCCGCCCGGAGCGCGATCGGCCTTTTGGTTTCTTTTCCTTTTTGTTATCCGAGGCCCGGCTTCGGGGTTTTTACCGGTGCCTTGCGGGCAATCCTTTTTACCCCTGAAGCGACCTCGTGGTGTAGTTATTTGACTCAGTCTTTCTTTCGCTCGGAGCACTTCCCTCCCTTTGCTTTTGCCACCCTTCCCCCAGAGCTTGGTCCACTCATTATCATGACTCGTACCCTCCCTCTTTTTACCCATTTCGCTGGCAATTAAGTCCGTTACACTTGATTTGCTGCGAAGCCTTCCGACCGAATCCACTCCTCGGTCGCTCTCGGTCGACTGCCGCCGCCTCGGTCGACACCCCTTTCGCTTCTTCGCGCTTTCGCGCACTCTCTCGCTCTCTCCCTCGTCTCTCGCATGTAGTCATCGTCATCCCCTCCGACGTTGCCTGTCACGACCAGTCTGCCCCAGCCCTCGTCGCGAAGGCGGTCGTTTTGACAAAGAGCGCAGCACCTGGCAGGAAGGGGAAATGGGACCGATCTGGACCTGCTCCCAGCAACTGCCCAGTCTGCGGCCAAGGGAAGCATTGGGCGGACAAGTGTCCTGACTGTTGAATTGCATTCTGTCAAGCCTTCGAACACTTCGACATCGGACCGCCGTTTGACGGACTTGCCCGCCTTTCGCCTCGGCGCCTCGCCTCGGCGCCTCGCCTCCGCGCGCCTTCGCCTTCGCACGCCCTCGCATGGCGCTGTCTGTCTTGTCAGTGCACCTTCACTGGCCCGTGTTCTTCGTCTCCGTCCGAGTGCCCCTGTCAACGCCCTCGTACCTTTGACTGCCGCTTGGTCGCCCATTGCGCCCAAGGCCGCCCTTTCGCCTTTGCTTCCGCGCCAGCCTGCTCAACTCACGCTCGCGCGCCGCCGCCCTCACGCCCGGACTTAGTCAGCCCGCATTCTCCAGCTTTGCCGAGTCGATGCTTCCGCCCAGCTACCTCCAGTTCGCCGCCGCCGCTCTCATGATTCATCGGCCATCCAGAGCATCGCCCATGCATGACGCCCGTCGTTTGCAACCTGGATCTCGTCGCTGCGGATCACCTCGCTCATCAACACTTGACCTTGTGGATAAGTTTCCCTTCGTGCTGTCGTCCAACACGACACCTCTCGACGCCCTGATGGCCCGCTTGGAGTCTGGTCCTTGAAGCTTTGCATTGTGTGCCTGCCCAGTTAGATTCTCTGTGCGCTCCCTTGCTAGAACCTCGCCCGACTCGCGCGCTCCCGCGCCTCTTTCCCTTTTCTCTATCGTTTCATCTCATCATTCAGACTGCTGAGATTCGCTAGAGAACAGATCGCTCGGCTGCGCCGCGGCTGCCTCTCCAGGCCGCGTCTTCACCGCCTCGCGACTTCTCGACCGGGGAGCACTTTGCTACGTCGTCCTGCCTCGCAACCTCCCGAAACGATCCGGTCCGTGCCGCCTCACGATTCTCCAGCGACCCCCTGGTCCCAACTTAACACTGACTTGGTCAAGCACACGAAGTACTTCGAGCTCAAGAACACCATGAAGGAACTCAAGGGCACATCGCTGGCTCCCGCCTCCGCCTTTGTCGCCACCGTCGAAGCTGTCCACCAAGGTGCGCTACCCGCTCTCGCCGCCACCAAGTCCAGTAGGCTCCCTTTACTTACCCTTCACCGCCGCTACGGCCATGCTTCCGTCCAGACACTTAAAAAGCTGGCGGCCTCTGGCCAGGTGAAGGGTTTGGATTGGTCCTATAGTGATTCTGAGTGTAGGGACTTCTCTTGCAACGCGTGCCTCGCTTCCAAAGCCCACCGCTCGCCTTTCCCTTCGTCGTTGTTGCATGCCACCGAACCGTTGGCGTTGGTGCACTCGGACGTCTTGTCGTTCCCCGAGGAATCCGCCTCGAACAAACGCTACCTTGTCACGTTTATCGACGACTACTTGCGCAAAGTTTGGGGTTACCCCATAGGGCACAAGAGCGAGGTCCTGCAAATGTTCAAGGACTGGCTTTTGGAGATCAAAAACACCACTGGGCGCCGAGTCAAAACCCTACGCTCCGACAATGGAGGCAAATACATCTCTACCGCCTTCAACGGTTTTTGCGTGGCGCGCGGAATTCGTCGCGAGTTGACCATCCCTTACACCCCTGAGCAGAACGGTTGAGCGGAGCGCGTCAACTTGTCGATCGTGGAAGGCACTTTGGCTCTCCTGTCCCACTCAGGACTACCACGATCGTGCTGGGACGAGGCGGCCATGTGTTACATCCACGCCAAGAACCTCTCACCCCACGCAGCTCTGGGCGGGGCCATCCCCAACACTTGATGGTCGGGCGGTGTTCCAGACGTAGCGGCTCTCAGGGTTTTCGGTTGCCGCGCGTGGGCCACAGTGCCTACCCACCGGCGCGACAAACTCAATGCAAAAGGCATCCCGATGGTCTTCGTCGGCTACGATAGGCACGCCAAAGCCTATCGTCTCCTCAATCCCTCCTTGTTGCGAGTCTGCCTGAGTCGAGATGTGTCCTTTCTTGAAACCGAGTTCCCCTTCTCCTCCACGCCCGCTCACGCCGCGCCGCCATCGATCCCGGGTTACAGCCGCGCTAGTCCATCTATTGTCGAACCTACACCGCCAGTCGTTGACTCTAGACCAGTCGAGGCTCCATTGGCACCGGCACCGGCACCCGTGGAAGTTCCAGCACCACAGGCAACGAACACGTCAAAAGCTCCCTCACCACCAGCAACAATTGCATCGGAAAACAATGACGACCCTGCCTCGGTCGCGGACGCAAACATGACGCAACCACCTCCGGCTCCCGCCCCACTTGCCAAAGCCAAGCCGACTTGGGAATATGGCGATGTCGCGAAGGTTGGTCCAGATCCAGGGAAGTACGGCGAAGTCAACGCTAGTAACATCATTGAAGGCCCCAGGACTCGTCGCAAGCTCGTTCCCACATTAATCACGCAAGACCAGCCAGAAAGCGGTCCCGATGGACCCACCGACTCCTTTAAAAGCCTTCTCCTCGCCTTCGCAGCCATCAAGGAGGGCTTTGCCGATCACGACTTGGCAGTGGTTCGCGACCTGTCGAATTGGGGCAACGTCATTCAATCGGGACAAGAAGAGCTTTGGCGGGCTCCAGCGCAGGACGAATTCAATTCACTTCTCAATGATTACAAAGTCTTCAAGATCATTGACTCCTGCGAGCTCCCCTCAGGCGAGATCCTCTTGCGATTGGGCTGGGTATTCCGGACTAAGCGCAACCAGCACGGGGACATCACCGATCACAAAGCCAGACTCGTAGCTCACGGATGCGCTCAACGTCCCGGCCTCGACTTTGAACAGACCTACACCCCCGTCGTCAAATTCACGTCCATTTGTGCCCTCATTGCACTTGCCGCAGCCAACAGATATCACGTCCATCAAGCCGACGTCAACAAGGTGTACCTACATGGCAAACTGGACAAACCTCTCTACATGCGCATCCCTCAGGGCATTGACCTGCCCGGTAAGATCCTCAAGCTGTCCAAATCTATCTATGGCCTTTGCTAGGCCGGCACAATCTGGAACACCGAGATCGACTCGACTCTGCGGTCTCTTGGCTATGTCCCTACCAAGTCTGATATCTGCATCTACCGCCAAGAACACAACGGGAAATCCCATTACATTGCCTTGTACGTCGACAACTTGCTGTTGGTAGGGCCCTCAATTGCCAAGATCGACCGGGTGCTCGACGCGTTGGAACTCACCTATGGCGTCAAACGTCTCGGACCTGCCGAATACATCCTAGGCATCCAAGTCAAGCGTGGACAAGACGGATCCATCACACTGTCGCAGGAACGCTACCTTCGGGACATCCTCGCTAGGTTCCAATTTGCCGACGCCAAGCCCGCAAGTATTCCAATGCAGCCGGGTGTCGTCCTTGACTTCTAGGATTCAGCTGCCACTCCTCAGGACCGTACGCGCTATTTGCAGGCCATTGGTTCGTTGATGTACGCCGCAGTCGGGACTCGCCCCAATCTTGCCTTCGTGGTCAGCTACCTTGCTCGCTTCTCTCAACAGCCAGGTCCCGCGCATTGGACAGCAATCAAGCAGGTCCTTCGCTACATCAAAGGCACTCTGGACTTGGGTCTCACCTACAGCAAGACCAGCAAAGAGTTCCATGGCTACTCGGATGTGAATTGGGGAGCCTGTCTGACCACCTCGAGATCAACCATGGGCTACGCGTTCATCTACTCCGGAGCCGTGATCGCCTGGTGCTCAAAACGCGAGCACAGGGTGGCCAAGTCGACCACAGACGCTGAGTACCTATCCCTTTCATACACAAGTGGTGATGCCATGATGGCCACCTCAGCAAACTCCTGGCTGAACTCGGTGCCCCGGTCTCCGGCCCAGTCGTGCTCTACGGCGACAATCAAGGTTCGCTGGCTCTTGCACAACATCCAACCAACCATCAGGGGTCCCGTCACGTTCGTATTTCGGAGCATTACGTCCGTGAGAGGGTTGCTGAGAAGGAGATCGAGGTCCGCTACATCGACACCGGCAACATGTTTGCCAACATCTTCACCAAAGCCTTGGGTCCCAAGCTGTTCCTATTTCATCGGGAAAACTTGGGTTTACGGAGTGCAGTGGTATGACAGCACAGGGGGGTGTCAGAGAGTATATTACTGTTTCATCCCACTTGGATTCCCAAATATGATTAGTTACTAGTTGTTGGTATTGGTCGCCTCGTGCGCGCTTCCGTAGCTCTTCTCTCCTTTCTCCAACTATCTTTACTATCATCTTCGGCTCTCATACTCACGTATCTCGTGGGGCTTCAGGGTTCTAAAATATTTCATGGCAGATGTTGTGACAATTGATGTCAGCATAGTAACGGAGATCACAGAGGCGATCCTTAGTAATCGAGCTATTACCATTGACCTGCACTCGTTGTGCAGTTCAATGATCGTGGTCGACCAAAGTTTAAAGTTGGCTCCGACATGATCCTTATCGGCGACTCCTGAACTTGCCTTATCTGAAGGTATCGCTCAGCCTGTATTCCAAGTTTCGCTACTTGCTATTTCATCGGTCTGACCATCTTCAAGAATGCTTTGGGGCGTTGTAGGCGGTCGACGGCGGACCTCGGGAGCCTGACGTCGGTGCGCTCGTGATGCTAGATTGATGGCGGTCTTGCTCGATCGATGGCTCATGTAGGTAGATGAGCATTGAATAGCAGCCCGACTCCGTGTCTTTGTCAACCTAAAGTGTAAGATGTGCTAGTTCAGTGTTTCGCTCAGGTGTGCTGTTTGCGACAAATTGTTTTGATTGGCTTTGTGTAAGGCGCCGCTCCGCTTACGCCTCACGACGACCTCGAGCCAACTCTGCGGCCTCACGCTTGCCCTCGCATGCGGCGCCGCCGCGTCTCTTGACCTTAGTCCTTTTAGTAGTCTTTCTTCGCCTGCGAATTACACCGTTTGATCCTTTCTGTTTGGACTCGGAACCAGCATAGATCAGGACAGGTAGGGGCTGAGAAAGAGCTCGATGTGATTGTCGCGCCGCGGGCAACACGTGACTTCTGCTAACTTCCCGTGGGCCAATGCCAACTTCCCCCACGCCTCTGCTAACTTCGCCAACTTCATTGCCTAAGCGGGCCTCAAGCGCGCGCGCGCGCCTGAAGTTAGCGAAGTTAGCACTCCCTGGACACCGCCATCTGGGCCCATACCCGGGTGGGAGGGCTGGGAGGAAAAAAAAAGGGAAAGGAAGGAGAAGGAACGAAAAAGATAAGTGGTACATGATATACAATTGCAATAGGAATAAGAGTGTCTTCACAATGTCACAGCGGTTTATGATTATGACACTTCTTCTTATACCGAGCTCGACCACCCATCTCAGCCGTTGTCAGGATCACAGCCTGCACTGCCATCAATACTTGAAGGAATTTTTTTTTTTTGGTAGAAAACGTTCATCATATTGCCCCCAATTCCTGTTCCCCCTGTTTCGGCCTACGGAAAAACTAGATGGAAGACTACGATGATAACACAAACCGCCCGCAAAAGTGCGAGTCCACCAATCCGAGATTCGGATTCAAATGCCCTAGCCAAGCGGTTGCTCCCCCCCAGGAGACGAATGAGAGAGAGAAAGAGAAAGAAAAGAAATGTACTAACGACAGAAGGCCCACCCCACAGCCACTTCCCACTCGGTCGAGACGAAGACAAGAGCACGACTGCGCAACCACCACGACCCTCGACGCTCCAAGTCTCTGCTCAGTCACAACAAGACGCGGTGAAGGTCCCTCAAAACCTCCCCCTCGGCAGTCCCTGGCCCCTCAAAGCCGACTTTCTGCCTGTGTCCGCTGATCCCTCCCTTGACTCAGAACCCCGAAGCCAAAGAGCGCGAGCCACACCGAGTCGACGCCAAATCGCGAGATGGTCCATGATCCGCAACGGTGAACCTGTAACAAAAGAAAGAGGAAAGCGAGCTATTTAGTGTACAGTAGGAGAAAATGATGTCACGAGAATTTGGTGTGTGTGTGTGTGGTGGGGGGGGAAAGTCGAACCCAGCCTCTACTGCCCTCTCCTCCCCCAAGCTCCTCCCGCCCTCAGCTTCAACCTCTCCTCCAAGATGATCCTCCTCCTCCCAACACCCTCCAGCCTCGTCCCCCACTTCTGCATCCCCCACCTCCCGCTGCTGATCATCTCCAAGACCAGCCCGGTGAATATTTCGATCGTCCTCCCCGCTCCTTCCTGATCGCGCAGACTGGCCTTGAGCTTCGGAAGTCCGAACATGCGTTGAACGGCCGTGTAATGCGTGTTGTCGATCGTGTCGAGCCCCAGTGCGTCGCAGAGCACGCCCCTTGCCGCGATCCAAACATTCCTAGAGTCAACGCAGTCGAAGAAGTAGTGCTCCCGATCGTCCTTGGGTGCTCCACAGACGAGGCACGCGGGCGAGTCGTCGTGCTTTTGATGAAACTGCAGACTCCGAGTCGGGGTGAAGTTCCTGACGAGCTTGAACCACACCTCGCGTTCCCTCGCCGTCAATGCCTTCGAGTTGACCCCCTTCCAGAATCCCTTGAGATCGTCGGGCTGCAGCGAGTCCCTGAAACCGATCGTGTCGGTGAAGGCCTTTGCATTCAAGACTCGGCGGACGCGACGGATGGTGTATGGCCGATCCATGCTGAGCAAGTTGTATTGTGTTGATTGGTCTGGGAGAGCCGGTCTCGGAAGGCGCTGCGGCGGGTCGATCGGATGGGGCAGGATCGACTCGAGCGGCGTGGTGGGGCGGACTCGGGGAGGCCCGTTGATTCGTACTGCCGCCACCGGTTGAGCTATTGGTGTGAACCTCAATCGATTGATCGCATGTCGGTACCATGCCACGATGTGCTCTCGTTGTGGGCGGCCCCGTTGATCGTATTCGCTGTTGCTGACGACCACATCCGTCGGCGGCGTCCAGAGATGAAAGCCCCCGCCCGGGTACAGCTCGCGTCGAAACAGGTCCGCTACCTTGGCGTAAATGGCAAACGCAGCATAGTCGGCGTCGTAGGGTGGTCGCGACACAGCTGGTGCTCCCGGTAGGTAGTGAAGGGTGTGCAACTTGATCGGAAGAGCGAGAAGGTTCGCGAGTGTCAACGTCCTCGGCTTGACTTGCGCATTGTGCGTCGATGGTACCTTCAGCACGGCCTGCCATCTTGGGTGTAGATCGGTTCGGATCGGAGTGTAGTCGCAAGGCCACGCATCGGTTGCCAAGTCAAAGTCGGGGGCGGGATGGGCTCGTACAATCGCCACGCGCGCAAGTCCCTGCCAGATCGCATCCGAACCGCCAAGAAGCACGTCCCAGACGCGTGCCGCAACCGAGTCGACGACATCCTGCATCCGCATGACCCCAAGACCCCCCTTGAACCTCGGTGTGAAGACGACGTCCTTGCCATAGCACGACCTCCTCTTGCCGCCGCGGACAAAGTCGGCGAGAATGCGATCAAGCTCCTTGACGACCTCGAGCGGTGGGATGTCGGCGGAGAGGATGTGCAGAATCTTGGGAATGGCGTATCGGTTGACGTAGAACGCTCGGGTGTGGTGTGTGAGCACTCGGTCCCGTGCCGAATCGAGCACCGCTTCGAGCCGTGCGACAAGATTCACGTTGGCGAGTTCGGTGTTGCCGGTGGGGTCGAAAGATAGGCCGATCCACTCGAGCGACTCACCCTCGGCCTTGACGACGAGCGGACGATCGCCAGCCTCCCAGCGACACCCGATGGGTAGTATGACGGTCTTGTCGGTGTTGAGCTGGCCATTGGTTGCGAGCCTCCAGTCGAGCGCCAGGTCGTCGAGCAAGTTGAGTGACTCCGAGCCCGCGACGGCGACGACGACGTCATCGGCAAACGCAAGGGATGTAATGGCGCGGCTCTGTGGGTAGGGGTGAATGGTAGGAAGCGAGAGGTTCAGCGCGATGCCTCGACGGTGCAGAGCATCCTCAGAACGCGTTGGAAGGCGGCAGGAGCGCCGAGAGCGTCGAAGATGGTGAAGATCCATTCGTGCTCGACGAGGTCGTAAGCCGACGATTGGTCAAGAGACAAGAGCGCCGCATCAGGGAACTCGGTGCCGCGCGCGCCCAGCTCCTCGATCAAGAGTCGCAGGTGGAATGACGCGTCCGCCGATCGGCGGCCCTTGACGAAGCCGTGCTGTTGCGGTGGGAGCAGGTCCGGCAGCACGTGGTTGAGTCGTGCAACGTAGACCTTGGTGAAGAGCTTGTAGTCGCACTCGTGCAAGGTGATGGGCCGGTACGACGAGAGCTCGGCGCGATCGGCCCCGATCTTGTGGTGCTTGAAGAGCAGGCGAGCGAGTCCTTGCCCCTGCTTCGGTGAAAGCGAGCCGCGCTCGGTCATCGCGTTGAAGGCCCTGCTCAGCGCCTTGGCCCACGCCCGCGGCGCTGTGTGATAGAGCTCGTAGGGCACGCCAGATGGACCCGGCGATCGACCGGGGTGTGTTGTTGCGATTGCGGCTACGACCTCGTCCTCGGTGATGGGTTGCTGCAGCAGCTCGATGTGCGCTTCCGAGAGTCGTCGCAGAAAGAGCGGGTCCGAGCTCGGGTCATCGCAAGTGCGCGCCGACCTGATCGGCGCCAAGAAATCGTCCCTAAGTCGCGCGGCTCGAGATCGTAGAGGCGCTGAAAGTGCGCCTGTGTGTGGTCAAGCGCGACGTCAATGTCATGTGTCAGCTCTCCGTTGGGCAATCGCAGTGCTGTGATCTTGGAATCCGAACTCCGTGCCGCGAGCTTGGCGTGGACCGGCCGCGACAGTCGTTCCTCGGTAGCGATTTCGGGTACGTGGGCTCGGATCCGAAGTTGGCGCGCGCGCTCGTTGACCGCTCGCCTAAGTTCCTCCGTCGTCCGCGTCCATTCGGCCGTCTCCTCGTCCCCCATCACCGGCAACGCCTCCAGATCCTGCACCCTTCCCACCAAGACCGCCATCCGCTCCACCCGCTCCCAATGCTCCCTCCTCGCCAGCTCCCGACCCTCCTTCGCGCAGTTCCCCAGCACCACCTCGAGCTCCCCCACCGGTTCCTCCCCACTCGCTCCTTCCAACCATCCTTCCAACATCCCCTGGAACTCCGCCGTCTTGAAGGTCTCCGCGTTGATACGATGTAATTGGTTTGATGTCGTTGGTAAACTGTTGTTGGGTTGAGCCGCGTCTCCTCGCTCATCCGAGAGAACTAGGACGATCGAGACCGGTCGGTGATCCGAAAGGTCCTTGGGGTGGTCGTAGATCGTCGAGGCTTGGACGAGTCGCTTTTGGTGGGTGCGCTGCAGAAGGAAGTAGTCAAGTTGTGAAAAGGACTTTGGTCGCTTGCGGACGATGTTGGGTCGAGTGAAAGATGGTGTGAGCGGGTGTTTGAATCGTATGCAGTCGGTGTAGGGCGAGTCGAGCTTGCCGATCAGGATCGGCCAGTGATGGCCGTGCCGACCTTGGTTCCGCCGATCGACCGCCGGCAGTGGGCAGTCGTTGAGATCGCCGCCGAGGAGTCGAAGGTGGGTGCTCTGCGTCCTGTGGAAATGTAGTTTGTCAAAGAATGTGAGTTGTTGTTTTGTATCAACTGGTGCGTAAATGTTGTTGATCTCGAGTATCCGGATGTCGCCTTGAAGTCGAAAGGAGGTGACCAGGATTTGTCCGTCGAGTGCCGAGTGGGTGCACAAAATCTCGGCGTCGATCAGGGGTGAGTCGGTGGGGATCAGAGTCAGACAGTGTTTGCTGATGAAGACCTTGCCCTCGTAGTCGTCCTTGATACATTGCCAGAGTTCCGGTTTGATGAAGTGTTCTTGTAGTAGAATGGCGGATGCTTTGAATGTTGATAAATAGGTGTAAATGTTGCGTCGCTTTTCCGGGATCCCCATGCACTTCCTCACGTTCCAGCTGGTGATGGTGTGCTTGATCATTATTGGGTAGACGATGTAGACGTGCTCTTGGCGGTAGTGTTGTCCTCAAAGAGTGGGAATTCGGGGAGAATGTCATTCTCGGGCTTGTGGTCGGACCAGCGCTTCTCCTCCTCCACCCCTTTACCCTTCTCCGCTTTCGCCTTGGCCCCCTCGACCTGCATCGCCGCCGCCGCCGACATCGACCTCGTCACCCTCTTCCCCTGACCCGCTACCTCCTCTCCTGCTCGACCTTTGACCCTGTTCAGAACGCGCTTGATATCGACCGGGTCGTCGCTCGGATCACTGAGATTGGCCACCGTTTGCGACCTCTTCATCTTCTTGTTCGACCCGGAGCCGGTGCCACGAATGTTGATGAATCGCAGTTGTCCATCTTCCTGACCCCACTCTGCAAATTGGTGGCGAACGAGCGGTTCCTCCGCGTCGAGTTGGGCGTTGATGATCACCTCCTTTTCTGCTTGGACACGTGCAGCAGCTTCGGCGTTAGCTCGGTCCCACTCCGCACCCTCGCGCAGCGACTTTGCCAACGTCTCAGGAGATAGTGGAGGCCACGAGGGACTCCGAGGAGTCGACTCGCGGGAAACCGTGGTGATCGTCGTTTGGTCGTCGTCGATGATCATGATGCTGTCGTCCTGTACCCCCTGTTCCTGCTCGACCTCTTCTTCCACCTCCGTCTCCGTCCCTTCGTCCTCCTCCTCTGCTCCATCTTTCATCACGTCATCCCTTTGTTCGCTTCCCTCCGAGCTGTCGTCCTGTTCGTCCTTGTCGTCGTCCTTGTCGTCGTCCTTGTCGTCGCCTCCCGCCTTGTCGATGCCCGCTCCGGCGTTCCCATCCGAGTCCGAATCCTCGTCGTCCGCCTTGGCGCCCGTATCCTCGTCTCCTTCTTCGACCTGCTCCTTTTCCTCGCCCTCCTTTCCTGCATCCTCCTCCTCGACGTCATCCTCCTGTCCTCCTTCGACCTCGAGCCCCGCAAATTGGTTCCGCAATTCGAGTTGGTCGGTTCCGAGGGCACGGCTAGGGGCCACAACCTCGGAAGTGTCGTTGTCGGTGTTGTTGGTGTTGGTTGGGTTGTTGTGGTACTTGTTGTGCCTTCCGGTGTTGTTGTTCGCTTCCTTCTGCCTCCTCTCCTGTTCCAGCGCGCAGGTCTCCACATGCCCCACAAAGTGGCACCGAGCACAGGCCGCTTCTCGTTCGTAGTCGTGATGAACCGCCGTATGCATGTTGCCTCTAGTGGCTAGAGAGACCTTCGACGGTAGGAGCTCCCTCAGCGTGTTGTTAGGGGCTTTGAAAAGGGCGTCGTCGTCGAAGCGGATAAAGGCCAAAAACTCGCCGGCCAAGTGCGCATAGGCCGAGTCGTTATCGACGAGGATCACGCGCAAGACTTGTACCAGCTCGCAACGGTGTCCCTTGGCTGTGATTTTGGTGACAATTGATTTAAAAGAGTCAACAATGGCATCCCTGGATGGGACCGCTGCGACACCGACGTTGATACGCAGCTCGACCATGTTGTGGTAGAAGTGGTGGGCCTTTGCGAAGTGAGCCTTTGCAGAGTGCCAAGTAAGTGCCAGTGGGGCCGTAAGCGCCGAGTCACGTGCCTTCGCCGAAACGAATCCCACGGAGATACGGTGGTTGACCACACCGGCCCTGACGAAAGACGAGTGTTGGATACCCCTAATCTGGGGCGCAAACACCGCAAGGTGCTCGGGAAGGGTGACCTCGGCGTCGAAGCACAGGGGCGATTGCGGGGAGAGCAGTCTCGTGACGCAACCGAGCAGATCGGCCTTGTCCGCGGGAGAGGCCTTCGAGGCGCCTTGGACGGTCAAAGTGACGTCGAGAGCAAAGTCGAAGATGTTTCGAATGGATCAATTGGCGTTGAGAGCCGAATACTTGAGCGATGTAGCGGTAGCGACAGGGTACTTGTCGGTGGCGAAGGTGGCTTGCAACCACCGGTCGGTGCAATTGCCCGGTACAGCACCCATGACTTCGAACATTTGGGTCAAAGCCTTGGCACGGTGTTGTTGTTGGGTCTGCTGCTCGGGAGTCTGCTTGGTCTTTTGAATCGCGGCGGTGGCGTAGGTCGCGGCGGCGATAGGGACTTGCGTCTCCTTTGTCCCAATCGGGACGCTCTTCGCCGCGGACGCCGATGGTGGGGTTGGGCCGGTCTCGCCGGTCTCCATGCTAATGTAGGCTGATGTATCACTTGTAGCTTCGAAGGTGGTGGGTGGCGCGATTTCGAAAGTGAAAGTGAAAGTGATTTTTTTTTATTTTTTTACTGGGGCTCATCAATTGCAATCCTTCGGGTTGGCTGGGACCGCTAGAAAAAGAGCTAAAAGAGGTTATAAAGCAACGACGGCAAGCAATTGGGTGAAAGTCAAACCCCTGCGCGCAAAGAGCGCTGTGCAGATCAAAACCCGCCGAGCACCTAACGCGGACTCCAACGGGCGGTGAGTACTGCTGCCGCTTCACGTCCCAAGAGCGGGAGCGAAGATACTCGAAAACCAGGCAAGAGCGCCTAGAGAAAGAAAAGGGGAGAATATACAAAAATTCACGACTGGAAACACGGAGAACCAGGAATACTAAGACAGAGAGGAGGGGAGGAGGAGGGGAACACACCCGAGGGGCCAAGGGAGGGGGTCGAAGCCAGAGCTAGAGGTCCCCAGGGACTGACAGGCCGCAGCCAAGCCCCAGCTACTCGTCACCCCGACAGCGCCTGATGTCCTCCCTTGACTGAGTCTCGAGTGCTGGCTGTTGAGCCGTCGGGGCCGAGCGAAAACGATCCAATACAACGAAACAAGCCTCGCCTTGACGCGAGGATATTGACCAAAAAAACGAGCGACCTTTCTTCCCGATCCATGCTGTAGATCTTAACCTTTTTTTTTTTTTTTACTGGGGCTCATAAATTGCAATCCTTCGGGTTGGCTGGGACCGCTAGAAAAAGAGCTAAAAGAGGTTATAAAGCAACGACGGCAAGCAATTGGGTGAAAGTCAAACCCCTGCGCGCAAAGAGCGCTGCGCAGATCAAAACCCGCCGAGCACCTAACGCGGACTCCAACGGGCGGTGAGTACTGCTGCCGCTTCACGTCCCAAGAGCGGGAGCGAAGATACTCGAAAACCAGGCAAGAGCGCCTAGAGAAAGAAAAGGGGAGAATATACAAAAATTCACGACTGGAAACACGGAGAACCAGGAATACTAAGACAGAGAGGAGGGGAGGAGGAGGGGAACACACCCGAGGGGCCAAGGGAGGGGGTCGAAGCCAGAGCTAGAGGTCCCCAGGGACTGACAGGCCGCAGCCAAGCCCCAGCTACTCGTCACCCTGACAGCGCCTGATGTCCTCCCTTGGCTGAGTCTCGAGTGCTGGCTGTTGAGCCGTCGGGGCCGAGCGAAAACGATCCAATACAACGAAACAAGCCTCGCCTTGACGCGAGGATATTGACCAAAAAAACGAGCGACCTTTCTTCCCGATCCATGCCGTAGATCTTGACCAACGCGAACGAACGATCTATTCGACGGAATCCAACACACGGCTTAGGAATAAAAGGAGAAGTGGCTGAAGCGTAGTCAACAACCGAGCAACAGGAAAGAGAAGAGGAAGGGAAGGGAAAAAAAAAGGGGGGGGAAAGAGGGGGGAGAACTTCACAAAGCCTCCAACGCAACGACGATCGACCCGGCTTGCCGATCCATCCAAGAACGAAAATCGCTACTGCGCAAAGTAGAGAGAGGGAGAGGTGCGCAGCCTTCCACTGCGCAACAAGTTTCAAGACAGTCAGCTTCTGACCGAAAAGGAAGGGAGGAAAGGAGGGGAGGAAAATGGGAAGGAAGGACTTAACTCGGTCATCACACCTCCCAATCTCGAACCCCAGGCACAAAACCCGCTCGAGAGAGAAAATCTCGCTCGAACGCTCTGAGCGCACTGGGAAGCGAGGGAGGGGCCACGACGTTGTCCAGCTCGAACCGCTGATGAACGCGCCAGCGGAGCAGGTGCAGCCGCTGGAAACCGATCGCGCAGGCCAGCCGAACCCACATCCATTTCGAGGTCGTTCTCCCACGACCCCGCAAAAGGGGGAGCCCCATAGTCAGCTGCTCCGGAGTGAACGTCGACGGATCGACGTCGGTATCCTCGATGCCGAGCTTGTCAAGCAGAATGCGTAGCACCCCACCCCAGAAGCTGGTCGAGTACGCGCACTCGAAAAAGTAGTGGGACACCGTCTCGATGACCGCTGCATCGTTGCCACAGAACAGACCACCTCACAAGTTTGCGGCCGGAGTCGACATCAGCTACCGGTTCGTTCGTTGCAAGCATCGTGGGCGCGATGTCGTAGTCGTGAGGGCGCGCGGGCGCCCTCAGTGGTCGAGGGTTCGATCCGCCCGGAGCGCGATCGCCCTTTTGGTTTCTTTTCCTTTTTGTTATCCGAGGCCCAGCTTCGGGGTTTTTACCGGTGCCTTGCGGGCAATCCTTTTTACCCCTGAAGCGACCTCGTGGTGTAGTTATTTGACTCAGTCTTTCCTTCGCTTGGAGCACTTCCCTCCCTTTGCTTTTGCCACCTTTCCCCCAGAGCTTGGTCAACTCTTCTAGACTCGTACCCTCCCTCTTTTTACCCATTTCGCTGGCAATTAAGTCCGTTACACTTGATTTGCTGCGAAGCCTTCCGACCGAATCCACTCCTCGGTCGCTCTCGGTCGGCTGCCACCGCCCAGCCGACTCGACCTTCCCATCGGCCTGGTCAGCTATATCTTGGATCGTTTGCCCTCCCTCTTCTTTCCGACCTCGTTGGCTACCATAGTCCGGTACACTGGACTTGCTGCGAGCCTTGCAGCCGCGTATCCTCCGTGGTTGCCTCTCGGTCGACTTCCGCCGCCCAGCCGACTCGACCTTCCCACCGGCCTGGTCAGCTATTTCTTGGATTGTTTGCCCTCCCTCTTCTGTCCGACCTCGTTGGCCACCATAGTTCGGTACACTGGACTTGCTGCGAGCCTTGCAACCGCGGAGGATACGCGGTTGCCTCTCGGTCGACACCCCTTTCGCTTCTTCGCGCTTTCACGCGCTCTCTCGCTCTCTCCCTCGTCTCTCGTGTGTAGTCATCGTCATCCCCTCCGACGTTGCCTGTCAGCCGTGGTCAGCCCCTTGCAAAACCTCGGTGATTCTGGGTTATTCGGATCCCTCTCTTCACTCAAGCCATACATCTTCCCGCAATCCACACATGGGTTTTCACAAAGAATCTCCGATCCCTGTCGGGCTGACGCTGATCCCTTAAACTTGCAAGAGGCTTGACCGCAAAACCGACAGTGCCGCATTACTTTCCCGGTGACTACGCTCACTGAACTGTCACTGGTAGCAATCCCTGCACGCGGACCATTGTTGTTTGTGTCCACCGCCCCGGATGGGTGGATGAATGATGTTTGAGGATTGGACGCTTCGACCTCTGCATTGGTGAGCATCCCCGAGACCGGAGGTTTGTGGCCGAGCAACAGCTTGGCGGGCGGCGGGCTGACATTGCGACCGCGGGAGGGGTCGGTGATCATTGCTTGGGTCGCTTTGATGTCGTTCTCGGCCATATTCATTATGGCTTGAGCATTGTCCAGAGACAACCATCTGGATTCCCAACTACTTATGTGTTCCGGCATCTACGTATGAATTTTCAAGCACTCAGCTCAGTTGGAAGGAGCGGCGAGAGGTCGAGGAGGTCTGTGCGGCGTACGCACGAGTGCAAGAGTGCCTGAATAGAATATAATAGGCCTGATCACGCGCGTGTCAAACTGGGTCTTTTCCTCACGTTTGGCTCTGCATCGGATCAGTCAATTGTTCAACTTGGTAGCGTCTGTCCCTGCCGCAAGGCAAACAAACCCCCGCACGATAAGACTAGATTGATCAACCATTATGCCTCTCCCATGCCGCACATCAATGTTGCCTCCACCAAGGCCATACTCGGACCCTTTTTTGCCAACATTAATGCTGGAAATTGTCGCTCGCCAAAGAGCAACTGGAGATGGCACTTGAGAGCGTCGATCACCTCGTCCCACTTCAAACGGCCACTCCCCTGCCCACGATGCTCACGGTTCACGCCTTCACCAAAGAAGCCGTCCTCGACGCAGCAGGCTGGTACAACCACCAGCAATCTCATCGTGAAGCCAAGATTAAGCAGGAGGCGATCATCAAGAGTGCAAAGGCTCATCTGGTGATGTGTGTGGGCCAGGCGATGTACGACACGGTGAAGGACCTTCCCGCGCATCAACAGTGGGCCAAGCTCAAGTCGGTCTTCGCTGCGACCTCGAGCACCGTCGACCGCAGCGCCCGCCTCGTCGAACTTGTCACCATGCCCCAGTTTGTTGTCGGCGACGACTTTGAAACTTGGCTTGCCACCTTCTGAGTGACCGTCAATGCGATCAACAACGCGGTCAAGCATGCCCACCCCTCGACGGCGGCGTGTGGGTGCGACCCCGACCCCCTGCACCCGATGATCGTCCAGGACTGGCTGTGCAACCTGATGCCCGAAGCCTACGCTCCCACTATCAACGCACTCGGCGACGACGTCGACATCGGAAAGTTGGAACAGGTGTTACGCCGTTCGGCCCTTGGTGATCGCACCCGGCGCGACCAGGCCCAAGCTCTCGTGGCCCATCTCAATCCCGCACCTGCGTCTTCGGCACCGCTCGTCAACCGCTTGTTGCAGCGCCGCAACGGCCCAGCCCCGCGCGACCCACCCGTGAAGCGCACCGGCCACACGGGACCGCACCTCGACGCGCACAACCTCCACAACATCGCCAAGTGGCCACCTGGAGTCTCGAAGAAAGGCCGACTCGGTCTCTTCCCGACTCAATGTTTTTTGTGTTACAAGGATGGTCACCTTGCGACCGCTTGCACGGTTCCCGACCACCTCCGCATCAAGTCGAAGGTCGACACGTTGAAGGAATATGGCATCCCCATCACGTTGGAGCAAGCTTGCACGCTCGTGCACAACACTCTCAACCAGGAGGAGCACACAAAGGCTTTGGCGGCGCAAGCGCAGTTGCCTCCATTCGACGACGATGACGACGAGATGGTGGAGGCTTCCGCGGCCAGCTGGCACGTGAGGATTTCGGGCGAGGACACCAAGCAGTGCTTCAACACCGACACGGCAACTCCGTTCCTGCTCGACTCGGGTGCCACGAGGCACATGACGACGAGGCTTGACCTCCTTCACAACTATCACCCATCCCCGACCGATCGCCGCGTTCGTGTCACCGGCGCATTTGGTTCCGGAGGCTTCGCGAGCGGCACCGGCTCCCTGCATTTCCCGACCCTCCGCGACGTCCTTCATGTCCCTGGCCTCGAAGCGGAGCTTGTTTCTCTTCATTGCCTCATCGAGGATGGTTATGGCGTCCGTGTCGCATCGGCACCCAAGGCGCGCAGCCTCATAGTCTCTCACGGCAACGTCGAAGCCCACTTCCGACTTCGCAACAAGCAATTCGTTCTCGAGGCAAGTCCCCTCGCACCCACTCCCCTCCGTGATTCTGCGCTCAATGTCGCCCTACCTCCCTCCGCAGATCTGTCACTCTGGCACGGTCGCTTAGGACATGGTGGGGTGAATGCAGTGTTGGCAAGCGGGAGAGCGGGGTCGATTGGGTTGAATACTGCTGCTGTAACGCCGGAATCAATCCAACTTGTCAAAAGCTGTCTTCCCTGTCATTTGGGAAAAGATGTTGCGCAACGATCTCACGCCGTCGCAACGCACCGCGCAACGGCTCCCTTTGGTCGAGTCTTCATGGACCTTTGGGGCCCCGGTCCGGTCGTTTCCCTCTCGGGTCATCACTACCTTTGCAGTGGTACGGATGAGTACTCTCGTTATCGCTGGCTCCGTGGTATCACTGCAAAGAGCGACGCGACACGTGCGATTCGGGACCTTGTCGCGTTCTCATGCGTGCAGTACCCCGGCTCGTCGTTTCGAACGCTCGTGACCGACCGCGGTGGGGAATTCGTCAACAAGCAGTTGGACGGCTGGCTTGCGTCACGGGGTGTTGTACATGAGCTATCGGCGCCAAACGAACACGGTCAGATGGGCTTGCAGGAACGTTCCTGGCACTCAATCTTTGACAAGGTCCGCACCTCTTTGGCCCAATCCGGCCTGCCACTCTTTCTCTGGGAAGAAGCTGCCCACACCGCCGTGTACACCCTCAACCTGATGGCAACCTCTGTGCTCGACAACTCAACTCCGGACTTGGTCCTCCACGCCTCCGGCGACCCCGTCGCCGAACATCGTCGCCCACACGGATCCCGCCTCCGTGTTTGGGGCTGCTGGGTGCTCGTCCCACTACTACCGGAACAGCGCGGGCACAAGCTCGCGCCCCGGTCTCGTCACTGCTTCTTTGTCGGCTACTCACAAACGTCTAAAGCCTGGCGTTTTTACAACCCCGCTCACCGCAAGGTGTTCGAGTCGTCTCAAGCCACCTTCCTCGAATGGGAACTCGGCCGGACGCACAACGCGACGGAGATGCGGACGCTACGACAATGGACCGGTCTCATGCACAATGACGGTTCGTCCATCGCCGCGGCTCCCGACGAGGACGAGACAATCCCTGAGGACTTGCCGCCCCTTTTCAGTCCGCCCCATGTGTCCGTCACCGAACAGCCTGTGCCTCCTGTCAACAGCACAGCACCGCCACCGCAGGGACTCGCCTTCAACAACCCGGGACCAGCCTGGTCAGCTCCGCTTGGCGATCGATCATCTCGTAACCACGGACCTCCGGAGCGCTTGGCGACTTCGCGATGGCGGCGACAGCCGTCACCAAATTCGCCGCTGATGAGGTGCACGCCGTCGAGATCATCGACTTCGAATGGGCCTTCACCACCCGCCCAAGCCCCGACTTATTGGGAAGCGATGTCGAGTAAGGACCGGGAAATGTGGCTCCTGGCGATCAAGACCGAAAAGGCCGCGCTCGCAGCAAAAGGGACATTCTCTTCGCCGCTCTTCAATCTGCCACCCGGCACATCCATCATCAAAAGCAAATGGGTCCTCGCAATCAAACGCGACAGCGAAGGCCGCATTGAGAAGTACAAGGCTTGTCTCGTTGGGAGTGGTACAAGGTCTTCGCGGGCTGGATTGAGTCAATCGGTTTTGTCCGCACCGAAAGCGACCACGCTGTATTTGTCAAGACCGAAGGGGCGCGCAAACTGTTCCTTTCCATCCATGTCGACGACGGCCTACTTACCGGTGATGGCGACCTCGATGGCTTCATCCAACAACTCAAATCTCGTTTCGAGGCGAAAAGCTCCGACGAGGCGACCTTCTTCCTCGGTCAACGCATTCCCCGGGATGGCAAGACAGGCGCAGCAATCGTTCACCAGCCCCACTTCATCTCATCAATCCTGGAAGACCACGACATGGCGGGATGCAGCTCGAGGTCGACACCGGTCTCGCTCTACAAGTAACACCCGCGTAAGGACGTCACTTTCAACGCTTCGACAAAGCCGTACCGCACAATCGTTGGCAAACTTCTCTTTCTCAGCAGAACCACCCGACCCGACATTGCCTTTGCGGTATCAAAGGTTGCATCACATTGCAACAACTTCTCGCAACAGGATTGGGAGGCTTTGATGCACATCCTCCGATACCTCAAGGGAACCCGAGACGTCGGACTTCTGTTCCGCAAATCGGAGGGTGCTCCTCTCCTCAAGGGCTTTGTTGACGCCGATCACGGAGCGGATCCGGAGACTCGTCGAAGCGTCACAGGTTTTGTGTTCCTTTGCGCGGGTGGCGCGGTCTTGTGGATGTCCAAGCGACAGGCGCTCGTCACCGTATCCAGCACCGAGGCCGAGTACGTTGCTATGTCGTTTGCTGCGCACGAGGGCATCTGGCTTCGTCGCCTCCTTGCCGAAATCGGCTTTGCTCAGACCGAACCGACAAAGCTTCATGGCGACAACCAGTCGGCAATTCAGCTCGCCAAACACCCAGCCTTCCATGCTCATACTAAGCACATCAGCATTCACTTTCACTTCATCCGAGACCACATTGCCGAGGGTACGATCGAGATGGTCTGGATTCCCACGAACATGATGGCGGCGGATGTCTTGACCAAAGGGCTCGGGTCGCGGAAGCACTGGGATTTTGTACACGCGATGGGTTTGGTAGATGCATCGCGTGAAGGGGCGAGTTGGAAGGAGCGGCGAGAGGTCGAGGAGGTCTGTGCGGCGTACGCGCGAGTGCAAGAGTGCCTGAATAGAATTTGATGGGCCTGATCACGCACGCGCATGTCAAACTGGGTCTTTTCCTCACGTTTGGCTCTGCATCGGATCAGGTGTGTACTTCGCGTATTCATGTCTCAATGTGTCTAATGATTAACTCTGACGTTTGGCTCTGCATCGGATCAGTCAATTGTTCAACTAGCTCGGTCTTAAATTCAGAGGCACGACGAAATAGCGACTCACTTTGTAAAATATATCAATGCCGTTGGCATAAGTGTTCCAGCGCTCGGCGATTCGGATGGCTCGCTGGTCTCGAGAAGTTGATAGTTCCAAATGGGACAAGATATGCTTGTACAGCGCTCGTTCGGTTGGTGTGTGAACGTGCAATACCGCAAACCGAGTACCTTGGCGTTTTGCAAGCCAGGTGTGAGGGAGTTTGCGATCGGCTGGCAGCTGGATTTGCATCTGCTGAATTGTTTGTCCCATGTTCTTGTGCAGCAAATTCCGCGGCGACCATTTGAGGGGCTCGAAACGGAAAGCGCCACTCTCGACGCAATAGGGTTCGATGTTGTTGGACTTTTGAGCCACATCCACAATAGGCACAATCCCGAATGTCTCCGTGGACGGAGCGTAGAGAAGCGGGTTGACAGTTTCCGACATATTCGTAGGGTGGGCTGGGAGGTATGCCGCCGTTTTGCGCCGCATACGATGAAGCTCTACAGTGAGCCAAAGGTCGAAGTGCCCTACATATGCCTTCCCTGTCCGATTAAACGTCCCAACCTGTGAAACAAGCACACGCATAGGTAAAACAAATTCAGTTCCAGCGTGTGTGAGCACGGCTGTACAGACTTACTGTGGAGTTGTGCACGAGCACATAGTCCGAAAGGCAAGCATTGGCATGGTACGGAGTGACACCGGACTTTGGGAACCTTTGACGAACGTTTCGGTGGATCCCTCCCTCAAGACTATTTGTGCCGCGCTGGCACGAGTAGACACGCACACCGTCATCCGCCTTTCCGTCTGGTCCTCCGCAAGGCCCACGGTCGGTGTACAGTTCGATGCCAACAGGATCGGAAACTTGGCCTTTGCGTATCGCCTCAAGACATCGCTTTGCTGCCTCGTGCGCTGCCTTGTTGAAGAGCGGTTGCGTGGTCTTCGCATCGATCAACGCCCCGAATTTATCGAAGACTTCCCGGATTAAAGGCTCGAAACACTCGGCGGGGGAATCCATCGACGAACGCGCCTCCACAGCTTTTTGTTCCAAACAGGCGATCGGACGGCCTCCTCCCACGTGATTCCGAGCTTCGCTAATCGAGCCTCCAGCAGTACCCGATCATCGGAGTTGGGAATGAAAACCGCATCGGAGAAGGCGCGAGCAAAGGCCTTGGCGGCGCCGTGTTTTTTGGAGACGTAGATTTGATCGAAGAAGTGCCAAGAATCCAATAAGATACGCACGGCAACATCGTCGGACGAAAGGACTGATGGATGAGGAAAACTCAAAAGCATGAGCTTGGGCGTCGCAAATCAAAGCCGAAGCTGATGCAGTGCAACTCACCTTTGCTAGTAGGCGCTTTGCCCCAGATGGATTTGCCAGCTGCTTCGGTCTTCTGAATTTGAGTGCCGCCGCAATCTCTGCAGGTCCGGCAATGTCGCCGTTGTTGCGGTCGCGGTCGTGATCGTGATCCTCTATCGGCGAGTCTTCCACTGCATGTTGGTCGTTATCGTTGACGATGTTGTAGGCGCCGGAGTGAATGTTTTTGCCATCACCATCCGTATTTTGCTGCAGTCCATGCGCATCCGAGCCGTTCGATGTCGATTCAGCATGATCCTGGACTCGATCTTGGACTGGCTGTATGAATCCTGCCCATCGTTTGAAAGCTCATTAATGCGACACTTGTCGGCCCGAGATTGGGTTGCACCGTCGCGAGTGTCGCGACTGGAACCGATCCCGCTGCCCTGGCTTGATGTTGAGGCTGGCGGAGAAGAGGTAGCGGCAGCGACAGAGCCGTTTCGGTTCTAGAATGAGAGTGACAGCTGCATGTTGTTGGCATGCAATGCATTGCACAAACGGCAAGAAACACAAGAAGGGACGACACGCTCCAGCTCGCGCCGCGTGTCAGCCAGCCTGCGCCAACTCAGGCCAACTCAGGCCCATTGCGCTAACCTCCGATTGCGCTAACCTCGAGGCAGCAATTTGGCGCGGCGGGCTATCCAAGCACCCCAACTTTTTATTGTCCTCGCGCGCGAGTTTTGGACGAGTTTTGGATTGATTTCCGCCACCTGATTCAGCCGCGCGTTTCGGCCTCCCTGTCTCGACGCCGCGTCTGTGGAGTTCGTCGCCACAGCACGTGACCATCGCGCGCGCCGCGGTCCAAGCGCAATGTTTGTTATTTCCTGCGCCGCTCGTAGATGTTGGCCGCGCGCATGAATAAATAGCGCTGTTCAACCAGATTCTCTCTTACCTTCCTTCCGTGCACTTGCATGGCCTGAACCATCTTCACCACACCAACACCATGACGTCAAATCCCCTCTTCGACTCATGAATGTTGTACAAGACTACGCGCCCTCTCGCTGCGCCGCCTGACGCCAAATCGATACAAACAACATCGGTTCCCGCCGCCGAATTCCCCAACTGGCTGGCGAGACAACGTGCGACCATCAATTGGCCGCGCCACAAGAGCAAGAGCTACAAGAGCAAAGCCTGCATCGCAGTTGCACCCAATCAACCGTCGAGTAGGTCTCCATCGCGTTCGCACTCATGACAGTCAAACAGCGCGTTGCTCTCGATGCCATGCTGACTGTTTTGTTGACTGTCCTTCTACCGCTGCTCCTCCCCACACAGATCCGGCACTCGTCTGAAAGGTCAACATCGCAGAATGATGTTGGAACAACACATCTGCAGTTGGGCCGTGGGTTAAGGTAAGCGACGATCCCTCCGGTCCGGCGCGCTAGCCTCGAGATACTTCCCTTCGCTCATACCTGTTTATTCGATGGTTCACAGGTTACATGCCACGCGCTTGCCACCACCAACTACATCGAGTCTTGGCATAAGATCTTGAAGTTTCGCTACATCGGCCGCGAGCAGCGACAGCAGACGGATCAGCTCATACATAACCTCACAATGACCGCCGAGCCAACATACCGCTAAGAGATTAGTCTCATCGTCACCGACTTTGTTCGTCGGCTATCGAATAAGGGGGAGACTCAGCGCCAGAACGCCATGCAATCAATTGAGTGGAGTCGAGTGAACGATATGGTCACGGGGACGGACGACGACGGTGATGTGAGTTGAACTTGGGGAATTTTCTCGCGTCTCGGGATCGAGACTTCGGCTGACTCGACCTCGACGACTTTGTCTTCTTCTTCTTACTAATACATAGATCTACGTCACGTCTTTCGGAGAGGACGAGCAGGAGGACGAAGACTCGACCTTCATCGAGACAAGCACACCGTTGGACTCAATCCCACCGACTCGAGGATGCTCTCGACTTGCGATTGTTCGGATTTCGGAAGGGTATTCTACATGGGGGGCTAAGCAGAGGGGGGTATGAGCAGTGGCGAGCAGGGGATATGAGGATGAGTTTGTAATGTAGTACATTTGGGCATCCTAGCCCGCCCCCCTATTCCGAACCGAACCGGCCCAATAGTGCGGTCAAAAGCAGAGCAATTTGGCCAAAAACAGTTTAGCCTGGCCGAATTGAAAGTTCGGGTGTGCATATAACGGTTCGCCGATTTGGCGCGGGGAGGTAGGACCCGGGAAAGTTCAGCCCAATGTGCGTCCGATAGATTTGTACATTTCGGGCCCATTTATGCCATGTGTATGCTACATGACGTAATTTTTGATGGTAGAGTAACTTTTTCAACACAGCCCGATACTTTGGTCTTACACCGGAATACATACACCCCTTGGAAAGGGATATTCGGTGTACAAATCGGCCTAAAAACGGGGTTTTTCGAGACGCACCTTCGGCTGAGCTTTCCCGGGTCCTGGGGAGGTTAGCGCAATCGAGTGCCACCCCCCGGCACCGGTACCGCCCCGGCTTTCTGGGGTCCTACCATAGCCTACCATGGGCCTGCTCGAGCGCCCGCTGCTGGGCGCCCCGCGGCTCGACCCTCCTCTTCCTCCCGCTCTGATCAACAGAACCAGCCCCCCGCGCGTCATGACAACCTTGGTATTGCGACACGTTTACGAGCCCGCCGTGCAGCTGTGCAGAACGGACAACGTGGTCAGCGCGATGGCCGACCCGACGCTGAGCCCGCCCCACCACCACCTCCTCCTGTGCAAGGGCGCGTGCGCCGGGCTCGAATCGCGCTCAAACCCCTCAAGCCCCATGTTTCGATCCGCGACGACCTCGGCCCCCAGACGGCCGTGTGCACCCACTGCAAGGCTCGGCACTGGGAGTGCGAAAGGTCGAAGTCGACCGGACATTTCAGCACGTGCTGCTCGCAGGGCAAGGTGCGGCTACCTCCCCGTCCCCAGCCCAATCTCGAGTATCGGCAGCTTCTTGAAGGCTCGGATAGCGGTCAGTTGCTCCGTCCAACAACATTCGTCTGCAGTAGACCTACATGCTGAACTGTGCGACAAGTTTTCCCACGACAATCTTCCCACGCACACAGAAGCTAAAGCGTTCCGCGAGAACGCCCGGTCGTACAACAACGCGTTGTCGTTTACTTCGCTCGCTGCCCACTGGGACCAAACTCAAGTGGGCACGCTAGGACCCCCCGTGTTTCGCGTGTTTGGTCGCCTCTATCATCGACCCGGCGCCCTGATCCCTGCCGTGAATCAACGCCCAGCCTTTGCTCAAACATGGCTCATCGACCCGGCCGAGGCGACCGACACTCGACTTGGACCCGACGGCGCAGACAGTCGCATGCAACGATCTACTTTGACCAAGCTCGACTCCATCCTGCGTATCGGCAATCGCTTTGTGAGGGAGTTCGCATCAGCCAAAGCTCGCGCAGGTTGGGATACGGCCAAAGAGTGGGTCCTGCGCCTCTGCCTACCACCAGGCCGACACCGACGCACCCACAACCTTCCTACGTCAAGCACGGAAATGGCGATGCTTATCTGCGATTCCGACACCAACACGGGAGGTCATGGAAAGACCTTATCTCCAGGTGCTCGGTGATCGATGTTCAGACGGTCGGCCCAAGTACCAAGTCATCCGCTCGCTCCATCCGTCTGCGTTGCCTCTCCGGTACCCACTACTATTTCCTGCAGGGGAAGATGGCTTCCACCCCAACATTCCTCGTTGCGGGTTTCACCAAGCTGGGCTGCCAATCGCCAGAAACCGAGAGCAGATCGACAATGGTGTCCGATTGCGCGAGGTACTTGCCGGCCTCGGTCTGGATGACGAAGACGAAGAGGAGGACGAAGACCGCGACGATGAGGATGAAGACGGCGAGGAAGGGGACGAAGAGAATGGTGATGGTGAGCGTACGCGTCTTCGGCTCTTTTTCCGATGTTCCATCAAGGCGGAAGCACAGACTGACATTGAACCTTTGAACACCTAGGACGAAGGTCAAGTGAAGGGGGTCGAGGTGACGTCCCTTACTGGAGTTTGTGATCGACGGATACTCCCAAGTCGATCCACCCAACACATCCGGGGGCATCAAGAGACTCTACGCCTCACCACGACCCAAGGCATCAACGGCTCGACCCCGGACCAAATTGGACGTTCGATGACCTTGGGCTCGACGTTCAAGAATAGACCGCGCAACATCACGCAGCGATACCAGGGTGCGATGGCGTGCGTTGTCAAACATTGAAAGCCTCGGCTGCTCATCACGATGACGTACGACCCCGAATCACCGGGAATCAAGGCTGCACTGGGGCCGAATGACAAAGCATGCAACCGTCCGGATCTCATTACACGAGTGTTTGAAGCCAAGTCCGGCAACAAGCGACATGCAGGCTGTTTCGGCGATGAATGTAGGATGAATGGCTTTTGTTTCTTTGCGGTACTTCGTATTGTGTTTTCTTAACCTCTGCGCTGAAATCATGTAGACTGCCTGCTATTTGAATTTCATCCCCCCGTTAATTTAACGGGTTCCCACTGGTACTACTACTAGTATCTATGTTGTAGAAGGCCATGAACACATGTTTCCGTCCGTTTCCTTTCAGTCAAAACAAAACCATTAAAATATAACGAAGTCGTAGCCCTAGTGCAAGTGATAATGTAAGTGATACATTGGGAGCCCGGTGGTCCAAGCGCGGCGCGTGCCACTGCAGACGAGCGGCTCATCGTGCCGCGACGCGTCCCGTCCCGCTCAATCGTTCCTCTATCTGCCACGCGGTCAAGTCGACAAAGTGCCGTTGCTCGGCAATGCAACGCACTCGTCCTCAAGATGATATAGCTCTACTACCTGCGGCTGTTTACGATCCGACAGAAGTAGACTCGAGACGTGCAGCGTCGGATAGCAACGCACTTCAAGCTCTCGCTCGAGTTGCGACCCATCATCGCCAAGTCGGGACCGACAGTGGTACTTATCTGCTCATTCCTGCCAGCCCAAGTCCTCGTAAGTTTCAGCCATCTATGACTGTGCTGTATAGAGCATGATTCCCTGATCCGAGTCTCCCTGCATGTCGTCAGGCAAGCGACCCCGGCTGTCGGTCATCGGGGACAAGGACAGTCCTGCCGACGAGTGGGAGGATGATTTCGTCGGGGCCAAGGATAGCAAAAGGCATGGCGGCCCGCGCACATTTTCCAGGTCGGATCATTGCGAACGCGGAAAGGGGAAGGACCGCGCCACGTTCGACCATGCCGAACTGGTCTCCACAGAGCCCGTGCGCCAAAGTGGGTGATTTGCTCTGGAGCCATGACCACCCCTGTATCCGAGCTGATGATACCGGCTTATGCTTCACAGACGGTCAATCTAAACTCTTGAAAGGTCTCGATAAAATCCACAAGGTCAAGTCCCACAGCGAGGGCCGGAGGCGAGAAACGACTCGTAGTTCGAGCTTTGCTCTCTTCGATCGCCGCGCCGCCGGGGTAGCCTCCACATTCCAGAAGGTGGATGGAGTTGATCGCCCAGAAATGCAACCAAAGTGGAGGAAAGGGAAGGAGCCAGTAGACCCTCTTGCAGAATTACGAGGCAAGGGAGGTAAGATTGCGCGCTTTTGTAGTGCGCAACACCATCTACGTAAGGCGACGGCAAACACACTTCCAGCCCCCAAGACGACCCGAAGCGAAACGCATGCTCGACCAGATGGTCCCACTGACGTCGCCGGCCATGACAAAAAGGATGAAGCTGATGATCTCGATGTCATTGGTGCGCCGAACAACCCCACCAAACGGACTCGAGATGGCAAGGTAATCGAGCATCTTCAGCTTGGCCCGCTGGCTCATCCACCCGTACCCGGTGATCCCGAGTATGCTACGATTGAACCTTACAGCAAGATCAGACTCCGGTGAGCTACATGTGGTGTGGATTCTGAAACGCGAACCCCGCGATGGCGCTCACACACAGGCTTGCTCTTCGCGATCTCAGCCCTGGCTCGCGATGCATCCCGCATGAGGACCTTCAACACCATTTCTCCGATCGCTACCATCTAAGCCCCTCGCTATTGTACTCTTGCGCTCGCCATCAGAGAGGCACGGATGAAGTCGATGTCGAGTTGGACGCAGACTTCATCGTTGTTGGCGTGCTCGCCTGGAAAGGCCCGGTCAAGGTGACGAATCCCAACGCGAAAGAAGGGACTAAAGAGCGAAAAAATCTACGCTTCACTCTCGTTGACCTCTCCACCCCGGAAGCGAGCTCAAGTGGTCATGGCCTTTTGAACGTCATCCTGTTTGAGGCCTACAGTGTCGACAATCGTATCGAAGCGGACGGCTACCAGGTACCAGTATACCAGGGCGGAAGTGGGGGCGCGTACGAAAAGTTCTGGAAAGAAAGCGTTGGTGCGGTAGTAGCGATCCTGAATCCCCGGATCTTGAAACCCAGGCAGGTAAGATTTTGCCATCATTCACGAATGCCACTAGTTTCCCAAGTAACACTGAGACGATCTCGCTAAGCTATTCTCGAAGTTTGCAGGATCCGGGGAAAAGCAACGTTTACACTCTTGTTCCCCAAAACGCCGAATCGATGATGATTATTGGGCGAGCGCAGGATTTGAGCAGCTGCAAAGCGCGCAAAGCTAACGGCAGTTCCTGTGACGAGTGGTGCGACGGGTGAGTCTGACGTCTGACCACAGCTATCGTCTACAAAACCCAGAATTTTGACTCTTAGGGATCATGACCGTAAGTCGTGTGAACAAGTACTGCCAGTACCATGTGCACAGAGCAGTCAAATCAACGGGAGTGCGCCGCCCCGAGACGGCGAATGTGTGAGTCCCTTTTGGTACAGGCTTTCGGACACTTTTCGATGTACTAACGTGCTACGGATCATGCCCCGTTCTCTCAAAGGAATTCGAGTCTTTCGACCACTTCGACGTTCAATCCTTCCGAATTCGAACGCCAGTTTGTCCCCAGCGCGAAAACGAGGGCTGCGCGCTTTGCAATCAAGGACGAATACGACCCAATGAGGAAAATCGGCCTCTTACCCCGCGACAACACCTCTTTGAATGACGGGTTGAAGACCTACGTCACCCGTAGCAGATCTTCCAAACAGTTCGTCGATAACAACCCAGGGCGGATCAAAGCTGTCATCGCTTCTGAATTACGACATGCTACCATCACCAGCGGAAATGGGTCAGGCGGCTACGTGCAAGGGATTAGAGATGGCCCAACGTTGGCCGATTTGGAGAAGTCACGGGCAAGCAAGAGAAAGGAGCAACAAACTGCCGAGCGTGAACTCAAGGTCCTGTTACAGCACGACCAGGGGAAAACATTAGGAGGGCAATATTTAGCCCGCCGAACGGTCCCAGCGGAAGCCAGCTTGAATGCAAATGGGCAAGTTGACAACTCGACAGTAGAGCCGAAACCGAAGAAATCGACGTCCAAAAGTCTCGGTGAAGAAGCTTTTGGCCCACCGGCTGCTCCGGCTGAACGGCGAGCTTTCTCCACGCATGCCGTTCATCTGATTGGCTATGATCCCACAAAAGCCGGGGATGAAGATGAAGGGGTCGGAGATGCATCGAGAGGCGAGAAGGCGCGACAGGTAAGCAATTCTCTACGGGGCTCACACAATACCGCACCAAGATGCTCACGCCCTCTTCTACCTAATTCACTTCCCAGCTTGAGAAAATTATGGCCCTGCCGAGAGGTCGAAAGCGCTTCAAGGCGGGCAGATCGGGCAAGAAGGCTGTAGCTCCCAAAGCTGTGCCACCACGTCCTAGCCACTCACGGAGCCCGAGCAGGAGTTTGGAATCGGATTCGGACCTTAGCATTGAAGGGGGGCCTCAAAAATAATGTCCGGCTGCAAGGCCTGAGGCCTTTGCCCGAGGTATTATGGAAGGCGATGGAGCTTCGGACTTAGTTGAATAGCTTGCGCGCGCCTAGAACCTCCCTTGGCTTTCGCCAGCTCACTGACCGGAGGTTCTAGACGTGAATTACCACTATTTGATCCTGTCTATCGTCTCTGGAGCACGGCTGCACGCGGTGTTTCCACCGGCCTGCCACACACAGCTTCAGAGCCGGCACTAGATTCTGCATGTTTAAGGCTCTTCTTCCTGCAGAGCAATGAAACCTTCATATCATATTGCAGCACAGCGCAGAACCTCAAAGCCAGGACGCTGAGTGCAAGCCCCTGAAATTCGCGAGCCAGGTGCGAGCCTTTCCTTCCTTAAGCTACCTTGAGCAATGGCCCAGCAACTTCGACCTGTTCAAAGAGGGGCGACGAATCATCCTCTTTCCTCCGGGCGATATAATTCAAGATGTTGCGCAAATGATGAACGGTAGCTTCGACACTGTTGGGCATCTCGATGAGTCCGGAGGCTGCCCCACCGGCTGCGGATAAAATCTCGTCTGACTGCAGCCCGTCCAAATTCGAGGTGATGAGTTCGATAAGACTGTTAATGTGCTTCGGCGATATCTGGGCAAGAGCAGCAGCGTAGAGGACATGTCAGGAAAGCTGACGAAGCGCTGCCGTGCGTTGCGCGATCAGTGATCAACGCTGGTCGAAGGCACTCACGGCTTCCACACCTCGCTCGTAGTACCAAAGGTACTGATCCAAAGCGTCGCAAAAAAGTTGAACGCTTGTAAGTTCGTCGATCGAAGACGTCGCGATCCGGAGCGACTTTTGCAGACATTCAAGCACGCGCTTGCCATCGCGGAACGGTGCCTTACACACGTGGCAAAATTCGTTTCAACGTCCATTCGTTACGCACACATCGATAAAATAAACTCACCTTGTCGGAATCAATCTCTTTGACCACAACATTATCAGTTTGCCACCATAAATGGCTTGCCAGTGCGACCGCAGTCGCTTGTTGGCCCTTCTTCAACAGCTTGGCGCCGTGAAGAGCTGCTTTTGTGATGAGTGTATCATAATTGTCCGTCCCAAAGACACGGGTCGCTTGCAGGGTACCTATGATCAACGTGATCGCCTGCAGCTGCGCCCTCGATTCCGAGATTGATTCCTCGTAGATGGTGAAAGCCTGCACGGCGAATTCGTACGCCAATTCTTCGAGGTTGGCCTCGTCCGCGGCTGAGAGGGCGAGCAGGTACAGTCGCAAGCAAATTTCGGAGGACTCAACCTTGTTATATAGGACCGAGGTGCATTGATGCATGAACTTGAACAGCGACGAAACCTTGACGTCCCAGTCTTCGACGGACCGCTCTCGTGCCTTGTACCGCCGAGCAAGTTTGACCGCGCCAACGATCAGAGGTGGGAAGGTCCACCGTATCCTGTCTCCACCTTCGGAGAATTCGCGGCGGGCGGTTTGAAGCAGCTGTGTTGATGTTGAAACAGAGTCCGCAGGCAGTCGTCAGCAAGCCGCATCGCATGAGGAGTGAGAATAGAAAGTCATTCGACAGAGCCATCGACTGACGTGGAATTGAGCCTCGAGCTCATGTGCTCTGAACAAATGTACCATCCGAGCGATCCATCCCTGTTCTTCGGCCATCTCTTCCACGTCGTAGCTCTGCTGCCCACGCCCGACGCCGCCGAGCGCCCCACTGGACTGTCGCTGCCCCAAACCTTGTGGGTTGGGAACGACGCGGTCCTTCTGGTCTCGCATCAGTACGTGGCACAGATCCAGAACCCCCTTGACGTCTTCGGCCGAGTCGATGACTGTCTCATTTTTGAGGATCGAAGCGACGATAGCATGCCCAATCGAGCGACGCGTCGGAAAAGGTTGAATCATCAGCAGTTCCTTGTAGCTCGGTAAGGCCAGCAAGGTGAGTACAGTTAGGTAAGAGTTGATGGGCGCGAGTAAGAGCGAGAGAAGGCTCTGGATTGTGACGGGGTGATGAAGGTCTGGGGAGTCGGCGTATTCCTGCACTTTGGATCGCGCAAAGGAGAGGACTTGGTCGACATACTCAAGTTTGTCGGGGTAGCAGCTGAGTGACAGGTTGACCAGGGAGACGAGGAGTGCTGTGATGTCTTGAATGGAGAGGTCCGGTCTCGCCTAGATGATGATGTGCCAGATGTCGAGAGTCAGCTGGGTCGACCCCGCCCCCCCCCCCCCCCCCCTTCGCCGCCGCCATCGATTGTCCATCTCACCTTGATAAGCTCGACAACCTGCTGCCAGAACACCTCAAATAATCTCACGTTCTCCGGAATACCCCTGAACTTGCGAACGGTGTGCGCAGGTACGGTTGGGACGACGCCATCGATCAACGCATCATCCTGAGACACCTCGTCCTGCTCCGGCGGCACAATTTCGGCACCCCACGCGTCCGTTTCCCCATCCACTGAGCCCGAAGAGCCTGCCAATAGGCTCCGACCGTCTGCATCCAACTTGGCCTTCTCACGTTGACGCTTCACCTCTCTCAAGAGTCGCCTTGCCGCTTCTTCCTCCTGCTGCTGACGTTCCTCTGGGGACTCGTTCTCGGCTTCTCTCGCGGCATATGCGGCCAGTCGGTCGATCAAGGCAATAACGATGGATTTAATCGCGACTTTAGGGTGAAGCTGCGCCACCGCTGACAAGAACGGCGAGAGCGTCCGAAGGTGGAAGTCATCGACGAAGACCTGCGACAAGCATGAGACACGATCTGGTTGAGGAGCGGCCTTGCGGAGGACAAGCGAAATATTAAGAGTTGGGGCTGACCTGGATGACGACTTCCATGAGATACTCCTGCGCAATCACGTCCTTGCAATTCACGACCTGCTCCAAAATACTTGGCAGGATGGATCGGCGGTACATCTCCAAGTCGACGCCTTCAAGTTGGCTCAATCGGACTAGGTTCGTGCCGACGAGGATGCGCAATTCGCGCCGTTCCATCTCTCGGCGCTCGCGGTCGCGTGACAGACCCGAGTGCTGCAGTCGGACCCAGAGCTTGTTCATTTCGATGAAGTTGGTCAAGACGAATCCAATCGAGTCCTGGAGATTACCACCAGGTCTGCACAATGAAGAGGGAGGGAGGGCTTGATCACGTATGAGAGATGTGATCCTATGCTCCCCAGGACTTGACCGCAGCACATAGAAAAAGGCTGCGCACCCTGGATCGTCACCGACGGGTAGATAGTCCCTCGTCATGCCACTTAGGTAATGGCGCAGAAACAGGCCCCTGGTCGGATGCTGCACACCGCGCGTCATTTCCATCATGTCCTTCATGATCTCCTTGACGGGAGCCTCAGGTATGGACATGTACACGGTGCCCACGGTGACCATCAGGTCTGCAGGAGAAGTGGTGGGTGACGAGGGGCCGGAAGTCAGCAGCCCGCTTGCGCGTGGCGAGGTTTGCGGGAAGCAGAAGGGAGTGTGCGTACATAGCCGAGGTACGATGTTGCCCGCATACTGAACGAGTTCATACAGGTCTGCAAGATGGTGTCGGCCCGACACGTGGGCGTCATGAAGGTATGACGACAGGTGCCGAAGGGCGTCAAAGACGGCCATGTCTGCGGATGGGATCAGACGAATTGAGACGTTGTGCATAACAAGCAAGGGATAAGAGTTGCATTGCGGTGGTGCCGCGACCGACATAGTTCATAGTACTGCTTGGGGCTGAAGGACGAGCTCCTCAGCTCGGCGAGCATAGTGCTTGCACTCTTGAGAGCATCCATCAACTGATCGCCATCCTGATGCACCGACGAAGGGGGCGCGAGGGAAAGCGAGGTAAGCGGTCAGCATGGATCCCTGTCACGGCAGGAGCTTCGGTGTGTGGGAGCGGAGACGTGGCGTGGGTGGGTGGTCAATCCCGGTTGGCGGTCGACGGTGACGATGACGGTGACGGTGACGGTGACGGCATGTGGCGGCGCTTTGGGAGGGTGATCGGATCCGTATCGAGGCATTCGCTTCCGGTTCGTCGTGTATGCTCTGGTGCGCCGGGCGGCTCCTTGCGAGAGTAAACCGCCCATTGTAGCCCATTGGAACGACTGCGCCAAGTACTCTGGCCAAGTATGGCGGGATCAGAGTCACAGTGGTCGGGGGTGGGTGGTGGGGCGTCATACGCTGGCCGTCTCGAGTCATGTCGGTGATGTTTGAAGGCCAGGGTGTGGTGTCCGCACCACATCGAACCGAAGCAAGCACGTCGTGACCATAGGGAATGACGATGCTCCGTGCCAGACGATGATGAAGGATCACGGGCTATATTGTGGTACTGACCAGGCATCGCTTCAGCTGGCCCCGCTGGGTACGCACGGTCGCGAGGCTCTCGGCGAGCAGCTTGCCTTCTTCGGCCATGTTGTTGGGTATGACCGAGCTCGTGTTTTGTTTGATGGAGCGAACACTTGCGCCTCTTCTCCGGCGCAACGGACGTCGGCGTGGCCGAGCGGGGTGATGGCACGGGCGGGGTCTCAAGTGCCTAACAATGGAATCGACCAGCGCTAAGAGCAGGGACGGTGTAAGCTCATCAAATCCCCTCCCTCTAGGAGGGGCTTACACTGGCTTACACAGGCTTACACATTAGCGCATTAGCGGCGCGTCTGGCCCGGTTGCCCTCCGAATTCCCTGGGCCAAAAAAGGGTGGTTTGCTGTATCATGGCAAATATTGTATGACCTTTCACGACAGTGAAGTACGAAGCTCTTCTAGCTTAAAAAACATCATGTGCCAAGTGGCTAGCCTTGTGATGAAGTTCAAGTCAAGCTGCAGCAGCTCAAAGTCTGCGTTCTGGCTCGGAAAGGCCTAAAAGTGGTCCGAGCGCGCCGTTGCAGCCTGTTGCAGCCTTCTCGACTCTGGCACAGCGAGCTCACGCCGGTGGCTCCCGCTTCTTCTCCCTCAATCGTCGCAACCACTTCCCATCGTCAGCAATATCTCAACGCACCAAGATGAAGTCTTCGGGCCACCAATGAGATCGAAAAGGAAATACGACTCTTCATCCCGTCAAAAGCAACGCCGCGAGGCCGAGGTAGACGAGAAGCTCCGTTCGCTCAACATCTCGCTATGTCAATACCTCCAGTGGTACTTCAACCCAGACACGACAGCCCTTCAGGTCTTGACGCATCGCCCAAAGCTTTTCAACGGTCACTGGGCCAGCTTCGAACACGTGCTCAATCTGATCGTAGAAGTCGGCCGACAAAGTAGCAGCAAAGGACGAGATCGCATCAACACGTAGATTGCCAAGCAGGTAGGTAATGCTAGCCATCTACCACAACTTCACAACCCCAAATGATCGACCCCCGAGATTGTAGCTACATCGCGTTATCTTAACAGTCTGACTCGATCATTGTTCAGGAGATGAAGAGATCAAAGCCAACTTATGTCCCCAGCCACGAGATGACACCCGACCATCTGACATCCGACTGCATCGACGAAGGGCTCGACAGACGACAATCAGTTTCTTTTTGGCCGCATTCAAAACCTACTGTCTCGGTGCGCAGATACTGCCTGGAGAGAGCCGATCGATGGCGTCGATGCCAATCGTACCGCACAAGATGAGGTCATGGAAGATACCGATGGCCATGGTGTGCAAGAACACGGCACTGAGTCGCAACATCGTAGGGAAAAGCACTTGTTGTTTGTGAGTTCTCACCGATTGTTTGTCTTGTCGTGCTCACACTTCAGACTTCGCAGCTTTCACGCACTCTGATGGGGCAACTCGCGTACGCTTGCAGTCGTCGGAGCAACACCATGCAACATCGTAACGGTTTTTTCGCCTTGGCATGCGGCGCAAGCAAACGCTGGACAACTTTTCTGCAAGAGTGACTCGAAATCCTTGAAATCCTCGCTTTTGTCGAGCAAGCGGAGAATCGACCGTGACTTCGAGGCCCCAACTTTTGTGCAGCGCAGAAAGACCGATCGATGTTCCCTCCCTGCTGTTGCAGTACACGATTGATTGAGGGATAGTACTTGGATCGGATCGAACGCTGAACATTCTGGGAATATCTGTCATTGTAGCCTTGGTATGAGGTGTCATCTCGACGACGATGTTGCGTAAAATAGGGCGAAACAGGTTGGCTTTGGCAAAAAAAAGTTCGCGATTTAGAGATGGTGGCAACCGCTAGAATTTTGTCGATTTTGTCGGGTGGCGCACCCGCAGTAAGGAACAAAGTTTGACAACCAATTCGGAGACGTTGTTGAACAATTTGAGCATACTCGGCGCGAAATGGGTTGGATCCCTCGGTGGTGTGCGCCATCGCGCCGACTCGGTCTTTTCGTCCCGTGAGTCCCCACTCGGCGATCTTGATCGCCTCGTCGTAAACCAGCAAATTGATCCGCTCTCGGAATGAGGAAGTGAAAATCAATTCGCTCCAACGAACGTTGCGCGCATGCATTTCTGGAGACTTGCGAAGTCAACAATGCCGTACAATAGACCATGTTCAGCCAACTTGAAGCAGAAAATGCAAGGTCACAAGGTCTTGAAGCTTACAATGAAGATGTATTCGACTTCGCAAAGCCGATCTTTCAATTGCTCGTATAATTTTCCGTCTTCCCACGTTTTCTTCGACACAACAACGGCCATCTTGCCCCTCATGCATAGCTTTGCGGCCTGTTGAATGCTCAGAGCGTGACCGTCAGTAGACGCCCGACACATTGGCCGGCAGGAGTCTTGCTTACCTGATGCTCACTCAATGCATATAAGGGACTGATGATGATTGTAATTGCTCGCTTACCGAACACGAGATTCATTGCTTCAAAAAGCGTACTTTTGCCGGACCCTGTTGGTGCGGCGACGAAGACTGCGTCGAACGTATTCGTGCATCCGCGCTTCCTGTCGAGCTCGAGGAGACCAGCGATTGCATAGATCTGAAACGGCCGGGGTTCGAAGTCGTCACCAAACTCTTTGAGAAGCAGCAGGTTGGCGTAGCGGATCACGGTCCATTCGATCCTTCTTTGGAATACGTGAGTTCCATCGAACGATCGAGGGGGATTCGGGGTCGGGTTGGATGACGGCTCTATACGGCCGATAGATGCTGTTAGACTTGCTTTGCTGGCTGAACGCATAGGAGATTCTCTGATTTTAATTGAGGAATATCGACGAGGTAGTTTTTTGGCTGGTGTGGTAGCATTTTGGGCTGACATGCTTGAGGTGAAGAGCCAAAGCCTGGTTTGGCCTTGCAGCCGCTCGACCTCGTTCGAATTCGAGCCCTCCTGGTCCGTGCGCGCGAGTGCGTCTAGGAAACATTCAGGACTTTGGTCCGCTGTAGCACCATGTAAACGGCATGTGTTCGCTTGTCCTTGTGCAATCCACCTTTTCAAATATCTGAGTATGACCTCTTCAGCTGTCGTGAAAAGTTATGCAATACCTGCCATGATACAGCAAACCACCCTCTTTCGGCCCAGGGAATTCGGAGGGCAACCGGGCCTGCAGTGACGGCCTGACGCGCCGATAATGCGCAAGTCTGGGAGGGGGTCGAGCTGGGTCGAGCCTAGGGACGGTGCGTTCTAACTTCTAATTAACTGACCAGCTGGCGGTGGCTGGCGGCGCGCGCTCAGACCCTCTCGGACCCTTTTCCTCTCGGCACCGTCATCGCTCGGCAGCTCGAGGTGCCCCTCTTCGACCTGACTCTCCGACCTGCAGACGGTCCTCCCCCGCTCGACCCTACACCATGTTCAAGCGGCCATTTAGCTCCAAGACGTCTACGCCCATTCGCTCGAGTGATCTGCGCCGGCTACGCGAGGAGCTTGTCCAATCGACTTCCTTTCCGAAGTCATTCTTTTTCCCGTCGCTCGATCCTGCTGGTTGGACATCGGCCTTGACCAAAGTCGCCTTGCCCGACAAGACGCTCATCTGCAAGGCCGCAACCCATCTCGATGAGCCAGTGACACTGTACCTCTCCCCCGCGACCGGCAACGACCCCTTGTTTTTTCGACCGGGCAAGGGCGACGACCATGACCTCGTCCCGACGTGCTATGCAATAGACCTCCTTCAGCAACCCCATAACCATCCACTACAAAGTCAAAATGCGATCAAGCCGCCCGGACGCGACGTGTTGCCTACTCTGGTCACCGCCGATGCCGTACTAGACCATCTCATCACCGGCGCAGGTAAGTCACCCAGACTTCGGGGCGGGGCTACTTCTCGGGGGCATCCCCCACCCCCACCGAGATCCCATCCACTGACCGAAATCACCTCTCGAAACCCCACGCTCCATCAGCCCTTTTCCTCGCCGGCATATCCCGTTCTTCTCTCCTATCCCTTCCTGACGACATACAGCCCGGCTCCCTGGTCACGATTCGATGCTCATCATCGCCCGTTATCGTCGCCATCGGGTACTTGACCGCAACCAGGCCGGAGCTCTTGGCCGACTTTGACCAGAATAAGGGCGGTAAGGCCGTCACGACTTTGCACGCGCGAGGCGATTTTTTATGGAATAGTGGTAGCAAGGAATCAGTAGTGGGTGCTACTTCCACATCCTGGCCCCATGGCAGCGCTGGGACGGCAAAGGACAAGGGACAGGAGGTGCCCCTTAGGCAGATGCAAGATTTATCGGTGCAGCCGAAGGCAGAGGAACGTGCTGAATTGGCTCCTGCAGGTAAGTGGCAAAGACGCTTCAGATAGGTATACTTGAAGCTGTGCAGAGCTCACCAGGATGTGTCAATGAACCCTGTCGTTCGGACCCATGCGAACAGACGTCGATGTGGTGCTTCTCCAAGCCTTGCTCCTCTCGATCCGTCAGACATTGTCCAAACCCACCGCACCGTTCCCTTTGCCTGCATCATCGCTCTATTCGTCCCATATCCTACCCCATAGACCTGCTTCACCCCCGCACTCCACAGTCGAGATCAAAAAGAGCTCCTACAAAAAGCTCAGCGCGTTCGTCAAATTTGCCGTCAAGGCGGGCTACGTCGTATCGAAAGAGGTCAAGGGCGAGCTGATGATCATGAGCGTGCATGTGGAGCATCCTGAGTGAGTATTACACGATCAAAAGTAAGAGTTCCCCTGTTATCGCTTGATCTGATTCGCAGCGACGTTGTCTCGCCGTAGTGTCCAGGCGGTTCGGATCTACAAAACGCTCGCGCAAGCTCAAGCTCGGGCTGTGCAGGCCTCGTCGAAAGGATCAGAAGCCGACCTCGGTCCCAGTGGATCCTCTTTGTCTGCAATTTCTTCGTCATCATCCTCTGTGGTCATCACGGAACTTTTCAAGCCGACCTCGGACGTATTGGCCATCTTTCAAGACGTCGATCACCCAAGGTCAGGCTTTTTACGTTTAGGATGGTCGATATGTGATTGCATCCCGCTGACCACGTTGTAGCAAACAGGCCGGAACGTGACCTCTATCTCCCCGTCGAACTCAAAAAAATCCTTACGACCTACATCACCTCGCATTCGCTCACCCATCCTCGCGACCCAGCTTTCCTCACGCCCGACGATACCTTGTCGCACTGCCTGCTCAAAAAGTCCGAGTCGCTCGATCTCCTCAAACGTTCAGACGCGATCACGCGCTTCCAATCGTCCTGCCAACCGTACTACTCCGTCGCTCGAGCGAACCACCCCGTCGAGTCGTTCAAGGGGACGCCTCCGGCGATGAAGATCTCGGTCAAGAACGTCGGCAAACGTCAAGTGACGATTCTGACGAACCACGAAACCTACACCTCGACGCCTCTCAACTTTTACCCTCTACAAACGCTATTGGACGAGCTCAAGATCCGTACCGCTTCTTCGGTCAGCTTGCAACCCATCTTGGGAGCGACCAAGAAGGGGCAGGCACAAAAAATGGAAGTCGTGTGCCAGGGCACGCACGACAAGGTCGTTGTGGATATGCTCACATCCAAAGGCGTGCCGAGGAGGCTGATAGTTGTTGATTTAGCCAAGGCCAAAAAGTGAGGCTCAATGATGGCAGTAGGAAAATATGGAAATGGGTGCAATGCGTACAAGTCGACACGAAAGCCTCGATGTCCCAATCTGAGCTTGAGAGAGCATCGTGCCAAAGTGGCAATAGAAAAGTACACATACAATTTCATCACCGATCTCGAACCAAGCGACACCCTGCGGCAGTACAAATGAAGGAGATGCTTTATCAGCGATGCCGTAGAACGATTGAGGCACAACTGTCAAACGAAATCCTATTGCGAAATTCGATCTTGCATGCGCAGCGCTATGAAGCCGCCTTCAACAAGCCCCACGGATGGGATCCGAGGGCGAGGGGTGTGAATTGAATGCTCCAAAGTGAGGGTATGTTTTGGAGTGTTCAATCACGGCTGATGCGGGGTGTGGGAGAGAGAAAAGATGGATGACAGCCGGGAATGGAACAGCGGAGGAACAATATGGACTTGCGGGTCCGGGTCTGATGGAAGTGTGTTGGAAGGTAGAAAGAGCACGGAAGACTCGTCGGACATACAACTTGGAAACGGGGTGTGAGGCCAGGCGCTTCACCACTCGAGTGCACAGCCAAAAAGGCTAAGAGAGTATGATGTGCGAGGTGACGGAAGGGAAGAAAAGCAACCCGTCGCGGGAGGACACGCGTGACTCACAACCTGAGAGCTAAAAGCTACAAGATGCCTTGTGGGCAAGGAGAGTGGCCCCCATAGGAGGTTGTGAGGGAACGAGAGTTGAAGATCGGTGATAGTCGCTGGTCGTGGTGGGCCGGTGGGCCGGTGCGATGAAAAGTGCACAAGGGGTCGCTGCGTACTGGGCCGTTCGTATTCGGTTCGTGTGCGAGCTTGCGCGAGTCTGCGCAAGTCTGCGCAAGTCTGCGCAAGTCTGCGCGAGTCGTGCGCGTACTTGCGTATACTTTGCGCGTGCGAAGGCCGGATTTGAGATCCCGGAAAGCTACTCGAAAGCTCAGCCCAGGCCAATCTGCATCTCGAAAATTTGTCGTACTTTTCGGGCCCGTTCGTGCATTGTAACATGCTACACAAGGTGACTTTTTTTAGTAGGGTATTTTCCTCGTTCAATAGAGCTTACACCGGCATGCATACACCCCTTAGATAGGGACATTCGGTTTACAAATCGGCCCAAACAAGTTCGGGTGTGTCGTAGCAGTTGAATCGAGCTCAAGATCCAACTTCGAGTCAGGACAGCGCGTGCACGCGGGCAAGTCCTCCTTACCTGATACTCACCGACACCCTTGGTATCGTCCCAGCTCCATCTCATTCTCGACGCTTTCTTTCCTCTCTTGCCCTCCCGCCTTTCCTCACATCCATCAATTATGGTTCGCAACGCCGGCAAGTTCGGCAAGGCTAAGCGCGGAGGAGGAAGACAGTACGTGGCTCCTCCCCCCTTCATCCTTCTCAGGCGGGGAGTAAATGGGCAACTTGCTCGATCTCCGCCCACCCAGAGTGCAGAAGTGCCTGGCAAAGATTGATCGAGCCCACTTTGTCTTCCTCCTCCCGTCTACCTACCTCAGCTTCTCGCGCGATCTCTCTCGCTTGGACGCCGATGGGAACTCTCAACAACTGGAAGGCTCGAACGACTCGGATGAATCCAGCAGCGAGGGAGAGTCCTCGTCCGATGAAGAAGAAATGCCCGCAACCCGCGTAGGTGAACTCCCACCCACTGCCGAATCAGACGAAGACGAGCCCGAGGACGAAGGGCTCGTACGCAACCTCAACTCGACCCGGCTCACAACCCCGAGTTCGTTCTCGGGATCGGCACCATCGAACGCCTCGACCGACTTGCCTCGCCGAGGGCATGTCAAGACAGCCGATCAAGTCGCACAAGCGAGAAAGGACAAGAAGGCTGCCAAGAGTGGAGGGCAGGCCGCGACGAGAGCGCTGGGCAGCGAGAGCGACGACGACGACGACGACGACGACGACGACGATGCGCTCGACATGATGAACGCCAACCAGAAACCCAACAAAGGGATCAAGCTCGGCGACTTGGGTGCTCCCAAGGAGATGTCGAGGCGCGAAAGGTTTGTCGACGTCGCATGTTCCTCGCTCGGCAACTAGGAGTCACACTTACAAGCTTTTAAATTGTGCCCACCTTCAAGGGAACAAGCCGACAAGAAGGCAGCGGCCGAACGCTATGCCAAACTGCACGCCGCTGGAAAAGTGAGTCCCCAGTCATTTAAAAAGCTTGGTGCTCCAATCAGTCTATCTTGTTCGTTCTTGCTCAAAATTGTCGACGCTGTTTCGATTGATCATTCAGACCGATGCCGCTCGCGCCGATCTCGCTCGACTGGCCGAGATCCGAAAACAACGAGAACAGGCGGCAGCCCGTCGCAAGGCCGAAACCGATGGTGAGGTGGCGTGCGTGCATGGCAAACGCGAACCGAATCTTGCTTGGACTGATTAGCCATACATTCCCTCAGCCTCGGAAGCTTCGCGCCAGGCCGCGATGGAGAAGAGTGGTCGCAAGACGGCCAAGAAGTAACTGTTTTCGGCCCGACTTCGGTTTTGTGTCCTTCTTCACGCTGTATGATTCCTGCCTCGAGTGTGCAAATCGCAATCCGTTGTAGTTGTGGAGAGTTGTCGGCCCCACAAAGAGTTGTGTGGTCTCAGTCCGAAATGTTTCCGGGTGGTCCGCAAAAGCGCCTTGAAGCTTGGAGCGCGAAAAATTGAAGTCCACACAGGCAGGTGCGACCACCACTATGCAGCAAAGGCCCGGATCACAGCAAGTCCAATAAATACTAGGCACTACGAACACAACGCAAGCTTTGAACCAGAGTTGTTGCTACTGAATTGAACGCACAGCCCGAGCATCGCATTCGCATCATGGTCGGCGGCGTCGCAGATCGCCCCAAAAAGGCTTCTCGCTCTGGCCGTCATCTCGAGTGCTGCTCGGCGAGTGAGGATGCCCCTATCGCTGGCGACCCGGTCCTTGCCCGACCTCAGCCAACCACTGCAAGACGATGAGAACGACGTCGGATACTCGGAGGAGGAGGATGACACCGAGCAACTGTACTCTGACCCGATAGCGCCTCCTTCACCCCCGCTGCCACCACCCCCACTTGACCACGACGACCGCCACGACGACCACCGCGATCCCCGTGACGGCGGCGCTAGCCACCGCAGCAGCAAGTACATCCACTCGAGTCCTAAGCGACGACCACGAACCCATTCTCAATCCAGCAGAACATACTCGAGCCCGAGGTCGTTCGGCTCTGCTCGAAACCATCGCCACGAGCTCAGCCTCGAGCAGCCCGCCAGTGACGATGACGATGCAGCGACTGTCGGCGAATCGTCATCGATCCTGATCACAACCTCGAGACCACCGGAGCACGACTCAATACCAAGCTCGACGACGTCCTTCTACTACGACGCCTTGCTCGATCAGCAGCAGCAGCAAGACCATCGTCGACCTTCGCTCAAATCCTACCCCTCCAGTACGAGCGTCCACGACCACTCTTCAAGATCCGGCACACCCGAAATCGACCACCATGATGCTAGTTCGATCCATTCGGCACCCGAGCTGGAATACCACAACGCGAGCTACACGAGGGACGACTCGCGCATTGATCCCTCGCAAGGAGATGGAGACGGTGGCGAGTTGAGTTCGCCCGGCGCCGACGCGCCGCTCAGTCCCAATACCTCCTCAGCAGATCGCAGCTACGGGAGGAGTCAGCGGAAAGGAAGCGGGTCTGAAGTGTTCTATAGACTTCTGCCCTATACACTGTGGGACTACCTACAAGAAGAAGTCCGTACCTCTCACGGTGAAGACGGTGGAGTCGGACAAAAACGCGGCCGTCGGCTAACTCGTTCCACCTCTTGCGCCAGGTCATGTCGGTGGAGGTTGACGGCGAGCAAGGTGTCAAGAGTGAACGTGTGACCAACTTTTTGACTGTTCCAGGCGAACTTGAAAGGGTACGCTCGTGCGTCTCGCCAGTCCGGCAAGTTCCTAGCTCACCGTAGCTTGCGCCACTCTCCCACTTAGATCATCATCTTTGGCGTCATCATCTGTTTTGACTCGTTCCTGTACATCTTCGCCATTTTACCCTTGCGAACGCTAGTTGCGGTCTATACGTTCGTCATCAATACGGTCTTTAACCTTCACCTACCTCTGTTTCGCCGCTCGCAACCTCGAAGAAGAATGCGCCTCTCTCACAAATGCGATCTTGCCAAGGCCGCAATATTTGTGCTGGCGATGATCGCTTTACACAGAATCACGGATGCCAGCAAGATGTATCACTCCGTCAGGGGCCAGGATACGATAAAATTATACGTCTTGTTCAATGTGCTCGAGGTACATCACCCAAAACCGAATGCGATCAAATCAATCCGACGCATCTGACTTCCCTTATTCCCTTCACTCGCCAGATCGCGGACCGGTTGTGTTGCTCGTTCGGGCAGGATCTACAGGACTCCCTGTTCTCCCGGCAGACGCTGGGTAGGCGGACAGATGGCTCGCACCCTCATATCAGGCCTCTCGCTCTGTTCGGTCTGACTGTCGTCTACGTCGGTGAGCAACCTCGAGTAGGATCTGCCAACGTCTCGCGCGCTGAAGGATGGCCTCGACCTCGCAGTCGCACATACGTTGGTGCTATTTTACCAACTCGTCACCCTCAATGTTGCCATCAACTCGTACTCCAACGCCCTGTTGACCCTTCTCCTGTCGAACCAGTTTGTCGAGATCAAAGGCAGTGTCTTCAAAAAGTTCGAAAAAGAGAACCTGTTCCAGTTAACTTGCGCAGGTGGGTCGAGTCGGAACGTATATCAAGGTATCCACTGCAATGTGTGCTGACGCGCATTGTCTTGAATCAGACGTTGTTGAGCGGTTCCAACTTGGCATCATGCTTTTCATCATTGCGCTCCGCAATCTCGTCGAGCTCTCCTCCACCGCGGCGATTCCTCTCTTCCCGTTCTTGGCTTCCTTTCCTACCTCGCTTTCCAAGCTGCCGACACCTAGTTCACTCGCCCTTCTTCAAACGATCTTCTCCCCCGCCATTGTCGTGCTCATGAGTGAATGCTTTGTCGACTGGCTCAAGCATGCGTTTATTACCAAATTCAACCACATCCGACCACAAGTCTATGGAAGGTTCATCGATGTCTTGTGCAAAGATCTCGTTGTCGGAGGCAAAGGAACAAGACGAGAGCAGGTATGTCGAGGCGCATCATTCGCGCGTTGCTCACACATGTGCGCTGTTGACGACCCCTCCCCTTGCCCACTACGCGTACCCACAGCCCTTCGTCGACCAATCTCCTGTTGTCGCACGTCGTCTGGGTTTTGCGGCGCTTCCGTTGGGCTGTCTCGTTGTGCGCGTTATCGCGCAAGCGTTCGAGATGCTCGTCGACGACTCCGCAATCGACGAATGCGCGATGCCCTCGACAAATTCGATGAACTCGACTGGTGGAAGCGTGTTGAAAGGTGGAGGTGTGGAAGACGGGTGGGGTGATTTGAGGGGATGGGCCGTGATCGCATTGGTCGTGCTGATCGGATGGATTTGGTCAGCTTGTCGTGAGGGCGTCTGATCGTTCGGGTCATACTGAGCTGACGAGTAACGATTCCCTTCTCCTTCCCTGCAGCCTGGTTGCTCTCAAGCTGCTCATCGGGTATGTTGCCTTTTCCGCTCTTCTTCTTTCTGCGCAAAAGTGCTTACGAAAGTTCGACACCTCTTCAGCATCAACCTTCGCTCCTTCGCCTCGGAACGCTGGGCCTCGATGCAGCAGCGCGAAATCGAAGACCAGCTCAATGATCGTGGACGAGCCAAGATCGGTGTAACACCAGCAGAAGCCGTAAGTCTGACCTCTTACGTGATCGTGCAACCTCGGAGACATGCAATAACTTGGCAGTAATATGTCGTCGTGACGCAGTCAATGGACCATCAAGTCGAGCGTTTACTCAAGGATGACATCTTTGACGCGAACGAGAGGGGTCGCAAAATCAGCCTGGCCAGTTTGTCAAGGTATGATATGATTCGGAGCCGATTGTGGTAGTGTTCAAGCGAGACCACGTAGATGATTATGAAGGAAACGCCGTTCCCGAAATCGAGCAAGACGTCCAAGTCGAGCCAGATGCCGAAGCCGAAGCGCAGAAAAGCAAATTGGAGACACGGTGGTGGAAAGGATGGTGGAATGTACAGAGCACCGCACGTCACCAGCCACAAGTTTTCTTGCCATCGGACGAGTGGCAGAGTTTTGCTTTCGTGGAACAGACTTATCTCGACTCCGTTTCAGCTTCACCAACATGGGGTTTTGATAGTCACGCGCGGTGCAGGCTATGTCGGCGGTTTCGTCCAATAAAGTCTCAGATTAGCATCATTGACGCACCACGGGCCGGCGACAAGCCCCTCAACTTTCAGCTGGGAAACATCATGTGGTATTCAAACATCGCTTCAAGTCTCATCCAACCTTTGAAGCAAAGATGCGGATTGGAAATTACCCTAACTGGTAAAAAAAGTGTGGATCCGCGACTCATGTACCTAAAATCGCTGTTTTTGAGTGTGTTGCGGCCCTGAGGGCAGCCTATAGTGAGTGTACCAGTATACTATTGAGTCTGCCTCACCTGCCTGTGGTATCGGCGTTCCGACCAAAAGTCATGTCCGACCCGTTCTGCATTTTCTGGACCATAAAAGTCGAGCTACAGCGCGAGGACATTTTTTGTCGATTTTTGACGTGGTGCGGAATTGAGTATTTAACTTATAGCAAGCGCGTGGATTTACATAACACTTCTTCTACAGAGCTCAGGCGTGGTCCCGCTGTCGTTGACGCGCGGGCGCGGCTTACGCAGCGCGATGCGCCGTCAGTCACGTGACGTGCTGCCTACGTCCCGACACCGGTTTCAGGGGCTCAACAACAACATGAGGTTCGAGGGGCTGTAGCTATTCCCGCGCTACTCTAATTCTTTCCTTTTTCCTCACTGCACTGGGGCGGAACGACGAAGCACGAATAACCGTCCGGGTTTCATTGCGGAAGTGTTTCCAAGTTGGACCGAATCTGCGACGACGTTTTGGGCAACAAGCACCGGGCAGCTGTTACCTACTGTTACGGCGATGAAGGGATAATCGTCCCTTTGCTGACCTTCGTATTGTGTTCTTCTACCTCTGCACAATCCAATTCTCCTGCTATTTGAATCCCTGAAGCTCGTTAGAGCTGAAGGTTTCGTTTCGAAAAATGGGGGGGTCCCAGCCTCGAAAATGGTGCACGTCTGAGATTTTATTGGACGAAATGGCCGAAATACCCCGCACGCGCGTGGCTGTTGAAGCAACAATAGGAGAGCTCGATTTCAGCGCTGATTGGTGCGAACAATGCTACCCCGGATGGGAGGAACCTGCCTGAGCGCAATAGGAGAGTCCGAGTTCAGCGCCGATCGGTTAAAACAATGCCTTCCGGATAGGAGGGCCCCTCGCACTTAGCACTCAGCTTGGGCGTCATCAGCCTCCCCGAGTCCCCGCGGCAGGCCCGGTCCGCTGGCAAGTTGCCACTGCCCGGCCCTCTCCTTTCCGTCTCTCTGTACTCGCCTTGCTCCAACTTGGACCGAGTGTCCTCGCATCTCTAAGACCCGTATCACACAGCCGCCGTCATGTGACTTCTTTGTGATCTTGTACCCCTCCGCACCATCGAGGTCAGCCCACAACTTGAACGCTCGAATCTCGACGACGTGTTTGTCAATATATTGCTGTTTCATCCCACTGGTATTCCCGATTATGATTAGTTACTAGTTGTTGATATTAGTCGCCCCGCGCGTCTCGAGCCTGCCTCGCGCGCGCTCCCTTAGCGCTTATCTTCTTTCTCCAACTATCTTTACTATCTTCATCGGCTCTCGTACTTACGCACTTCGTGCCTCGGCCTCAGTTCCTGAAAGTGTTAAGCCTCGCGTCCACCGCTAGCGACAGCCGATCCTCCCGCCGCACCAGACACGCACAGTATGTGTACTCCGGTCCGCTCCTACGCAACAGTCCAGTGTTGGCATTGTAGAATGCAGTCTGGGGCGACTTGTGCTCAGCAGCATCAAATTCAGCATGAATCTCCTGAAGGAGCTTTGTCGGGCGCACCACGTGGAAGGATACTCCAGGAAGAATCCGCTTGCGAAAGAGCTATTCCTACAAGCGCTCCTTTGGTCGTGCGATCCCAACTGTAATGCTTGTTCAAATGGGTATGTTTTGAGAAGGCAACAAGCGGCGAGTCCCGTGACTCTGCCCCCATCGCTTCCCCAAGCACAGAGCATACGCATCAAAACCTGTTGACGTGCTCCAAACCGAACTGAACGAGGAAGCCCAGAAGAATCGCGAGAACGTCTCGGCGACTACCTCTAAACAAACGATGCACAGACGTCCACCGCTGCATCCCGAACCCGAACAAGAAGAATCCGGTAAAGTGACATCGCATTTTGCGCCAGCATCCGATCAGTTCGAGACCGAGAACCGTTCTGAATGGAATGATTACTCATCGACGCTCGTTCCCGTCTCTTCTGCTGCCTGGTGTGTTCCGAGAGAGTCTTCGGGCATAACGTACGATGGGTGCCTGAAGACGACATCAAGCGTGAGGAATCAGGGATTTGGAAGGTAGTAACCAACTCTACACTACGGACGGACCTCCGACCCCCGACTTACGATTTTTCAGCTTGACGGGGCGCACTCATCCATCCCCGACGTCTTCATCAACCGAGCGATTTGATTGATCAGATCGCGTACTCGCCCACGAATAACACGCTTCAGTGCTCACTCTGCCGAGACTGCTTCAAACGCTCGTTCCCTACCACAGTGTAAGGCGCCGCTCCGCTTACGCCTCACGACGACCTCGAGCCAACCTCTGCGGCCTCACGCTTGCCCTCGCGCGTGGCGCCGCCGCGTCTCTTGACCTTAGTCCTTTTAGTAGTCTTTCTTCGCCTGCGAATTACACCGTTTGATCCTTTCAGTTTGGACTCGGAATCAGTGAGGCTCGAGAGCGAACTCGTGCCTTTCACACAGGGCCACCGACTAGTACGCCCCCTCGATCGTTGAGCAACGGATTTTATCGCGCACTGGATCACGTCCCCGCTGATGTCCGAGATTGCCTCTCCAACACGAGTCAGCTTGAGCACCTCGTCACTGTGCGCGCCAGATCCTACAAGATCATGTACAAGCTAACTCGTTTCGGAGATCGCAAAGCTCAACAAGAATTTAGGCGCGGAAACACCCTCATCTTCAGCCAGAACACCGCTTCGTTCACCGATGTACTGCCCATGTTAGTCGAGGAACTCGCTGACAGTGTGTGCGTTCTATTCTGCAGAGGCAACCCCAACCTTGCGGAGCTGGACAAGTTTCGACCCATGATCGTGAAGCAGAGTCGGATCCAAAAGATGCTCAGGTGGTTGATCAACGAAAGCAAGAGTCCGGCGTACTCTGCAGTCTCCTTTTTTGATGGCGAAAGACTTGCACAGCTCGTTCGACGCAATTCTGGTGTGCTTAACTCTACCTCTCCAGCACCCATGGCGGTTTCAGCTTCCACTTCGGCTTCGGCTTCCGTCTCGGTTGCTCCCCAAGTGTCGGATGGACAAACCTCGGATGGAGACAGTCTCGTGCCCGACGCAGTTTTGGCGAAGGTGTTTACCGCAGAGACAGTGGAACCAACATCATCGCTCTTTGAAGGCTACGCAACAGCGCATAACGACTCTGATGAACCAGTTTTCGAACACGTCCATGTGCCGCCACCCGCTACCGACGCGCCAGTTCACTCGTGGCAGTTCTCTGAGAAAGCTCTTCGTTATTTCAACCACTGCAAGACCAGCCCCCCCCCCCCCATGTCATTCCGACAGGCGACGACCCTTTGTGGGAATTTTCGGATGGCTTCCTGCTCTCAAAGCTGTGGCCACACCTCGATCCATTAGGTCTCGTCGGTGTCTGTGTCGAGCGCGACGTCAAGATTTCTCTGGAGGAGCAAGTCAAACATTGGCTCAATCTATACGACAGCAATTTTCGATGCGACCCGTCTTTCCCATTCATCATCTCGAACATTCTCCGCCGACGAGACGTGTTTCACCACCTCGCTTTTCGGGTCCCCAAAGAGAAGGTGGCTCGAATCGCCGCAGCACTGCTCGAAATTTACCGCATATCGACCGTATTCTGGCGTTTCGTCCAAGCACGCACGTACTTCAACCAGGCGAGGCAGGCCCAACACGCTCGCTTTCAGTTCGTGCCGCATCGGATCCGGGTACATGCCAGGAACAAGCCCCTCTTCATGCAAGTCACGCGTACAATCACCTAAATTCCTGTATGGGTAAGCTGATCTGACAATTCTACGGCATCGTCATCATTACAGCCTTTTCTCCCTCTTCTCACCGACCGTCCACCCGTCGCCCAAGAAAAAGCTATTACCGGTCAAGAGGTCCATTACCGTGGCATTTGACCTTGCCCCTTCCAAAAAAAAAACGTAAGTCGCTCCCTGAAGTCCCGATCTCTCAACGTCAACTGAAACCACATCTTATAGCCAAGTTCGGTGAAAGGGCGATGTGGGTCCCCGGCGCTGACGACCACATGCATACACAAAGTTGGAGTCGGACCAGACACGGACTGTGGCATGGGCGATGTCGAGTGATCTCAACCTATGCATGTACACCCCGGCTCTGGCTCGATCTCTTCTTGCTGCAATGTTCATTAATGTTTGGCACATACTTACACGACTCATTGATGTGGATTAAACCGACTCGCCAACTTGGTGCTGCATGCCCGATCCATGGCATGTTCTTAGTAATACTAGCTGACGTTGTCAGTCGGTGTTACTCCGTCAGAGGTTCAGGGACCCGTCGCCCCCTCCGGGGGCGCGTTATTTTATCATCCCGTTAACTTTACGGGTTTCCACTGGTATGAGAAAAACGTAGGGTCTGCGCCTCGCGGTCAAGTCATTAAATGACACGGCCTGAGGTACCTCTATGACAATCTCGTTCCGCTTCACAGGATGCGGCTACATCGACTCGACTGTTTTTGGGAGCTGGAGAACTCTCGCGTTCGAAACACTCTTGCCCCGACGCGCAGCATAACTTGGGTGATCCCAGCGATGCAGCAGGAAAGGCAGATGAAGCCGAGGAAGCCCGGCAGTCGCGACAGGGGTCATCAGTCTCGGTGCCGAATTTAGCTAAAATTCGCTCCGTGTCGCAAGGAAAGCAATCTCAGCTGGATGCTGCAATTAGGCGCCGTTTCTTCTGGCTGGAGCGTTCATACTGAGAACACTGTGAACAAGCGGCTCGGGGTGTTTGAGCTTTGCGGCGAGTTGACGTAAGCCTGCCCCGCGCGTTAGCTGCTATGCGATGCGATGCAGTGGCTTGCGTGAATTCTTCAACGCGTCGTCCGGAGATCAAGCTGAAGAGTTGCGCAGCTACCGTGAGAGTAAAGGGAAATGCACGCCAGAACTAGTGCCGAACGGGTCCCAAGAGGTAACGTGGTGAGCACCAGTACCTGTCAGGGGGCGTTTCCAGCTTTCTTTGCATGCGAACCGCCGAGGACTGCGCCGCGCACAGGGCCAGTCGTGTCGGCCGATCAGTCCGGCGGTCCGGCGGCTGAATGGCCAGCCTTTGGTGAACTGCCGCCGAGCTACCGATCCTCAGACCGCTGGATGCGCCTCTTATAACACGCCTCCTATACATATGTAACTATGTACTTGTTCCCGCATAGCCAATTTGCGCTAGCGATGGCCAGGGCGGGGAAGGAGCACGTGGCTGCGGGGCAGGGGCGCTATCTCCTGCAAATGACGCGTTACATAAGAACAGACAGAAATTCATGGCTGGGACCCCTGATTTCTTCGAAACGAGACGTTTTACTCTAACTAGTAAAAAAAAAAATGTGAGTTAGGGAATGTACCTAAAATCACTGTTTTTAACTAGGTGGCGGCCCTCCGGGCCGCCTGTGGTGGATGCACCAGCATACTGTTGTGTCTGCCGCACCTGCCTGTGGTGTCCATGTTCCGATCAGAAGTCATGTACAAGCTCTGTGGCAACCTTTGTATTTTTCGCGCCAGTCGAACGAAGCTACAGCGTTCCCAGTATTTTCCTTCACTTTTTCGTTGACGTAAAACAGTGCTAACACTTATATTGTATTTAATGGACGGCAAGCGCGCGGCTTTGTATGTCATTGCTTCTACAGCAGAGCTCCGCCTGACGGGCGGGGCGAGGGCTGGCGTCTGTCACGTGATGCGGCGCGCCGGCGGTGTCAGTGTCATTCCGGCAGCTGACCAGCGGCATTAGGGGCTGAACAACAAATCACACCCCGTGAACAAACCCGCGCCACTCCCTCTAGCCTTTTACTTTTCTCTCCCACTCTCATCAAATTTTGTGACACTCATTCAAGGAGAAACCCTCGCCACTATGCCCCGTTCCTAAGGTCGCCAGGGAAGGCCATCGCAACCTCGCCAAGTCTTGGCCGCGATGAGTGAAAAATAGTTTCTCTGCTGTCTTTCGTCATTATACCATTCGATTCTCCTGCTATTTGGAATCATATTCCCGTTAATTTAACGGGATCCCACTGGTAGCTCTTAAGAAGAAATCGAAGATTGCTTTTAGTAGCTCACGTCCAACTTCAAGCCAGAGCGGCCCCGCGCCCGCGAAAGCGCCCAGCCGGGCCTACGGCGCCACGGCCGCGCAGGGCCCAGGAGTCAGGACCCAGGTGCCACAATGCGGTGCTGCTAAGTGCCACCGGCGCCAGGCCTGCGACACCCTGCGCCTGTGCTGCTAATTCAGTCCACCGGGAACGACCTCCACCCACCCCCGATCTTTTGGACGCCTTTGGCTTTGACCACAAACCGCGATCACACATCCTCTCCATACCACGCCAGCCACTCGACCATCTCACTACCACCACGCGTCTCCTGTGTTCTTCTTGTTCCATACGGTCTGTAAAGCCCACCTGCTTGGTTCTTGTACAACAACTAGTCCGCGCGTGTGTCCGTGGGGTCCTCGATTGCATCGCCTCTGCGCACAACAGCCCCCCTCGCCCCTCCCCCTCCCCTTCCTTGATCGACATCCCAACCCCGGCGCGGCGCGAGATCACCCACGAAACGTCAAACATCCGGCTCAGCCTACGTCCCGCTCCATGTCCCGCCCCTCCTCGCCTCCGTCCTCGACACCACCACCACCACCATCACCACCATTGAACCCGCCTAGTGCCGCCTATGGTGGATCGGGGCGTGACCCGTACCTGGCCCAATCGCGGGGCCTGCCCTTGACCGAGCGGGATCGCCAAGAGGGCTACGACGTCGGACTGCTCAACGCCCGCCCGCGCGGGTCCAACAGCCATGCCCCTAGTTCGGTTGACGGCTCGTCGCCACGACTAGCAGCCGGTGCGGTAGGCGGTGCAGGTGCAGGTGCTGCAACGGACCGCACGCTTGGCCCCGGCCTCAGTCCCAGCCCGTCGTTGAGGGAGCTCACGTCGGAGAAACCTTACCTCGCGCCACATACAACCAAGGGCGCCGGTGAATATGGCTATGGTGCTGCAGTGGGTGCTGGGACTGACGAAGCTGCCGCTGCAAGTGCAGGTGCAGGTGCAGGTGCAGGTGTGGCCGGTTCGAAGGCCAGTGGTGCTGCAGCAGGAACTGGCGGCCCAGGTACGATGGCGATGGGCACCAAGGCGGAGCAAGGAGGGTCCGGATCGTCACTCCTTGATGGCAGCTCCGGACGGAAGCGATCGTATGGCCGACCTTGGTACATGCGCCCTCTTGCACTGGTTCTGCTCATCGCGACCGTCATCGCCATCGCTCTGGCCATCGGACTAGGTGTCGGATTGTCGCGGCGCCACATCAATGACACCGACAGCTCGCAGTACGAAGCCACGGGCGCAAATTATACCTCTACGCGATTCAAGACAACGTCCAAGAGTAGAACAACGGGTACCGTCATCCCCAGCGGCAGCTATACGTCTTCGTCCCCGAGAGAGACGACGATCACGGATACCTTGCGCTCGTCATTGATGTATACTCCAAGTGAGCTCGTCGATACAGTTACAAACAAGCCGATACCCGCTGGACAAGCAACCGTGACAGCAGGAACAACACTTGGCACAATCTCACCTTTGGGCGGGGAGAGGCGGAGAAGAGGTACTTACGCCGCGCCGACTCGACTGCCGACGATTCGGAGAGGCAGAAGTTGATGGGAGTTATGGTCTCGCTGTCCCACTCGACTTGGAGACATCAATTCGATCATGGACGTTGGTCGTTCTCTTTCCCATAATTACGATCGTCGTCGTCCTTTTCCTCAAGGCGAATGTCAATTTTTGATGTGCAAAGCGTGCTATGTTTTCATTATTCGCTTGCTTTCCCGTTCGTGTGGATTTCCTGATCAAATGTTCTCAAGGGTTGTCACAAAATGTAACAAAACCGTTCTCGAATCTGGTGAGTTGATCTTGAACCTCTTTGGGTTTCGGCTCGACCTTGCTTTGGCTGACTCTTTAGCCGGCTCTTTCTTTGTGGCAGCCCGCTTACGACGCTCGTAATATCTTTGTTCAAGTAGGCAGTACGGTGGCGGCGTCGCCTGCTCGTCTTTCCTTCGCCCCTTCCTTCTATACATTAATCGCAGCCTTTCCCCACTACCCCTTTTCTTCCAATCGCTCTCGCTCTCTTCTTACGTTCTGTTATATACACCTTTGAATCGAGGTGTCGGTTCGACCGCCATAGCCATGAAAGGATGTGGAGAGCCAAGGGGTTGCAAAAGGGTGGGCCAAACTGGTTGTGCTTCGAAAGCTGTCACCCTGTGACCTGTCTTTGCACAGGCGGGAAATCAAAGGCCTTTTCCGTCCTGATCACCTCGCCATCGATCAATTTTCCGACATGGGGTTGGATCTGATACCTGAGCGAGAATGTGGCCGAGACGTTCCTGAGAAGAACGAGGGTCGGACGTCAGCGAGGATCCCACGATTCCAATCGAATGAGAGGGAATTCCTCGATGTGTAAATTACCTGAACGTGTCGGTGATTTCCTTAAACTCGTATTTCTGCTTGCCGTTACTGAGATTGATGGTCGCGTATTTCTTGTTGCGCACGATGCGATCCCACAGGACGACCGCGTTGTTCGGCTGATGAGACGGGTCCCGGGGAGTCAGTACGGGATTGATTGTACTTCGACCGTGTTCTGCTTTCGACTTGCGTAATTGTAGGTATCGTACTCGGCTACGAGGTAGACGAACACTTGTTTGGTGTTCCAGTTGAACAAAGGCGACAAGTCTGTAACGTGACGTGGAGATGGATCAGAGGTGTGGGGGGAAGGGTAGGGGGCAAGGTCAGTGCATAGCCCTGATGAGAATGCAGAAGAGAGGCTGTGCTCACCTGCTACAAGATCATACTTGACGAAGGCAAACTCCCTCGCTCTCGGGTATCTCTCATAGCCGCTCCGGCCGAGGACGACGTTGATGTGGCTCGGGCGCAACGAGGCGTTCGTGACCGTCACCGGGAGGAGCAAACAGGATAAGGATACGAGCGAGAGGAGCACGACGAGGACAGTCGATGCGAGGGCTCTGCTCAGCTTGAAGCAATACATCAGTTTCGGTTGTGAGCGCAAATGTCCGGTGGAGAGCGAAGACTGAGGCGGTGACAGAGGGACAGGGGGTCAAGTACGTACGTGGCCGAGTTGAGTCGCTGAGTTGCCGAGTAGTGTGCCGACATGATCCAAGTAGTGCCAATTTGGGAGGTAGGGTGAGCTCAATTTGATGCTGTGGAATGCACGCCTCGTCGATTCGGCCGAGACGTCACGTACACAAACCGAGAGACGTGGATCAAAAGGGAGGCACGTCAGCCGCGCGCGTTGATGATGATGAACTTCGCCAGCTTTGAGCTTGGACCCCTTCGATGATCGGCTCGGGACCTATCATAAGTGGCTGCCGGCCTCGAAAACGGTCAGGCTCAACAAGGATCGGCGTCTGTCATGCGTATGCTGCAATTGTTGGAATCCGCACCATTGGCGGAGACCGGACTGACCGGACCCTTGACCAGCTCACACCGAGTCAGACGCAACATTCGAACCTGCTCTTCCTCTCGCATCCATCGCTCGCTCTTTCCATTGGCTATGCGATGTTCACCTACCGCACCAATTTGGGCCGCCCGAATACGCGTGACGGTTCCGTCCATCAACACGTCTGCGTGCATCTCATCTTGCCGATGCCTTCGCCCGTCTCGCTTCTTGAAAAGGATCCTCCCGACAGCGGTGGCGCAGGTCATGGCGAGCTTTTCGAGTGAGCAGACTTCCTTACCGGTGTGGCTGCGACGTCGCAGTATCAAGCCGCTTCCACAGCGAGCTCTGTTGGTCCTATGAACACTTTCGGCTTCGACGCCTCTTTTTTTTTGTATCAAGTCGCACATCCGCTTTAAAAAGACCGCTGCTCAGTCTGCTGGACTCGATTCGAAGCATGCTAGTAGATTCAATTTATTATATTCTTCGGTCTTTCGGCGCACCTGAAGGTCGCGTTCGACTAAAGTGTTTGAATACCTCCGGATGAAGCACGACTCGACCTCGATCGGTCTCTTGCTGGGACCGGCCACCACATAAAGTGGAACAGAATGTCACGAGCCTTCTCTCGGTCCACTTAGCAGCTCTGCATCCACCTCACCCATCCCCCCAGCTGAGTCGTCGTCACTAAACGCCTCGGGTATGACGCAGGCCACTTTGCTGCTTGGTCTGGGTCTGTTGCATCTTGGGTCGTGGAAACGTATGCAAGCGTACCTGATGGTTCAGGAACTGCGAAATCCACGTGACGACACGCAGGACGCTGCGGCATGCCGAGAAGCGAACGCTTTATCCGCAGGCTTTTCGTTCGGGCTGATCATACTCGCCAGCCGTACGAACGTGGTAGCCAAACCGGGCGAGGTGCACAGAGACGTTGAGGGCAGTCGTCGATGTCACCGGAGAATCTCATCGACCACTCCTCACGCCTGCTGGGTCAATGTCCATAGCGTACACGTCACCGAAATCAACGTGACCTGAGCTCAGCAGCAAGTTCCAAGGGTCCGCATTAGATCAGATCTGATCAGATCTGATCTGACAGGGGTCAGATCAAGTTCAGATCAATCAAGCCTCGAGGAAAAATATCCAAAAGTAGGCGGTACCTAGATGGTGCCATTGTGATTTGAAAGCCAGCTGCGGCGCACCTGATCATGAGAGAGAATGGATCGCGCCATCTGCCATCTGGGCATCCGAGTCGCCGCCGCATTGGGTGTCGGCCCTGCGCCACAGAAATACTACAGGTCCTCCTCTGATGGGCCTTCGTTGCAGTGTCAAGTGCTGACTAATCAAAACAATTTCTTATAGGGATCATGCGACCCAATCCAGTCATAAAAGCGGGGAGCTCCTCCAAAAAGCGGCGCTTAGCAAGGTGATCACTTTGGAGGATGATGAGGATGAGGATGAGATGAGGATGAGTTTGTGGAGGAAGAAAATGGGGATTTCAACATGTAGACATGTAGAAGTCTCTCTGCGCCAAATTAGGCAATTTCATGTCTCAGATCAAATTGATCTGTTCAGGTCAGATCAAGATCAGATCACTCAAGGCAGAATCAGAAAAATTCAGATCAGATCTGATCTGAGCTGTCGGTGATCTGATCTAATGCGGACCCTTGGCAGCAACGATGGCACTTGCACTCATGTGCCGCGCCGAGCGCCACGACGTTGCTTCCGGTTGCTCGAGATGACGACTCAGCCTCAGCGCCTCGATTACGCTTGCGCGGATGTTCTTCCGTCTCCGAGTCGTGCGGCGTGCGCACACTGGCCAGAGCGATGATCCTCTGGAACCGCATCCAACTCTTCAAGACATGGGTTGACTCCCACGTGTCGATATTCATCTCCTATGCTGTCGAAGCGGTAACGCGGCAGGGCGTTGCAGCAATGCGGACCTCGGGATTGAGAAGTGGAGCATCGTTGTCGGTGCAAGCTTCGCGATTGGGCTCAAGTTTGCCGGCACAGCGGCCGCGCAGGCCCACGGGACGTTAAATTTGTTGAATTGCATTCTATCAAGCGTTCGAACACTTCGACATCGGGCCGCCGTTTGACGGGCTTGTCCGCCTTTCGCCTCGCGCCTTCGCCTCGGCGCCTTGCCTCCGCGCGCCTAAGCCTCCGCAAGCCTCCGCCGCGCCCCCTGTCCCTCGAGCCTCGCCGCATGACACTTGCGCCCAGCCTCGTTCCTCGACCCATGTGCACCGTTCGTCAATCCGTCCACATCCTGGTCCGTCCACCCGGCCGTCGCCTGCCCTGTCTGCAGGTCACCGCACCACTTCGCCTACCTGCGCCCGCCTTCGCACGCTGCCGACTTTCCTGACTCCGCAGCCTTGCCAACGCACGCCTCCAATGGCCCCCTGTTCTTGTCCGAGCGCTCCTGTCAATGCCCTCGCACTTTTCAACATCCGTCCGGCCGTCGCCTGCTGAGCCTGCACGTCACCGCCCCCTGTCCGCCGATCCGCGCCGGCCTGTTCAACTCACGCCCGCGCGCCGCCGCCTCCACGCCGGGACTCTGGCTATCTGCCCTCCAGTCTTGCTGAGCCAATGCCTCCACTTAGTCACCAGCAGCTTGCCGCCGCCGTCCTCATGTTCCATCGGCCATCAAGAGTATCGCGCATGACGCCCGCCGTTCGCAACCTGAGTCTCGTCGCTATGGACTCCCTCGCTCACCAACACTCGACATTGCAGATAGGTTTCCCCTCGTGTCCGCTGTCCAACACAGCCCCTCTCAGAGCCTCGATGGCCCGCTTGGAGTTCGGTTCTGTAGCTTCGCAATGTGCCCGCCCGGTTCTCAGACCCGCTGTGCGCTCCCCTGCTAGAACCTCGCCCGACTCGCGCGCTCTCGCGCCTCTCTCCCTCTTCTCTATCGTTTCGTCTCACCATTCAGATTGCTGAGATTCGCTAGAGAACAGGTCCGTTGTAATCACATTATCGTTTCACTCGCCTATCGCCTAGTCAGATTGCTGAGTTTCCATAGAGAACAGATCGCTCGGCCGCGTCCTCACCGCCTCGCGACTTCTCGACCGGGGAGCACTTGCCACGCCGTCCTGCCTCGCAACCCCCTCCGAAACGATCCGGCTCGTGCCGTCACACGAATCCCCAGCGACCTCCGGTCCCAACTTAACAAAATTCACTACCTGGACCGTCTTGCGCCGCCTACGCGTTGCCCACCGTCGAATGAGGGTGTCACGTACGGCACGCACCTTGCGTCACACATGGCGCTTGGGCTCCTGTGCGCCGGCTCCGGTCAATACACTCTCGGGACCTCAAACACCGCGGTTGCAGCCCTTGGCAGCACTTGGCATCCCCGCCTTCCCACCCACACCCGGTGAAAACCGTTCCCATCTGCTAGCCTACAGGCTTCTGTGGACCATTGCCGTGAACCGCGCTGCCTCGACTTTCGGAGGCCCGGGACACTGACACGGGCGATCTGTACGGCAGCAAGGTCTTTGGGACGTGGTTCGGCGAGTGGCAAACTTGAGGCTTCGTCGTCGTCATCAACGGCGAAAAGGACTGCTTCAAGGACCGGGTCGACGTCCACAGCTAACGAAGCGCTCTTTCGATCTACTTCGATTGACTATCTCGCTCAGCCTCCTCGAAAGCCTGTCGTTCCGTCGGCTGCCCACGCCGAACTTGGTTCCTTCCGTCGCTGAGGAATCACGTTCGACTTCACGGCATCTGGCTCTCGGACCCGACGGAAGCCCAAGCGCTCTCCCTTTACCTCGTGCATCACCACGCGCCTTCTTTCTCTGTTTTGAAACAGTTGTCGCGCGTGGCACGGACGGTTCGGGAGATTGTCGGGCTGCGCTTGAGGACGATGGGGAAGAGGCTGGAGGAGAGAACGGGGACGCCGAGCTGGAGTGATGACTTTGGGAAGAGCTTGCTTGAGGCTTGGCAGTAAGCGCTCCAGAGGTTTTGAAGCTGCAATCCAGCTGTTTCTCCCTGTGCTCTGTGCAAGATGGGCACATCATTTTGTTTGCCTGGGAGAAGCCTGCATGGCTCATAGGAGCAAAGCCACCCGAGAAAGAGAAGGAACAATGACACTGCTGTCAGGAGAATCTGAATATGCGAATTGAGGTTGCAAATGGCTGATTGTCTACTACTACATAAGATACTGGTGTACATTTTCTTGATGCTGTTGGACACCCATCATCTCGATACGAAAACGTCTCCGTCCCTGACGCCGATCGTCCTGGCCCGATGTTTGATCAGGCTTCCCTCCTCAATCGTTGCAGCTGGTTTGTAGGAAGAAGTCTAAGATCAGTTGAGTCTACAAATCCCACGTGCACGACCTTGGCCCAACTGACCAATACGCGATGTTTCGAAGCGACTCCCTCCCATTCCTTCCTCTTGGGTACATAGGCGTGCAGCCTCAAGTTGTCCAGCGGCGCTGCTCGTTGCGCCAACTTCTTGGCCAGGGCTTCCATGGTCGGTGACGCTTGCTTGAGTCGTCTTCGTTCGGCTTGGTGGGAGGTCGGGGAGGATTGAGGAGGGAGACGGAGAAGGAGCGGAGGGATCGACGACAGCGGGATCGGTCGGACGCAGAGACGCACGGTCGGACGCATTGCTACGAGTTTATGGATACAGAGGTGAGTGGCTATCTCGAAAACCGAGGTTGCGGGTCAAAGAGTGTAGAGAGCTGACCTGTGCTCGAATCGAGTCGCGAGCCGGTGCCGGTGCTGAACAGAAGGATGTGCGAAAGTGTCGAGCTGGACAACCTCGATTGGATCTGTTTAGAGTGATGGTGTTGATCCCCGCTGCCTCGGGGTGTGGGCCAACGTAAGGGTGTGGCTGGGGGCAGAAACGAATGAGGCCGTAATGCCGTTCTCGCTTTCGTTTCGCAGGCGGCGGGTAGCGGAGGGTAGCGGAGGGTAATAGCGGCGGGTTAGCTCGGGTTAGCTCTGGCTAGCTCTGATTAGCTTTCTTCTGCGTTCTTTTGCCAAATCGCAAGCGATCATGTCGGACAACACGCGATCGCCTCTTGAGCTCTATCCCGGGGTGCACAGACAAGCGACGCATATCTACCTCGGCCCTCTCTTTCCCTTTCAAAGCTTTCCTATTACTCGGCATCACCATCATGTCTTCCGAACCACAGCAACTCCCCTCGGCCCCGTTTCCGATCCTGACTTCGGTCGCAGAGCTGAGGCAATGGCGCGCTCAACAGCTGCAGGAGGGCAACACCGTCGGTTTTGTTCCGACCATGGGAGCCCTCCATGATGGGCATATCAGTCTGGGTCCGTTCTCTTCTGACTTGGAAGAATCTTGGCGGCCAGGGTCGTGGGCATGGGAGCGAGCTCGGACCGACTGGTTGGCTCAAGCCGAGCCGTGACCCCGTCCCCCCACTTGGGAGTTCTTGGCGGCTCGAGACGAGGGCCGAGAAAGAGCTGACACGGCGGCGCTTTCTTCACCCTGCAATCATGTCACGACACTGGGAACCTTTGAATCTGCTCGATATTTGCACATAATCAGTCAACGAATCCCTCTCCCGTACCGATTCGACGATCGTGTCCATCTTTGTCAACCCCGCACAATTCGCGCCGACCGAGGACCTCGCGACCTACCCGCGCACCTTGGAAGCCGATCTCGAACGTCTCAAAGCAGCCCAGTACCACCCTTCGAGTGGGACTACACCAAGAAAGGTTACGGCCTTGTTCCTCCCCCCCGTGTCGGCGCTTTATCCCTCGGGTATCACAACTCAAGTCTCGGAACAGCGAGGTACGTTTGTCGAGGTTAAGGGGCTACAAGAGGTCATGGAAGGCGTGTCCAGACCAGGCTTCTTCAGGGGTGTAGCAACGGTTGTACTCAAACTGTTCAACTTGGTCCAGGTGAGTGGAAGAACACCCCACCCTCATATACTATCCTCGAAGACATGAAACCTGAGAATCCTGAACCCCACCTTTGTCCCCCACCTCCCAACCTCCCAAAAGCCAACTCGAGCGTTCTTCGGCCAAAAAGACATCCAGCAATGCCTCCTCCTCCGACGTATGCTACTGGACCTTCACGTGCCCCATCCCCTCCCTTCCGACCTCGTCATCATCCCGACCCACCGCGACGCTACGAGCCATCTCGCGTTGAGCAGTCGGAACGCCTACCTCTCCGTCGCCGAACGACCCTGGGCTACGGTCCTCATCGACGCCTTGAAAGCTTGCGAACATGAATGGACTCGACAACGAAACGAGAACCCCGATGGTAGGGTCCTCGTCGGATCCGTTTTGAACGAAGCAAAGAAACATTTCGCCCAGGTCCAGGAACGAGCTTCTACCTCGGCCGATGGTGCGGGAGTGACCATCTCGCCCATCTACGTCGAGCTCAACGATCCTCTCGAATTGACGCACCTCGGTTATGATTATGGTGTTCCTCGCGGCCATGGAGCGATCCTAAGCGGAGCGGTCATGTTGGGTAGGACAAGGTTGATCGATAACCTCGTCTTAGAGTTTGACTTGAATTGAGGGGTCAGCCACACGTCACGAGGTCACACACAGTGAAGACAGTTTTCGTTATTGGATTGACACGTCAAGAGGTCACACACAGTGAAGACAGTTCTCGTTATTGAATTGAAGTTTCGCAAACGTAGTAAAACCAAAAGGAAGTACTGCAGTACAACAGCCGGTTTCCGACGAACTGAAAAAGAAGAACGACGAGAGCAAGTGAGAGCCAGCGCCTTCCTCACGCAAAGTGAGGATGATACTTGTGGAAGATGGTCAGCAGCCTAGGCGAAGAGTGAACCAACGACACGTCAGCTTCATGGCCTTCCTCGGAAATTGTGGGACGACGATGGACTTACTTGAGGAAATCATCCACGTCCATCTTGGCCGCCCGTTTCTCGGCGAAGCCACTCTCCTTGAGGACTTTGGCGAGCAATGGCGAGATGTTGAAGTCGTCTTCGATCATCTGATTGTTCAAACGGAAATGAGGCTTGGTCATCGCACCTTTCCCTTGGAGAACTTCCCCAAGAGAGCCCAGCACTCACCTGTTCGTTCTCGGCACACCAAGCCTTGTAGTTGCTCTCGAGCATCTCTTCGACGCCCTTGGCCGTAAAGTTGCTCCTGATGATCTTGTTCCTCCTTCCAAAGCATATCGTTGTCAACCCATCAAACTCCTCGAATCTCACCGGAGGCGGAGGATCCAACGGTGCGATCCTGACAACCGAACTCTCGACCAAAGGTGGGGGACGGAAATTGTTCCTCGAGACTTTCATGATGTGGTCCACTTTGGCGTACAGTTGCACGTTGACGGACAAACGGTTCCAGAGTGTTGACCCTGGTCGAGCGACGAGACGCATGGCGAATTCATGTTGGAACATAAGGATGGCGACTCGGAATAAAGGGCGTTGAGAGAGCAGCTTGAAGACGATGGGAGAAGAGACCTGGGGCGAGTTAGAGGAGAAATGAGTTCTCAGTCGTCGAAGAGGTATGAGACCTGGGTGTCGGCTTACTTGGTAAGGTGTGTTGGAGATGCAGACGTCAAAGTAGGGCAAGTCGGTTTTGACGAAGTCGCCCACCAACAAGTTCAACTTTCGCTGCGCGGGTCTGTACGAGTAAGCAGAACGCGGGGGTCAATTCCCGAGTTCAATCACCACCCCAGTTCCGAATGCGTCCGCGCGTGAACTCACTTCAATAGACACAATTATCATATTTAAAATCGGATAATATGTGAAAGCTTCAGATTCAAGCCATAATTTCTGCTAGCCTTGCGTAACCTCTCCTGCCAGGAAGTGGCAGCGATATATCGTAGCTTGCCCAAGCCGAGGAATTGCTGCTTCGCTGGAAATACGAAGATTATTATTTTGACTGTTTGCTACACACTGTAGGATTATTTTCTGCCGTGATTACATTCGGATGAGCTCCGTCGGCGGATTAGGAGGCCGGGCCGGCCGGGGGCGAACCGCGCGTATAAAATGAAGTTTCATCGGGGAGCGTGCATAATTCATAGTCTTGCAGTGGAATAGTGCGTAGTAGAGCGGCGATTATGGTCCCAGTGATGTCGCACATGTGACCGTGTGTCTTTTGATTCTGGTCACCGGTGCTTTTGTAGCCTTCCAAGTTGAAATGACTCGGCCGTCTCGGCCATCTCGGGCCTCTGGGCGAACTGGGGAGGAGCGAGGCCCGGCTGGTGCAGCACTGCTATGTACTCAGCTGGTGCAGGCTCTGGTGCTAACCCAGCCAACGGCTATCGGGCGAGCCTATTCCACCGGGGTCGACCTTGACCTCGTCCCTACTCGAGACGGAGCTCGCGCCCACCCGCATCCACCATCATGGCGTCAAGATCCTACAACATCCCTACACATCTCCCCATCTTGCCGTGAGTCACCCCACCGGCGACCGTCGGCCTCACCACGCACCAGGTCGTGTGGGGGACGACGCGTCAGCCAGCAGCATCGACCGCTCGTCGCCGCTTAACGTTGCCTCGTACGATCATACAGGTTGCCGGAGACGCAGGTTTTGTACCCTTCACTCGTCCTTTCGATCCAAGTCGTCTCGAAGCATTCAGTTGCGTTGCTGCAAAATGTGCTCAGGGTGAGTTGACTGCTCCTGTCCGTTTGTCGTCATCCCCCGTCCGTCGATGGCAGCAACGTTGGCTCGTGATCTTGGCCCCGCCCGGCCTGGTCACGCCACCGAACGCCGGACAGACGCTTCTTCGACCATCGACGCGTAAAGTCCAGTCTCCGAATAGCTCAACTGTTTCTGCTTCATTCATATCCTCCTTCTTCAACAGGAAGCCGAACAGAACTCAGGCAACAAGCCCCTCATCATCGGTGTCGTACCCCTGAAGGACACGTCCTCGCCAACAACCGGACCACCGGCTAGGCCAACTCCGAACCCGACGTCCAATCGGCGCGACCCTTACCGAACACCTCCTCAGTCCGATGACGAGTCGGATAACCAAAACAAGTCCAATTCGGCCAAATCCAGGGCGGTTGTCTTGCACAAGAGTAGTGCTGCACAGGGCAAGCCACCCATCGCCGACCTCTTTGGATGCAAGTCTTTCAAGCCGGTGTCGGCCTAAAATCACATACACTATGATACTTGCTGACGCGATCCTTTGCCATTTTTTACAGATGGTGTGGCGGCTCGTATTGTGCGACTCGAACGACTGTCTTCAGGCGGTTTCATCGTCGTTCTCGAAGGATTGGCCCGCATCGTTCTGCACATGGACGACTTTGGACCCTCGACGTTGCCGTTCCACGAAACGACGGTCACGGTCCTCAAGTCGACCCCCCTTTCTTCCTCCTCGCCTCTCCTCGAAGCGTTGCAGGCTATCGCGAATCAGGTCTTGACTTCACTCTCGGCCATCGCGCCTCTGTCACTGCTTCTCAATCGTCGACTCAAGTCGCTCATCGGATCCCTGACACCCGAGACCGCGCCCACTCTTGTCGACGCTCTCATTGGCTCGATCCCCACAAACTCCACTACCGGATTGCTCTTCAGCGATCGACTCGCCATTTTGTCCACCTTGGGAGGTGACGATCGAGTTGCGCAGGCGATCGAAATTCTCGGCCGGGTCGACGAATCGCTCAACCTCAAAAAGAGGATCGGCGACAAGGTCGACCAGAACACGAGCCGACGACAGAGGGAGTACCTCTTGATGCAGCAACTCATCGCCATTCGACAAGAACTGGAAGAGTTGGCCGCGAATGACGTCAAGAATGGTCGAGCGTCGTCTTCACCTTTGAGTCGACTCCGGGGTGGTCCAGGAGACAAGAAGAAGAGTCCGGTCGACGACGATGATGACGACGAGGAGAACGAGGAGAACGAGATGGCCGAGCTGGAGAAGAAGATCAAGGCCAAAGCCTGGACTGAGGAATCGCGCAAGGTCGTTATGCGCGAGTTCAAGCGGTTGAAGAAATCGCCCCCTCAAGGTGCCGAGCATGGCGTCATTCGCAACTACGTCGAGTGGCTATTGGCTTTGCCATGGAACGAGTCGACGCCTTTGCCGCTGTCCAGGGACTTTATCGAACAGGCTAGGAAGAAGCTTGATGATGATCACTATGGACTGGAGAAGGTCAAGAAGCGGTTGTTGGAATGGCTCGCTGTGCTGAGACTCAAGCAGGAGCAGTGGGAGGTCGACAATGCGGCTGCCGTCGCTTCGCTAGAACAGGCGCAGTTGACCGATGGCACGCCCGCGAGAGGTTTCAATGAGGACGCCGTGGACTCGACGGTGGGTCAGGTCGTCGCCTCGACCAACGACAGTGCACCTCCACCTACAGCCGCCCCGTCCGTGCCTGCTCCTTCAAGGCAGAACGTCGTCGCTAAGCCACGCGACAAGGGCCCGATCCTTCTTCTCTGCGGCCCTCCCGGAACGGGCAAGACCTCGATCGCCAAATCGCTCGCTTCGGCGATGGGTCGCAAGTTCCAACGCATTTCGCTGGGTGGTGTCCGGGACGAAGCCGAGATCCGTGGACATCGTCGTACCTACGTCGCTGCGTTACCGGGTGCGATCGCTCAGGCGTTGCGCAAGTGCGGGACGAATAACCCTGTCATTCTGTTGGACGAGATTGATAAGCTTGGGTCTTCGAACACTCATGGTGATCCTGGAGCGGCGCTGTTGGAGGTGTTGGACCCGGAGCAGAACTATTCGTTCGAGGATCATTACTTGGGAATCCCGTAAAACCAATCCACATACTCATCTCGCTTCAGAATCAGTATGACTGACCTTCTTTGACGAATCTACAGCTTGGACTTGTCGAGCGTCTTGTTCATCGCCACGGCCAATAGCCTCGACACGATCTCGGAACCGTTATTTGATCGATTGGAAACGATCGAACTGTCCGGTTACGTGGTGAGTGTATCGCATAAAGTATGTCCAGGGTTGGTTGCAGCCCTAATCGAGCGTCCCTTCTTTATCCAGCACTCGGAGAAGCTGGCGATCGCAAAGAAGTACTTGATCCCCAAACAGGTTAAAGCCAACTCCCTGCCAGCCGACCTCCTTTCGATCCCTGACGACGTCCTCCTCCACCTCATCACTTCATACACGCACGAAGCTGGTGTACGGACGCTCGAACGCGAAATCGGGGCTGTCTGCCGTGCCAAGGCCGTAGAATACACCAAGGCTCGCGATGAGGCCGAGGCGGCCAAGGATCCTCGTGGTCGCTTAGGAGCCGATGTCACCAAGTATGGCTACCGTGTCGACTTGACCAAGGAGGACATCGGCGATATCCTCGGACAGAGTCGCCATGACGCCGAAGAGATGGATCGCGAGAACATGATTGGCGTTTCGACAGGATTGGCATACCGAGGCTCAGGCAATGGTGGCGTTTTGCACATCGAGACGACCTCGATGCCTGGTCATGGCAACTTCAAACTCACTGGCCAACTAGGAGATGTCATCACCGAGTCTGCTGGGCTGGCTTTAGCATGGACCAAATCGCATGCCCACCAATTGGGGATTGCCACCAGCCGAACTGAGGACGCGTTTAAGGATCTGGATATTCATCTACATCTCCCTTCGGGTTCGATCAAGAAGGATGGGCCTTCGGCGGGCGTGGCGATGGTAGTGGCGATTGTTTCGCTGATGAGGGAGATTAGGATGATTAAAGGGGTTGCGATGACGGGAGAGATCACTTTGCGTGGGAATGGTAGGTCTTCCCAAGTGCATTTCCACTGCCTTGTATTGACTAGCTTTGGCTACGTGAACGTCCACAGTAACCTCAGTAGGCGGCATCCGCGAAAAGGTCCTCGGTGCCCATCGAGCAGGTATCCGAACCCTCATCCTCCCTTTCAAGAACCGCCGCGACGTGAAGGACGACCTACCCCTCGAGATCCAGAATGACATCGAGTTCATCTTTGTTCGAAACATCTTTGAGGCTTTGGAAGCGGCGTTTGGGAAGGAAGCGTTGTGGAGGGGAAGAGAAGGGGATCGGATTAGGGATATGGTCTTCTCGGAGATGGCCAGTAGGCTGTAGGTGGATTCCGGTGAGGTGCGAGGAGTGCTGGATGGCGTTCTGGCGGAATGTTATGTTTTGGAAGACTGTGTGGATGATCTTTTGTCGACATGTGACGCGTTGTGGAACTATTTTGACCATCATCTCGGACGCCCTGGCAGACATCACACGTCCTTTGTAATGTGATATATGTCGCGTCCCTCGATTTCGATCATCTGGACTATAAGGGTCCCGAGGGCGCAGCCATCATGCGGAATCTACTGTCCCTAGGTGCGTACATACATGCTGCCTCATCACGGTTGGCGGGGCCATACGGCTGACGCATGTTGTAGTATTTCGTTCAACGCTGACACCCTCCTCGACTTGAGGGACAAGTTACTTCGCTCCCAAGTTGAACTGGAGTAGGCGCCAGTGCGGGGGGAGCGTCCCAAGAATGCAGATGGAAAACATCATCTGCATCGTCTGCATCGTCCGCGTCGTCTGCTTCGTTTACACGCTGAAAATCTAGCTAGCAATCTCATTTGACTGGGTGGGCTGCGCACACCCGAGGAGCATCTAGAAGACCGCTCTCGATGATTTTGTCTAGTAACAGTGGAAATCGTGATGGCACCTAAGCATGAATTTGGGCAAGAAAAAGCAAGCTAAAGACGAAGAAGAAGGACAGAGGTTCTCTACAAAGATGTATCGCCTACGTAAGGGTCAATCTTTTCCGAGGGTCGAGCACAGGTTCCTCTAATGCAGTTTGGGGGCACCATTGAGTGCCCGACGGGCCTTGACGGCCTTTAGGGAGTGCAACAAAAGCATTGTTAGTTCTTGTCCGACACACAGTGAAGATGCACAGAACTCTCACCTCGTTTAAGTTCTTCAACATCGTCTGTGTCGTCTTCCAATCAACGCACGCATCCGTAATACTAACACCCCTCTTGAGCCCGTTCTTGCCATTCGGCGTCTTCTGACTCCCCGCCTCCAAATTGCTCTCAATCATCACCCCCATGATACCTTTCTCCCCCTTATTGAGCTGTTCACAAACGGACGCGATGACCTTGGGCTGGTTGTTGTGATCTTTTCGCGAGTTGGCATGTGAGCAATCGACCATTACGGCGGGGAGGAAAGGAATATCGGTCGACGAGATCTTTTGCACCTGCTGAGCGGCGGATTGGACCGATTCGGCATCGTAGTTAGTCCCCTTTGATCCACCACGCAAAATGACGTGCAAATCCTGATTCCCTTTCGTTCGAACGATCGCGGCCAATCCGGATTTGGTGACACCGAGGAAAGCATGAGGGTGGGAAGCGCTCCTCATCGCATCAACGGCAACGGTCAATCCCCCATCGGTACCATTCTTGAACCCAACGGGAAAACTCATACCACTCGCCAACTCGCGATGAAGTTGCGATTCCGTCGTTCGAGCACCGATCGCACCCCAGGAGATGCAATCGGAGAGGAATTGAGGCGAGATGGTGTCGAGCAACTCGCAGCCGACGGATACGCCGGAGTGGGTGATTTCGGAGAGGAGCGTGCGCGCGAGACGGAGACCGGCATTGATCGAGTAGGATCCGTCGATCTCGGGGTCATTGATCAGACCTTTCCAGCCAACCGTCGTTCGGGGCTGTGGTAGAGTGCGAGAACGTAGTCGGTTGGGGTCAGGATCTAATCAGAGAGGCGAGCCGACTTGGACATGCTCGGACTTGGCCAGGATGGACTGACCTTTTCAAAGTAAGCCCTCATGATGACGACCAAAAAATCCAAACCCTTGGACTCCTGCTTGAGAAGCGCGGCATACTCCTTGGCTTCCTGAGGGTTGTGGATCGAGCAAGGCCCCACGATGACGACGACCTTGTCCGAGATGCCGGCGAGAACATCGGCAACGGCGAGACGCGAGGCCGAGACGGTTTGCTTGGAAGTGAACGACAGGGGGATCTCGGAACGCAAGAGCGCGGGGGAGGCCAAGGGATCGATCTAGAAGGTGGGAGAAGGTGGAAAGGCGTTCCGGGTGATCGGTCGATCGGTCAGCTCGCGGTTTCTCGCGGCCGAGTTTCCGTGCACGTGCGAGTCTTGAGACGGAAGCGAAGTTGATTCATCGATCGAAGCACGAGGTAGACTGAGGGGCGAGGAGCGTGACCTCGTGCCACGTATCCATCGAAGCCGTGTTCGGAAACCCGCAAAGCGGAGCTCGGATATGTCGGATCGACTGGCGAATCCGGTGCTGAGGAAAGCAGGTGAAGCCGATGAAAGCGAGCGGCGGACCGCGAGCCCTTCCAACTTGAGACTTCGCTGGCTAGGGAACGACGCGATGCAGCGAGTGGAGCAGATGCCGTGATGAAACCGTATACTATCATCCAGATAAGATAGAATTCGCGGTGGCCCCAGCCAGATGAAGAGGCCAGTTTCGAGCTGAACTCGAAGTCGTTTCTCCGTGCGAACCAGTTGAGACTCACAGCTTCGACCCTCAAATCATCCGAGTGCTCTTCGTAGACAGATCGGGTGCTGAGCACAGAGGTATCATCATCGAGGGGCGACATGGTGGGCGACGGGCGCATGCAAAGATGATGTGGAGTGAGAGTGCGAGACGGGCAGAATGCGAGTTGGACCGGGAAGAAAGTTGTGGATCGATCGCAGGTGATCGCAGGCGTGGGCAGGCGTGGGCCAGTCGTTTTTTTGAGTCGACACTGGACAGGCCACGGTCGCCGTGAAAGCAGCCAGAAGCAGGGGCCGCCCTGCAGCCGCACGATCCGGATCGGCCGAGACCCCCGCGGAGGTAGATTTCGGACGAAATTTCTCGAGGTATGCACGACTACGAGCGTTGTTCTGAGCATCGTCGCGGTGTGCGACACCTTCAGCGTGATCTCGCAAGTTCCTGCCCGCGAGAACTTTGAAAGAATAATTCTGTAGCCCAGGGGAAACGCGTTGGCCGGCGTGTGTCGCCTCTCGAAACCTGCGGTAGCCTTTGGTAGCCTTTGGTAGCCTTTGGTACTAGCCAGTTGGTAGCAGTTGGCAGTTGGTAGCCTTGTCGCTGTCTGCGGACTGCCTGCGGCATAGTGCGGCATGCGGCTGCCTGCGGCTGCCTGCGCTGGCCTGCGCTGGCCTGCGGTGGCATGAGGTGGCATGACGTGTTGTGCTGCCTCGCGCTTACGCCAACTCGCGCTTTCGTCGCTTTCCTTCTTCGGCGTCGCAACCACACACCAGCAACAGCAATGCCTTCCCCTCTAGATATCACGATCAAGCACGCGGGCAAGAGCTACCCGATCACTCTGGACCTCGACCAACCGGGTAGTCACTTCAAGCAACAGATCTTTGAGCGCACGGGCGTCGAACCGAGCAAGGTCAAGGTCGTCGTCAAGGGGGGGATGCTCAAGGTGCGCTTTCGACTGGATCGGAAGAGAGTTCTGATCGATCTAGTCGTTGGAATGAAAGGATAACACCGTCTGCGAGCTGCTCTTCGGCGATGACGCGTCGTCGCCCTCGCTTTCTTCAACCGAAGCCCTCCTCTGTCGATTGCGATGGCCTGATCAGGCGCTGACCCTTCCTTGTTCTTCAACTTGCTTACTACAGGATGATGCCGATTTGAAGAAGCTCGGGCTTAAAGCGGTCAGTGGCCTGACTTACTGAGGCTGAGCTCAGACTCGCACGGCGCCATCGCTGAATTTAAGCTTCCTCCATCTCAATGTAACACAGGGCCAGACCATCATGGTACGTCTATACCGGATCAACACCCGTTGAAAGAAAAACTCGTTGATCACTTCATTTTTCGCAGGTCATTGGCGCAGCGGGTCCCCTGCCACCCCCACCGACCGAGAAGATCGTCTTCATGGAGGACATGACCGACATTGAACTGGCCCAAGCAGTGCGTTTATGCCCTCCGCTTCTAAATTTATTAATTGGTAGGAATGTTTCTAACGCGTAATCAGTATCGTTCACAGGTCGCCACTCCTGTTGGATTGCAAAACTTGGGTGAGTGCTCTATTTGTCGCCCGCCAGAAAACCGATCGCGAGCAACTCATCTCGCACGACTCCTCAGGCAATACCTGCTACCTGAACTCAACCGTCCAGGTCCTCCGAGCTATCCCAGAGCTTCAAACCGCTCTTGACGCGTAAATACATTTCAAATCTGGCCATTCCCGTGTCCTCCTCTCCACCTGACTTTTGCTCCTTCTAAAAATCGTGCAGGCACCCCGGCTCATCGTCCTCGGCAGCATCCGAATCCTCCCTCACCGCCTCCCTCCGAGACCTATACAAGAACATGTCCTCGACCCAGGAGGACTTTCCTCCCGTCGTATTCCTCCAAATGCTACGTCAATTTGCACCTCAGTTCGCCGAGACCTCTCGATTGGGCGGAGGAGGTTTCGCGCAGCAGGACGCTCAGGAGGCGTGGGCCTCGATCGTGCAAGCTGTCAAGACGAGCTTGGGATCGAGTGGATCGGGGTTTGTAAATCAGTACATGATGGGCGAAATGACAAAGACGTGAGTTATGGGTGGGTAAGTTTCTAGTGGGATCGTTGACCGATCATGACTGCTCTTCTTTTGGTCTGAGCAGGCTCAAGTCGCCCGAGGCGCTTGGGGAAGAGCCGACGGTGTCGAAGGAACGCTTTCTCGAGATCAAGTGTCCCATCTCGGCTTCAACAACATACATGATGACGGGTATCAACGATGTAAGTTCGAGTTGAAGCTTTTGTTGCGACGTGGTCAAGCATTCCCACAACACTCACTCGTCCTTCCCCCACGATGACCAGTCGTTGAACCAAGACATCGAAAAGATCTCGCCCACACTCTCCCGCCAAGCCGTCTACCACGAAACGTCCCGCATCTCTCGCCTTCCCTCCTACCTGACCATCAATTTTGTCCGTTTCTACTGGCGCCGCGAGATCGGCAAAAAGACCAAGATCATGAAGCGCGTTTCGTTCCCTCACGATCTGGACGTGATCGACCTCCTGACGGACGACTTGAAGAGTAAAGTCAAGGGGGTGAATGACAAGTTGAAGGAGGTGGACAAAGATCGTCGCGAGCGGGCCAAGGTTCGTCGAAGGGCCAAGAAGGTCGATGAGGCGATCGAGGCTCCGATGCCTTCCACGACGACTGCCGCTGTTGCTGCACCTGCGAACCCATCCGATGATCCTCCCGAAGCCATGGCCGTCGACGACGCTACCCCTTTCACAACCAAGGCCGGCGAACTGGTCGATGAAACCTCGAAACGACATGAAGAAGCCCAACTGTTGAACTCGCTCGTCGACCCTTCTCTCAAAGCTGATAAGGGAGCCAATGTGTCGGGTCTGTACGAATTGGTCGGGATCGTTTCGCATAAGGGAGCAAGTGCGGATGGTGGGCATTACGTAGGCTGGACTCGAGCGGATGCGATGGATCGTTCGAAGAATCCTGACCACAAGGGGAAAGGGAAAGAGGTTGATGTGGCGGATGTCGAGGACCCGGATAAGGTCGAGTGGTACAAGTTCGACGATGAGAAGGTGACGACGGTCAAGAGGGAGAAGATCACGCTGTTGGAGGGGGGTGGGGAGGACCATTGTGCATATATCCTCATTTATAGATCAAAGTCGGTGGAGTAGAGGAAAGGATCATAGCTCGGAGCATGAAATGAAGATAGGCGGCTGAGGTCGATCGCACGGCTAGACAGCTTGAATGGTGTCGATCGCACCGCTAGTGAACATAGCGAGAGTCTGCATGCTGCATGCTGATCTACAAGCTAGGTCGACGCAAATGCGACCCTGGCAACTCACCGAAGGGCTCCCTGTACCCAAATGAGCTCGGCGATCCCAAAGCCAGCGCGCCGCGCACGATCAGCAACCGGTGACCGCGCAATAGTTGGCCTGGCCCCAACGATGACGAAGCGGCGGCCTGCTAGCCTGCTCGCTCGCGCGCTGACGTCGTCGATCTCTCTCTCGGGCGAGGACGCGTTCTTCCGTTTGACGAGGACGCGACTTGAAATCCCCCCTTTCTTCGGCTTTCTTCGCCGTTGCCGTTGGAATCGTCACCGTCCCTTGTCCACGCTCCTCTTGCCCCCTCCGGCTACACCCCTACCCCGCCAAGTGAGCAGTGTCCCACGACCCCGAGTCATTCTTTCGGATCATTGGGTCTACCTTCTGTTTCTTGGTGAGTGATCGTGTGTGCATGGTCCCTGAATGGTTCGTGCATGTCCGAAACCAGCCTGCAGGGTAGGCCGGGTCACGGCTGCGGCACCGCCCGCTGCGAGCGGCGTGTGCGAAAGCGGTGCGACCCCAACCTCAGGCCAGACGGCCGAAATTGAGCCTTCGCAGGGCGAATGGGGGAGGTGTTGGGTGGGTTGCAAGGGGCTGGACGGGAGTGGAAGGATCGTATGGTCCAATGCTGGACTGAAAAAAGAACAGCTTGCTCTTGCTCTGGGGCTTGGGACAGCAGCGTGTTGGGGCTTTGATCGCCCATCCGGTGGGGTGACGACCACGAAGGCACACGCGGCCCGTCGGGACCGTTCGTGGCGTGACGTGACTAGAGTAGCCCTGGCCAGAGGCGCAACCTATCCTAACACAAAGAGTAGCCATCTCGAAAGTTTCCGAGTCCAGGTATTGACCATCTCTCTACTCTGCAGGTCCACAAACTAGCCTGTGCGGCAATAGCAGTGCGCGCAACACCGGAGCCTTCTTTCGCGCCTAATAACGAACTTGTTGGAACCTTTGTCCGGGGTAACGACACGACGTGCTGCGTACGACGAACTGGCGGAGTCAGTCTTGGTCACCACTCTCATACGTCGGCTAGTCAAGCTCCGAAAGTCCGGAAACGGAATCATCTTCGTGGTCATTCGCCAAGATGTCGTCTACAGCCCAACAGATCAACCAGATCGCAAATGAATACAACTCGAAGCTCAACAAGGTTGCGTAAGTTGGCTCCGCCCTGGCGAGTTTGCATTGGGTGTCGTGGATACCCGGCAGCGTTCTTACACCAAGTGTGATTTCCCTCTCATCTCGAATTCATACTTTTGCACGTTTCTGCCACTCCAGTCCCAAAGCCGTGGGCATCCAGTTGGCTTTGATGGCCGCGCTCGGGCTCACCGCCATCGTCTCCTTTTCGATCCTTCGACCCAACAACTCGGTCGTCTACCAACCCAAAGTCAAATACTCGGAGGATGAGAAGCGACCTCCCAAGTTGGGCAAGGGTCTTACAAGTTGGTACGTTTATCACTTCTAGGCTGAACTGCGACAGCGGGGTTGGCGAAACCTCATTCATGTGACTTGCTACCTGATAGGGTTGGACCTACGTTCAGAACCGACGAGCAGCAACTTTTGACCACGATTGGTTTGGATGCCGTAACATATCTGAGGTTTCTGAAAATGTGCCGCAATGCGTGAGTGCTCCGTTCAAGACGAGCTTCGCGAGAGAAAAGCCGTTGATGTCGTGCTGCCACGGTACACTCATGCAGTCTTCTCGTCACCGCTGCATTGACTTGCGCCGTCCTGATCCCGCTCGACGTCATCTACAACTTGCGCAACGTGACGTCTAAGAACCGCAACTCCCTGCTCATCCTGACCATCTCGAAAGTGCGCGGCTCATGGCTCTGGGCCCATGTAACCATGACCTACGTCCTCACCGCCGTCGTCTTCTACTTCATCTGGGTCAACTACGACCAGATGGTCAAGATGCGTTGGCAATGGTTCCGATCCGACGAGTACCAAAACACCCTCCACGCGCGATCGATCATGGTCACCCAGATCCAGAAACGCGATCGGTCCGATGAAGGCCTGTTCAACCTCTTGCGAACTCTCCAAATCCCGTACCCTACGACCGCCGTTCACATCGGTCGCAAAGTCGGCACTCTGCCCGAATTGATCCAACGACACAATGATGCCGTACGCGCACTCGAAGGCGTGTTGACGAGCTACTTCAAGGACCCGAATCGAATAGCGACGAACCGACCGACTATGAGGGTCGGTGGATGGATGGGCATGGGTGGCAAGAAGGTCGACTCGATAGATTACTTGACGCAGAAGATCCAACGCTTCGACGAGAGAATCGAGGTGACGCGACAAGGAATCACTGGCGCCAAGCCCGAGAATTATGGTTTCGCCTCGTTTGAAACTGTTCCGTACGCACACCTCGTAACGAAAAAGCTCGAAGGCAAGAAGAAGGGTGATGCACGCTGGGATCTCGCCCCTTCGCCGCAAGACATCATCTGGGACAATCTGACGATGCACGACAACTCGCGGCGCAAGAACAAGTTTTTCGGTGCCATCTTGCTCGTCGTCTTTTGCATCTTCTACCTCATACCCTTGGCCGCGGCTTCGTTGTTGGCCAATTTGGCTTCCCTGATCGCCTACGTCAAGTTCATCCGTGACTGGCAAAATAATTACCCTACATTGTTCGCCGCATTCGTCGGAGTGGTGCCCTCCCTCCTCACGGCTTTGTTACAGTTGTTGCTTCCCGTGGTCATCCGTGCGATCGCTTCGATGCAAGGAGCTATAACCCACTCGCGTGCAGATCGAGTCGTCACGGCGAGGTACTCAGCGTTCGTCATCATCTCGCAATTTGTCATCTTCACGTTGCTCGGTGTCGTGGTTCAAGTCGCGATGAAACTTTATGTCGAGATTGACGCCCACTCGTCGGCCTCCGAGATTTGGAATTACCTCAAGACGGTTCCTGATACACTGTTAGTAGCCTGCGCACCGGTCAGGAAGCTGAAGAATATTGCCAATGACTGATACGAACTCCTCTCTTCCAGTCAAAATACGTACATCATCCAAAGTTCTTATTGGCTTACCGTCTTCCCACTTCGAGGAGCGTCGGCGCTGTTCGATCTTGCGCAATTGATCGCACTGCTTTACGTTTGGATCCGCACGCGACTATTCGGTCGCACGCCTCGCGAGATCCGTGAATGGACCAAGCCGCCAGAATTTGATTACCCGGTCTACTACTCAAACCACCTGCTCATGGTCGCCGTCGCGCTCGTCTATGCACCCATCGCTCCTCTCGTCCCTCTATTCGGATGCTTCGCTTTCGCAGTGTCTTACTGGGTCTACAAGTATCAGCTGATGTACGTCAACACGACCCGCGTCGAGACGGGAGGTCGATTGTGGAACGTCTGCATCAATCGTGTCTTGGTGTGCGTGGTCCTCATGCATGCCTTGATGGCCGTTACGATGGGCTTGACGTCGAACTGGTACCACTCGATCTCGATCGCGCCCCCCTTCATCGGCGTCTTTGTCTTCAAATTCTTCCTCGATCGACAGTTCAGCGACCGTTTCCGTTGGTATGTGCCCTCGCAGACCGAGTTGGCCGAATTGAGGATTCATCACGCCGACGCGAGGAAGAACCGCCTCGAGCGTCGCTTCGGTCACCCGTCCATGTTCGACCCGCTCTTCACCCCGATGCTGCACAAAAAGATCCAGCACCTGCTGCCGACGATCTATCATGGCCGGATCGATCAAACCCGCGGTACACTCGAAGGCAAGAAGGTCGAACAGAACAAGATCGGCGGTCTCACGTTCGACTTGCTCGAGGAGAGTCAGTTAGCTTTCGATCGCAACGCATACTTGCATCAGCGCGACGAGGATGCGATGACCATTTCTTCCGCGACCCAATTGCAAGCCAGTCCTGGCACCGGTCCGGGAATGGGACCTGGTGCGGCGGGCCGATACGTCGATGGCGGCGATTACTTCAACACGCGAAGGGAACAATACCTTCAACACGGGGCGAGCAAGAATGGAAGTCCTCTCGGTACTCCGATCGATGATATGGACGTACCGAATGAGTTGTCGAGGATGCCGACGGGAGGCACGATGGGCCCCAACTCGTCGACCGATCAGCTGATCCAGTACCCTCCCTCTTACGCGGTCAATTCGTTCGGCTCTCAACCGGGTGGAAGTATGTCTAGGTACGCCGGACATCAACCCACGTCCTCAGTAGGATCAACGGCGAAGTACCCCTCCGTCGCGCCGAGTGATCATGAAGAAGAGTACCTGCACGAACAGCAACAACAACAGAGGAGAATGAGCGCCATGGACTTTGGCGTCCCTCTTCCCTCCTCCCCCCACGCCAACTACTCCGCCGTCTCTCGATCTCGTACACCCTCACCCGGACCTGATCAAGCTTATCGGGCTGCAAGGGACTCGAGAGCCTCGTTCGAAGGCGCATTCGGGAACAGCCTCCCCTCTCGTCATGCCGGAAGTCAACAACCCCCGATGCACAACATCCGCCAAGGCAGTCTCCCACCCGGTCCTTCACCCAGGGGTTTACCGATGGGTGCCGCACCTCCTCGACCCATTGGACCGGCCACTTCCCCTCCTTTCATCCCTCATCCGCCGATGGCGAACTCTTTGTCTCCTTTCGCGGCTTTCAGCCCTCGACCAACGGGTAATGGCTCGCCGCGAGGATACGAGGAGCCTTTCGATCGTCGATAGAAGCACGCTCACGACCTTTCTTTTTCCTTCTTGGAAAATTTCCTCAGTGGAATATAGACACTCTGTTTCTTCAATGTTTTTATGCGTCACTCGCCCAACCCTTTGCCGTCTTTTCTGCTTAACGATCAAACGAACCCACTTCCCTTCTGGCCTTGTAGCATTTAATCCCCTTCTTACTTTATACTTGCTCTGACTTATCGTTTCATACTGTACTTCATGACCAATGCACCTTTTTAGACGCCGCACGAGGAATAGATAAGTCGTTAGACGTGATCAAAAGGAGGACGAACAAGTGTATGAATTGGTATCGATGCAACAACAGAAAGAGGGAGGCTCTAGGTGATCAAGATGTCACAGTCAAATGTATGTCGGAATATCAGAAGTGTCTGTGGATTCGGGTCGTAGGAGAATATCCTGATGGATGGATGTAGTGTATGTGTGGTTGGTCGTCGATGACGTCTAGGATACTACGAGTGATCTGCAGGCTGCGCGTCGATAATGAGCATCGCCCGCTCACGACTTTTGCTGCTGTTGCTGTTGCTGTTGCTGATTCTGATAAAGTGACTCCCTCCTCCCCTTATTTAACACTGCACTCTCACCCTTGCGCCGATTTCTCCCCGCAGGAGTCAACATATCGGCATTTTCATCCCACGGACGGGCGGTGATGACCCATCCTTTAGTCAGTTCGGGAGGGAGGTAGCATGCTCGGTGCGGTGGGAAGTGGTCGACGCGGTCGGGTCGTTCGGCGAGATCTTTTTAGGTGGTGAAATATGTCAGCATGTAATCTGGCGTGTCGAAGGGCCTGCGAACATGACTCACATTCTTGAAGGGGCATGAAGCCTCGGCGCGCACCGGTGCGGTTGAGGAACGAGGACTCTTTCTTGAAGACGACTGTTGTGCAATAAATGAAGAGACAAATCAGCTACCGCGCATGCAGCCGAGACGCACTCGGATCAAATTCAACCCACCCATCGTCCACACCTCGTCCAATTTGGGCCAAGGCGTTTGTCGATTCCTGATCCTCGTCGCGTTGCCCTCGGCAACGTCCTTGGTCATGCGATCGAGCATCTTTTGCATCAGGATAGTGTTTTGGTCGTAGGCATCTCCGATGCCTGCACGTGCTCGGGGGTCGAGTAGGGAAGTCAGCAACCTTATCGTAACCCTCAGGACCGTCTCCAGGTCGCGTACCTTTGGGCATAACGAGCATAGGGAAAGCTGATCCCAGGCGGAGGTCGAGCTCGCCAAAGATGAACGAGGCTAGCGTCTTGTTCTTGCGCATAACGACCCGGCCATCCGACGGCTCTGGCCCAGTCTTGGGAACAGAAGTTCGTGCAGAGGCAGGCTCGACTTTGAGGTCCGCGGCTCCCTTTTTCTTGCGTTTGTGGGGCGTCGTCCAGCGGAGCGCGAAATATCGACGGATGTAAGGTTCAGCCGATTGGTCCTGATCGATCATGAAAACAAAAACATCGAGACATCCCCTCAACACGGTGTATACGAGCGGAGACAAGAAGCGATTTTCACTCGCCATTCTTGCCAGCGGCTCGAAGACGGACCACGTGTCGACCGCATACCGCTGCAGCTCGTCATACGTTCTCGCCAACGGCGTGGGTGCCTCCAAGATGTCTGGGATCGCGCCCATGCTCATGATGGCGCTGATCGTCACATCCCGCATCGCGGCAATCATGGAATCCAGTTCCTCGGGTGGCACCTGACTGGTAGACCAGATCTCGTACGCTTGCATGTCGTGTGGCCCCTGTCGGACGTGGGAAAGCGAGCAGTTCCGCCGGCCGTCCCGAAATAGCTCTTTGCAGCGCCACTTGCCGATGCTACTCATAGCGTTGTGGGAAGGGCGTCAGTGCCTTTCAGTGTATGCAAAGCCAAATATGATCTTGGCTCACCCAACTCGGCCGCCTCCGCCTCCTCCACAGTCCGAGCATCGTTGGTACTTAGCTGCACACGACACGCAGACGACCTCAATCATGAGCTCGACGGGCAGATTGGTCGGCTGCGAACTGAGGCCACCGGCTGCAAGATCTCGCTGACAGACGTCACACGTCAGAGGCTCGACGTTGACCTTGCGTTTCTTGCTCCCAGCGAAAGCGATCTTGCCGCGACCTTGCGGGGGTCTCTCCTCCGTCGCTTGAATGTCGACGCCGGACAACGAATCGAGCAGAGCTGAGACCGAGTTTTCATATGTGATCTCGTCCCGGTCCTTTTCGTCGACCTGGGGTATGACGGATACTCCTTTGTCGTCAATTGGTGGTTGACATGTGAAGCAGATAAAGTCGGCACGGTGTGGTGTTTGGAATTGCTCCTCTTTCCCCCGCAATATCAGCGAAGCCAGCATGCGGTGGCAGTGTGAGCAGAAAGCGTCGGACTCGACCAGTACTCGCCCTTGTTTGATCATGGGCAAATCTTTGACATTTGCGACGAGGGGTGTGCCGGCGGGTGTCGACGCAGGCGAAGGGGTCGCCGAGGGACTAGCTCCCACGAGTACGCGATTGGCCTTCGCGTAGATGACGGTCGGACAAGTTGGGTCATAAAAGGACTCAAGAAGTGGCGTACTCGGGGAGGAGGGGAGTGCCCGCGGTGAAGTGGGCGTATGAGGAGACCCGGCAAGTCCACCCGTGAGAGCGCGAGATGCCGACGTTTTCGGGCTCGGCCACACCCCGTTCGCCCCTTCGCCGGGTGTCGAAGTTTGTCTCGTTCTCGGACTTCGGGCCGGCGCGGACGACGTAGTTCGGGTGCGACCCAACAAAGAATTGAAATTGGTGTTGATGGGAGAGAGCGTTGGGATCGGCATTCCCGAAGCCAGCATGCCGCGAGCAGAGATCGCTTGTGTAAATCCCGAAGTCGGCGCGTAAGTCGCCATTGAGCCAGGAGAAGCAGGTAGACTTGAGAACGTGCCGCGAATGATGTCGGTGCCGAAGAAGGGGTAAGATGCTCTCCGGGTGTGCTCCGCCGATATGTGTTCGGGCACAGACTGCAGTGACGTCGAGGGGTCGTCGTGATAGTGGGCCATAGGGGTGGCGGACTGTTTGTAAGAATCTGGGTAGGCCGAGCCTTGCATCGCAGAGCTCGAAGAGGAAGTAGAAGCTGACGATGGCCAATAGTTGGTGTAGTAAGAGTACTGTGACCCAGGCTGGGAGTCTTGAAAGCGTTGCGATGAACCGAGCAGTGGCTGCGTGTACGTCAAATGAGCGTTGACCTGGTCGAGGAAATGACCAGGCGCATCGTCGCGAACTACACAGCCGGCGCGAAATGAACTATCGCCAGCATTCGTGATCGATTCCTCCAGTGACCTCAGGCTGGACATGGCGTGATGAGGCCGATGCAACGATGGCGACGAGGACGAGAAAGTGGAGGGCTGAGACGCCGAAGAAGCAGAATAGCTTTTTGCATCGCCTTGCATCGGCGGTACAGCCGTTGCGAAAGCCTGAAATGAGAGTCAATGTGCGGTCAGTATGGGTGCTAGAATACAGAAGTGTTTGTCATTCCCGCTCAGGGGTTGTCAGTAGCGCCGCGGTATCTGTGCAACATCCTGCTCCTCCCCCGCCCCAACAGCGCTGCGCCTTGTACGAACACCGCATGACACAGAGTACAGGAGAATTTACCGAATTCGCCCAGTCCAAGGCAGGCGGTCGACTTGATTGCGATGTCTGGTCCAGCAAAGACCGGGAATCGTGCTCATACCATGGAGCAATGGCACCGAGCGGAGACGGTGCATACGAGGACGAAAAAGAGGAAGCATTCGGAGCGTGTTGTCGGGCGGTTTCAGGCCCGGCATCGCCGGTTCTCGGAACGAAATGATTGGTGTGATGTGGGCCAAGAGTTACCGGTACCTGGGTACTGAGCTGAAGGCCGTAGCCGTTGGCAAAGTAAGGCATGAAGCAGAGGGCAGACGTCGCAAAGTGATCTGAAATAGGTCCCTGTCAAGAGGCAATAAAAGTAGTGTACAGAGTCAGTCACACCACAGGAGATGAGAATACTATCTCAAGGTTGCATGGCTCACCTCACTGGCAGGAGACGTCTCGCCCTGCTTCGCGGAGCCCCTTTGCGCGTGCCCGTGAACGCCGATGGAGGCGTCTGGATCATGCCAGTCCCGGTCTCCGTGGAAGTTCGGAAATGACCTCGCGGCATCGACACTCCTCTCCCAGTCCAGTCCAGGCCGATCGGAGGCAGATGGTGGAGCTGTCATGCGCTACTGGAAGCTCAGTTGGCACTGACCGCGGCGAACTGGTCTTCGCCTGCAATGTGGTGCCCCAAATCCCACCGGGAGCGCGCTCCGAAGAGGGGGCCGCGAACGGGCGCCGGTGCAAATCGACCGTCGGGGCGGTCGAAGGGAAGCTCGGTGCAGTCTCTGGGGGGAACGCAGTTCAGCCGGCTTGGGTGCGTCTGGGTTGACCTGGTTGGTGGATCCGGATAGTGTCGAGCTGAAGGGTGTGTACCGTCGTGGGATACCGCAGCGGAATGCGGGGTGGGGCGTCGATCGTTGATAAATCTGGGGATCCTGGACCCGTGCGCCGACGTCAGCAGTAAGCAGCGTGAAAGCTTAACGTGCAGGCACGTGAAGGCGGTTTCGGCCATCCAAGGTGCTGCAGTCGTCCTCACCTACCTGAATACTGAGCAATACTCTATCAACGCCCTTCTTTGATGAGCTTGTTGTCGAACTTGCTCGAGAAGATGTCGTGTCGAGCCCGTCGAGGATAGCGGCGAGGTGGGTCCCCCTGGATGCTGTATAGTGATGATGTCGCCGTCAAGACTGAGCGTCGAAGCTTCTCGGATACTAATGCCACCGAAAATCCTCGTGACACGGGTCTCGGGTGCGCCGTGTGTGCCGTCTGCTACGGCCTGGCGGGCCCTACTCAGCGCTCGAGGACAATTAAAAAGTGTCACGCGCGCGCGTCCCACCTCCCAGCGGGTGTCGAGTTGATCCGATCACCAGACGACTCCGGCGTAGGACCTGGTGCGGCGGTGATTCTGCAGTGAACGTCGTGAGTGCGCCTACGTTTTTTCAACTGCAGAATATGTCTCGAACGCTCGTGGTCTGCACCTTAGGCTAGGTACCACGACGAAGTTTGTTAAGACGACGTAGATCTTTGGTGTATTCGGTTGCCTTTTAAGGGCACTACCTAGCGGAAATACTACACAGATCGAGGGAGACAGGTGGTCAGTGTTTGGTCCGGCTTCTCAATTTCTCAAATCGTCGACTCGTCGACCTGGATTTGAATGACCGATTCAGGCGGCCAGCTGGCTCGTTAAGCCCGCGGAGAGCCCTGCAGGAGGGACCGCCGCCGCCGCAGCGGCCTGCCGATTCCGTACTCCGAGAGACTCGCCGGGTGGAGGTCCGAGCTCAGCGATGACGAGCCTCGCACCAACATTCGGTTTGGGGAACCTGCTCGATGTGCAGCTCACGGAGGCTTGTGGACTCTCACTCACTGATCGAGAAAATTCGGAAACCTTGTATTCTGCTGTCCCGCCAGGTGAAACGAGACCTCTGGGATGCGGAAGTCGCACAACTACGATGACGAAGATATCACGGCTGGCCGATCGAGGCTGTTGCCGAGCAGCGTCAATCCACTGGACCCAGCGGTGTTGAAGTCTTGCAAGGTGCGAGCGACGAAAGGATCAAGCTCAGTCCCGTATACGTGGGTTTACCGTCTTTGTAGACCCGTTTGGACGGCGAGATGAACGCAAGGGCGGTCGTTGGGCTTGTTGCGAAGTGCGAGAGTAGTGTCTCGACTTCGGCGCGTTCCACACGACATCGCGCCCCTCGCCGACAATTATTACCCGTTCGCGAGGAAAACGCTGGCTATTTGATCTCTTCCAGAGTTGCTGACTGCTTGAACGGTTTGATGGCTACTTGGCTGATTTGATCTGTAGTGCTCAGCAATTTTGTACCGTATGCTCATACATGTTTCGCGCCTTCTCTAACTGTACCCACACCACATTCGCTTGGGAGAGCTCGGCCGCTTCGTGGGGGACTGGGGGTCGCGCAAAGCGGCCGACCTGTGTCGCTGCTTGGCGCCGGATGCAATGTCGGCCGGGAGTCGGGACCCATTCGATGGTGTTCGTCTACAGTGTCCCAAGCGCATGGGGACATAAAGCCCGGCTATTGTGGGTAAAATAGAAGTTTTTTCACAGCGTGTTCAATCCAGTGGTGGTGGCTAGTGCTCGGGATCAAATTTCATCTCCGACGTGGGGCAGCCGGCAGTCCGCCGCCGAGACGGGCTCGGATCGGGAAGCCCCGGCTGCGATCTCGTGCCCGTACCCGCGCTTCACATCGTGCTTGCCTCGGCGGCGTTGCCTCGCCTAACTTCACAAGGAAAACCTGTACTGGACATGCTTACCCAACGCCACATAGAGCACGCCTATCAAACTACCCACATGCATATAGTTGCGGGGTCCTGGAGTGTTTGCCCGGTACTCAGAGACTGCATGTGGGATCGAAACTGCGAGCGCGTCAAGTAAATCGATCAACTTTTAGTATAGGGGGCGTTTCAAAACCGACCGCACGCCGGAGTTGTCGAACAAGGTTTCGACTTCCGATTGAAAAATCCGGACGTGGGCTTACTGTTAGATACTGCTGTGTACTGGGCAAAGTAGGCGGTATAACTAGGTAGGGGTCATTTAGATGGGTACCATTCGTACAAGGCTTGTGACCACGTCTAATGGTATACCTGATGAGCGTACTATTTTAGGCCCTTTGGTAGCACCTACACTGCATTACTCGGGGACTTGGAGCGAGGCCCATACCAAATCGACCTGGAGACATGGAAAATGGCCGGTAACTGCACTATAAGCTGCCAGCATTGCGGGCCTACATCGTGTATTCTGCCTGATCACCCTGAGGGTCTCGACCGAGCGCTGGGCGCCTTCGCGGATATTGCCGCGAGACGACCGACGCCTTGCCAGTCCGCCTCAGGGTAATTACGCCACTAAACTTTTTGGGCACTCTTGTCTCAGAACGTCCGTGCTCAGGAAGCAAGACCCGCATCCAAGATGTCGAAACTCTGTAGCTGCCAGATCTATCATTGCCCCTGAGCCCAGTCTCCGAGGCGCGACCGGGACTCGGCCGAGTGGCGCCAGAACTTCACGAGACGCTGGACGGAGGATTCAAGTACCTACAAAGTATAGTAAACCCGCTGGGAGAGACCGGGTAACTGCCTATGCAACCGATGGGATGTTTGAGCCGAACGGGGGTTTGAGCGCGTTTGAACATGGGCGTTTGGCAGCCCGACTTGCGCCAAGCAAGGCAACGCCACTGAGGATGAGCTCACGCACTCTTCAAAGTATCGGTGCAAGCTTTTTGTGGAGAGAAACCCTCGTGACAGTTCACGTGCAGCGCTCTCTACATCACAACATGATCCTGCCTTCACTCTCGTCAAGCCCCCGTCTTTCTCCATCCTCGCATCTTGGCCACTCTCTCATACACGCGCTTGTCCATCCCCAACTCCTCCTCATTCCCCGGCTTCTCCTCCAAAGCCGCAGCATCCCTCCACGCCTCGAGCTCATCACTTGCTTCAACATCCAACGCTCTTGCAACATTGACGATATAGTCCAAATCACTGACGAGTTGCCGGGCCCCATGTTTGGACAGACGATGCATCGTCGGTAACACGACGGACGTGAGGTGGTGCAGGATCGATAGCGTCAAGGACGACAACCACGTTGAGATGACCGTCTCGGCGCTCAAATGGGAGTGAGAGCTCGGTATCGAGACCAAGGAGACGCTCGCGACTCGACGGGAGAAGGCCGACGTCGCAGGGGGAGAAAACGACACGGATTCACTCATTCGTGAATGGCTCAGCGACGGACGATGCGCAGGGCTGATGGGCGAAGCGAGCGAGGGCGGCTGCAGAGCGCGCAGAACCTCAGCGTCGACGTGCGGCAACGTCTCGATCGAAAAGGCGAGGGCATCATCGCCAGCGTAGACTTCGAAGAGCCGGGGCAGGTTGAAAAGTCCTTCGCCGACCCGCGAGATCGTCTCCGTGGGGGAGAGCGAGAAGGTGGGGATCGCCAAGTCGAACGCGCCTTTGGCTCCGGGTCGCTGATCCTGCGATGTGGTCCAGGTTGGAAGAACGGCGTAGTCGTTGAGGTGAGCGAGGAGAGGGGCCAAGATGGTCTCATGTAGGAATAGTTGCGTCGCACGCGTGAACTCGACGGTCGCGAATCGAGCCTTGGGTATGAGCGCGAGCGAGAGGGGTGGAGCCGGCGGACCTGTCGATGCGACCTGAAGTCGTTCGAGCGGTTCGAGCAGTTGAGCCAGCTCGACAGAGTTCAGAGCTGACTGTCGCAGTAATGTGATGGCACCGCGAGTTGTCCCGGGAATGGTATAATGCAATGGATTCTCCCTCGCTTCCCGGATCGTCTGCGCCAGAATCATCAGCCGAGTCTGCAGCTTGTTTTCGAACGAAGTCAGCCGGTCGGTGATCGAACGACACGTATCGAGCAATCTGAGACCAAGCTGGAACGTGCCCCAGTCCTCGGTCGAGTACTCGAGTCCTTCAAACGCAGCTTCGTCCTCATTCTCGCTCCTAAGCCCCTGTCTTCGACGCGCATGCCCTGCCATGGATTTGGCGCGGTTGAGCTCATTCTTTCTCCGGTCGAGGAAATCGACCAGCTGACCGTCAATGACTTCGACGATACCCGCTGCAGAATAGCCGTGGGTCATCGCCGAAGATCGACTCATCGCGTCCTCCATCAGAGAAAAGACACTGGATGTCAGATCCCACAGAGCTCGCGCCCCCTTCTCTCCACCCTTCTGATCTCTCGAACCCGAGGACGCGCCCGCACCTTCCTCGACGAGATAGCCCATCACATCCGTTCCTGGTGGTCCCGTGACACGTGCGACTTCATATGCGAGGTACTGCCGTTCGAGCTCGGGATACTCGACCTGCCAATCTAAGAAGGGCTCGAACATCGCCGTCTCCCATGCTCGCACAGCCGCGTGATTGGCCGTTGTGGGCACACCTGCGCCATCGGTATTGGAAACAGCCGAACCGCCGAAGGACAGTGAACGGGAGCCCATTCTCCGGGACGTCGACATGCGTTTCGACAGTCTTCGGTCGCGCTTCGAGGGGGTCGCCGGCGCGCTGCCTTCGAGCCCGGGCGAGGATACGAACGGAGCTCCTGAGACACTTCCCGAGCTGCCGTGGGTAGCCAAAGGGGTCGCAGAAGACGGATCGAGCTTGGAGATGATTTGATCGACGCTGAGAGCAAAGTCTTCGGTCGCGCGATAAGCTTGGATGAGCTCGGGCAAGATGAGCGGTCCATACGTGTCGGCGATGGCACTGAGGCGCTGAGGCAAGGAGGGCGAGAGGCCTTCAAGAGTTGTCGAGACGAAGGAGGAGATGGTCGGTGCAGGATCAGGAAAGATCGCAGGCACGTATGTGCGTTCCTCGGCGAGTAGGGCATGCAAGTCACCATAGAACTTGATGAGGAACGAGGTGAGCTTGATAGGGGTCGAAGCGGACATGATCGAGGCCGAGGCAGTTGATGTCGCAGTACTCGCAGCATCAAGTTCAATCATCACATTAGGTATATCGATGAGGTTGGCATTGACCCATGCATCGACGAGCGCGCTGCGCCGCGATCCAAAGTAGTATGCCGTGAACTCGGCTTCGCGCTGGATCTGACCAAAGATTGCATAGTACGACTTGCACGTCTTGACGTCTCGAGTATTGATAGCACTGACCAGCGAGCTAGACAGCGAGGCTTCGAGTTGGTTCTGTAGCGAGACCATCAGAGTGCGTCGGGCCTCGTACTCGATCGTGTTCTGGAAGACGACCATGCTCCTCGCGGCCTCTTCGAGTCGTTCCGCCGCCTTAGCGAAGGCTTGCTCACCGAGCAGCCCTGCAACTTCGCTTTCGAGCGTACTCCAGCTCTCGGCTTCTCGCAAGACATCCCGGGCAGCCTCCATACGAGCTTTGGCCAGATCCAAGACCCGAAGCTTCTCCATCACACATGAGACCTCGGGGTTCTCGCCAAAGCCTGAGCCCGTCCCGGCGCGTTTCCGGATCCCATTGAGCGTAAAGCGTAGGAGTAGTGCGTTCTCGCGCATGAGCTGTAGATCGAACGCAAGTCGAGGTACCGAGCGAGAGATGTCGTCGATGGTGCGGTCCACGAGCGCGGACGTGTCGTGCGTCGCGACCTCGAGTGCGGCTAGTGCCTTGCCCAGCGACGCCTCCAGGGAGCCCAGGTTGGCTTGTGACGAGCTTTGAGATGCCCTGTCATGACTCATTGTTGCCTTGAGAAGGTGGTTGAGCCACTCAGCTTCGGTAGGAGCATCGTCGAGGTCGGCGAGGCGACACAAGTCGAGTGCTGGTAGACTGCTCGACGACACCAGGGGAACCGCAGGTGCTACATCGCCTGACATCGCGTCGTGATCTGGCTCTAGAAGCTTTCTTGTGCCAAGTTGATTCTGGGTGTGCGATCAAAGGATTGGATGAGAGGTGGGGCACGGAGCGTGGTCGTTCAGCTCAACGATCATTACGCCGACGTGGAGCCTACAGCTGCGTAGGTGACAGCTCGGGACGTACAGAGTATCAGCACAAAGCGTCAATCGCTTCCAGTCCTTCCTTCCTTTCGGCCCGTTATACTGCGCAAGTGCGAGGTGCCCCGACGATGTTGCTGTGGTTCGAAAGCCACGAACCACGTTGTGTTCCAATACGAGAGACGCGCGATGGCGGCGACGGGCTGACCGCGTGACGTGCCGACTGAAGAGTAGCTGGACCTGCTGGAGCCTGCTGGAGCCTCGGAGCGAGCCATGTTTCAAGCCGACCACAGCATCGAATTGGCTATGACCAATTCCCGCAAACTATGTCGTTCTCCGCGAAACAGGAGCAAGGGTGGGTACTGGTGTTTCAGACTGGGTCCGGACCGCTCGACCGAGCTTCTATCATCCGCAATAGCACGCGCGCCGGCACAATTCTTCCTGGCTCGGCAGTACCGGCGAAAGAATTTACCATTGCAGTGTCCTGCCTGTCCTGTCCGACTTGGCTGGACGATCGGTCAGCTGGGCAGGCTCTACCTCGAATCTTAAGCGGCGAAGGTACTGTCAATTACCCGCTAGATGGCAGGGACTTCCGGGATCTATCGGACGCCTAACGTCCACCGAACTTCCACCAATCACGGAGAGCTCCGCGAGCCTGAACTCCGACAGCCTCGCCAGAGGAATCATTTCTGTCAATTTCTAACAAAGATATCGCCAGAAAGAAGCAGGTGCAAAAGGTTCTGATTTATCACAGGTAACCAAGAACAGGTACCCAGGGATTACTTTTCAGTCTGGTGCGCTCCTTCAGTCGCTCGCAGTGGGGTGTGGGGCGGAAATTGGCAGGTCTCACACAGGGGTAGTCGGTCCCAGGGACACACCGCCCGAGGCACGTCATCTAAATTTCGAGGCCTAGAGAGGCAGCGTAGGAAAGGTCGTCGAGGAAGGTACCGACACTTGGTTTTCTAGTACTTAGTACTAACGAGCGACACTAACGGGGCAGCTGGCATGTGATTTGCCTGCGATAAAGCTGTCAGGTCATGAAGAGGTCCCGCTGACCCTTATTAATGAGAAGTTCCCACGAGAAGCGCAGGGGCAGCTAGGACGGTCAACCATGCCGGTCTCGGGTGCAATCAGCTGCCAATCGATAAGATTCATGCAGACCTAGCGGACTCAAGTAACTCGGGGTAGGTGGTTAGATAGGTAGGCAAGGTAATCGTGTAGTGGCAGAAAGACAGATTCACTAGGTACCTACCTCTCAAGTTCCCAACCTACCAGTACGCTTTTCGTCAAACCGTCCCGAGTCTTCTTGAAACGGGCGCGCTGCGGCTGCTCGCGAACCCGACAAATTTTTGCGAGACATGGCACGCAAATAACTTGATTTCACAATCGTCGGAGCTGAGCGGTGCCCGGAAAGCTCAAAAGCACCGGGCAGACCGCTGCCACGGGGTCGGCAGAGTAGTCTAACTAAGATCTTAATACGCGTGAGCCTCGAGTCTACGAAACGCTCGTACTCTGTCCATCGCGATTCCGATCGTGGGCGTCGTCGGTGATCAAGATCGACTTGATTGTAAAGCGGATCTGACACAGCTGCAGGAAGACCTTTTCACGAAAGCCAAGCCTTCGAGTATTGTTTCCTGACTTTCAATCCTACAAGCTCGTCGATTGTGTCGAGACGGATGTTCCGAACCTTTTTGCACGAGGCTTAGGGGCGTCATCGAGATTTGCCAGCTGCCTCGCAACAAAGCTCCAACGTCAAGAAATGCCGGCGCCTCGGAGTCCTGTCTCTGAAGAAGTAGTTTCCTGCGTCGGCCCTTCGGCCCTTGCCATCGGCTGATCAAGAATTGGGATCGTCTCAACGCCCAGACAATGCCCACCATAGGCGTTTCCTGCTGCAGCACCTCCCACACCCCAAAGGTAGTACTTTCGCACCGGCCTGTTCGTTCGGGCTACAGCCGTGGAGTCCCATCTCAGTGGTCTTCGAAATCGCAGTGTAGCTATGGCTATCGAACAACGATCCTTGCCTACTATATCGTCGCAGCAGTTCTAGAAACAAGTACTCCGTTGTCCTGGAAGTAGCTATAAAGAACAACGCACCGTGTCTTCTCGGCGCAGATAAGGCGAGTATGCAAGTCTCCCAGAGACGGCGCGCTTCGCGCCCGTCGGCCCGTGAAAAGCTGGAAGGGCGGAGCCTCAGCGGAGGGTGAAACCTGGGAGCCCCTAACGTGGTAGCAGAGAGCACCCCAGGCTGTCAACAGGCATCAGGTCTCGCCCGGACTTGTCCCCGCTTACTCCGCTGCTACCCCAGAACCTCGGCGCCGGGCTAATGGTGCCCAGTGCAGTTGGCGCCGGCCGACGGAGAAGGCGGAACCCGACTCGGCCGAGTCGCGGCTTTCGGACTCATCCACTGCTGCCAGCTGCTGCCGCTGCTGTCCGAGCTCGTCCCGGCCTGTCCCGGCGGTGTGTGATCGTAGACAGCTCCTGTGCTGCACGCAAAGTTATCGTTGGAGTGTGCCCCGCTTCAACGCTCAGCCCGCTCAAGCTCCCGCTTCAAAACTTGCTCAACGTCGCTTCGCCCAATCGCCTTCGACTCTCCCGGTGACCCCCCCGTCAGCTCTCGTCAATCAGTGAGTCTCTGTGAGCTTCTGTCAGTCCAGGTCGCCGCTCGCTCCGGTACTGCAGTGGCGCTTACTAGCTCTTTCGCTCTCTCGGCACACCTTCATTGCCTTCTCGCATCGTTCTGACCATCTCCCTGCCTTTTGAATAGCTTCCATCCTCAACATGCCTTATCTCAAGCACGCTAAATGTGAGCTTCTTCTTGTGGGCCGGTGACGTGCTGTGCTCCCCGTTGGGCGGCCCGATAAGCCTGTATGGGCTAACTCTGTCTCGTGCACTCCATCCCTGCCGATGCGCCCTACCCTCACCAAACACAGACGGAAAAGACAAGGTCCGAACATTCCGAATCGTCCGCAACAAGGACGGAACCCATGACATCGCCGAGTATATCGTCCAGGCTCTGCTCGAAGGGTCAGTCTGCTCCCGCAGTTGCCTCCCTCATCAGTATGTGGGGAACAGTCCTGACTAGACTTTCTGCATCCGCAGTGATATCGAGACATCCTATACGAAGTCGGACAACTCTGTGATTGTCGCGACCGACTCGATCAAGAACACAACGTGCGTGAGACTCGCGATTTGGGAGTATGTATCGTACCTCGGTCGCTTATCAGCACCTTCCCTGTCTTTCCCACGTCCATCCCCTCTTCTTCAGGTATCTGTTCGCCAAGCAATCGCCCCATGTTTTGCAGCCCGAGTCATTTGCTCTCGATCTTGCTTCCCACTTTGTTGAGACTTACGTGAGTTGCCTCTTCGAGCTAACCGGACTCCGGATTTGACGGCCCTAACCTCGGATGACCTCCTGACTACTTGTGGATTAAAACTCCCCCTTCTTCTTTGCTTTACAGAGCCATATCCATAAAGCGCACGTCAACGTCATTCAACTGAAATGGTCGCGCATCCCCGTCACGGGTAAGGCCCACAAGCATTCCTTCGTTCGGAATGGCGATGAGAAGCGCTTCACGAACGTCACGGTTGATGCGACCAAGGGCAAGAACGCAGCGACCGCGACAGTCACGTCCGGTATCTCGGAGTTGTTGGTGCTCAAGACGACCGAGAGCTCGTTCGAGAACTATGTTTTTGACAAGTACACGACTTTGAAGCGTAAGTCCGCTACTCTCCGAGTTTCCAAACCTGGAGCACGTTTCTTCTATTCGCGCAGAGGCTCATCATCACTAAGTCTTCCCTCCACAGCCGTCGACGACCGGATCTTCTCCACCTCCGTCGACTGCTCCTACTCAATAACCATCCCGACTTCAGCTCTGACCTCCGCCTCGATCCCCAAGCTTGGCATCGACTTCGAACGCATCTTCAAATCTGTCGAAACGACGACTTTGGAGATATTTGCGACGCACAACTCGGCTTCGGTCCAAGCGACATTGTATCAGATGTGCGAGAAGATCTTGGCTGATAACAAGCAGGTCGCGGAGGTGTCGTACAAGCTGCCCAACAAGGTGAGTTTATATGTCTTCGATCTAGGCCTCGCCACCCGCGCTGAGGACCATAACGCTTCGACAAACTTTACAGCACTACTTCGCCGTTGACATGGCCTATTTCGGCCTCAAAAACACGGACCCCAAGGATGCCGAAGTCTTCATGCCCGTCGATGCTCCGTCCGGTCTCATCATCGCCACCGTCACTCGAGATGCGACCTCCAAGCTCTGAGAGAGCGTGGAGGGCGTGGCTTATACGATCGTAGAGTCGTGGCACGGCGTATTGATTTCGTGGTCGGGTATACTGACATTTCCGTCTTTGATGGGCTTTCAGTTTGTAGCCTCTACTGTGTGTTTTGTGCATTCCTAGCCTGTTTTTACGATCATTTTCGTTTGTGCTATCGAGTACAAAACCTTCTCCTTGCGCAACAAACGTACACTACACAGCTTGCAAAGAAATCAGACCCTCAATACTCAATCGACCAAATCGCCCTGCTTCAACAACTCTTTTGCCCTCTCCAGAAGCGCAATCACCTCCCTAGTAAACCTAATCTTCTCCTCTTCCCCATCGCTCCTCCCACACCCACCAGCTAACAACCTATCCAATTCCTCCTTGTAAACCTCTGGCTCAATATCCGACTCGACATTATCTGCATTCGACGACGTCTCGATCGCGTGGAATGCCTCAGGGATCCAATGCGGTTTGTAGTGGTTTTTCTCCGAGGCGGGAATTTGGGTGATCGAGAGGGTGAGTTCGTCTTCGATCTCGAGGAGGGAGGTCATTTCCCGAGGTAGACGGACTTTGAAGGGGGAGAGCGAACGCAGTTCGTCTTCGTCCCCTTCTGTAGAATCACGGGAGAAGGTGTTAAAGACTTTCACGAAAGAGTGACCACTCTCAGTCCGGACGGGCGCGTGGGTAACTCACTCAGATTCTTTCCCCTCAATAGTACATAGTTTCCCCTCACGCGATAGACCTCAAAAGCCCCCGAAACCTTCCTCATGCCCCCAGGTCCTGAGCCGAATACCTTCTCTCTACTTGCTCAATCCATTTCTTGATCCCATAGGCCAGCTTGGCTTCACGGGGCAAGTCATGGAAGGAGGATAAAGCGTCGTGTACGTCGGTGGTGATCAGTTGACGGTCGCGCAAATAGTCGAACCATGTCAAGAGGTGTTGCCGCGTCTTGTCGTAGTTAAGGTAGCTCGTGGAGATCGCAGCTAAGGGCCGAGAAGAACGTCGTCGAATGATCAGCTCGCTCTCATGCCTTTTGAACACCATGTCGGTGTTAGATGGCTACTGACTATGTGTAAGGAACGTCTTGATGGCAAGGTCGATGTAGTCAGCGGATTCGATGCCCGTTTCGATGACCCAATCTCCGAAAGCCTTTAAAGTCGATTCGGTCGCAGGGAGCAAGGATCCATTTCTCCGAATTGTTGCGAGGTGAGCGACGACGAAAGACGAGACAGTTCGCATCTACGTGAAAGGAATACAAATATGAGCATGAAGCCTCTTGGTTAGAGCAAAGAGTTCCACACGACCTACCTCACGAGCCGTCGCCAACGCCTGTTCCGCCTCTGCCTGTGCCCCACCCCCACCCCCACCGCCTCCGCCCATACCCGGATTATAAGCATCCAACAAAGTCTCGGCGATCGCATCCGATGCCCTCCTAACCGAAACGGGTAATGGTCCTTTCCACCCTTTCGCCGCCTCCATTAAATCCTGCGACCCATACCGACTCGTACTCGAAGCGATCGCAGCTGGAGCTTCCATTGACATTGTTAGGGGTCCCATCGAAGAAGCGACGTTGAGCCCTTGGACAAGATTCCTCGTTCTTTCCCTTTCGGTTTGATCGCGAAAGAGGGCTAGCGCAGGGGCATGTTCACCTAGAGCTCTTTCGAAGGGAGTTTGGACCGTTGATTGAGCGCCGGGGACGATGGGTCGATCGAGAGGGGGTAAGGCGTAGGTGTGGGATTCGGAATGGGCTGGGAAAGCTAGAGGGGGCAAGGATTGTTGTACGAGTTCGACCATGGAAGGTGGGCCGCCGTTGGAGGAAGGTTGGAAGAGGTGGTTGATGCCGAGCATCCCGTTGAGAGCGGGGTCGACGACCCCATCTGCGGGGGAGGAACGAACCCTCTCCACCGCCGCTGACGAGGTTGACGCTTGCGCGTTCGAGGTGTAGGCTGCCGCAGTATTCTGTGAGGAAGACCCGTCGACCATGATGACGTCGGGTGAGGCGGGCGAGGAGGCCGAAGGCTTTCGTCCTCGGTTGGTCCTGGAAGTCGAACCGCTCGGCGCGGCGATCGGGGTCGGAGCCGACGAGGTTCGACTCTGTTTTGGTTGTGCGTTATTTCTCTTGCTCTTTCTTGCAGGTCCTTTCGACGTCGAAGTAACGGGGTTTCGGTTGTCGATGTTGTCGTCGCTGTGGAGCTCTCCATTGAGGGAAGCGGCGATGAGCTCCTTGCCCCTTCGGTGCTCGACCATCGCTTCGAAACCCGGCGTCGCGTAATGATAGACCAATCCCGACTCGGACACGACCAAGACCAAGCAGTTCGTGCCCGTCAATGTACTCAGTTCGAATGCCTGTGCGGAAGGATCGAGTTCAGTGCCAAAGCGCCCACGTACTCCACTGCCACGCCGACCTGGACTGCACCTTCTTCATCAGCCCTTGCTTGCGTTTCGTAAAGCTGACATGCCGCTTCGCCTTGTCATCGATATACTCGATATCGATCTTCCTCCTGCCCGTCGAGGTCGCATTCCGTTTATTCGCATACCTCCGCTTTCTCTTCCTCGTTCTCCCGGTCCCACCTTCCTCGTCGTCCTCGTCGTCCTCGTCGCCCTCGCCCCCTCGCCCCCCTCCCCCTCCCCCTCCCCCTCCTCGTCCTCGTCGTCGTCGTCCTCTTGTTCGAACGGATCCTGCCTCCCCTTCCCCGAAGCCTGCGCAACCATCGAATGGAATTTGGTCGGGTTCGCCAGGCCCAAGTTGCGCGTATCCCCTGCTGAGCCGGGTACGGGCGATTCGAACTTGGATTGTTCGACCGAGGCGATCAGGATCAGCGAGTCCACGTCCACGTCGTCGTCGTCGTCGTTGCCGTTGTTGTTGGGGTACAAACGCGATCGGGGAGGCATGTCGATGTGTGAGGCTTGTGGCGCCGAGAGAAGAATGTGGCCACAAGAGGGGAGGAGGAGGAGAGGGTGTGGGTGCTTTTATAAGACGTAAAGAGAGCCCGAGCTAGCCCGAGCATCCACCGGGCAGCGGCGACCTCGCGACGCTCAGCTTCAGGCTCAGCGCTCAGCGCTCAGCGCTCAGCGCTCAGCTTTCAACGTTTCACCGCTCTCAGATTGAGCGGCCCGGCGCCCCGACGACCAAATCGATGAGTCCAGGGCCTAGGCGAGCTACTCGAACGCTGCTGCAGTAGCTTCTGGACTTGCTCACTGGCAGTACTACCCGACAACAGTCTCCAGACGGCAAAACGCCCATTCACTCGGGCAGGGTCCCGGCGCTCGATTGTCGATCAAGCTCTCGAAATTTCAGCTCGTGATTGCGGGTCGTGCTGACCGCCCTCGGAGCAAGTTGACGGGTTGTATGCTCGTATCAGGTCCCAAAAGGGAATATGTCGAGGGTGCACGAGTGACCTACTCCTTCCTTTGGATTGTCGAGAGTCGATACCACGTGCGTCACTTCTGCCTATACACTTTGCTCCTCCAACTACCTCGGGCCTGCAGCGGAGGCCGCAAGGCACGGGATTGAGCAAACCCCTTTTCAACTCGTGCCGATCCGGACCACTCTTGAGCCATCGATCGACCCGTTCTTATTATTACATCCACCCTTGTACAGTGGTCGTCTGGACCTGCCCAGCCTGTTTTATATCGACGCGGCTCATGACGATGACCGATCTTGAAACAGCTTTGAAGCCCTTGTCCTAACGTTCCGGAATCCGAGGGTCGAGTCTTGCGTGTCGATGGTCCTATGGGAGCACAACATACGGGATTTGAGAACGGAATCCTTTTTGGATAGCGTGAAGGTAGGTGCGGATCCCCAAAGAGCAAGACGAACGTACTTGTCGGCCATCTCACTTGCCCACGAGATCTTGGCCAACGAATTGGCGGACCAGAGTAGGCCTATTGTGAGGAGGGCGAGCGCAGCTAGGACTTGTAAGATGACCTGGTGCGTAAACAAATGCAATAGAGGTGGCACAGGTCAGCTGGAGCAGTCGGAGAAGAGCAGTCGTTCCGAATCTCACGAAGACGAAGCGCCAACGCACGGGTAGAGGTAAGGGAATAGCTTGAGAGAAACGATGCGAAGGTGGGGGGACCCATTCGGCTTTGATTGAAGATCGAGCTGTGTAGGAATAGGCATGAAATCGATTTCTATCAGTACGAACCTCGAGGAGGAACCATCGACGCGGAGAAGCGGTGAGTCTTGGGACTGACCATCCCATGCGATGAAGGCCGAGTAGAGGAAGCCCAGTGAGGCGAGTTGGATCAGCAGTCTCGGGAGGACCGCCATGGGATGATGCAGAGGGAGCGGGAAGGGGAAGGGGGGCCCAGACAAGTAGGAGACGAAGGACGAGGTAGCTCATCTAGGGCGCGCTCGCTGGTGCGCGGCTTGCTCTCCTCCGCACGAGTAAGTAGCGTGTCGGGCCGGGCCAGACCCGACCGCGCAAGACGATGGCACCTCCCTCGGGCGCACGCAAGCGATGGCCCGCACGCAAGCCACCCCTGGGCAACGTAGGCGGTGGACTTATTGCCACCCCTTTACCGGCGCCGACTCCGCCTACGCGCTCGAACCAGGAAGCCCCCCTCTTTCTCTCCGATGCCGATGACGACGACGACGATGACGACTCGGATGAGATGGACATGGTCGCGGGCCCTTCCCCCTCCACCACGGTCGAGTTGAATGGACAGATCAGTCGCCCTTCGGTCTCTGCTACGACACTGGCTCAACGACGGCTGCGGGAAGCCTCGCTCGATTCGAACGCTCTCGATCTCGAAGACGACGATCCGGACCGTGCCTCCTCAGCTTCGGCCTTGCCCCCTCCGCCTCCAAAACGACCCAAGACGACCAAAGCCACGACAGCCAAGACAAAACAAGCCAAGGGGAACCAAAAGGAATCGCAGTTCATCCCCTCGGTCGAGTTCCCACCTCATTTCGTCAAGTTGGAAAAGACGTTCAAGGTGGGGGGCCCCCGCGCGTCTTGACATCGCGTCGGCCGCGTCGAAATGTGACATTCGCGGGGAGGAGGCATTGTCGGTTCCTTGGCCGGCGGCTGACCATTCTTTTGTACGACCAGGCACTCAATACGGTCTACACGTTCGTCCAGACGCGTAAATCTTTGGCCACGACATTCGACATCCTCAAAGGATCCGTGGAATCCCTCATAAAGAGGTGAGCCTATCCTCTCCTCTCCTCTCACACCTCGTTCTTCCCCTGAGGAACACACTGGTCTCACAACGCAGACCCCTCGAGATGCACGACATTGCGCAAATCAAATCACTTCTTCCTCAACTCGTCACCTTTGCCTACATCGATGCCGAGATGTTACGCATCCATTCCACCTCCGCCAACCCATCCGGTCACGATGGAGCAGAGGACGATGCTCGGTCAAGACGGATGAAGAAAGCGAGGGAATTGGACGAGGCGTATGCTGAGGCCGCTGCTCAAGTACAAGAGGTTGGAGGTAGTCATAATAAGAAGGAATCGGCCGTTTTAATGTTCTCTTTCAATGATGGGGAGCTCAAGTCAAGTAACGGGGTCGGGAAAGTGATCACGAGGAAGTGGCAGTGAGTGGCGCGCATTGTCTTGGGAGATGAAGCAGAATTCAAGGCTGCTCACGTGACGCTTGAGCCCCAGACGCAAGAAGCAGGAGAAACATCCACAAGAGATGCAGAGACAAAATTCGGCCGATGGCAAAACGCCCGTTCGAAGCAGCTCATCCGATAAGGTCCCACAGTATTCGAAGGAGTCCATGACGTCCCTGATCGAACGAAGGAACGCCAAATTCTCCGCCGCCGTATCCGAGCTTCTCGTAGCCTGTGCAGCGGCCGTACCACCCGAAGATCCCGTCACTCTTTTGCTCGCAGCGACGGATGATAATCTTCCTGTAAAGCCGGGGGATGAAGACGAGGAGAGGAAAGGTCTTGCTGAGAAGAGAGAGGATCTCGAGTTTTACCAGAGGAACCCGGATCGGAGGCCGAGTATTGAGAAGATTGTGGTCGAGTTGATGCATCAGAAGGAATATAGGGGACAGATTGTTGAGAATGGACATAGGATCTTTGATGCTCGCAAGGGCGTGTATGGTGTGTTCCCTTTCTGGCTCTTGTTCGTGCGATCCTGAGCTGACGATGAAATCTCGAATCTCCCCTAGGCGATCTCGACCTCCCTCTCTCCACCTCCGTCTGGGACGCCCTCTACACGACCAAAAAAATTACCCAATTGTATTCCCACCAAGCCCAAGCGATCAACACCCTCGACGCAGGCCACAACGTCATCGTATCCACCTCCACTTCATCCGGAAAGTCCCTCATTTATCAACTTCCCGCGTTGAAGGAGTTGGAGAAGGATCATGATGCGACAGCGATGTATATATTTCCCACTAAGGCGCTGGCGCAAGATCAGAAACGCGCGCTGGCGGAGTTGTTGGCGGCTTGTGGAGGATTGGAAGATGTCAAGGTGAGGCTTGAGGTCCGGGCGCAGATGGAAAGGACGTGCACGGTGGCTCACTGACATGAGTATTAAACGGCAGATCGCGACGTTCGACGGTGATACTCACCGGGAAGACAGAGATTACCTGCGAGAGAATGCGAACATTGTGTGTTCTCTTCTTTCTGCACCCAAATAACGGATCACTGACTCGGGAGCCGATGCCCGACTTGACAGATCTTCACCAACCCGGACATGCTCCATCTCACCATCCTCCCCCGCGAACAAAGCTGGCGCCGCTACTTCAGCAACCTCAAATTCGTCGTTGTCGATGAGTTGCATTACTACGCTGGACTATTCGGATCCCACGTCGCCTTCATCATGCGGAGGTTGAGGAGAATCTGCGCAGCGGTCGGGAATGATAAGGTCAAGTTCATTTCGTGTAGTGCGACGATCGCAAATCCGAAGGAACACATGCAGACGATGTTTGGACTGGAAGATGTTATGGTCGTTGATGTCGATGGGTCGCCGACGGGGAAGAAAGTAAGTCTGGCTTTCTTTGCACAGGAGGCGTAGATGTGGCTGACGGATGTCAGCTTTTGATGCGCAGGAGTATCTCATCTGGAACCCACCTTTTATCGATGACCAAGATCCCAAACAAGGACGGATCAACAACATGTACGAAGCATCGAGGATCTTCCGTTTCTTGATGGACCGAGGCATTCGGGCAATCGTGTTCTGCAAGGTGAGATACGTTCATCCTGTACCCACTTGCCAGCTGAACAAGCTGACTCGGGATACTACCCCCAGGTTCGCGCGCAATGTGAACTGTTGATGCGACAAGTCCGCACGGATCTTATGGTCGAAGGGCGCAGTGATATGGCCTCCCGTGTCATGTCTTATCGATCTGGGTACAGCGCTGCTGTGAGTACTCAACCGAGGACGCTTAATCTATTTGGAAAAGAAAGGTTGAAATGTCAGATCCACAGGATCGTCGTCGCATTGAACAAGAAATGTTCTCCGGCCAACTGCTCGGGGTGATTGCCACGACCGCCCTCGAATTAGGCGTCGATATCGGATCCCTCGACGCGGTAATCACCGTCGGATTCCCCTACACGCTCCCCGGTCTACGCCAACAAGCTGGACGAGCCGGTCGACGCAACAAGGATTCTCTAGCGATGTTGATCTGCGACCCTTGGCCTTTGGACCAACATTACGCTCGGAACCCGGACCAGATTTTTACTTCGCCTTTCAGTGAACTAGGGATCGATCTGACGAACCCGATCGTCTTTGAAGCGCATCTCCAATGCGCAGCGGACGAGATGCCCGTTCAAATCGAAGTCGATACACACTACTTCGGACCCGAATTGGCACGCGTAGCAAGAGTTCGCCTCGTCGTGGATGAAGAAGGTTTCTACCATTGTCATCCGAAACATAAACCTTACCCCGCTAAGGCGGTGCCGATTAGGAGTACGGAGGAGGACTCGTATACGATTATTGACATTTCGGAAGGAAGGCACGAGGTCATGGAGGAGATCGAGACGAGTCGGGCGATCTTTACGACGTACGAGGGTGCGATTTACCACCACATGGGCAGGACATTCCTCGTTCGTGAGGTCAATCACGATCGCAAGATTGCGCGGGTCGAGCTTGCGCAAGTGGAATGGCGCACACGCCAACGTGACTTTACCAACATCGACCCCTTGGAGCCCTTGACCATTCGGGAGATCACAGGGTCTCCGTGTACGGCGTCGTATGGTCTTGTCGAGAGTACGTTTCTATCTGCAAGTTACCACCATTGTCCTAGTGACTCATTCAACTTCCCCCGGAATTGCAGTTACCTCGATCGTCTTCGGTTACTTTAAAACCGACAAGCGCAACAACATCCTCGACACGGTCGACATTTCATCCCCACCCTTCATCCGCCGTTCCCACGGGTTCTGGATTGACGTCCCGGCCTCAGCCTTGGAAATCCTCTTGTTAAAGAACCTTCACCCCGCCGCGTCGATCCATGCGGCCGAACATGCGCTGATGAGTTTGACCCCCATCGTCGCGATGTGCACCGAAGGTGACGTGAGGACCGAGTGTAAACAGCCTGAGAAGGAGTTTGCGAGTATGCCTAGTAGTCGAAAACGACCGGCGAGGTGAGCGATCGTGTTCTCTTGCACCATCCACTAGTACGCCCCGGCGCTGATCTGGAACTGGCCGTCCTTGCGCAGATTGATCCTGTATGACTCGGCCGGCATGTCGGGAGGGATCTGTGCCAAGGCGTTCGATCACATATCCGTACTGATACGGCAAGCAGCAGATACGATCGCGAATTGCAGATGCACCGAAGGGTGTCCATCCTGCGTCGCTTCCCACATGTGTTCGGGAGCCAATACGAGTGAGTGCAAGCCGTGGGAGCTGGTCTCCAGTGGGGATAAATCGCCTTGACGAAACCTCTCTATTCCTTCAGTCGTCTCCAAGCTCGGCGCCCTCGTCGTGCTCGACTCGATCCTCAACCGCCCCATCGACATCGATGCAATACCCCTCCAAAAACCCGCCCAAGGAATCGTCCCAGGCGGTTCGATCGATCTCGCCGGCGCGGGCGTCCGAAGATCCCACATCAATAAAGCTCATGACGTTCAACAACGGGGGACGGTGGAGAAAGAGGGTGTTATGGAAGAGGAGGAAATTTCGGAAGCTGAAGTGAGGGAGAGGGATCGCGTGCTTGCGGAGCTGTTGGGTGGGGGACCGGGTTCGGAGACTCCACAGGTTCCGCAGACGGCAGAAGTCCGAGAAGGGACGAGGTACGACATCACCAAAGGGGGTGGTTTCATGTCTCGCTGATCGATGCTCTTGCGTATCTCTACATCTTGCACCTTGGTGAATGTATCACATTTCTAAGCGGAGCGAGAGTATATAGGACTATGTAAGGAGCGACTATGCAACTGCAAGGAAATCATGTCGCGACTGATATATCAAGGAGAGCGAGGGCGCACTCAATTAGTTTAAGGGGGTGAGCCTAAAAGGGTTAAGACATCAGGGAAGAGTACTGCGAGCTGAAGAGAGAAAACACGAAGCGACACCAAAGTCGCAGCCCAATTATGATCGGGGAGTCGGACACGTTCCTTGATCGTGAGTGGCATCCAGACTGAACCAGTCCGTGAGAATGCGATCACCGTTCTCGTGATGTCGTCGGCTTTTTCTTGGATTTTTGGGCGGCTGTCCACCATACGTGTGTGTGATCTATCGGAAAATTGTGGTGAGCACGATCCAGGAAAATCATAAAGACTTGCAGGATAACCGCTCACCATGTCGCATCACATGCCATTGCTCGGACCACGGGTGGAACTCTCGCCCAAGGAACCAGTTGAGCCATCGCATCGCCGAGTACTTGGGGACTTGCAACGCCGCGATCGGCAAGAGCAAGACGTCACCTATCCGAATAGGTTCGGTCGTATGCGCCAAAGAGCTCAACGAAATACCGTAGTATGTTTGAAGATACCTGAAGGCGCCAAAGCACATCAATGGGTGAGCACATCTAAGTTCAGCGGCCCAGCTAAGAGCGGCCAACTTACCTAGCGACGCAGTCCGTGAACACAGCCGGCCCTGACCACTCCAACACCAATGGCTTGGTCTTATCCTGGGCCGGATTGAACGGCAACATATCCTCTGGCCCTTTGCCTTCCCGAGCGTCCCATTCCCGCCTCGACGATCTCACCGAGTTCTCCAACACCCTCTTGGCCGACTCGATCAACACGGGATGCCCTTGACTCGCCCCGAATCCCCATTGCACGATCCCCAACTTGCGCCCAAAAAGGACGTTCCTCAGATTGTTCTGTCTCCCAGTCCATTCAACGCCGACGACCAATCCCGGTGGTGCGGTCGGATCATGGTCGGGAACGAGTAATCGATCGGTGCGGTCAATCACTTTTTGAAACGGTTGGGCCGAGAGCAATGCGTCCAGCGACTTGAGAGGGTAGGTATCGACGTCGGCGTAGAAGCCACCGTATAACCCGACGGCAAGGTAGCGGAACCAATCGTACTTGATAATCTCGAGTGGCAAGGTGTCAAAGACTTTGGATACAGAGGAGGATTCGGTCGGGAAGTGGTAGTGGACAAAGGCAAAGACCTGTTCGTCGGTGTAGAAGTTCATCGCGTAGCCTGGGTTGATGCGTTGCCACTCGAGCATGTTGGGGGTCGAGAAGGCGGAGGTTTGGGAAGCGGTCGCGAAGAGGCCTCTCCGGACCGCCTTGGCTGTGGCGGAGGCCGCGCGACACCTTAGTTCGAGGTGGCATTCGAGCGAATGGACGAGCGAGGGTGTGTCGGTGTGAGGTAATGTTCCGCTCGGACTGGGAACGTCCTTGGAGGTGAGGTTGATTGCGCGGACAAAGTCGACCAATTCCTCGCGGTACCGCGCCAGATCCGCGGAGCCGACGCCAAACCCATCGTAGCGGCCAGGGGTATAGTCGGCATTGAGCTCCTGCAGCCGCTCCTCCGGTGTCGGGACCCGCTCATTGAATTGCCACGATGTTGTTCCGTCGTGACCAAATCGTGTGGAGCGGTGGGAGGTGAGATTGTGTTGGAGTCGGAGCAGCACGAGCGAGACGACGCTCAGGAACATCGCCGCCAGAACGAACGCGGTTCCGTGTCGACGCGCTTTGCTGAGGGGCGTCGTCATGTTGGGGCGGTTCATCGCGAAACGAAAAGTATGACTTGCAGTCTGACTGGCTACACCTCCGTCGTCGAGGCGCCGATGTGAAGCCAAGCCCGACCAAACCAACGGAGGCACGCAGGACCGTGCGAGAGTTCGCGCCGGAGTTGTTGTGTTGCCGCGAGATTTCCGTGAGACGACTCGCGGGGAGCGATAGCGGACTTGTGGCGAAGCTCTGGCTGACGAAAGCTCACGAGCGCGTACGGGCCAAGGTGAGAGAACCCAACCTGGCGCTTACCTGGCGCTTTCTAGAGCGTACACGTCGGTCGTGCCCGGGCTATTCAGCCGGCGTTTGCGGCTCAGGGCGAGGGAGGCGTGAGTTGAAGTCGGTGGAAGGGTAAGCCTGTCAGCCTGAACTCGAATAAGCGGAAGCGGAGGCGTATGCAGTGGTCGGACAGGGAGGGACAGGGTCGGACCTGGTCGGACCTTGAATCAACAGCGACTATCGGCCAAGACGACGCAGGCGGAAAAGAGGTAAGAGTTTGGTTTGTAACAAATTTCAAATCAAAGAAAGGCAGGAATACACAATTCTAATTGAAGACAACAAAGTATGTGCGATAAAAACCGGGGAATTTACGGCACCGGCCGATCCTCGTGTTCACCTGCGAGGCCCCCGCGTCATTCGAGAATCTCCCATCCAGATTCCACAGCCATCCAGCATCCGACCTCGCGGACGCCCACAAGCCTGCCCCAACTTGAGCCCAAAGCCTCTGGCGTCGCCGCGCCGCTCGACACCGCCCCTCCCCCGCCGCCCAGCTGCTGCCTTCTCGTCAAACGCGATAGAACCAGTCCCGCAAATCCAATCTTGACAACATTGTTTTGCAATGGTCGTAGTCCGACAAAAATCCCGCAATCGATCGTCGAACCTCGCTAATGTCGGCCCATCCAATTTTGTACTGTTGCGATTCCCGTTCCTAGACTTGTCACGCGGCGCGCTCATTTGTCCGAGCTCAAGGCTTCAAAGCAACGAGCAACCGCATCAATGTCCACCAACAGACTGACATGCCCAAAGCTGCTCTCGACGACTCCTTTGACCAAGTCGTTCCACGGACCAGGAAGCGACGAAGCGCTTTCGTAGGTGACAATGCCATCGCCTTCCCCAAAGAGCAGCCGCGTGTACGGCGTCGAGGCGATCGTGTCGTACGAATCTGCGACGATCCCACGCGCCGTGGCGGTCTTGCGCGAAGTGATGAGAGCAATCTTGGGGTATAGATCGATTTTGGCGGGATCGAAGAGCGTATCAATGTCATGGTAGAACTGCCAAAATCAGGAGGTCAGGGCGAGTCATCGGCGGAGAAGAGAAAAAATTCGCCCAGCACAAGATCTTACCTTCTTCACTCGTTCGAGCGTTCGTTCGAGGTATTCAGAGATGTCAGCGTCAGACTGAAGTAATCGATTCATGTCGATCTCAAAGGGGGTCGCCCGAGCCCCTTTCTTCTTCCCCGAGACGCCCGCAGCAAGAGTTCGGGAGCCCGAATCGCCATTAGTCGAGATCATGGGCACGGATGACGGTGTCATGGATGCGGAAGCGGGTGGTGAGAACTGATCACTCGAGTTGGTAGGTGACATGGAAGCTGAAGTCGGTGGCGACTTGACACTTCCCTGCCGCGAGCTGTTCGGCGTCGAAAAGTTTGAATGCGTGCCCAAAGCCCCGAAGTCGAGGTGCACATCGTGGGCCACCTCTTCGCGCGACAGAGAGATGGCGTCGACTTCTCCCGGCACCATTGCCAAACCCGAATGAAGCGACATTGTGTCGACCTCGAGCGCCTCCGCGCGAGCTCGCGAGCGCTGATCGCAATGTTCTGGATCGTCGGTGTTATAGATCTGGGCCATCAAGGGCGACAAGCCGTACTTGGCCCACGAATGTGCATCAAAGAAATCGATGGGTAGCAGTTTTCCGATTGGAGTTTCGAAGGAGAGGTGATCTCGCGGGAGCAAGTAAAAGCTCGATCGCATGGAGAAGACGGTGACCGGGGATCCAATCTCTTTGTTGAAGAGAATCCCATCGCCCTGTCGTAGCGGTCCCAGAATATTGGCGCAGCCCCCGAATGGTGTGCCCGCAAAGATGATCTGCTTGATGATCTTCGGGTCCTTCGCCGTTGCCAGAGCATGCAATGTGACGAGACCTCCCATCGAGTGGGCCACGATCGTGGCCCCTTCGCCCTTGCCATCGACACCCTCGCCTCGCGCTGCACTCTCCGCCTTCAGGTGCTCAAGCTTCGTCAGTAGCTCCGCACTCGACAGGTCGAGATTCCGCCGCCAGTCGTAGCCATGGTTGTGATACCGTAAAGCCGAGTCGGTGCCTCTCGTCGTTGCTGCAAGCAGTTTGAGTTTGGTCTCGAGTCCTTTGCCGAGGTTGATGAAGCTCATGCGCATCAACATCTTGCCGGGGACGACGGTCTCGGTCGATCGAAGCTCATCCTATGGTTCGTCATGCCCAAATGGTCAGTGACGCTAGGTGGAGGTTCAGCACCTCAACCAACGGCTCACCTCGTCGCGAAGTCCCATAAATAAGTTCGACTTTTTGAACCCCATTCCAATTCTCGGATTTACCCATCTGTGCAGCAACTCGAATTCATCAGTCAAGCCTCGCAGTAACGAGCCGTAGGTAAATTCGCATTCATCACTCACAATACCGTCTTGGTCTTTGCATCCTTGAGCGTGCTTCCCCTGTACCCACCCATGACGAGCAAATCGCCTTTGAGCCCACCGAACGCCGTCGGGGTGGAAGGCCGAGTAGCACCTTGATCGTCCATACTCGAAGTTTCATCGTTCATATTAGAGCTCGAATGCATTAATCGACTGACGAGACCCGAGCCAGGCAGGGATTCGACCGAGACACCCTTGAGATGAGGTAGATGCGGATGAGGCAAGCCGGGCAGACTTTGCCTGTAGACAGAGAACGTATCCTTGATGGCATGCAATCCCGTGTTCTCGCGATGATGGAAAGGTCGGATCGTAAACGCCATTGCAGCGGAGGATTCAATCCCTGCAGTGAGGTCGTGGCGAGAACTGTTGTTGCTATGCGACGCGCTGCCAGGAGTGATGGAGGAAAGTGCCGAGTGGACAAAATCCGGCACGGCGTCGATAGAGAAACGCCTCGCCTTGTCAAACGCCTTGGAGCCTGCATTGACGCGCGCAGTGACCCATGCGAAGTGACTGGTATGATTGACATTGCGAGGACGAGATGCCGTAGTATCGATCGAGGCATCCGAGTTGTGTCCGCCGTGAAAGTCTTCTGCGTGGAGGTCGACGTCGCTGCTCGAGCTGCCGGGGCGCGCGCCAGTCGGATTGGTCGTCGTGCCCGAGCGACTCGGCGCTGGACTCATCGAGGGCGAGCCGGAGAAGGGCCTTCGAGCCCACTCCAAGAAGGTATCCGTCATGACGATACGGTTCCAGGTCCTGTGGTCCAACTTTCGAGCCGTTTTCCCGGGTGACCGAGGCGATGGACGTGGGTTTGAGGACGTGATTATGAGGAGCGCACCGCTTTTAGACGTTAGCTCGGGCTTGCGAAAGCAGATTGCGAAAGCGACCCAATCACTGCAGCTGCAGTCGATCAACCGCGGCTCCAATTCCGAGAAAAGGCGGATCCAGGGGGCGAAAGTGCGATTTCTAACGACGACGGGCTCGAGGACAAAGAAGAATACACGGTAGCGACCAGGAATGGACCAAAACCAAGCATGCTAGCCCTCGGTGGCTTAGGTAGCAAACCAGATCAAACTTCAAAGGCAGGCGCGGCAGACTGAGCTCGTCACGGCCGGCATGACTCGGTGTGCTGGCCGCGCCATCCTCGGGAAGAGAGCCTTCAGAGGCAGTGTGGGTCGGTCATACGGCGGTGCAGGATTTGCAGAAGAGGTCTCCGGCGAAAAGAAAACGAACGAATCGCTTCCTTGAATTTTGACTAGGTAGAGTTTGCAAGGAACTATGTTGGGGTTCGAAAGGTACTGCCCTCGATCTTATAGCATTTTCATGGTCCGCTGCAGGTACGCCGACCAAGATCGGGGGCTGAGCGCGGAGCAGCTAGCTCCACTGCGCTCGATCAGTCAGCACATGGTACGTGGGCGCTGACACGCTTCAAGCAAGACGAAACAGAGACTGGATGCCCAGCAGAGGGATCATTGCTAGATACACCTTTACCGAAACATCAAACTGGGAGTTGATCATTAGATTGTGTTGGATTTTTCAAATTCTCGTCGCCGAGCAAAAGCAGGCAGAACAGGACACGGGAGGGGATCTAAGGACAAGCGGCTCGCAACGGCAACGCTATAAAAGGTGCATCAAGAGCATCGCTTGGATTTGGGGCAGGGGCGAAACATTTAGAGCTTGGCGCCAGCGTCGACCTTGGCGATCTGTACGAGTGTAGAGCAAAAGCGAACGAATCAGCAAGCCTGCGCGGGTAATGGGCTTAACACAGGGGAGAGTAGACTAACGTAAACCAAGAGGTCGACGACACGGCGAGAGTAGCCCCACTCGTTGTCGTACCACGAGACGAGCTTGACAAAGTTCTTGTTGAGCGCGATACCGGCCTTGGCGTCGAAGGTCGACGAAGCGTTGGAGCCGAGGAAATCGGTCGAGACAACCTCGTCCTCGGTGTAGTCGAGGATACCCTTGAGGTACTGTGAGCAGGAGCACGAAGGGAAAAGCCATCAGTCCTCGAAGAATTTCTCTCTTGGATAGGTTTCGCGCAAACTCCAAGCAATACTCACGGTCTCGGAAGCCTCCTTCATGGCGGCCTTGATCTCGTCATAGGACGCCGACTTCTCGATGCGGGCCGTCAGGTCGACAACCGAGACATCCGAGGTGGGGACACGGAAAGACATACCGGTGAGCTTGCCGTTGAGGTCGGGGATGACTTTGCCAACGGCCTTAGCGGCACCGGTCGACGAAGGGATGATGTTGGCGGCGGCGCCACGGCCTCCTCGCCAGTCCTTGCTCGACGGGCCATCGACCGTCTTCTGGGTGGCGGTGGTGGCGTGGACGGTGGTCATGAGAGCCTCAACGATGGTGAACTTGTCGTGAAGGACCTTGGCGAGGGGGGCCAAGCAGTTGGTAGTGCACGACGCGTTCGAGATGACGGTGTCGGCCGAGTTGTACTTGTCGAGGTTGACACCTGATTAGTTCGTTAGGAGCCGATCTTATTAGAACCTGTGCGAATGTCATGGGCGGGGCAATGGCAAAGTCGGAAAATGAACTCACCGACGACATACATGGGCGCATCGGCCGAAGGGGCCGAGATGACGACCTTCTTGGCTCCACCCTTCAAGTGGGCGCCGGCCTTCTCCTTGGTGGTGAAGACACCGGTCGACTCGACGACGTAGTCAGCGCCAACAGAGCCCCATGGAATCGCGGCGGGGTCCTTCTCGTTAAAGACGGCGATCGACTTTCCGTCGATGACAAGCTTGCCGTCCTTGATCTCGACGGAGCCCTGGAATCGGCCGTGGGTCGAGTCGTACTTGAACATGTAGACCTGTAATCGAATCGAGCGGTATAGAAAGGTCAGTCGAGGTCATGTCTTATAGAACTTTGGTCCGCATCATCGAGACTCGGTGGGGAAAAGGCAGGAGAGGGAGCACGTACCATGTACTCAAGGTCGATGAAGGGGTCGCTACAAACGATGCACACGAGAAGGAAGAACCGGTCAGCCGCGGCGGGGGGACCGACGGGAGCTGCGGGCCCAACGAGAGAGACACACGGCCGGCCCTAAAAGTGGAGCCGCAACTCCGCGCCGCTCTTCCCGCGTCGACAAGGACAGAGGCCGGATACTTACTTGATGGCGACGACGGTGACATCGTTGTGGATCAACTGGGGGTGTCGAGCGAGGTCGACGATGATGGCACAGGGGTCAAGAGAGCGGGCAGGGAGGTTTCAGCCAAGAGTTGTGTCGCTGAGCTGACCGAGGCCAATAGAATAGGCTCGGAGGGACTAACGGCGTTACGGAGGACGATGCGACCGATGCGACCTGTACATACAAGACAAGACGAAGCACGAAGCACGAGGAAAGCGTGATGGCGTTGTGGGTCAGATCGCGCTCCCACCCAGTGCTGCGACGTGGCTGCGATTGCGATGGGATCGAACGCTCACCGAAACCGCTGAGGGCGGGGGAAGGGGGGACGCAGCCAGTCGCCGTTCGAACGGATAACGTCAGCGCGTCAGCCATCGTCGTCGCCTGAGCTCAGCACCGAGCACCGAGCACCGAGCACCGAGCACCGAGTAGTGGGCGTCACCGACTCACTTGATACCGACTTGGATGGGGGCCATGTTGATTGAAGTTGTGAGGGGTGGGGCGTGGGGCGTGGGGCGTGGGCTTAAATAGGAGGGGGAGTGTGGGTGGTGGAAAGAGGTCAAGGGTCGCAAGTCGGTCGCTTCACGCTTCACCACCCACGTCTGCGCGCGCTAAGCGCTGAGCAGCCGCATTCATCGCCAAGAAGCGGCGGCTGATCGCGGCCCCCTCGCTCGGATTAAAGCGGGGCCGGTCGGGAGTCGGGAATCAAACGGCTTCCGATCGACCGTCGACGTGGCAATACCGAGCATCCAACCCTCAGCCCCAAGATGTGCTGCAACGTCGTCTGCAGCGGGCTTTTCCCCTCCATATTCGCGAATGCCAACTCGGACGTCGCACGCAGGTTTATCGCGCTCAGATCAGCCCCCGGCGCGGCGGCGATGAAGTCACTCGCCAAATCGATCAACATCGCCTCGCCGCCTCGGTCGCGACCGGAATCCCATCGATCAAGTCGCCCTTGCCTCGGCTTGGCTGAACTGCTGAGCTCATCAATCCTGATTCCTGGACCAGCGAACTGGCAAGACCACACAGGCATCTTCAACTTCACATCTGGCTACAGATACATCACTATCCGAACCGTGTCCTCTCTAGTTAAAATCTGTCCATAGTCATCACCTCATCATGCTCGCCCTTTGCCTTTAGCCTTCCTTCTCTGTTCAGCCGCAGAAAGCTCGACAGGGGGTGCGATCGTGACAGACCCCGAACCCACAGCCTTCGACCCTGTCCGCGGCTGCTGCTGTTGCTGCTCCTTTTCCGCCATCTTCTCGTCGCTATTCATCGTCTCACTCGAAAACCTCTGCTGCACCGTCTTGTAATGAAGCATCTCCGCCTTGGACACCGACGGAACCAACTGCAAGAGGCGACATCGACCGTTGGAGTTAGCAAACGAACAAGCTATTGCGTCTACACCCGACAACACAATCACTCGCCTCGGCAAGGGCAGCCTTGAAGTCTTTCTGCGAAACGAGCACTTCGATCTCGGCCGGAGTGGCCATCTCGGCGAGGTAGTATTGAGGCGTGAGCTTGATGCCATTCGAGTAAGGCGGATTCAAATTGAGTTTGGCTGCGGGTGAGGGAAGGTCTGTCTTAAGTAAATGCAGTGAGACCGAACTACACTCTCACCTCAACTCACTGATAGTATCATCAATCTCTGTCGCCTTCCTCGTCATGGCTTTCAGTATCGCGTCCGAACACAGCGCGTAAAAGTCGGCTCCGGTGTAGTTGTACGGGCACAACGCCGCAACATCCTCGAGTCGGATGTTGGGATCGAGTTTGAACTTGCGCGTAAGGGCCTGGATGATCTTGAGCTGCGCATCGTGCGTATCGCTCACGCCGAGGTACAGCATGCGATCGAATCTGTCACCGCCGGAAAGATGCAAGTAAGTGAACCGTTGGGCGCAGGAAGGAGAGAAAAGCCTTCACTCACCGACCGGGGCGGAGCAAAGCTGGATCGAGCAAGTCAGGTCGATTGGTCGCCCCAATAACAAAAACGTCGCTGCCACCCTTGCCCTCCGACATGCCATCCAACTCGGCCAGCAGCTGAGAGACAATACGATCCATCACACCACCCGAATCTCCCTGGTTACCACGTTTCGGTGCAACCGAATCCAACTCGTCGAAAAAGATGACACACGGCTTGGCATCCCGAGCGCGTTGGAATACCCTTCGCACGTTGGCTTCAGACTCTCCAATGTACATGTTGAGTAGCTCGGGGCCCTTGACGGAGAAGAAGTTGAGCGAGCATGACGTCGCCACGGCTTTGGCGAGCAAAGTTTTGCCCGTCCCCGGTGGACCGTACAGCAAGATACCTGATCGCTTCTTCAGCCCATCAGCGAAGAGCTCGGGATGCTCAAGGGGTAATTGAATCGTATCCAAAATGTCGCTCTTGACATTAGCTAGGCCTCCGACGTCGTCCCAGGTCACGTTGGGGATCTTGGGGGCGCCGATGCTCTCCGAATACGAGGCCCGAGCTTTGTCCAGTGCTTTGTTGAAGTCCACAGCCGTGAGCTCCAGTCCGGCACGAGCCACATCTTCGACTCGCAGAGGTCTTGCATCCGCCTCGGAGGCGTCGATCGACGCGAGTGCTCGCTCCGCTGCAGCCGAACCAGCCCGTCGCACCAGGTCGACCAGGTCATTCGCGACAAGTGCAGCGGTCTGCACGGCGAGAGCTCGCAACGAAACGTCAGGCGCGATGACCGAGGAACGGGTCAACGAACGCAGGATCGTAAGACGCTCAGCTTCGTTTGGTGCCTCGATCGCAATCTCCTCTTTGAATGCACCAAGAACGCCCCTAGGTAGCTTTTCGATGTCACACGTTGTCGCGACAATGATGACGGGGAATCCGCTCGTCTTCCACCCTTGCCGTGCGGTCGCGAAGCACTCTTTCAATACGGTGGTCATCGCTGGCTCTGCACGAACATCAAGAAATCAACGAAAACCTCAGTCATGTTCCACGTGTCTGATATCAATTCGACGATCGGCGCACCTTGCCCAGTCTCGAGTGCTTGACTTTTTCTCGCCAACGCCTCAATGTTCCGCAAGAGCATGATGCACGGGGAGCACGAGAGCGCATTATCGATCCTCGCTCGTAGATGTCCCTCCGTTTTGACGTCCGACTCGCCAATCAGGTCGTAGCAATCCAATTCGAGCAAATGTAGACCAGAAGAACGAGCGACGGATTTGACGAGAGATCGCTTGCCCGACCCATGAGCGCCTTTGACAAGCACCGTCAAGTGCAGATCATAGTCGCTTGTCCCAGGTCGCAGAGACGCTTTGACGTATTCCAGCAGCCGCCAGGTTGGTGTTCCCTCTTCCAAGGCGGCCTTGTCTGACTTGGCAGCAAACGAGTCGACTATGGGTGAACATCATGGATAAACTTCAGCTGGTGGCGACTGCCTAGGCCAACGCTGGGATGACAACTCACCTATCCCGAGATACCCCTCCACGTCCGGAACCAGACTATGCTCAACGCCACTCTGCACCAGTTTCGTCATTCGAGGATCCACATGGCAGCCGAACTCGCCTAGGTCCAGTAGCTCCGTCAGCTCATCGCCCCCCTCTGCTCGGACCTCTGTCGGAGGCGAGAGCTCCAGTGACGTGATGACGAAATAAACGACGGCGGTAGGAACGTTCAGAGACGCCGGTAGCCTTTGGAAAGGAACGGAGATTGTTGAGCGTCGTCAGAAAAGAACCATCGGCCCCGCACCCAGAAAGGGCTCCGTAACTCACTCGACCTCATCCTCATCTTCTGCGGCTGCTCCTTCGCTGAACCGAGCCATATCCTCACAGATGCCGACGGCGATCACGTCGCCCCTCTTCAGTATCCGCTGTCGATCCTTAAAGAAACCTTTGAGACCGTCGAGGAAGAGGGACTGGTACACTCGATGCACTGACCGGGGTGATGCGACTCGGGCTACAGTGACGGAGGAGGCGATAGGGAATGCAGGTTGAAAGGGGAGAGCGGCAGGGACGAGCGTGACCGCCTTGGACGGCAAGGTGTGGAGAAGTGTCGGGGCGAACAACGCAACAGGAACCCTGCGAGTCGTACAGGTTCGTGTTTTAGCCTCTTGGGACCATGAATGATAGTCAGAGCTTCCACAGCTTACCCTGTCTCGTCGGTCACGTTCTGCAGCTCGTCCGAAACGAAGACTTGCACCAGTCTTCGCTCCGACGTCAAAGCGCTCGATCCCTCGGACTCGACCAGAGCCCAATCCCCACTGAATAATCCCAACCGACTGAGATCCCTACTGCCCAAAAAAACCCACAGTGTTTCATCCTCCCCTTCGGTAGGTTGCGGAACCAAAGTCGAAGAGTCGACAGGGTGCTGTAAAGCCTGAGCTTGTACGAGCGCGCGCTGGTTCTGACTTCGAGACAGAGCAGCTCTCGTTGCTGAGAGCGGACCATCGCTATGGCTAGGGAAAGGGGAAAGAGAAGGAGAATAATTCGAAGGCGCACGACCTGGAAGGTCTCGAGGAGAGATGGGTGTGGAATTGCCATCAAGTCGGGGCAGAGAAAGGACTGAAGCGGCCAAGAAAGATTCGTCAATGTCGAATGCGCCGTCATCGTCGTCGAGCGAGTGCAGATCGTGGTGGTCGGCATGCCCATTCGGAGTACTGCTCCCATTGGGCAATGACGCTGGCTCGTCCGTAGGTAGAAGCACGAGAAAGCGCGTGCTACCGGGAACCAGCACGCCTTGCAGCACAGGCTCGGCCATAGCGACGGTCCAACCGAGCGCCTGACCGGAAGCCGAAGTGGAGCTCAGCACCTCGCCAGACCTAACGATGCGCCCGTGCTTCCCCAGTGACTGCAGGAAGTCGTCCTTGTTGGTGACCGAGTAGTCGTACGAGTTGGAGTTATATGCGATGAGGATGAGGTCCGAAAGCGGGATCGGTCGAACACGGGATACACCGAGCGGGACGGAAGACGTCGAGGACGACGAGGCTGAGGTCGAAGCCGACTTGAGCGCGGAGCCAAAAATGGCGGGGTGCTGCTCGAGCAGTCTTTGTGGTACGTATACAACGCCTGGGTTCTGTTGCAGCAAAGCAGTGATCCATCAGTGGCCCAACAACAACCAGCACCGGCACACGAGCTGAGGCAGACGACTGACCGGTTGCTGATCAGCCTTGTTCTTGCCCGTCGCCTTGCTAGCATTAACGACCAAACTGCCGAACGTAGTCGAGCTGTTCCGAGCTTGAACAGGGAGTGTTCTCGGTGTTAAGGCGATGGCAAATCTAGCCTCTGTCACGAGTTGGGATGAGCTCGAGGCACCAAGACCCGACTTGGCCTGATCGTCGTCCTCGGCGCTCAAGTCGCGTAAGCACTGCCACAGCGCATCGCTCAGTGCCACCTCGTCAGCGTGGGCGTCATCATGCACTTTGATCGAGGCCAGGAGGTCATCTTGGATCGACATGGCGCCCCGCTCGGATACTCGCGATTGAGCGGTCGAGACGAGAAGACGGCCGAGAACGAGCGACGATCAGTTTAATCGGCCGGTCAGTCATAGCCGGTTTCATGCCCGAGAGTGCCCGAGCCAGCCGAGCCGGAGTTCATCCTCGCCGAGACCTGAAGCCGCCCCGGTTCACTATGTAGATCGATACAACCCAGTTCTGGGAAGGACCCTCAGATCAATCCCGCACAGCAGTGTGAATGATGAACCCATTGAATTATTTGCAGAATATAATGCAAGCTTCCTGACTATGCGAGGGGTATCGTCCGCCACGCCATTCGGCCTCCGGATCAACTCCAACTCAATCACCATACGTCGTTGGCAGCTTGGGTACAGCAGGAGCGCCTTGGCTTCTCCCCAATCGCGATGAAGATAATTGCCTTCCGCCATTGTTGAGAGGACGTCGCTGCAAGCTCCCACCGGCAGGTTTGCCCCTGCCTTGCTGCCGACGCGCGCTCTCTTGCTGCAACGAAGCTATCGTCGCGAGCTGTTGGGCGATAAAGTCACTCGTGCCAGAGCTGTACCAGACCAATAGATTCGTTGCTCAATTAGTCCGAGTTGAAGGGTCACTCCAAGGCGTAAGATACTCACTGCATCCTCAGGATCCTCAATATCATCTCGCCACTAGTCGAGGACGTCTGCTTCTTCTCGATCTTGCGCGCGCGGATCGTACCCAGGTTGCGTTGCTGATACACCGACTTGGATCGCGATAGCAGCGAGTCACTCTTGCTCAACATGGAACGTTGCACTGTAGGTTGGAATCGGAGATCAGCAATCGGCTTCACACAACAAGAGAAGTCATTGCCGCCGCGACTTACTCGATCGAACCGACTCTTCCATCAATTGATCCGTGGTCCAGTCCCAGTACATCCTCGCTTCGACGAGTTCTGTGCGAACAGTCTCCCGTAAGTGGACCGCACCGAGCACCGCATTCAGAATATCGTTGCTCACCTCGATATTTGGCATTGCGAAGATCCTCAAGCGGGACACCGTCGCCGCTGCTGTGGAAGAAGTTCACCAAAAACTTTGAAACGGATCGATTGGTGCGCTGTCAGCATTTAAGCCCCAAAAATCTACCGCAAAGGCCCTTCGCAGTACTCACCCCAAGCCACTTGAAGACAATGTCCAATTCTTTCTCACTCATCATTTTCATCGGTGTGGGTCGGTCCGACAGAGGCGGAACGATCAAGCCTTCGATGGTTGTGAGAATGTCCTTCCACAGTCTCGAGATGACGAGATTCCACGCTGCGCAAGGGGTCCAGCACCATCATGAGTTAAGAACATCAACGAAATGGCTCTCGGGACTCGCCATCTTGACTCAAGCTTGTCTTGAGCGTGCCAAAGGTATCGTTGAAGTAATCAAACAGGTCCCCAATCGCGTCCTCAATCTCAAGATCCGTCAACGGCCCTCGACCCTTCTTCTTCTCACTCGGCGAAGCCGTAGTCTCATTGTGACCGTATTCCTCGACGGGCGGGATCGTGTATGAAGGCCCATTGATGGCGTCACGGACATAAGCGTTGAGCTTGCCACCGACTTTGACGACGTCGCCGCGGACCTTGTCGAGATCGATGTCAAAGTTATACGAAGTCTTGACGAGCGCTTTGAGGGTATTGCGGGAGATGTAGTGGTTCACGAAAGGCGACATCTTTTCAATATGAGCGAGGACAGGTTCAGTGGGTGGGATCTCGACTGTACCAATCAGGCGGCTTACCTTGTCGACCATGATTCGGACCATATCACTCTCGGCACGCTTGAGCCATCGGAACGCGCGACCAAAGTAAAACTGAATATCATCCTTCTCCCCTTCCATACTGATGCGGAACGAAATGCGACTGTCAAGTCGACGTCGCTTGGTATCTTCAAGTTGGAACCACAGGTCCTTGGGCATGAAATCGCTGAACTCTTTTGGGTCGAGATGGACGTAAGCGCAGCCATAGTTGTCGTGGCTCTCTACGAGGTTGCGGTTGTAAACCGTCGCACGGAGCCAGAGATCGCCTTTGACTGAGATATCAATCGTCTCATCCCATCGTGGGTCGTTCGTATCGTACAGCGTTCGCGTCTTGGCCACGCGGTATCCTTGAGGGTCCGACAAAATCAGGAACGGGTCGAGCTTCTTGCGCGAGGTACTGTCGTTCGGGGCCAGGTTCTCGCCCAGTAGGATCTTGACCGTGAAGAGGTACCGCGTGGGCTGTCGCACCTGCTGCGGCGCTTCCATCTGCTGATGAGCTTCGACGGTTCGAGAGACATTGTCGGCATCGAGCGTCGTGTACATGATGTCCAAGAGCTTGCGTGCGGCTTGGATGTTGTTAAGCTTGACACACGTCTGCAGAAGCAGCTCATCCCGTTGGGTTCAGGTAATCACGAGTCAAAACCAAGGCAAAAGACCACATACCTCGGGTTTGAAAACAAAAGGCTGGATCTTCTTATCCCCCTGCACGACCATCTTCGCTTTCGTGAGCCACGCCGAAGGTCGAGCCGCTTCCGGATCTTGCTCTTGCTCGCCGCGAGGGTACATCTCATCGATGAACATTGCTTCCAGCGCACTCGCATACCGTTCGATCGACTTTGCGATGGTCTGAGACAGGGCGGTAAGGTATCGAGCGTTGTCGTACGAGTCGGGCCAGTTGAGTTTGAGGATGAAGTCCGTTGCGGATCGGCACGAATCGATGAGGTCGATGATGGAGGATGAATGACCGTCGGCTCCCTCGGGTTCGAACTGGGAGCAGCGAGGCTGAGCATCAGCTCGTGTTCCGTAGCTGATCCTGATCGAGCACTAGCAACACTCACCGTGTCGTGATGAATGGCTGCCTTCACCCATTCGGTCGTCTTGGCATCGGTCCTTTGCAGCCATTTCCGGATGTAGGGTTCGAACCAGCTCGAAAATTCAACCTTGAGCGGCTCCCTGTGCAACAAACAGAAGATAGGGGTAAGTATTGAGGAGACCGTGAGAAACTGGTGAAAAAAACACGCACTTGGGACAGAAAGCGCCATGCATCCTCTGCAAGGCCAAGATGGCGCGATACAGATCCAAGATATCTGCATCATTCGCGCCTCCTTCCCCTTCATCCCTGGTCACCGCGTCCAGAAGAGTTTGGCGCTGCGAGTTGAGGTGTTGGACGAACCACGGACCCGCAATTCCCAGGAACAAGGCTGGCGGATCGATCACGCTATTGACATTTCGTAATACGGACGCATCAGCATTACTTTATTGCCCTTTGGTATGGCCAATTTTAGAACTCACTCAACAAATTTGTTGGGGAACAACGTGTCATAGCTCTTAGCCTCGGCAGTGATCCAATCAAGCATCGCCAAAAACGGGTGCAGCGCATTCCCAGGCGGAGAGATCTCAATGACCTCGAGCTGTTTCTCCTCGTACATCATCGCGATGAACTTGCGCATCCCCTGTTGCAGCTCTTGCAAGGTCGTATCAAGGTCCCGAATGTCCTCCCGGAAGACTTCGTTCGTGTGCACCTCGTGGATCAGATCCACTACCTCCTCCAGGGAGATCGCGAGAAGTCCCTGGAAGACCTCAAAGAAACGGCTGAGTAGCGTGTCGAAGAGCACCGAGAGCCCTTTGAAGAGGTAGTCTCGGTCTGCCCAGGGCCAGCGGGCGTATTCCCAGTCCTCCACGACCTGCGCCAAATCGCTGAGAGCCTGCGCAACACAGGCTTCCGGCACGGCTTGAAACTTGTAGTGCTGGCCGATGAGCGAGAGAAACGTCCCCGCTCGAGTCGGGGCCATGATACGCCATCGCGTCGCACAACCCGAAAGAAGCTCCTCGTGCAGTGGCGACAGAATCGTCAGCGAGACGTCCTGATCGGGAGGAAGATCCCTCATTGCTTCGTAGTCGTGATTGAGGGCGATCTCATACAGCCGTCGGTAATAGAACTTGGGATCCGGCGGTACAAATACGAACGCTGGGTCGACGAGTGGTTCGCTGTCGTCCTCGGAGGTTAGCGGGAAACCTCCATCAACCGAAAGAACAGAACGGCGCAAACTCGGTGATCCCGTGAGGGGGGTACTCGAGCCCGTTTCACCCGTCGCGACAGTCGATGACGCCGATCGCACGAGATTCGGGTTGCGCTTGATCATGTTGAGCATGTATTCCTGCAGCGTATCGCTCTCCTGTTTGCGCCAGGTCGAGAACGACTCGTCCGAATCGAAATCCTCTCTTCTTGCGGGAAAGCGAGCACCTTTGGCGACGTTGTTGATGCAGAGCTTGAGGTCATTGAAGGCGGACTGTCAGACCATGTCGAGAGGGATCAGCACATCGAACGTGAACGCAGTGCGCATGATGTGGCACAACAATTGCTCACCTGTTCAGTACAGGTCCTTCGGATCGGAAAGTAGTCGCGATTCAGATCGGCGATCGATTTGCCAAAGAGTTTGCCGACTGCAAGGACCATTGGCATGTCCTGCACGTTCGCCGATCCAGGTATGGGTGGGGTGAGGTGGGTATCGAGGGTGAGTTTCGAGGTCGAAGCCTGCGCCGATCCGGTTGAGGCACTAGAAGACAAGTCCTTGTTGGTCGAAGCGGTCAATGCTGAGTTGGGACCACCTGCACTCGCCGGAGTCTGCATCTTTGAGCAGTACGAGTCGAGCCTAAGCAGGAGCTCGGAGGGCACGCCGCGACAGAGTTTGAGGCCATCTCGAAGCACCATGACGAACTCGGCGACATGTTGGTTGAGGTGCTCTTTCCACTCATCCCCTTCGAGTCGCTTCCTGAGGTACCCGGAAGCGATGGTGACGAAAGTCAAGATGATCTCCTCTATGCCCCGGTTCTGCAGCAGCTTGGTCTGGAACGACTTGTCCTTGTAGGTGCCGTAGAAGGCCCCGACAGTGGCTCGGAACAACTTCTCGTCGTGCTTGGGATCCGACCCTTGGAATATCTTGACGAGCTTTCCATCGAGCACCTTGACGAACTCCTTGGGGAACTTGACGCTCTTGCCGCTGCCGCTGCCGCCGCTCGAGTCTCGGAATACGTCACCGACGGAAAGCAGCGCATTGGTCCACCCGTCGGCGGGGCGCAAGGATGACCCCATGGCCGAGGACGAGGTGGTGGATAATTTGAGATTGTTCGCCCGTTGCTTTGCGGTCAGGTTCGAAGCGGTGATGGTCGAGGTCGAGGTCGAGGCTGAGGCTGAGCCCGAGCCCGACGCGGCACCAGCGCCACCGGCCTCGTTCGCGTCATCAGCATCGCTCTCGAGTCCAGCACGGAGCACCGAGTGCAGCACCGCGAAGCGTAGCGCATACTGGTACACGTCATTGTCCTCGCGTGGGACATGCGACGACGACGCGGTGGAGCGAGACGATCGTCCTGTACCGGGCGGCATGGCCCCTCGAAATTGCCAACAGTCAACAATCGACGATTCGAACCGAGTTGGCTGTCGTCGTTCTGGCAATAACCGTGGCTGAGACTGGTATGATGATCGGCCCTGTAGCCGTGGTTGTGGTCGGTGCAGGAGGAGAATATGGTCTTGTTGCGGCTGCCTGCGTTCAGCTGTACGTGGGCATGTAAACGTCCCCGAGACCCCCTCGATGCAAGCAAGTGACACCGGCTGCTCGTCGACTCGTCGTGCGACGTGAGTGCACAGGCCGAGCGAGGGCCTGAGCGCCTTATAATAGCGCCTGAGCTCCACTTGGCCTAGCTTGGCCTCACGCGGCAGGCGCGACCACTGAAGACCTTAAGACTAATTTTCGCTCGGATACTCTCGTATGACTCAGTAAACGGCACCGGGACCCAGGTTGCGAGTATGGCCAATCTTTCGCAGATTGTTATCATTATGTTCGAGAATCAATTTGGAAAAAGAACTGCACGCCCAGATTGGCCTGGGGGTAGAGGAATCAAAAGGACGCCATGGCGCGCTAGAGCACAACAGCGAGGCTGAGTGGTCAAGCCTAAAAGCATTTGGCGAATAGTTATGCCTCGTCGGAGCCCTTGAACTTGTACGACGCTTCATGCTGCGGCTCGTGCTTGGTCATGGCCACCAGCTTGTGGTCTTTGGCAAATAGTGAACGTCGTTCGAAGAACCGTCAGTGAATACGCCCAGTTGCAAACAAGACTGCCACGCGACTGACAATCGGGATCATCCTCGACGACGTCGAACAGACGTGTCTCGAAAGGTTTGCCAGCTGCGGCCTCGTCCTTGCGCTTTTGCCTCTCCGAGTTCTATGAGCGTAAGGGCCGAACGAGTAAGCACAGCAGTCGGTCACGCCGCGACGGAGTAGCCTCGCTCGGACTCACTTCGATGCGACTCTTGGCAGCGGATGCCGTGTCAAAGTCGCCTATACCATTAGATCTCAAGGATCGGTTAACGGACTGGGCTAGAAAGATGACGCACGCTGTGAGCAGACACGTCACCATTCGACGCACCTTTCCGAATCCCATCGGCGACCTCCTTCCACGCTCGACGACTCTCGTACTCGCTCTGCTCGCTAATGGGCTTAACCTCGATGGGTGACCGATCGGGTGCCGTGTCGAGGAAGAGTTCGCCGATTCGCGACTTGGAACCTTTGATGAAGTGACTCTCGCCGGTCCACAGACCATCGATGACGTACAGCGTGTGACCCGCGTTGGTCACGGTCGCAGTGAATGCGTGCGCCTTGCCCGAGACCCATCCCTTGCCTCGGAATTCGAGCGAGGTTTGGTACCCGGTCGAAGACTGAATGAGCGACGAATCACACAGCTCGACGTAGGGCGAACCGAGAAGAATGCCTTCGATCTTGAGCTTGGGCAAGGTGATGAGGTACTGCTCGACGGTGCCGTCGGCGAGTTTGATGCGCACGATACCATGGCCGACTTGTCTGACGCTGATGGCGCGGCCGGAGAAGGACGTCTTTTGGGCGCAGTTGCCCTCGAAGCTGAGGCCCTTGCTCTCGTTCTCGAGGTAGTACGCCGTCACGGGCGGGTGGTGCGAGACCTGTTCGGCCCACAACTTGAGCTCTCCACCGTTCCATTGGCCGATGAATTGTTCGCCTGCACACGAAATCGCCGGTCTTGACGTCAGTCAGGGAGAGCGCCAGGAGGCAATTTAGCAGACCCACCCAGGAAAGGGTTGAGCGGCTTCTTCTCGGTACCGGTCTCCTTCTCACGCCTGGTGAATTGGCCGGGGCAGGTCGAGAGGAACCAAGCCGTGACGGCGAGATGGCGAGCCTCGGGCGTCTTGGCTTCGGCGATGGCGGCAAACTGTTGGGTCGGTTCACCCCAGTAGCTGTGTGTGACATGCATAAATTTGTCAGGCCAGCTGCAATCTAGTCGGAGCGAAGGGGAACCTGAGAGCCCCTCGATAGTCGCCAAAGGCGTGGCGGGAACATGCAAGGCCCGACGTGGGGAGTTGGCTGAGCACCACTTGGGGAACTTACGAGGGAAACTCGCACAACGACGTCGGCGAGAGGATGAACGGAGGAGCAGTCATAGAAGACAAATCGCCGGTCGCTATCGGGAAAAGGACGTAGAGTAAGTGTGTGTCCGACCAAGTCAGCCAGAGCAACGATGGCGAGGCCATCATCGCCTTGCCGAGCGCCTCGGGATCGCGCCAATTGCGTGGACCACCAACACGATACCGGGAGCTGGACTGACCACTGGCGATGGACTTGAGGAAGGAGCTCCATGAGGACTTCTGGGCGGCGGGCAATGCTTCGCCTTCGGACACTGCGATGATACGGAGCGCAGCGGCGGCCAGGCGACCAAGTGGTGCCGTGGGGCGACACGACGATGAACGATGACGACGGACGAATGGGAACGGGAACGACAGTGGCGGCGGCGGCGGCGGGGAGGTGGCGCACATGCAATACAAAGGAGGTCAGAACTCAACGTCAGCAAGAATTAAGGCCGTAACTTGTGCCACAACACCCGACAGACTGACTGATGATGCAAAAGATGTGTGTAATGGGGCGTAAGAACCGTAAGAAGTCCCTGTCGCGGGTCAGCGCGGGTCAGAGAGCCGGCCAGCCCTGGCCAGCCCAGGCAGGCCCAGGCCCGGTTCAGCCCGGTTCAGCCTGGTTCAGCCAGGTTCAGCCAACAGCGCAAGCCAAGTCTGTAGACACGCTCAGCCCCACGACAGGCGCAGCACAGCCTAGTAAGCACCTGTAAGCACAGGCTCAAGTTCTGGCCGGGTAGTCGTAACAAGCCTTTGCGGCGCTCGGACCTCCTGGTGTCTCCTGTCAGTTCTCATCGCGGCGCTTGACCCATTCTGACCTGCGTCGGCCTGGACTGTTGTGTGAAGGCGTCGGACAGCCGGGCCGGACGATCGCACGAGAATGCCGTCATTCGATCTACTAGGCCCTCCGACCGAGGCCACGATCGACCCGTCCTCGTTCGCTCGACAAGCGGCTCAATCGCTGCAGACCGCTCGGCTGCGACAAGCAGAAGCGAGGAGTTACATCGAGAAGAGGACAAGTTCAACTGTCGATGGTGACGTTGATGTTGAATCCGATGCGCAAGAACAACTTCGTAAACGATGTGTGTACAGCCCACCTGCACGCTGACTCGCACACGTGACTGATCCGCTGGCCTCCTATGCCACGGCCTGTATCTTGCAGGCAGCGTGCACGACCTGAAAGCCCATACCTCGGCCATGTACTCCGACGATTACATGAGAACATGTCTGCGTACCTTTCTCGAGACAACGTGGCTGGACCCGCACAACGACACGGATCTGCGACACCTCAACCTCAAGTCAAAGTCGTCGCTGCGAGACAAACTCGATCGGATCAAACGATCCCATGTCGCAATCGTCAATGCCGTCGAGACGTCCCAGAGCTCTTCATCCACAGGTCCAACCTCAGCCGGATCTCGCGGGAACGCTACATCCACCGATGCTACGACTGTGAACACCATTGCTGATGATGTCGCTTCAACAACCCCAACGGCCGATCCGAGGTGGTCCAAGTGGCTCAGAGAACATGATGACAACACACTACGAATCGCCAAGCCGACCGTTCACCCGGTCTTTTTGCGAGCACCAGGACACGCGGATCTACAGACGTTGACCAATCTTCGGCCCGGGAAGAGTGTTCCTCGCCAGCCGATGCCTCAATCCAGTAGTCAAGGCACCCATGCGACCGGGTCCAGCTCGACAGCGACTGCACTACTCTCATCGTTGATGTACACCATCACTTTTCAGCCGATCGCTCCCACATTACAACCGTCTTCAGCGAATGCGATCACTCGCGCTCAAACCCTTCGGGTGCTCGGGACGACCACTTTGGCCGAACTTAAGTCCAATATCATCCGCAGTGGCAACGCAGTGCCAGGCGTCGAGTTGTCCGATGACGAGGATGCGACTTCCTCACCGATGGGATGGGACCAAGATGAGGATCATGAAGAAAGGGAGCAAGGAGAGCAAGGAGAGGAAAACTCGGACGAGGAGGAGCGAGGCGCCGCCGTCAAGAGCAGGAAACAACGCAACCCGCGCACTGTGAGGGAACTTGATCTGGCTCTGATGTTGGAGCCGACGGAAGCAGCAAGGCTCATCAAGTGGGGAAAGAAGCGAAGAAAAACCGGGAGCGTATTTGGGATTGAGGGTGCACTTTATGCTGATCACAGTCGAGAAGTCGAGGGCTATGCGAGGTGAGCATCTGCCCGTGTTGCTCTCGTGGTCGTTTCAGGACGGCTGATCCGGGAACCTCGACGGGCAGCTTGATCAAGCAAGCTACATCCGAGATTGACTGGTCAACTCAAAAGTCCGCCAATGGAGCAACACAGCCATCGATTCCGACTTGGTTCATCGGCGGTCGCATAGATGACATCGTCCTCGGCTCCCTCAAGCTCAGAGTTGGGGAGCCGTACTACTACCTCCACGATGGCAGCGCAGAACACATTTGGACCATTGACGAGATAAGGCAAGTTCGTAACCTTAGTTCTCCATTTGAAACCGATGCTGAAGCAGGTCCGCATCCTGCCCGCTCGTTCTCAGACTAGTCCACACTCTGGACCCATCACCAACGGCCTCGGTCTATCCAATCACCTCCTTCTTGTCGCGCAACAGATCCTTGTCCAGGTGTTACATCTGTGATATTGATACGGCGACCGTGATCACGATCGACGACGAGCTCGCAGGGCGATCGCCGGCGTTGATGTGCGAAAAGTGCTTCCAGCTGTTGCACTCCGTCGATCAAGACTGGGATCATGGCGATGAGGATGGACATCGCAAGTGGAGGAGGATCGAGTGTGTTACTGAAGAATGAATGATGTCCGTTTTCACTTTTTCTCATGCAAGGCAAGCGGCCGACACGTGCGGATGAGCAGAACCGAACGGGGCTAAACCTCCTGTCCCCGGTTCAGCAACGGCCGAGTCTTCCGAACCTCATGTTCAGAGTCGGAAGCTCGGGATCGACTAGAGCAACGTCACTGTATACCGTAGTCTGCACATACATCTCGGTCCTCGGATGTCCGATGTCCAATGTCGTAAGGTCAACTCGCAACTGGTAATGAGATGGTCCGAGCTCACGGTGGAGATCCGTCCGTGATATCAAAAGCGCGCTGTCGCTGTGGGGAGCTGTGGAGCGGATTCGTCGGGGCGGATTCGAGTGCTGACGCCAGTGGGACGACTCGACTTAGGCCGGGCGGCGGGCGGTACTGTTTGGCGCCCGCGCCCGCGCAGCTCGAAACGGCCCAGGGCCTGAGCTTGCGCCTGCCCACGCAGCGCACGCAGCGCCCGCCGCCTCTCAGCGCCTCTCGAGCGCAGTGCGCGAGTCACCAGCCTGCGCCACGCTCTGCCTCCCGCCCTCATACGCCCCCGCTCCGCCTTGTCACCTCTGTGAGTGAAGCACACCCACCACACGCTTGCTTGCTCCAGCCGAGGCAGTCTGACTGACCGCCGAGATCCGAATCTTCAGAGCCCATCCCAACACACACTCATCGTAAGTAGCCTCGTTTGCCATGGTGTTTTGACACGTTTTTGGACGTCGTCACACTCCCAACCCCCCCAGTCCCGCAAATGGTCGTGTTTGTCTGCTTGCCCTGCTGCGCCGGACCCACACCCACCCCATCCTCCTGGGCCAAGGTCAAACAGACCCGAACCCCCAGTCGACACTAACCTACGGCACGACGGGACGCTTTCGCGTCTGGCTGTACGAATTACGCGTCATTGTACGAACTCTTTCGAGTGTTGTCGTCCTTGCACCTCAACTTGGGCCGCGTGGGCTCCCTCCCCCTTTCTGTCTCACTCGGATCGACCGACTTGGGCCCAGAGCGCGCCGCCGCCCGGTGCACGCGCACGCGCGCGCGTCGCTCTCGCCTGTGCCCGCGCGAGTCGTCGGGCGCGGTCGTTGCCGATCCAATGTTTTGTCACGCCGACACGAGCTTACCCCGTTTTGACAATCACGTGCCCTTTCCTTTCTCCCTCCCTCCCATCACCTGTTGCCCCATCCCACTTACACAGATGCCTAAGGAAGTCAAGTCCCGCGCCACCAAGGTAGGTTTTCGAATTGTCCCCGGCCTCTTGGCCTTGTGGCCGCTTGGTCGCTGGCACCCTTGGCATATTTTGGCTCGTGTTTGGAACGCGCAGGCTGACCCCTGTTTCGCCACGCGTCGCCCTCCTTCGTCCAATCTGCACCGTTACCCACAGGTCGACACCAAGTCCGGCAAGGCCAAGAAGGACCCCAACGCCCCCAAGCGCCCTCTTTCCGCCTACATGTACTTCTCGCAAGAGAACCGCAACACAGTCAAGGATGACAACCCGGACGCCTCTTTCGGTCAGTCAATTTTCCATACGGACCCACTTCTTCGGACAGTTGCTATCACATATGAGCCTTGTGCTAACGCCTTTGGACTCATCATGCTTCTAGGTGATCTCGGCAAACTCCTCGGTGCCAAGTGGAAGGACATGTCGGACGACCAAAAGAAGGTCCGCATGCGTGTCCAAGTCGATCGCGTCGTGGATTGCTTGCTGACACCGACTTCCATCGACGTCTGTCAATGCAGCCTTACAACAAGAAGGCCGACGACGACAAGACCCGCTACGAGCGCGAGAAGGCGTCCTACGACGCCCGCGCTTAAGCGCGTCTGACTCGGATAGCTCCTCTCGTCAACGCCATACTTCGGATATTTTTTTCGTCTCGTCCCCATCTCGGATCTTCTGTCGTCTGGACTAGCAGTGACAACCCTTTGGGCACTGCCCCTAGTACCCACCTCTCTTCTCGGACGGGATGCATTTCCTGGACCTACTACCCACCCTTGTTCTTCATCGCTTCGACACTGTTCCATGTTTGTGTTATAAACCACGTCCCCTAACCCGCTCCCTCTTTTCGATCTCCCCGGCCGATTCTGTTTCCTGTTGTTGAAAGGCGTCTCATTCCTTCCGACCGCCCGCTCCCAACTTAACACAACGATACCGTCTCATTGCTCCCCCCAACCCCATTTTTTCCATCCTCCGATTCGCGCTGCCTCTTCACGTTTGGCCTAGTCGTGATTTGTTGTGTTTTGAGGTGCAATCCCTAGGCTTTCCACATGTATCGCGCTTGTGCCCCTCGGAGAGATGGACGCCGCAGAAGCATGTTCCGAGAATGACGCACTTAGGCTTTTCTCTTGTACCCTACAAGCTGAGGCAGTCCCTATTCTCGCGCAATGAGCTCTTGACTATTCACCTTCAGACGGCCTTGTTGCACAACATGGGATGGGGACAAAGGCCTGCAGTGGCATCGAGGTCCAAATAATAGGGGCTCGGGGCTCCGCACCTCCTCCGATTCTTCGGCGAAGAAGTCTCTCGCTAAGCTCCCGCGTGCAGTCCAATGTTAGCGTTGAAGACATATTCAACTACCTCCTTTAACAAATCAGAGATACACGAAGGCACAGAAACTTTGTTTCCAAAACATAAGCAAGAGAAAGAGAGACAAGACAGCCAATGACAACCACGCCAGCGATCCAAAGATACGTGGCAATTAACACTTCACACCGAATAGCGCGGGACTGAGACAGTCGAGTAGAAGATCCAAGTCTACTCCGCCTTGCGGCGAACGGACATGAAGTTCGAGAGATCTCCGACGGGCAAGGCGATGGGAATACCAGTGGAGCCGAAGATCAGGACCACGAGGAGGTACCATCTGTACGCACACAGACAAAGAGGTTTGCGAGGTCAGCTTATAGCGAGAGGAATTCTGACGAGTGTCAGGTTCAGTTACTGACCCGCATGCACTTGTCAGGAATGCAAAGGCTCCCGCCGCCTTGAGCTCCATCGGCACGTGAGTCACATGGCCGTAGCCGAGTTGGACATCTGCACATCCCGCGTGAAGCAAGTTGGTGAGTACTGGTGCCCAAACAAGGTCTCTGCGAGTATTTTCACATCCGGGAACACCAAAAACTCACAGACAGCCACGAAGATCCAGAACGTAATGTCGAGGAACGTAAAGAGGAGAGCAAAGACGACGTTGGTGCGCAGACTGGCGATCAGGTAGACTGCGTACAGAAGTAGTCCTCGTCAGAACTGGATCTACGCGGAGCGTATGGGATGACATTTGAGCTCACTCAGAACCAACACTGCCCACCAAACCAGATACAACGCTGTGCCTTTGTTGTAGTCGGCCGTCGTCGAGCCTCCGAGAGCAGCAGCGATGCCTTGCGAGGGCTAAGCAACAGAAGACGCCAGTCAGATGCCCAGATCAGTTCAAACTTCATGCGGCCTCGATGGTCGGAGGCGCGGCGGCTTACCTGGTAGAGGAAAGCGAACGCGAGCCAGTATCCACCAAAGGTCATGAACACTGTGGCGGGGAAAGTGCTGTTTTCGGGAGCAGCAAAAGGTCAGTGGACCATTTACGACAGACAAGGCGCGTGTGCGCTGGCGCTGACTAACTTTCCGATGATCCATTCGAGAAGGCCGGAAAGGTAGAGGCCCACACCACCTATGGAGTGCAGACGATGGATAAGCAACAAGTAACAAGCAGTAGAAAGAAACGACCGCGTTCACGTACCGACATAGTAGAAGGCGCCGACTGTTAAGGCAGATGGTGCAAAGGAACCGGTCAGGCTCAGGGCTTTTTCGCCCGGAGGAGCGCCGCGCGATCGTACGTACCAGCAACGACTGCACTGTCGGTGGTCGAGCCACTCCATCCCATCAACTCAGTGGCAAAAGGAGTCAGGCACAAGAGGAATGACGCGACACCAAGAGGAGTGGGGTTCGCGAATCGTCTAAGGGGTGAGAGAGCCCGGGTCAGCTGCCAGACTTTTTGAGGCAAAAGTGGCTCTTTGCCACATCGCTCGTTACACAGACAAGGAACATACGTACTTGGCAAGGTCTCCCTTGGCGGCGACACCTCCCGGTTGAAGGTAAAGCCTCTCGAATTGCTCAGCGGTGAGTTGAACCTATGATGAGCGGGCAGGGGTATGTATGTCGATGGACGAGGCGACGTGCGCGGCCAGGTGACATCGAAGGGGGGGGGGGGGGGGGTCCATGCGGAATGGCGTCAAGAGGCAGGACAACGTGCATAGGACGGTAGCAAAGCACCAGTAAGCTAGCTGTCGCTACTCTGAAAACGCCGGCGTTGTCATTTTTGCAAGCCGTATCTGAAGGCGGGGCGCGTGCAGGCAACGGTGACGCCCCTCCGGGACGATGTGGGGAAGCGCTCGGGGTCGAGTTGCCCCACATGGCAGGGGGTCCTGAAGTTGGAAAGAATGGAAGCAATCGCGACTTACCGAGAATTGACGACCGAGTGCTGCACCTTCTACGCCACCGTTACCCTTCTCGAGGTCAAAGTGCTGGTTGCTGTGGTCGCCGACCCTTGTGGTCTCGTTGGCGAGGGGGTGGTCGGTCGAAGAGGCAGACATTGCTCGGCGGTAGCTGAAAGGCTGGTTCGATGAGGCAGAACGGAGCACAGCGAAATGAAGTTGGGCACGCAAGCGGTACGAACAGTCACAATAAGAACCACTGAGGAGCAGCGACTAGAGAGGTGTTGCGAATGACTGATGATGAAGAAGAAGAAAGGAAGTGGGCTGTAGGTGGACAGGTAAATTAGTAGGGAGGGGATGAGGCCTGAATGTTGGAACCCTGAAGCGAATTCGGGCAAAGAGCTTCGCTCCATAGATTGCGGGGTTGCCAACCCGCAGTCCGAGCTCGATCGAGGTCACGAGGACGGGCGCCGGCGCGCGCGAGCGTCCCGTTCGATGTCGCCGTGCGCGGGTAGCTCTCGTCGCTTTTGAGGTGGGGAACTGGCGCTTGGTACTACTTAAAGCCGAAAGAGGCGCTAATCCGCTCTACACGACTCAAACCCAAGCCCACGTCATTTACGCCATAAATAGAATATCCAAAACTATAAACGGGCCCAGCGCATGCCTCTTGCACCGGGACTGGGGCCAGCGATCCCCCGAAGTTCTCGTTTCCCTTTTTAGAGGTTCGGATTCGCCGAAGCCTTCAGTGGACGTCTCGGACACACACCCATTAGAACGGTTACGCTACTACTACTGTGGAAGCGGGCCCGATTTCCTCCGATGTTTCGACAGAAACGAACCCCTGGCTACCGATTGTCCACCTAGTGTCCCCGTCTTAACGCGACTGCTCGCTGGCAGTGCACTTTCCGTATGCGCTCAATTGCTCGGGCTTGCGCCCCTTTCCTTAGCCCTCGTTGGAAGCTGGCGCAAATGAGAGGTGCATTGCATACGAGATGTCACGCACACTTAGTGTATACTACCAACCGTTAGATTTTGTGTCTCCTTCCTCCTTCAGGCTCTTCTTCTTGTAAAGTCTGGCGATTCTGCCAGATCGACTCCGAGGAAGATAAAAAGAGCTAGCCGTCCGAAACCTGGTCATGCTTGGGTCGAAAGTCAGACAAACCTCCGGCGCTGCCGAGCTCGGACGCGCTATAGATTTATTTCGGCAAAGAGCGCTAGGTGTCACAGAAGTTGATCCTGCTCAATTAAAATGTAGCCAGGTCCTCCAAGCGAGATGCGGACTCCGACTTCGGGGTGGAGGTGCCCACGTAGTAGGTGAGTGGTGTCCCACTTCCCACCAGTGTGCCCCACATCGAAAATGGTCCTCCGAGAAGTGCCGAGACGAATACCGACTGGAATAGTGAGAGTATCCTCAGTGAGATTGATCATCGTTAAATTTGTTCGAGAGCCTTATACATGGTTCATGGTGCTGTTGAGGTGTCTGCAGAATTTTAGAAGCTGCAAAAGGCTTTGCCATTGCGCGCATGGTCGCGATGATCGACTCGAGATTGCCAAACAATGAACGGGATATGTTGCATGACCGCGAGACCCCACGATTGACGACGCATGAACGAGTTAACAAAAACGAGTGCCAATGAGGATCGGAGCTGGCTCGCCATCGGAGGTGATAAACTCAAAGTCGGAAGCCGAAGTGGTCAGATGCACAGAGCGCGCGTTGGCATGTCGGCCTCTGCCGCGGAACCGTGTGCGGGCTCGTCTAGCTTTTCATAGCAGTAGCAACCCGCTCAAAACACCTCGGACAAGAAACGTTCATATTGCACCGTGCTCAAGACAACGTCTCCTCGATGAAGCGTTTATATGCGTAAGCACGCGGACATAGCGCCGGCACAATCGCTGATCCCATTCAGCCCCTATCTCGAGAGCCCGTGCAAGGCAAGCAGCTTTGGTAGCAGCAATTTGCAAGCACACCCGAACGGATCATTGGCCGTTAATGAGATGTAGGCAATGCGTTTGTTTATTTTCGCGTGATGATGTCCCTGTTGGCGAATGCGCTTGCAAAATGTCGCTTCCCACCAAAACTGGGCACTCAGCGGGGCACAGAGTCCGCTGTTTTCGAGGCCGACGAAGAAGGCTTATCGTGCGGTCTAGGTGGAGATCACTCGAATGTGTAAGATAAGGACATGAAGTGTGCTTACTGGACGGACACAAACACGTGTTGGAAACGGGCAAGTGCCAAAGTACACCTTAGACCGGGACTCGAGCACTGGCGCATGGGAAGTGGATCCCGGATCTCCGCCATTGACTATTTCGAGTGGATGACCGAGTGGCCCTTCTGCCAGAATGTTGGCCCGCTCGCGATTATCTACACCTCTAGCGCATGCATTGACATCCCAAAATTTTGAACCCTATGTACCTTTATAAGTAATTGCGCATCGTAACACACTGTAAGCCAGACTTTTCCGGAGCGGGAACTTAGATCGATGGACTCGGAGACCAGCGACGACTCGGACCTAGCACATCGGCACCAAAGAACGCACAGGCTACGCGTCAGTCCTCTCGCAGGACAAGATACGCAGGTAATTTGTACGCCGTTGAACAGCGCAAATCAAGGCAATAAGGCCTCTCCGCGTGGAGCAGCGAAATCCGCCTTCTAATCCCCGGCGCAGGCACCATCCGCTCAGCGTGCAAGCTGCATCGCTAGGCAAGATTGGGTTCGGAATTGGTATCCTTATTACACTCCACTAGCAGCCACTCAATATGAAATTGGAAGGGTGACCTCGTTCAAGTCTTGTGAAGGTGCAAGTCTGGCAGCTACTGCCAGGCCGCCGAACGAGAAATTTCACACGACGGCGGCGAGCTGTCTTGGCAGTAGGTTTCGGAGTCAACGGCGAGTCTGTTACTAAGAACTCGTCTATCGGTTCTCTTACGATCAGCTCCCTTTGCGTATTTGCGTACGACGAGCCGGGCTTGCCTAACGCTCTGAAAGCCGCCTCGACGTCCGCCGTCCTTACTGAGCCTTATCAACGTCGTCCGTCTGAGGGGTGTGATATATAGAGCAGCCTAGAAGGGGTGGAGCGGCAGAACGAAGTGGAGTCGACCGAGCCACCTTAGGCATGCCTTTCTATTGTAGTGACGCCATAAGGTGGCTGTGCATCTCAACTCTAAGGAGGGAGACCATATCCCCTATTCTCTGCGATTCAGCATGCGATGCGCGTCAGGCTCGAGGGAGCTCGAGGGGTCACGCCTTGGCTTCTTTCTAAAGGGGGGCGGCCAAGCGCGTGCACGCGTGCCCAGCCGGCCAGCCTGCAGGAAACCGAAGTGTTGAGTGACGATGATCGCTTTCGGAGTGCGCGAAGCGCGCCCGCCCAGCACCTCCTTGCCCTCAACCTCCCTCAACGCACTCCGCCACAACCACGGATTAAGTGGCTTCCCGTGTATCACCACCGAACTAACATACCCTGGCTCCCATGACATCGTCATCGTGCCGGCGCCGTCGAGGCCATCGCTTGTTCGCGCTCGCTTTGATCGCGGCAACGGCCTCCGTCTCGACGAATGCCGCGATCATCTCGCCGTTGAAAGCACTTCGCGGCTCGCTCCTTCGGCGTGGGCCTCAGCCGTTCGACGTCGCCCCTCAACCGTTGTTGGTGGCACGAGCAGGAAATCGTACCAGTCGGTCGTCGCCGCACCCGAAAGCACCTGCCACACCGACAGGCGGGGCGCACAACAGCAGCTCGAATGCGACTGTTGTGGAACATCCGCCAAATCCAACAGCCGTCGAGGGTCGATACGGGCATTCGGCCGTCTACGTCCAAGAGACGAACTTGCTCTACTTTGTGGGAGGACAGTTGGGCGAGAATGGGACAACTGTGACGAACGAGGTGCTTGTTTTCAACCTTGCCAACTCGATTGTCTGGAACAGTCGACCCTCGACCAAAATCCTTGACAACCCGCTTGCCGTTTCGAGCGTTTCTGAAGACCTTGATCCACTTGCGTGGGCCGCGTCTGCAGTCGATGATCGCGGCCGAGCTTGGGTCATTGGCGGGGTCACAGAGGACTGCGAGCACGATCATACCGTCCATCGGCTGGACATGAGCAATCTCACGCTCTCTGACGCCATCGAGGTCGGTGCCCAGTGGACCGTACCGCAGATAGTTTCGCATACGCCGCCTCCTCGTCGTCAAGCGCAAGCAGTGGCGATCTACAACGCCACGGCACGATCAGATGATATCTACGTCTTTGGCGGCATCGCGGAACAATATACTTGCTCCGACGAGACGATCGGCTACCTCGGTATCGATCGATACTCGACTACAGAGAATCACCACGGCCAGAACGAGGTCGAGTCATTTGCGTGGACAGCGCCGAGTGGCACGAGTGCCAAAACGTTTGAACCACCCGTCAGCGATTACACGGCGACTGTGCTCGAGGGTGGACGCTTTGTCGCCATTCTGGGCGGCCAGACTGCTCACGGAGGTCTCGCTCCGTTTTCGGAAATTCTTGTCTTTGATTCGAGACTGAAAACATGGAATAAGAGGGTCAGTTCGAGGCCGCATACTCCTGGTTCACGAATCATGTCACCTGCTGATACAAGGCAAGCTCACTGCAGATCGCAAGAGGCACCCCTCCTTCGCCCCGAATGGGCCATGTCGCGATCGCTCTCCCTTCCGGAGCCGTGCTGGTGCATGGTGGAATCCGCGAAGACCACGCCGCCCTGAACGAAATACATCTGCTTACGCCTCCCAGCGACCTCAACTCGGATACCGCTCGATGGACCTGGTCCACTCTGATCCGCAATCGCCACTCGTCTCTCGCCTCCCCTAGCCGGGCATGGCACACAGCAACCCGACTCGTTTCAGGGACGGTCGTGTTCGCATTCGGAATCGACACGTCGACTGGATCGCCCTCCGATTTTATCTCGTTCTTTACTATCGACGAAAGCAAGGGAGAGTACTCATTCACACCCCAATTCCATGGGGAGTCCGCTGTCGCGCCTAGGCACGTAACAACGACTTCGTCTGTCCGATCTTTCACATCCTTCTCGAAGCAGAATACGACGAGCCACAAACCCACGACCAAGTCCAAGAAGAAGAAGAAGAAGAAGAAGAAGAAGAAGAAGCACCACTCAACGTCACAGGCCGCAGCCGACATGACCTCGACGATCCCCTGGGCTACAGCAACGTATTCTGCGCAGCCGACTGAAGTCCCTTCGACGACACCCGCCGAGGACACACTCACGACGTCATCAAGCGCAAGTAGTGCCGCAGCAGTTTCCCCTGTATCTGCTTCCACGCAGAATGACGAAGCGTCGAGTAAGGCCGCGCAGCAGACGAAAACGATTGCCGCCTCGGTGGGCACACTGGTCGGTCTCGTTGCTCTCGTCGGTGTCGCCGCGATCTTCATCCGGCGCCGCAATTCTCAAAAGACGCGACACGAAGTACCAGACACACCGCTGGACATGACCCGTGGTGGAGGTAGTCAATTTGCGCCTATGGTTTCGAGCCTGATGTACACCCGACCTGTGCAAGCTCGCCAGCTCTCGTTAGGTAGCGCGATGTCGGCCAACAATGGTCACGTCGACGATTACTACCGCGGTGAACACGATCAGGGTGGCGATGCGGCTTCGTCGACGGGTGCGGTCTTTGATGCCGCATCACCAGACCCCTTCTCGGACCACCATCGCGTAGGCGAGATGGGTCAGTCCCACGTGGTTGGTCGGGTCGGTCCAGGAGGTTTCGTCGAGGCCGCTTCAGCAAGCTCGATCGAAACGCAACGCAAGAAGACCTCGATCCTAGATGCCATCTCCCCGTCTCTCAGCGCATCAGTCAAATCGATCCCTTTCCTCGCTGGCTTGTATCGAGCTGATTCCAGTTCCTCCTACGCCGACACCTACACCGTTCGTACACCTTCGCAGCGGTCGCGCCGCCCGAGCGTCCAAGCTTCCTCTGTAGGCCCTTCGCTCCCACCTGGCGCTGCGGCTCCTGAAGGCCTGCCCTCGGGCACCGGACGACCCTTACCTTCACTTCAAGAATACGGCGTCGCGGTGTCAGGCGACTCCGACCTCCCCGAAGCGGCCTTCATGAAGTCCCACCCCCGCTCCGCTTCAGGAAGCCGGAATTCATCCTTCGATTCCCGTATGGGTTTCGCCGGGATCGGAGCCAACGGTGGTGGTGGAGGCGGTTATGCGAGTCATCCTTCCGTCGACGTGCTACGATCCGATACTTCGAGGACGAAGCTTTCGCGCGCTTCAACGGCTTTGAGAGTTACGAACGCCGATTGAGCTCGAGCATCTTACAGACACTTCTTTCTCTTGATCACTTCCTTCGTCTTCCACCCACTTTCATGGCGGGCACGTTCCACCCCTCAGTTTTATTTTCCCCCCCTTCCTCGAATGAGCCTCTTGCCTCTTTCTTCCCATCTTTTTATTATTGTGACCATTCCTGTTCCTTCATTTCATTGCATGGAATCTCATTACTCTGGAGCGGCACGACCGAATCGAACGCCGTGTTGATCAAAGTCCTGAGAGATGAGCACCTCTTCCGCCCAGCCGCTCTTGTTCGGTCCGGCGTCGGGGATAGCGCAATTCTCGACGCAGGTGAAGACGAGGAGGGAGTCGAAGGAGAAGTTGTCGTCTTTGAGGAAGGAGAGTAGCGTCGAGAGGATCTGGGAGTATAAGTTCAGACCCCAAGCTCTTGTCAGCACGACATTTCCTGATAGTTGCTCACGTCCGCAACTCACCTGAAATTCGACCTGTCGTTTGGCCCCACACAACGAACAAGGCTGTACCTGATCCGACGTGACCTTCTCCTGGTTCGCCCATAAGGGCTGAGGATCCTCCACACCCGGCAATCGATAGAAGCGCAGTACTTGCTTGGGCACTCGTTCGACACGTTCTTGGAATGTGAGGAACGCCTTGTCGACGCCGGATTGGGTGTCGGGCAAGTCGGCGTCTTCGGCGGCGCCTTCGGTGGCTTTTCGATCCGACTCTGTTCCATCTCAAAGATCGATGGTGAGCAAGCACAAATATTCGCAACGTAAGGACGTCCCCTCAACTCACCTAGGTAGGACTCCTCATAAGGTTCGGACTCGCATATGACATCCCACTCTGGCCACATGGAAGGCGCAGCATCTACCGATCCCGCCAAAGCCGTAGTAGGGTCCAATGCAGCTTCTGCAGGAACCATCGCATGATTCCCACAAGTCAGCCACATCACACATATCTCAGGCCTTTCCCCAAGTCGAATCTCACTCACCCAATTCCCTCCTTCTCTTCTGCGTCTCCTCAGTATGCGGATAAAACACATTCGGACTAGGCATCTGCACCCTCCATACCTTCATCGCCTTGCCCGCATCCTTGCTCGAGCATTCCTTCCTTGGACACGCGAAGACAAAGAGTGATCGGGCTGCGGCATGTGGTCGGGTGTCGTCGGGGGAATTGACCTTCATCACCAAGGTTGGAGAGATCAGTCACACGTCCAAGGCTGACCAACAGCGAAGTGGTACTGACCTGCAACAACATCGCCATCGTCTTCCCACACCTGGGGCATGCGACCTGACTCGTTTCGAGTGGGGACCGAGGATCCAACCACACCGGTTTCCCACTGACCTTCCCAATCGCGAAATCAATGTTCCATTCCTTATCCCGCGCCGACATGGGTTGCAGTAGACCCAATTCGACTTCCTCGTCGTGGTCGTCAAAGTCTTCATCATCGGAATATTCCTGCTCTTCTCCACTCTCCATCTCGACATCATCCGCAGCACCTCCCCGTAATCGCAGTGCATCGGCTTGCTCCTCAACAGCCATGACCGATGCACCCGCAGACATCGATGCCTCCCGTGCCACCGTAGCTTTGGGCGAATCGACGATGTTCTTAAAGTCGTCCGTCATCGTTGAGTCCTCGTAAGGAGGTGCCTCATCATCAATGGCAAGGTCGACAGCAGCAGGCGAAGAAGGTGTCAAACCCGCCCCAGTAGGGGGCAAGATCTCGATCACGTCTTCGGCCGTGGTGGGAGGGCCTCTCACGCTGAGGGGTGGTGAAGGAGTCGCAAGCTCCGTCTGAGGCGTCGCGGGGCCTGAGAGTCGGTCGACCCAGGGTTCTTCTTCCGCCATGGGAGGTGTCGGTGGCAAGGGTTCGAGAGGCGGCGTCCACGTATCGACAATTTCGGTCGGTAATTCGGAAGCGAAACTGTGGTTGTCTCGGAGTACGAGGAAACGAAGGAAGGAAGGGATCGTGATGGAGGTGTCGGCTCCGGAGCTGTCGTTGCCGTGTGTAAATTTGGGGTTATCGTAAAAGAGGAACGTCGCGCCAGAGCTCATCATCAGACCTGACGGATCAGAGACGACTTGCTCGAACGAGACCTGTGGGTGGGAACTACCGCAATCAGCCATGATCTGGCTCAAAGCAGGGACATTAGCCTTCCAGTTACCTCTTCCTTCTGCAGATCCTTGATTCTCCACCACTTGCCCTTCTCCTTGACCACAGCCCACGAACTACCCCTCCCATTCAAACCATTCCTCATCAACACGGCCTTCAACTCATAAGGTCCCCTTCTCTTCCACTCGTCCCCATCGAACGTTGCGTCGATCGTCTCCCTCAACTCCTCAATGACCTCATCGCACCCTCGTATCTTCTTCTGTAGCTCTTGCTCAATCTTCTCATAGACTATCTTCAATCTCCTCCTCCTCTCTTTTCCTACATCGCCCGCATCCTCCTCTCCCTCGTTCTTGTCCAAATACTCCTTCGTGTCCCTGATCAACCCCAACGCCTCCTTCCCCTCCAAAGTGCTACTCAACCTGTTCCTCATCCTCTCCAAATCGTCCACCTGCCTCCTCAAATCGCACACCATAGCTCTCTTTTCCGCAATCTCAAGCCTCCTCGAAGCATCGTAACGATCCAACCAAAGCGTTTCTTCGAACTTGACGCCTCGTCGACTTCGTTTCCTCGGGGCGCCTAGACCCACGTTCGCCTCGCCGTGTTTGGAAAGTGCCTCTTGAATCGAGGACGAGCCAAAGTCATCCAAGGACATGATGCCTTCGTCATAACGATCCAGTCGTACGATAAGCGATTGAGAGAAATGCGTGATCAGGCTGAACGAGGCGGGTTTCCCTGTCGAGGGTAAGGGCAGTTCGTTGAGGTTCACGTCGATGAACTGGTACAACGTAGGCGTGGAGGCACCGACGAAGAAGGTGGGGACTCGTAGCCGAAGAATCTGTGATTTTGGGAGATGGTCGTTGTGAGTGTAGGTTTCGTCGACGCAAGCTAATTTTCGTACACGTACGGCAATACTATCCCCAATCGGGTATGCCATGTTCTCGTCCAGCGGCTCAGCAAGCGACACCGGATTGTTATTGAACGTCTTGCCCGACAACGAGAACCTCTGCACTACCTTTTGAACAGCCAATGGCTGTTCATCCAATGGTAATGCCTTGGCGTCGAGGGTCGAATACAATCGGAAGGTGTCGATCAACCCTTCGATCATGGTCGATACGTCTTCAACTGCATCGATGCGGGTGGGTAGAAGGAGGAGGCCGTTGGGGTCGAGGACTTGGGTCGCTTCGGTGATGTGGAGGAAGGAACGCTTCGTTTCTTGCATCAGGGCAAAGAGGCGCTGGATCGCGATGAGAGCTGTGGGGAGAGTAAGCCTGTGATCAGCCAGGCCAACAGTCTCGCCAATTATTGAACACCAACTGACCCCATACCGGGTCCTTCTCATCCCTTGCCGCGCCCTCCAAAGCCGGTGGTTCGGTGCCATCCCATATGCCCTGCAAGGGTTTGGAACATCCGAGGTCGAGTTGGTTCGGCCTGAACTCGAGCACGGCTTTGCGCCAAGTCGGAACGGCGTAGAGGCATTGGATGAAGGACGACACGAGGCCGAGGAGCACCGAGGTCGATCGTACGATCACGGGTCTGTGGAGCCACGGCGGACGGAGGTCAGACTGGGAGCTCCGAATGAGCGAGCTCCTCCCGAGACTGACCCTTGATCGGGTTGTCGGATCCTATGCTCTGGCTTGATGGCCGCAATGGGTCCTCCGCCCGGTCCCATCTGATCGCTCAGATCGCCCAAGCTCAACGAGATGGCCTTTTCGATATCATCGTCGCCTGCTTCGAGCGCGAGGTTCTGCGTCGGCTCCGCACCCGACTTGCGCAGTTCCTCGGGCCCGATCATGTTGGTATCGGCGCCCATCGCAACGGAAGTGACCATATTCGGGTTGGAACTCGCCATCCCAGCCTCCTGCATGCTCATCGCAATCGCTCTCTGATAATCGGAGTCCTCATCGTTCGAAGACGGACCGAGCGTCGCAGTAGAGGACGAAGCGGGCCCGAGGCTGAATCTCGGTCCTCCTCTGGTCGATTGTTCGAGCGCGTCGGCGAGTTGGTGCGGGTCGAAATCGCCGTGGGGTTGGATGGGGTCGTTCTCTTCGTCGAGGGTTAGGTCAATGTCGGGGGACCACTTCGATCGGGCTATGCAAGGGGGAGGACGGAGTCAGTGCGGGGGAGGGGAGGAGAGGCACGTGCCCGAACCGCTTACGAGACTTGAGGGGGACGAGTGCGGTCGAGGCGGGTCTTGCTTCATGGTAATCTCGAGGGCCAAAGGATGCCGAGCTGGGTCCATAAGGAGGAGGCAATCTGTCCTCGTCGGCATCGGCGTAAGGGTGATCATCGCTGGTCGGCTTGGCCGTCGTCGTCGTGGTCGTCGCAACAGATGCGGCCAGTGCTGGTGCTGGTGCGGGTGCGGGTGCGGGTGCGGGTGCGGGTGCGGGTGATGATGATGTATCAACGATGATGTCGGCATCATCTTCAAGGTTTTCGCCACTCAGAAGGGCATCCAAAGCATGCTCGAACTTGGTGCCCTTGCGCTGTAGAGCAAGTTCAGAGACAGGCTCGGGCCGCTGATCAGCTCACTGGCTCACTGCGATCTCGTCGACGGCGATGCAACGTGGCAACTGACCCGCACAGCTCGGACCGCATCAGCGGCGGGGAAGCCCATCTGCTTCAGTTGCTCGACCGTCTGGTCCTCGAGCAAGGTCAGCTGCGTCATGGCTGAGCGGAACTGCTGCTGGGGAGTGAGTCGGAGAGCGAAAGAGACGGTGGAAGGGCGACGACGGCTCGGCCTGGCTCGGCCTTGGCTCGGCAGGGCTCGGCAGGGCTCGGCACTCGCGAGCAGCTCAGGCGCTCCTCTCTGCTCCTCTCAGTTTGTTCGTAAGAGTTCAGGATCGCGCCTCGCTCCGAGCGTACTAGGACCAGTCCAGGATAGGACTCGGGGTCAATTCAAAGGCAGCGCACATGGTTGCGTCTTCCAGCACCGCACAACCCCATCGATCACATGCAAACCCCCGTCCACTGCAAGTGCATATGTCTTCGGCGCTCCTCGTCGGTCACTCTTGAATGCTTCATCGGAGGAATGCAACACAAATGAATACAACATACATCTCTCAGAAACAAACCCCTTGAACCTCGCCCAGCCAGTACCCACCACTCGGTCCCCACCACCATCTACCTCCCCGGAGGTGTGTAATCCTTGGACAGGTCGACCTTGCCCTTCAAGTGTGTATTGGTCAACTTGATCCTCCGATTCGCCGAGCCGGGTCCCTTGCGCCCTTTGCCCCTCGGGTTCTTGTTCTGGTTCCTCGGCAGATCGGACGCGACCGTCGAGGCCGTCGTGAGACCGGCTATTGAGCGCAGGTACGATGCTGCATCAGTACTAGAGTTCACGATGAAAGTAGACCGATTGGGTGTGCCCCGACCTTCGTTCAGTTGGACGCTCAACTCCTCCTTGGTCGGCGCCTTGAGTTTCTTCCACAGCTTCAAAAACTCGTCGTCGATTCGGGGTCGTTTGGAGAACTCGTTCCTGAACACGGCCTTCATAGCGCCTTCTCGTTCGGCTGAGCCTCCCGTCCGAGTGACGTAGACCTTGCCTTCTTGTTCTAGTTCTTCGATCGCGGGGACGACGTTGGGCCAGGACGCGCGCAGGTTCTTGACCGAGAGGCCACCGCGACTCGAGTAGCGCACGACGAGGTTCTCGAGGTCGAACTTGGATTTGATGTCATAGTCGGGCTGGGGTAGGTAAAGGTCAGCCACGGGATGCGCGTACCCTGGTGCCCCACAGGTGACTCGTGGCGCACCTTGTAGCTGAACAGGCCCGTCTTGTCATCGACCACGACCTTCTCGTGACTCCTGAAATTGCTCAGCAGTTCCGCATTCGACAACAAAGCCTCGACACCCGAAAGCAATGCCAGGTCCTCGAGTCGGATGGGGTGGGCGTGCTGCTTGAGGAAGTGTACGGCCGAGACGAGCTGGGTCTTCCAATGCCGTCCGATGCCCGTGTCGGCCGGACCGACTTGGCGCGGTGCTTGGCGGGCGGGCAGTTTGGCCGGTGCGTTCGATGGAGTGGGCATGCCGCACGAAGGAGAGGGGAGGGGTGCGCCGTCTCGCTGCGACGAGGACGAGGACGAGGACGAGGACGACACGTTGGCGCGCGTTGGCGCGAACGGCGCCAAGTGGGGGCAGGCCCTAATCGAGTTACTACCCGAGCTGAATTCGCATTAGACGGGCCGAGCTTGTTGAAATGGTGAAAGCGCGCGGCGGGCGAGGGCGTGCCCGATGCGCGTCATAGGCTCAGCTGCAGGGCGCTCTTCGGGACCTGACCTCCATCAGCACCGAGTCACACCACGACTCTCACCTCTTGAGCCCTTATCAGATCCACAACGTACGTCAATCCTAGTGCAAGGACCACCTACTCGAGCTGACACCTTCCCCACCCTGCCACACTACTGCGCTCGCGTACCACTCACTCCCTGCGGTCGCTCCGGCCGGCTCCATATCGTCATCGCCCCCGCCCCCGCCCCGCGGCGGTCATCCATCCCCCATCTCGCCCGCATTCCGCTCTTGCGGCTATGTCCATGCGTGGCATCCTCAACCACCCTACAGAAGCTACCCGGAAGCCATGGCCATCCCCAACCAAATCGTCTTTGGCCTGCTCCTGTTCGAGAGTCAGTCCCGGTGACCCCGTCCTTTTTCCTGCTCCTGCTCCTGCTCCTGCTCCCCACACGTCATCACCCCTTTGCGCTCGAGCTGGGTTCCCAACTACGCCTCCCGCGTCCCTCCTCCAGTCACCCGCTCACCACTGATCCACTCTTGACTCCCATTATTCTTCCCACAGTTGCGACCTTTATCGTACTCATCGTACCTCTTCCCTTCACGTCCGTCACCATCCTCCTGTTTGCCCCATACTCCCAAATCTGACTCGATTCTTCTCGCTCACAGTTGGCGCCGAGCGCTCTTCAAGGCCATTGCCGAGTCGCAGCTGGTCGCAAAGGCCCAGTACGCGCTCAAGATCACCTTCATCTTCGTCTTCCTCTTGTTCGCCGATGCGGTCAACCATATGCTCGTACGTGCCCGCGCTCTAGGTTGAAGCTCCGCGACCGCAAGTGATTCCCACAATCTAATCTCGTTCCCCCATCGGTCGGCTTGTGTCCAGAAAATCCAACGCGAAGGTGTGCTGAACAAGCAACTCGGTCAACGTTCGGACCTACGCGGCGAATCCGATTACCGCTCGCGCAAATTCCTCTCCGAACGCAATTTCTACCTCCACGGGTTCACCCTCTTCCTTTCCCTGATCCTGTCGAGGACCTATTCGCTCGTTCTGGACCTCATCAAAGCTCAGGAGGATTTGGCTCTGTTGAAGAAGGCGAACGCGGGTGGGTTGAAGGGCAGTGTCGGCGCCGGGGATGAGCAGTTGAGGAAGGAGTACGAGGACTTGTCAAAGAGGTACGATGAGTTGGTCAAGAAGAGCGCCGTGGAGAAGAAGCAGGACTGAGAGGCGTGGATCGACCTGAGTACGAGGAATGAGATGGAGGCGTGGAAGGATGGAGGCGAAAAGGAAGAAGAGAAAGAGAAGATATGACGAACAAACAGGCAAGCATCTTTGTCCCGCCGATACTTTGTAGTGTTCTCACTTTGTGTCGCTTGCAATTTCGTGATCCTGTTACTTCTGGTCTGGGGCCTCTTGAAACGCTGCGCGTGATCGCAGGCTTATGAGTGGCTTATGCGCCGATAGTGTTTGTTGCTCTCGCGGGCCTACCGCTCTGCTCGATCGCGCTCGTTGTTCCGACCAAACCCCAAGTCGGGAGAAACGCATCCCGTCCCGAGAAACACACTATCGATTACAAATCTAGGGCCCATCTGTTCCTCACCCGTTCGAACGCTCCCTCCTGAGCTTACCCCCAAGCTCGGCATCTTATAAAGTTGGTTGCACGACCTTGCCATCGTCCCTGGAGAGGTAGAATGCGTCGAGAAAGTTGTCCGGTCGGGCGGGTAGCTGAGGGTGGGGGCAACGAGGTGAGAATGGGGTCAGGGATGGGATGGGGGAGGTCAGGGAATGGTTTTACGCGGTTGGGACTTACTTCTTCGGCTTGGAACCAGCGCAAGAGTTGGCTGGGGGGGGGGGGGAACGGGAGAAGAGGGGGCAGGGGTGATTAGGGTTATGGCTTCAGAGTCGAGTGTATACAAACGTACGACTCCATCTTCCACCCATTCATGGTCTGCAACCGATCAAACCGGCCCAAGCCAAGACCAAAAAGAATCAGCTCCCTGCGCCGCCGCCCACGCCAACGCCATCGCTTGGAACCTGAACCCAACCGACCTCCTGATACTCCTGCTGGCCCTTCAACAACAGGACATCATACGTCTGCAAGTCGTCGACGAGTTGGTTGCGTTCAAACTGTTGGCGCACTTTGGCGCGTACGGCCGAGGCGGGGAAGCTGACCGCGTACAGTTGGACGCTGGGAACGGGCACGAGGAGGGCCGGCGAGTGAGTTGGGCGACGGTCTTTGGAGCGTTTCGGGTGAAGGTGGGTGCTTACATCTCGGGAGCTAGGGAGGAGGGGAACCGTCGAAGCGAGCAGGCGGAGGAAGGAGGAAGGAGAACACACGAGCGAACACGAACGCAGCAGCAGCCGGAAAGCGACGACCGTCCTCGATCAGCACGACCAACCACCAGCACCAAGAGCGCACGATGACTTACCGGACCTGTGCCAAGCGCGGTACAGACTCCTGGCCCTGAACCGAGCGTCGTTCCAGGAAGTGGACGAGGTGGTCAAGCGCGCCAAGCGGGCCGGGATCGTCGTCATCGTTGTGGGGTGTAGGGTAGGAGCTCGCAGCTGGCAGCTGGCAGAACCGGGTCGAGACAGCGGCCCAGCTGCAGAGAGCTGCAGCTGCAGTGCCCGGCGCCGGTCGCGACGGCCGAGGCGGGCTATAGGACCCCCGAAAGCCCAGCCATAGGCGGCCCTCTAAAAACGGCCTTTTTCGAGGCAGAATGTCCCAACTTTTCCCCGATTGTGACTGACAATGTCCAAATATGAGGGCCGCCTGGTCTTGAATAATTTCTCAAAACTACTCTACAAGCTGTACACGCTCAGATTTTTCTCTGCCCTGCGCGCAGACTGCGTTCCCGCCGCGCGCGGGCCGGAAAGATCGCGCGCGCGCACCAAGAGCGCCGCCGGCGCGACCGCCAACGAGCCTTTCCTTTTCGCATCGAAATGAGAAAGGACTTCAATAGGATCTCATCTTTGTATTCTATCAAATGAAGATAGAAATGAAATCATTTGATGGATTCCAATACCTAGAAATCTTGGGATAAGTCGGAGGAAATGCAATTAAGCACACTGGCTAGGTCAGTAGTGTAGGACTCGTTGACCCTGAATCAGAATCAGACCCACTAAAACCCCCTTGGGTGATTTACAGAGACGCAAGGCGACCTTGGACTCCTAAATTGACGCCCGGAGCTCCTCGAGTGCCGTTTCGGTGATCGCTTCCAAAGCATCCGACGACAATCGGCAGCGGCGAGAGAGCTTCCAGATCGAAAGGAAGAAGAGGAGACGTAGCTCGACAAGTCGGCTCGGCGTTCCGAGCGAGAGGCGACCGAAAAACGAAACGCACCTTTTTTATTTAGCGTCTTCCTTTTACTAGCGGCGAAAACAATAGAAAACAATCGGGAGTGACTTGCCCACCCGTCGCTCGTTCCTGCACCTGCCACTCGTCCCACTGCTCTCACACCACCCACCCCGACATCCCTGCATCATGGCAGCTCAAGAAGGTACGTTCTATGGCGGCGCAGTCGGTCTAGTGGCAGACGCTCGTCGGCGACCGGCGCTGATGCACCCGCCCGCTTCCCACAGGCTACGACGACCTCTACGACGACCTCTACGGTGACAACGAGCAACACGATTCCAAGCCCGTCGTCCTCGCCGGTTCAACCGCAACGACCTCGACGGGCCCCGCCTCCAACACCGCCTCCAACACCGCCTCCAACACCGCCCCCGCCGCCGCCACCGCCCCTACCTCTTCCACCGGTGTGAATGCATCTACACCCTCCGCGCCGGCGGATACGAAACCTACCTTTTCAGCTTCTTCAGGAGGCCCGATGCAAGGGCTGCAACAACATGGTCAAGCGATGGGCATCGGGATGGCTGTGCAAGCACAGAGCCGAGCACCGGCGGGCGTGTCGAACCCCATGATGGGACAGCCTCAGCAGGCGCAGCACAACAACAACCGAACTGATTCGACCGAAGAAGGGTAAGGGATCACTTTGTGCTGCTTGATGTGAACCAACTCACCTCCGAGCCGGGCAAGGACAAGGACGAGCCGTCCCTGACGCGTCAGACGCCCACATACGGATGCTACCCCTGCACGGTCCATCGTTGCATCTCTTGTCCTCTGTCGCTCCCGAGATATCCTATACGAGCTGCGAGCGGCCCTAGGCCTTGTTGGCGTATCGTCTACCTCTCGATCTACGCTGCCCTACCCATCGTCGTCCGAGGGAGCTGTCTGCCCTACCCAGCACTTGTTCCGCTACTACGTCTACTCTACTCCATAGCCGAAACTCGCTAGGTCCTCCCTCCCCTTGTCTTCGATACATACACAATATCGGGTAGGACCCTCTGTCTTTCTTTGTTGTTGCTGATCAATTTTCACGCATTCTTCTTCCCTTTCGTCCCACGCAAACGCATTGAATCACTCTGCTGTCTTCATCTGATCTCCGGTGGTATGTATTCGTGGGTCTTTGTCCCATCGCTCTATTCGAGCAATACAGCAAGATGTTCATTGGTGGTTTGAACTGGGACACGAACGAGGGTGAGCCCTTTGCACCCACCCACAACCTCCACTCATCCATGACCCGCTCAACTCACCCGACCCGACGATGTGCTCAGAATCCCTCCGCGCGTATTTTTCCCAATTCGGCCCCATCATCCAATCCAACATCATGCGTGATCAAGAGACCGGTCGTTCGCGTGGGTTCGCCTTTTTGACGTACGAGACCAAGGCCGCGGTGGACAAGGTCTTGGCGCACGGGGAACATTATTTGGACGGAAAGACGGTGCGCGCTCGCTCCCCTTTCACGCTCGATCCGGGTCAACTCGCACTGAACGCCTCGCTCTTCTTCTTTTCTTGAACGTATCGCAGATCGATCCCAAACGCGCCGTCCCGCGTTCTTCGAACCCCAAATCCGACAAACTCTTCATCCGTCTGCTCCCGCAAAGCTGCACCCCCGAATCCTTCCGCACGTACTGGCAACCCTTCGGCGTCGTCACCGACGCGACCTTGATGATGGATAAAGAAACCGGTCGTCATCGTGGGTTCGGTTTCGTGAATTTCGAATCGGGCGAAAGTACGGAGAAGGTGCTGAACAGTCAACCGCATTACATGGATGGCAATTTGGTCAGTTCTGCTTCGGGCGAAAATTAAAGGAAGGATCCTGATCTTGGTGCGCTGTTCTTTTCCTAGTTGGAGGTCAAACGAGCTCAAACCAAAGGCGAACAACGACGACCCGACTATGGCATCGACACGCGCCACATGAACGCGGCGCATCACAACCCCGCCGCCCACGCAGGAGGGATGAACCTTATGGGAGGTGGTGTCGGTGGCGGCGGAATGGGCGGCCTCGCAGGAGCCGGTGGTGGCTTTGGAGCTAACCCTGCTCTAGGCGGTGTCACCGGAGCCGTCGGTGGTATGCCCAATATGAACGCCCCTTTCGACCCTAACGCCATGTCCAAATTCTTCGCTCAAATGGGTTGGGGCGCCTGGAATCCTATGATGATGCCGGGGATGGGCGGAGGGTTCGATCCTACGATGGGGATGGGAGGAATGGGTGGCATGGGAGGGATGATGGGCGTGCCTGGGATGAGCGGGATGCCTGCGATGGGGGGAATGGGCATGGGCATGGGCATGGGTGGGATGGGGGGTGGGGTAGCACCTGTTGGACAGGGTGGGGAAGGGAGCTTCGCGGCGCCTATGCGGGGTGGGGGTGCGATGGGGGGTGGTCATAGGGGTGGGATGAGAGGCGGGGCAAGGGGAGCGTTCTCGGTCTGTTTTCAGAGCCATCTACATCTTCCTCTAAGAACAACGACTGACTCGCGAGGGTTCACTATGTTTAGGGCGGTCGTGGAGGACATCAAGCAGGTGGCGTTGCGGGTGGACCAGCAGGTGCGGCGGGTGCAGCGGGCGCTGCAACTGATGGCACCGGTCCTCAGAGAAATGCTGGTCGTGGGGCTGGATTTCATGTGAGTCGACCATCAATTCGTCATGCAGGGAGTAACGTAGTGGTCGGGACACTGATGAAGTTGCGATCTTCTCACACAGCCTTACTCTCGCTGAGCGGATCAGGGTTTGTCATAAGAGTCTCCGACCCGCCCTTGACTCTATCAGCTTTCACCTCGGATCTCCTTTTCCTATGTAGTATACAATCATACAACGAAACCCTACACTCCTCGTTTCCCAATGAAATGAGCCATCTCCTCGAACCCGACCCGTGTTATGACTGAGCACTCTCGATGCCCTTCGCTCGATGACCAAATCCCGAAGAAAAGGAGACTTTTTTGCAACTACCCATCTCTAGTATATAAACAGAAGCCCAATTACAGAAAGAAACAAATGAGAAAGGACAGAAGAAGAGAACGGACGCAAGCAGAGTGAGAGTGATGGTGTCAAAGCCACCACGACTCTCCCAAGCTGAACGAGGCAAAGAATACAGAACAGACGAGCCCATCAAAAGGAGCGAAGTCAGACCGCCAAAGCGGCATTCTCAGGCACGCTCAGCATCGTCACGTCCTCCTTTAAAGGGTGGTGCTCGGCGATTTGACTCCCGCCCGTTCCAGCTTCCGAACCTTGCCTCGAGCACAGCTCCGGGTGACCGATCTTGCGCAGCTTCCCATCGTAATCACTGTGGGAACGGATGTGAACGTTAGGAAGATGTTTCATCATAGAGAGACCAGTTCATAATGACTGACCCTTCTCTGTAACCTTCGACGATTCGTTGAAGCAACTCGGAGGTCGAGACACCGTTTGTTCGGCGAGTGGGGAGGAATTGGCCTGTGTGCTCGAAATCCACGTAGAAAAGTGACGAATCAGTGACATCGTCTTTAACGATCGATCGGTATCCCGCACGCACCCTTGGATTTGGCCAAAGCGTACACGTCATCAAAGTCGGCCGAGACGTAGGGCTCCTCGTCGTGAGCGACAAAGTCGATCTCGTGCTTCTTCATAAACGCCTCGTCGATGACCCAAGGCGCATCCTCAACGACCTCGTCAACCCACTTGCAATGTCGCACCGACTCGTAACGCTCTTGCGACGAAAGAACCGGCGAAGCCTTATACTTGCGCACCATCTCGTCCGAGCAGACACCGACGAGCAAATGGACCGAAGGAAAAGCGAGCTTGCACTGCCGCAATTGGAGCATGTGCCCGTCTATTCATTGAACGCGACCATGAGCTACTTGCATCGAGTGTAAGGAAGACTATGATCCCGACTCACAATGCAGAAGGTCGTATACACCATCGGCGTAGATGCGCACCGGCCTGTCTTGAGGGGGTGGATTGATCGAGTAGGCGCGACCGTCCTGCCCGTCGATCGCGGCTTGGATATGTTGCTGTTGCGCTCAAAACCCGAATCAGTCACCTAGAGCTATAATCAGTGTTGCGACGTTCATCGGACCAACCTGGATGTCTTGAGCGCTCATGTTGCTCAGGAACCCTTGTGGGGCCGCGGCCCACGTCGGTGGCTCGTTCGACCCCGAATGCCCAGGGTGGCGCGAGGGTTGCACAGGTCGGGGTGAGCCATTCGGTGGTGAAGGAGGGGCTGAGTCGGTCGAGGTCGACGCATGCGAGGTGTGCTGCTGCAGTTGCGAGACGATCGGGGCGCGGTAGAAGTGGTGCTGTCCCGAGCTTCGCACGGGGTTGGCAGTCGGTGCGGACGAGATATCACCATCGTCTGCGCGACAAGAAGGCAATTCAGACCGATGACAGTTGGGTTGGTCAACAACGTGCAGCACACATCGCCCAGCCGTCTACGAATGGGAAAGGAGACGGCCCCAAAGCGTTGGGGACAATCACCGGACCGCAGAAGCAACGGCTCCAACCCGAGTCGTCCCGTGGAACTTACGTCCTGCCGATCCTTCACTGTCGATGGAATCCTCAACCATGGTCTTTGAGGTGTTGTTGAGCTGGGGCGATGCGGCGTGGGTGCCGTTGGTCCGCCGCGTGACCCGCGCGCCGGGAACCCCTGGCGCCTCAAACGACTCGCGCGTCGAAAGTGGTGTGCGCCCCGAGGCCGGCAGCGACGACGCGGCCTTGCTAATAGCTCCGAACGCGGCTAGACTCGCATTGTCGTCCTCGTCGAGGCCGGACTGACCCGTCTCGTCGTTCGACTCGGCCGATGCTTCCCTCTGTATGTGCATAGGATCGCGAGGGCCAGCCACAGATCGTCAGCACGCCGACTCGGTGATTGCCCCAAGCCGTGACGCGTGGCAGTCGTCGCCGCCGCGCCGCTGCCGGCGTGAAATGACGACGAGTCGACGACCCGCCGCGGGCTTGGCTTCGCATTTCGAAACGTGCAAGCGAGCAACCGACCCGACCCACCGGCTCCTCCCCGACCGTGGCCCGTCGTCGTAGCACTCACACTTGACTCTCCCTCACACAAAGGGTGGGAAGCGCGAGAACGTCTTCGCTTGGAGGCACCCGTGCTCGTCGTCGTCGTCGTCGTGTTGGCTGCCGAACTCATCGTGCTTTCAAGTATGGCTCAAGGGTTGTGGAACGAAGCCAAAGAGGCCGCGTGTCGTTCGCCGTGGCAGCCGCGCGCTTTGGCCGGCTCTTGCCAGCTCTTGCCTGCTCTTGCGCTCTCGTGCGCTTTGGCTCCCTGGAGAGTCGATCGATGCGATCGGGGGTACTTCCCCTCGCACCAAAACTCGCCAGCTACCTTCGCGCAAATTCGCATCTTATAAGGTGCACAGCGCGGCAAGACTTCTGTATATATTCCAACTGAAGACTATCACATAATAGCCAGTGCGAGTGCACACTCAGAACAGACCCGGTCGCTGTGATTCAACTCGAGCAGATTTGGTCAGAGTCGGCGTTTTGGATCGGCGAACGACTCTCGCGGACTTACCGACATCAGCTGGATCGAATTTATGGTAGATTGGTTCTATCAGCACCAAAGCGAATCCTCTTGAACCATATGAATGCTCACTGACCCCATGCGCCAAATGACCAAACTTGTTGGCGTAGCAGTGGCGACACCACGGCTGCGGTGGGTGACAAGTGGTAAAGATTCTTCCCGGGTCAGTAGAGCATCTCACATCCCCAAACAGGCCGAATGACATGACTGAACAAAACAACATGACTAACCTCTCCATCCTTTTCATTGAGCTGACCCGAAGCCAACGCAGTCGAGCAACCTGCGCACCGCAGGCACCGTCTGAAGACCAAAATTATCACCATGGTCAGTACGCGAGTCCCGATCGGCCTGATTGCAGAGGTCTTACTTGTGCCACCTATGAGAACCATCGATCGCAGTAAGCGCATATCGATCCAAAAGCCAACCTTTCATCATAGACTCACTTTGAACCCGCTGCAAGGACGTGCTCTGCAGCGTACACGGTCGTTCGGCACCTCGGACAAAGGTCGCCACTGATTCGACCAGGAGGGGTCGAAACGGAGGCTCGACCGGCCAAAAATGGTTTCGAAGGTACAGTCGGCCGTGGCATGTTGGGCAACGAAGCTCTTGACCTGTATGAGTCCGTTTCAGCCATCCTACTGGGCCCTGCGCACGGCATGTCGGGAGCGGGAGCGGCTTGGGGTGCAGAAAATGGAGAATTTGGTGTTGACGCCGATAGTGATGCAGCCGCAACGTCTTGCGAGTGACGAGGTAAATTTTTCGATACCGAACGAGGATCATGGTAGTCTGCGACCAAAGCTCTACCTAAGGACGGATCGTAAGAGCTCAGCGAAGTCGACTCCTGTACGATGATGGTCCGACGTGAGCCACGTCGCCTTGACGGGACTGACCGACGCCGTATCCTCGAGTCCCGAAGGCCTTGCCATAGCACGCCTTACAATACGGCTGAAAATAGGTGTGAAATGTTCAACACTCAGCGCCTCTTGAAGTGGGCCCTTTCGGCGGGAACTGCGCTTCTCGGCACGGGGCATTCACTCACGTCACCGGCATGGTCCAGCAACGCCCCCGGCTCGAGTGTCTTGCTACATGAAGAGCACTTGAGACATGTTTTATGATAGATCTGGTCAAGATGATTAAGACGACGAGAGTCAGCCTCAACGGCCAGTGCGGACAGAACCGTCGATGGACACGAGTTGACGCGTGCCAAATGCCGATTCGACGCGACTTGTCGGATTGCAGCGATTTGATGGAACAAGGGACAGCGCGAATCACCTTTCCAGCGGGCCCTATAGCTTGCCTGTTGTACAAAACATCCCGATTGGCGTGTTACTGATCAGCGATCCACAACTGAAGGGTTACACTGCTGGCGCGCGCGAACGAGTCAGGCGTTGACTGACTCGGCAAAGTAGACCGATTTGCCACAATATGTGCATCTGCAGTACCCCAACTACGGTCAGTAAATGCCATCAACCGTAGCTCGGCCTGCTTGCGACTGACTTGGGTGCGGCAGCGAATGTTGGGGGCATACCGAACGGATGCGAGTGGATGGGAGGTCCATGTAGGCGCTTTTGGTCTGTGTATGCTGGGGGCCATGCGCGCACGGACCTACCGGTTAGAGACTTGAGAAAGTGCGGGGGGGCGGCGACAGATCGTGCGAGTGCCGAGCGTCATCGATCCGACGATGAGAGATTGGCCGAGTCCCCTTCGCCACCATGTTGCTCCTGGTTTGTTGAGCAATACCCGTCTAATGTGCTGACGTGTCATCATAGACAACTTGCGCGTGAAAGGCGCGGCTCGGTCAAGATAACATGATGCTAGGGTCGCATATCGCCATGAATCCAAGGATGCCAAAACCTCGTCGGCGATCAAGATCGAATCGCGCCACAGAGTGACGTAACCGCGTGAGCTCTCGGAAGCGAATATTCGCGACTCTCCCAATTCCACGCCTCGCCTTCGCTCTCCGTCTCGCTCTCTTTCTCACGCACCACCACATCTTCCCAATTTTCACCCATCAAAAACGAACATGGTGTATATTTCGAAACACCAACTGACCGTGGCGCTCCTAGCGTCCGCGGCCACCGCATCTGCTTACCGTGAGTTCCTCAAGTCTGCACTTCGGCCCCACCATCGAGTGGTGCTGGTGCGACGTCCATGAAGACGATCGCAGCGACGAGCGATTCCGAGTTGATGCTGCGGTATTTGGCTGCAACACTGGTGGTCTTTCGACCATTCCATCAGCTTGTAGCTGTCACCCAGGGGCTTCGGGCTTGTCACTCTCTGCGGCTGCACCATTGCTGCGATGGGCGATTCGGTCGGAGCAGCCGATTCGAGCTCCCGCTCGCACTCCGCGCTCAGAATGTCGTCACACCCCAGAAAACCCTGGCGGCCATGATCGCTCCCCCTCGGAGTTTCGTCGACTCATGCTTCTTTTTGTCTTTTCTTTTCTTACCATTTTCGGATTGCAGAACGGGACATCTCCGATTGGGGACAATCCGACATCAAGAAGTACCTGCAAGACCACAATGTGCCCAACGTCGCCAACTTGAACGTCGAGCAATTGCGCGAGCTCGCTCAGACCCACTACGAGGCTTCGGCCAAGGGCGTCCAACACCACTTCAACAATGCGGCTGGAGCCGTGTACTCGACCTGGTCCGACTCGGACCTGCGTGCTTTCCTGCTTAAGAAGGGCATCGTCTCGCCGCAGTCCAAGCGTGAAGAGTTGCTCGTCCTCGCTAAGCAGTACGGCGCCGATGCGCAGCAGGGCGCCGACAACGTCGCCAGTTCCATCTCGAGTGCCGCTGGCTCGACCTACACCGCTGCTTCCAAAGCTGGCCAAGCGGCCTTCGAGGCCGCGGCCAACGCTCCTTCGGTGGCATACGACACCGCGGCGTCCGCTCTTCAAGGTAAGTTCTGCTCTCCCATCGGCTTCGGATTTGAACTCGTCTTCGGAACAAGAGCCGTAGCTCACGTCTGAATTCTACTGCCCACCCATAGATTCGTCTGACTACATCTACAGCACCTGGTCGGACTCTGACCTCAAGGCGTGGTTGGTCGAACACAACTTAATCAAGTCCGATGCCAAGACGAGGCGTGACGAGATGCTCGACATAATTCGCAAGCCGTACAACGACGCTGCCACCAACGTTTACGACACGTGGAGCGATCGTTACCTGGTGAGTTGCTTCTTTCTTTAAAGACGTGTCTTGAATTGCAATCCCACTGACACAAGCTTATGTTGTCGCGCCACAGCAAAAATGGCTCGAAAACCACAACGTCATTGACTCGCCTGCCAAGAAGACTCGCCAAGACTTACTCGACTCGGTCGGCAAGTACTACTACGATGCTCGCGACACAACCTACACTTCATGGTCGGACAACGCCGTGCGACGCTGGCTCGAATCGCGTGGCGTGATCAAGCCGCAGGAGCAGAAGAAGGCCGAGGAGTTGCGCGACCTGATCTCGGACAACTATTATTCGCTTCGGGACCGCGCCTACCAGTCCTGGGACGACTCGGCCCTGCAGCAATGGCTCGTTGACCATGGCATTGTCGAGCCCCCTACCCAACGCGCTGCATTGCTCAAGCAGGTCAAGGACATGTACTACTCGACCGAGGAGGCGGCTTGGTCCCTCTGGTCCGACGCTCAACAGCGTGCTTGGCTCGTCAAGGAGAACGTCGTCAAGGCCCCTGAAGCGGCGAACCTCAAGCGACACGAGCTCGAGGACCTCATCGCCAAGAACTGGCACAAGGCCGGCGACGTCCTCACCTCTGCGTGGAGCGAAAGTGACATGAAGCACTGGTTGGTCGAGCACGGTGCCATCAAGAGTGATGCGCAAGTTCAGAAAGATGAGGTATGTCGCAGCACGTCATCTTTCCCCATTCCATCGTGTGAGAGCGCGCTGACAAGACGGTGTCGTTCTAACCATCAGGTCACGAGCCTTTTCACCAAACACTACTCTAAGGTCGCAGACAAGTCGGCGGCCTATATCTCGTGGAGTGACAACCGCATCCGCGGATGGCTCCGACAACATGGCGTCCCCATCAAGCTGGGCAACTCGCGCGAAGAGCTCTTGCAGCAAATGCGTGAACATTGTGAGTAGCACTTCTCGCGGGATGGTCAGTCGGACAAATATCGTACTGACCTGTATCGACACACCTCAGATATTTCAACGCAAGGTGGCATCGGTTCGTGGGTCAGTGGAGCTGCTGGCGCCGTCGAGGGTGCGCTCGGCAACGTCGTTGACATGCTCAAGGGCGTAGTCGGTGTCGCTCCTTCGTACGGCGAGGAGGCCCGTCTCAAGGCCAAGTACGCCGACTCGCAAGCACAACAGATCTACGGCACTGCTAGCAATTCCGGTACTTCCATCCTCGCACAAGTCACCGACAGCATCTCGTCTGCGGCGTCGCGAGCCACCGCAGTTGCCTCTAACGCTTACGTCGATGCCTCGAAGTCTTTGGCAAGTGGATGGAGCGTTGCGGGTGCATCACTTTCCTCGGCTGCCTCGGTGGCTTCGGCTTCAGCCTCTTCTGCATCGTCCGTCGCGAGCAAGTCGGCGTCGGCGAGCGCCCACGCTGCCGGTCTGGCCCCCTCTCAAGCTTACGCCGCCGCCACCTCGGCCGGCAACCAGGCCGCGTCGTCCGCCTCGTCTTTGGCGTCGGGTGCTTCCGCCAGTCTTTCGTCGTACCTTGCCGACACATCCGCCTCAGCGTCTTCGCTCGCTGCCCAAGCCAGTTCGAGTCTCAACTCCGCCTACTCTCAAGCCAGCAGGAGCGCTGCCTCAGCCGCCGATGCCGCTAGCAAAAGCGTGTCCAAGAGCGCTTCGTCCGCTGGCTTGAAGCCTACCCAGATCTACGAGGCGGCCTCCAAGACCGCCGCTTCCGCCGCTTCTTCGGCCAGCTCGGCCGCCAGCGTCGCTTCCGCTTCCATGAGCTCCTACGTTTCGGAGCAGTCCGCTTCCGCTAGTAGCGCCGCCGTTCGAGCCTCTTCGTCGTTCGCCTCTGTTCTCTCGAGTGCCAGCGCGAGTGCCGAATCGGCTTCGTCCGTCGCGTCTGCTTCGATCTCTTCGGAACTGTCCCGACAAGGAGTTGACCCGTCCTCGATCTCGAAGAGCGCGAGCTCCGCGGGCAGCGTAGCGCAGAAGAGCGCTTCGGGTGCTCTCGCCAGTGCCACCTCAAGTTACTCGTCGTGGTCGTCCTCGGCTGCGGCTTCGGCTTCCTCCGCGGCAAGCGTCGCTTCGGCTTCGTACGCTTCGCAGGCATCTGATCTCTCCAAGTCGGCCAACACAGCGTCTTCGTCGGCTAGCAAGAGTGTCAGCTCGGCCATGCACGCCGCTGGCTACGATCCGTCCACCATCTCCAAGTCCGCCTCTTCGGCCGGTTCGGTTGCCGAGAAGTCCGCTTCAAGTCTCGCTTCTTCGGCTTCATCGGCGCTGAGCTCGTACCACAGCCAGGCAAGCAAGTCGGCCATCGCCGCGTCCAAGACGATGTCGTCTATTTACTCGGTCGCTTCGGCCTCGGCCAAGAGCGCTGCATCGGTGGCAAGCTCGTCCGCCTACAAGGTCGCTACCAAGGCCGGTGTTGACACTAAGGCCGCTGCGTCGACCGCCAGCGCGGTCAGCAAGTCGATCTCTTCGGCCGCATCAGTCGCCAGCAAGAGCGCCAGCTCGGCACTCTCCCAGGCAAGCAAGGTAGCTCACCAAGAACTTTGAAAGGGTGTCGCCTTGTTTCTCTTATTCCCATATCGCTTGCTTCTGCATTGCACCTGATCAGCCAGACCGCGCCATCTACGTGCCCGGTGGCTCGCGCTATGGCTGGCCCTCTCTCCCCCTAACCTGCCACTTCTCTCGCTAAATACTCCTGTCTGGAACCGTCCACAGATTCATAACTGTGATATGCCTTCAAATGTGATTGAACCAAAAGTTATCAATTTTGTGTCTTTGTAGCGACTTTGAAATGAAGTCTTTCGTACTAATTCTCCCGCGCCAAGCAGCGTTCGGAAAAGCTTGCCCGGTACCGCCATCTAAACATTTTATAGCTCAAGCGAGGAGCGATAGGGATCGATCCCCCCACTGAAGTACTGATCGACGACTCGAAGGATCGACGTGCAGCTTGCGAACTTCGAGCTTCGTAGTTCAGGCCAGCTGTAGCTCACTTTTCTGTCTGTACCCATCACCTACTCGCGGCTCGTACACCCTTTCGACCTCGGCTTCTCGATACAGTCGACTGTAGATATCCCACCAACGGTCAACCCCGCTCAGCGAGTTTCGACCGCACCGTCGTTCGATCGAGACCACGCTGCTGCTCTGCCAGCCTCTGCCCGCGCAATCCGCGGACGCCGTAGCTGCCCCATGTCACTCTCGGGGCTATCGGCATCACCCCCGGTCTCAGGCCTGTCGAAGATGTTCGAGTTCGAGTTCACAGCACACGACGATGCAGTCATCACTGGTCAGGCGTTCACATCGCTCCTAGAGGCGATACAGAAGGTGCTACTCGCGAGACCATCGCCCGGATTCATCGCGCGGTTGAACGTCCTGTTTGCCCTGGAAGGCTTGTGAGTGACCACTGACGGGCGACGGCGCCAACCACCGAGTTCCCCAGGCACGCGGTGTCAGGGCCGACGGAGCGCTCTCCGATCACTGCGATTCCGAGGTTCCCAAGTTGGCTGATTTACAGACCCCACTCAATCCGTGCGAGCACTACAGCTGTATCGCGAGCGGGCTGGTATGGTAATAGTGAGCGGACGATCAGAGAAAGGGGGGGGGGGGCGATTGCTATCGAAGCGCAGAGACCGAGATGCCGAAACCGAGAAACACGCAGATAATGAAACCGAGAATGATAGATTCGCAGAAATGTCCTCTTCCAAGCGGTCCTCCCCTCCGAAAGTCGCCTCCCTCCAAAGTCGGTCTGAGTCGTGTCTAGTCTAGTGGTCTCTCTCCGAACAAGAAGCGAGTCTTCCCTCCAACGCCAGGACACTCCATTCCCCCCGGGCCAGCTTCCTCCTCTTTTCCGACACTCGGCCTTCTGATCACGCCATACTTCGTCCTGATCACGCCATTCCTTGCTCCTGTCACACGGTCCCTTGCTCTGAACTTTTATCCGCTCATGTGACGCTAGGCCGAGTTAGCCGAATCTGCGCTTCCCGACTAAGCGACTCCAACCCGATTTCCGAGACCACCGAATTAGCCGACGCCCGCGTGAGTCGACTACCCTAATGCAGCCGACAAGATCGGGAGTCCCATCTCATTTCCGACAACAGGAGCCTCATTTCCGACTTTGCTGCACACGACGGGATCCCGAGTACCACACTGGCCTATCTTGTCATCACCTTCATCGATTATCAGCGACGAGCAAAGACATTCTGGCTCTGGCGGTTCGTCCATCGTCCCAGGGGCCGGTTTATCGTCGGCAAGTGAGTCCTTCTCGAGGCTTGACCTGTGATATTCGAAGTCTCCCCTCCCGTTGCACCAGTCTAACTTTTCTCTGTCTTGCTATCTTCCTTGTGATCGTGTTCTCTCAGCCAACACGTCTTGTTCACATTGCTGGGGACAATCGGCTGCCTCGTCTTGGTCGGGTACACGTACGACGCGCGCATTACATTGGGTGCAGCACAACGAGAAGAGGACAACGCTTTCTACTGGAGGACCATGCTATAGTCAGTTGTTTCACACAAGTGCTCGTGAGAGCAAAATGCTGATCAAGTCTCCTCTGACCCTTCCACAGTGTGCCAATGTGAGTCGCCCGGTCGCCTCGCACCTAACCCCCTGATCTGTTGCGCCCCCTGGATTCTGACCTCATCCTCACTCGAATCCTTTCGGCAGCATCATCCACGGATGGGTCTCATCGTTTGCCAACCTTCAAGCGAGTCTCCTCTCGTCGCAAAAGGTCTTGAACAAGCATACCCTACCGCCTCGGTGGCTAAACGCAATCTACACCGGAGGACTGACTATACTGCTCGTGGTCTCGATCGTAAGCCCTGCACCACTGGACATGCTGTTTTCAACTCGTAGCGACGGGACAGACTGACTCATCCTCGAATTGTGATGCGATAGACGCTCAATGTGCACGCCTCACGAGCGTGGGCTGGGGTTTGGCGATCCGGACTCATCATTTCAAAGACCTTGATGTTGGGTGAGCAAGAAGTTGCGGTCGGGGACCTTGATCCCAGCCTGGTCGAGTTGGCCCGGACCGAAGTCTACAATCTAGACAGTCACATCACCTTCTTCGACCGGGCCGAGAAGGCCGTCGGAGGGTGCTACATCGTCACGATGGCCTGTCTGATAGCGATCAACGTCATCGGTTTGTCGCTCGTACTCACTCTGCGGCGCCAGATCTCGTTCAACACCCAGCGCTTTGCGGCCGAGGTCAAGACGAACGCGAGGATGTCGGCCGCCCACACAGGGGACGCGACAGGAGCGATGGAGATGGGGGTTACGACTGCAGATGATATCCAGGGGCAAGGCATTCGGACTTTTCAAAGGTCGCGAAGCGACGTGCGCCAGCAAGCGTCAGGCGAGCCCATCTTAGTCGCCTTTTCCAGCGGGATTCACTCTGAGGACCCCAGCAAAGGCCCGGAGAGTGCTGAGCAGACAGATTGGGCGGATGATATCACGAGGTCCACAACATCTCAAATGAATGACATCGTCAAACCGGGAGGCGAACTTCCGATGTACAGCCGACCCCAGCCCGTCAGTCACATGTCGGCGACCAAGACCAAAAAGGCGGCCTCCGCCAAGAAGACGGGCGCGTCATCAAAGGTGCTTCAAGAGCAAGCTCAGAACCTTCTCGCCATCAAGAAGATAGAGTCCGACGTGATTGTGCTCATTGGCGCCATTACAATCCTCGCCTCCATCCTTCTTGCCGTCGGGGTATGGATCGCAATCGGGCATTCGCACATCTACCGCCACTGGATCAGCATCGAGTTTTCGCTCTTCCTGTTCCCCTGGGCCTACGTCGTTACCTTGGCACTTGCGCATAGTGCACTTCTCTACACCGCCGTCAAGCATCTCACACCACCATCCGAAGCGAGCATGACGTGTCGGCAAGCTCTGCACCCGGCGAACTGGAAATGGCTTGCGAGGGAAACGGTCTCTGGCCTGACATCGATCACGGGGGACAAGATCGATGTCCCATCGCCTGGTAATACTGTTGCGCAGATCGCCGTGCGGACAACTGTGGAGGTGCATGAAGATCGAAATGAGGATCATAATGAGCGAACCCATGAGTGTGGCGCGCCGGTGGTGCCTGGGAGCGGTCAAAGCTTTGCTACGCATAGATGTCTCAAGCACTGGTAGAAATTAAATCCTGTTGAGATTATATCATGTACCTTTATCATGCCCGAGAATGAAATCGACGAGAGAGTGTGAGAATCGCTGCTGCGCATTTGCGCCGGAAGCTTCTTACGGGTGATCGCAAGCCTCACAACGGCCTAACTATAGTATTTCTACGACTTTCAATTGCAGCACGTTACATTATATAAAGCACATGGGGTCACGAACGTCAGCCAAGTTGTTATTAATTGACATCTTTCGAGCCATGAAGCACCCCAAAACCCCTGGCTCCGAGCACTCTAAAGCTGGTAGACGTAATCGATCGCGCGATCACCTCGGGTATCTTGCGTTGTCGGTACTGCCGTCCCATCCTGCTTGTTATCCTGGATGATACTGGCGCGTTGTAAATTTTGTTTACGCATCCAGTACCACAACCAGGCGGCAGAGAGCATCCCGAAGAGTGTGTAACCGATCGCGATGATGTGAGGTGTGCGGAAGAAGTGTTGGTTGAGAGAAGGGCGGTAGACCAAGACACCGGCAATCGCACCGATGTCACCGATGAAGATCTGTGTTGCTGTCGCGGTGGCTCGACGAGTTTGGCCGGAGATGTTTTCGGCGGGCCAAGACAGGAGCAATGCGGTGGCGGCGTAGATACCTGAGATGAGTGATTCGGCGAGAAGTCAGTAATCGGCAGTAAAAACGTGCCAGGCACTCGTTAGAAGGTAGCTTACCCATGACTGCCAAGAAAGCACCCGCCAATCGGGCACCTGCTGTGTGCGTAGCCAAGATAACGATGTAGCCAATGATGGCGAGGACGCCCGATGCGATGATGCAGACGCCTCGTCGATCGTGGGTCGCACTCAGACGAGCTGCCAGGAGAATCGCCAGGAAAGCTGAAGCGTAGATGGGGGTGGTCAAAAGTTGAGCCTGGGCAATGAACAACTTGGTTAGTACCACAACGAGACGAAAGGTAGTCCCCTAGCCAGTTCATAGGCTCACCTTCCAGCTGGCATAACCGAGCTGCTGAATAATGGTTGGCAGGAACAACGAAAGCGAATAAAGGGGGAATGCAAAGCCGTGGAAGACGAAGCTGAAGGCGATGACGAGGTGATCCTTGACGGCGGACTTGACACCTTCGAATTTGAACGGTTCGATGTTGGCCGAGTCCGAGTCTTCGGCGAGACGAGTGATCAAGATCTCGCGGTCGCGGTCGGTGAGGAATTTGGCTTGGCGCGGGTAGTCGGGAACCCAGAAGTAGGCCGAGAGGCCCACGAGCACGGTGAAGACTCCTTCAAGCTGCGCATTTGCAGAGATGGGGCCGTGTCAGCTAGGTGCTCATCTCAAGTCTTGAGGAAATTAGCGATGGAACCTACCACAAAGATCCAGTACCATGCCGCGTGACCTCCAACACCCTCCATGAAGCTGATGCCATAGGCCAACACGCCACCGAAAGCTCCGGCTGTAGGCGAAATTCGAGCGAGTCAGGATTGGGCCTCGACGCTCCAATCTGAGAAGACGTACCGAGAGCGGCTCCACCAAAGAACAAAGCCACGCGCCAGTGGCGCTCCTTGCGCTTGTAGTACATCGAGAAGACAAAGACACAACCCTGAAGTTTGCCGAATGTTGGGAGTTACGTCAGTCGCCACATCAAAGATGAACCAAATGCTCAGCGGGGAGGCCTACAGGGAACAATCCGGCTTCAACGATACCCATAAAGGTACGCCTATTTGACAGAGCACAATGTGGTCAGCGAAGGAGATATGAAACAATCCAATACCGCAACTATCGACTCACGCCACGTAGAATCCAGCTTTGTTGGTGACGCTGCGTACAAGGACCACCGTTGCGAGATTTACGTGTCAGCCTCAATTACCAAGAAATTGAGCGAAGGCGAGCTCGTATGAGCTTACAAAGCTTGGCAGATGGCGACGATACCCCACGCCACGGTTAGTGAGGGCAGCCACACGCGAGGGTTGTATCGCTTCAGGACAGCATTCGCGGGAATCTGTCAAGGAGCCAGGATGGGGTCAGTATCTTTCGACTGCAATCTACATCAAAATCTTGACATACCTCAAACAAGACATATCCCAAGAAATAGAGCGCGAGGGATGTGTTGTACGCCTCGGGTTGTTTGGCGAGTCCAATGTCCTTGAGTAGGCCGTAGAGTCTGCGCGATCCCACGTCGCTGTCAGCTTACAGCACCCATGAAGCTATCAAGCTGGGTGAAAGGATGACTCACTTGGCATTACCAACGTTAGAGCGATCTATGTAAAGATCGATGATGGCCCATCAGTCCCCGCGACTCATTACGGTGAGCTGTCCGAAAGGCGAAACTCACCGAGGAAGGACAGCAGGTAGAGAAACGTCAAGCCGGGGAGCAGCGCCAAGTCGACTAAAGGGAGTAGAAGGTGGTAGGCAAGATAAAATTCTGATCACTAATCAGTGCGAGTCCGAGTGCGTGACAGCAGAAAGCGGCCGTGGGCTGGCAATAGGGGCGCCGACAAAGGGCATACAGCCAGCCGCCGATCGGCCCAACCCGGAACGTTGATGACCTACTCTTGCGAAGTAACCTCTTCTCCTCCTCTGCGGTGTAGGTGACCTTTTGGACCTCAGACGATGTTTCGGAAGTAGCTGGGGTGTAATTCGCGTTGCTGAGACGAGCCTCTTTCTCGGCTTCGGCTCGAAGCGGGCTCTTGTCGAGCGAAGGAGTGGGCGATGACATAATCGGCGGAACGGCGTCGGCGAGTGGTGCCCCTGTGGTGAGTGGAATCCTTCTTGGATGTCCGTAACACGACGGAAGCTGAGGGGTTAGTGAGCACTGAAGATATGTAGAAAGACAAAAACACCTGGGTCGTCGAGCTACCAGGTGGTGCGGTCGAAATTGCAGAAGGTGTGCTTCGGAGTCAGCCCGTGCCTCGAAGCCTCGAAGCGGGCGACCAAATCACGCGATTTAAAGCACGGAATCGCGTGCGCGGACGATCGAGGCTGGGCTCTGACGGGCCTTCAGATCATCTCCGAGTCGGCGTAGCAGCTGTCAGATGGGAGTTCGGCGTGCCTTCAAAGAAGAGCCTGCCTTTGGTGATCGAAAAGCTTATGCAGTTCCCCGAGGAACAATTGATGCTCGAATTCGGAAGGCGTTTCGCCCGGAGGACATACGACTCGGTGATCGCCCGCGCCGATGCTGGTCCAGACCCCCTGTCCTCTTGGCCAGAAGGCGTGACCCAGGAGCACGATGCCATGATCTCCTGAATGGATTTTTAATCTGTTTCTATAATTGCCAAATGTCATAATTTAACGAGTAACCAAAGCGCTACATTGTGTACATATTCTGTGCCGCTTCCTCCTCCGCCTTGACCTTCTTCGTCCTCGTCCCGACCTTCCCAATACCTCTCAAGCACAGTGCCACGACCACCGAACCCGCGAACGAGAAAGCCGCACACGTCCAAAAGGCCGCTCTCAGCCCCGCCTCCACAGCAAAAGGTGGCACCGTTGAATTGGTCGACACGATCACATTCGCAACCTTCTTGTCGACGACCTTGCTCTGCACGATCGTCGCGATCGCAAGCCCTATTGCCGTCCCGAGTTGGGTCGAAAGGTTGAACAATCCAGCCGCGAGGGATTGTTGGCCCGGTCCGGCGACTTTGGAGACGTAAAGGATCGAGCAGGCGAAGATGAAGTCTGCGCCGAGGACGCATAGGATCATGGCGGGGAATTGGAAGGCCCTGTACAGGCACGAAGGGGTTGCCTGAGATTCGCTTTCTCGGGCCAGTTACCGCTTCACGTCAAACGTACCAGTAGGTGGCATGGAGCTTTTGTACAGCGTAGAGCAGTGGAGCGATACCGGTCCCAAGTGTGCCAATGCCGATCAACCATTGAGCACCAATTCGACTCGCGAGCACCGCGACGATCATATGCGAGCGTACCCCGGGACACTATCGTCAGCGTAGGGCTTGGAAAATGAATTATCGATGAACGGCTCTGCCGCATGCTCACATTGAGGATCAGCCCTGTGACTGGACTGGGGAGGAATCGCACCGTTGCCTGAAGAGGTGTCAGGCCTTGAAGGTTCTGGAACCACTCGGTGGCGAAGAACCTGATCCAGGGCACAGGCGACGGCATCAGCTTTCTAAAATTTCAGCATAGAAAGGGACAAAGGGTTTGTGACTCACATGAACGAGCTGAATGCACACCACCCCAGCGCCCCAATGAGTTGCACGCACGCAAACCTCCCTTGGAACCACAAGGCCGTCAACATCAACGGCTGCTTCTCCGTCCTAAACTCGAGATGTCTTTCCCAGAACCAGAACGCAACCAAGGTGAGCAACCCCACGACAAACATGATGGGAATATAAGGGGTGTTCCAACCGACTCCTGAGCCGTCGGCGAGGGCGAAGGTGAAGAGCGTCAAACCGATGGTGATGAGAGCGGCGCCAATCCAATCAACGGTCAATTCCATGTTGCGTGGTGGATCCCGAGGGACGAAATATTGGGCCCCGGCGATGACGATGACGCCCAACCCAGCAGATACGTAGAATGTTGTTCTCCAACTCGCATATTGCGTCATGAACCCTCCAAGAACACATCCAAGGGATCCTCCCAAGGGAGCCCCAGCGGAAAAGGTGGCAAAAGCTGTGCTCTTGGCCTGACCAGGGGCGAACGATGCGCCTAGAATACCCAGTGCGGAGGGTATGGCGGCCCCCATGCCTACGCCTTGCATGGCCCTGAATATCCCCATGGCGACTTGGCTGGGGGCGAGAGCGACTCCGATAGAGAAGGCGGCGAAGAATGCCATACCGAATTGGAAGATGCTGTAGAGAAGAGGGTCGCGGCCCGGTTAGTTGACTGGACTCGGGCAAACGGTCCTGGCGGGCAAGACTGACAGTTTAGGACCGTGGATATCAGCCAGTCGACCGAAAAGAAGTAAGACGGCACCGAACGCAAGTGAATAGGCCGAAGTCTGTGAGAAGATATTTCGGCGGAGCGAGATCTCAGTGGCCCGCTCGACTCGGAGAATAGATGTCCCACCGTCGTCGGCCTCACAAGCCATTGATAATTGACGACTTCAATAGTCAGATCCCTCCCTATCGCCTCCAGACTAAGTACAACAGCTTGAACTTGAGTAATCTGGATACAGTCTCCTTTCATTAGTGAAACTCGCTTTCGCCCCTCGCCGGAGAAACTGAATCTCGACCCCCCACGCGGCGCTTGGACCTACATTAAGCACCATCGCCAGCGTCAAGAAGAAGACGAGCATCACCTGCGCCGTCGTCGTCAAATGAGGGAAATTCCCTTCTGCTTCCTTCCCTTCTGCATCATCATCTACGCCGACCTTTTCAGCGGACCTGTCGTGCTTGATCTCCGACGTTGTCATTGGCTCCGAGTCGTCCAAGTCGACGACGGTGCTGGGCGCCTTGCTATTCCCATCCGTCTGCATCGCCGGCGTGCGGTCGGACGGATTCGCCGTCGGTGCAGCCTCGGGTATTCGCTTCTCGTCGTCAATCATCCCGCGTGATCCGAGAGGCTACGGCCGCTCTTCGTGATCACCTCGTGGTGTAGCCTATCGACAATGTCCTACGCCGTTTCGTACCCGGCACCAATCCCTTCCACGCCGCCCGCTGAGTCGACGCGCGTGACGCGTGACGCGTGACGCGCGATGTGAGCGTCTGACGATTTGTCGGAGGTCCTAGTCGCGGCTAAAGCCTGCCTTTGGGTAACGGAAGGGAACGACGAGTCTTGTAGGCACGGAGATGGGATTAACTTGGGGAGAACGGGTAAGTGTTCGAGCTATGGCCGGCGGCGCACGCGAGGTGCCGCCGTCGCGCTTCAAAGTTCCCACTAGCGGATGCCGAAAGCCGGCCGAGCGGACCGTGGGGCAGGAAGATCGTTTGGCGCCAAAGCGCTAATAAATGGTAAGCAGCTTACGGGATCGTCACGCAGCTGCCTAAATAGGAGATGACATGTGGTGCAAGGACTGTTGTAGCTAGATGGCGTGACGTGTAGTCAAACAAGTAGAAACTAAGGAAAAAGCGTCTATATCGAATGTCCCCACTTTGACCAACCCAGAAAATAGCAAGATCTCCTCCCCACCCTCGACACTCGATCCTCTCATCGTTTCGGCGTCTGACTCCCACTATTCGTACTCCCCGTCGAGCTGTCGCTCGTACCCTTCACACCCCTCGAGAAAGGGATCACAGGCGTCGAGCTTGTCCCCGTCCCCGTCCCTGCTCCCCCATTCGCAGGTGATGGTGCTCTCCCCGTCGCCGTCATTGAAGAAGGTTCCGAGATCGACGCACCCGAGAGGGATCCTGTCACTCGCGGCCGAATTGGTGCCGATGTTCGAGAGGATGAAGTTGTTCCCAAGGTGATTGTCGAATGATATGTCGGTTGACCCTGATAAAACTCCGCCTCATTTCCTTCGGCTTCCGAAAACGACGCCCTCCTCTTCTGATTAACAGGGAACGTCGCCGACCCCGGCGAAACAAGCGACGAGAGGATGTCCGAAAACGAACCCGTGAAATCGGTCGGTGCTTGATGCCTCAACTTGTCCAACGGTCCTCCACTTCTCGCCGAGGGCGAAACGAGATAAGGACTTCCAGGTTGGGAGGGGGATCCATTGCCTTCTTCGACGTAGTCGTCCATCCCTTCGAGGGTGACGAGCGATTTCCTCTTCTCGCGCAGGATCGCCTTCTTGGTCGCTTGTCGACGACTTGCAGTGGCGTTGGAGAATACGGGCAAGAGGTAGCGTTCGTCCAGCACGGTGAACCATTGACCGTCCCTCCATACTCGCGTGTTGTCCCCTTCCCCTGCAGCGGCGGCGGCCCCTGTCCCAGCTTTGGACACCGAAGGCAAGACGTCCCCTTCCGAATCCGAAGCGCTGTCCCGTGACGAATGGGAAGGCGATGAGGGTCCTTTGAACGATCCATGCGGATGCAACGTCCCCATCCTGGGTACTGAAGAAGGTGGTGTGGTGGAAGACAGCGACTTCAATGCCATCCGATCACTGTACGGCGAATCCATCGCCGACACCACCCCCTCCTCCTCGCCATTGCGTCCTGCATGCCCATTACCACCAAACTTGCGACTATTCGGCAGACTCCTCCTCGCTTTGTGAGTTGCCAATCCGGCGGTCTTGTTCCCTCCAGCTGCGGATCGAGTTCCCTCGATATCGCCTTCCCCATTGTTGGTTATGGCGTACCCAGTTCCACCTTCATCGTCCGAGCTCTCGGGATCATCATCCTCGACGCCCGTTCGAATGCCGAGAATTTCAATCATCCTCCCGATCGTGCCACCAAAGACGACGACGGTCAACACGACCGAGACCAGCACTGTCGTTCGTAAGGCGATGGCGTTGGGTCCTTTCATCCCTTCGGCCAAAGCGACACCGACGGCTCCTCGGAGCCCGGCCCAGAAGAGCATCATCTGGTACGAGTGAGGCAGCTCGTCGGCTCGGTTGCCGCGCGCTTTGAAGAACACGTTGATGCCTTTGGAGATGGGGAAGACGGCGCAGTAACGAGCGATGCAAACGGCGAACTGCGCGAGCATGCACACCACTAGGGTCAGTCCTCTACGTTTTGAAATTATAGGGACAGGACACAGCACTCACTGCAGTGACGAGGATGAACATGGGTTTGTACACGAGCTGCGTTTGGGTGAACAAGCTCAGTCCGAGGTAGATGAAGATAAAGTTCTCGCTTAGTTGCGCGAGCGAGCCAAACATGTAACGCGACGTGCGTTGGGTCCGATGCGACATGTTGTGGTACGCGTAGTGCTTGAGCGTGATGCCGCAGAAAAGGAGAGAGACGATGCCTGCCGCATACATCACGGTTTCAGCCTGCATAGCCAGCGATGTGATGAGTCTGATGCGAAGAAACTGACCACTCATCGTCACGGCGTTGGAGAAGAAGTAACTCGTGTACGCGATCAAGAAGACGAGACAACTCTCGATTTCCGTGTAGCGACCTGTGCGCGAATGAACTCTCAAAAGGTCAGCGCGCGCTGCAGCAGCGCCGTCAGAGCTCCGTTCAACGGACCCAACTCGGAATGCTTGAGCATCAACGAGCACGCCAGACCAAAGACGACACCGAGCAACATGGACACGCAGAAGGTGAGCAGAAAAATGCCGACGCCGTGGAAGAAGGAGAGCACATGGATCTTTTCTCCGTGAAATTGGGACAGCGTTCTGTGCGCGGCCGCGCGATTGTTGAATCAGCTCTAGAACGCAGCAGACTTTGGACCCGTTGCAGACCACTCACTCGAACATGACGATGGCGACGGCGTCATTGAGGATGCTCTCGCCAAAGATGACCGAGTAGAGCTTGGGGTCGACGTGAAGCGCGTTGAAGATGGCCAGAATCGTGACCGGGTCCGTGGCAGAGAGGGTCGAACCAAACTGGAGACATTCGATGATGTTCAAGGATAGACCTTCGAGTCCGAGGAGCGAATAGATGTAGACGATGACTCTGTAGAACGGAGGAGAGGGGGGTGAGCCCAATATCTTTGCGGGTGGCCGAGGCGAAGCACAAGGCTGACCCGAGTACGACGGCCGAGATAAAGGTCCCGGCGAAAGCAAAGGTGATGATGACGCCAAAGTTGCGGAAGAAGTTTTCCTGTTGGCCACAAGACACGTCAGGGATTAGATCTGCAAGCCATTATCTTGAACGACGGAGGCGACGAACCTGCTTGAGCTGATAGCCCGAGTTGAGGATGATGGGTGGGAGCAGTACGTTGAGCAGGATGGTGCTCTTGAACGAGATCATGGTCTGGATGACGTTGCCCGGTGCGAGTCGTACGAGCAGACCGACACACATGCCTGCGGAGGGGATCATGTGGGGTCGCAGTCAGGAAGCGGCAAAGCGAAAGTAGCTTGTAGCTTGTAGCTTGTAGCTGGCGATGATGCTGTTGAACTGACCGGCAAACATGGCAACGATAGTTTCATGGATGGAGCGAATCCTTCGAATCTTGAGGTAGTACGACACCCAAAAGGACAGGATGAGGAGCAAGAGCACCTGAGCGGGAGCAGGAGGAGGGGAGATGGGGACAGAGCGGAGGTCAGGCATGCTGGGCCAGACGAACACTGCTCACCGGGTGAACAGCAAGTGCAGATGCACGATGTGTTTCTGTTGTCCAGTCGCCGGGTCGGCTGGACTGCGCAGCGTGTGCTGCGGCTGACCGTCTGCGCCGTTGCGACAGCGGATCGCCCAGAACCCAGCCGATGAACGTACCAGTAACAACGCCCTCGAACTCCACAGCTCTTCCGTCTCTGGATCGAGCTCGGGCATGGTGCTGCTGATCGGAGTGGCCGGCGCTTTGGCCAGGCCCCCGTTCGGGCTCGACATCGTCACCCGTCACTCGTGAGCAGGGGGTTAGCGGGTTAGCGGTGGGGCGAGGTGAGCGTGCTGAGCGCCGACGAGAGATGTGACTGAGTTGCAGCGGTGCTTGCTCGACCGAGACCGTTGTCGCCGTGAGCCTGCTCGCTCGGAGGTGACTGGGGCAGGGAGGAGGGGATGGTGACGTGCGCAGCTGGGCGCTGGGCGCGACCCGTCGACGACGCGCTGGCGACGGCTTGACGACGACGAGAGACACAGATGACCGGTGTGGAGACCAGAAAATCGATTCGTCTCTAGCGGACCAGTAGGCGATCTTCAGTCGTGCAGTGGCCGTGCCGTACCGTACTAATACCAATCGGTGGCTCGCAGTGACTCGTCGCCAACTGCAACAGAGCGCGCGTAGAGCAGCTTAGAGCAGTGCCGAAGTGCTGAAGTGCTTGGGTAATAAATAGGCTTGGGTAATAACAGGCTTGGGGTAACGAGGGGTAACGCGCGCTCGGCTGTCACCTGCTGTCACTCGGCAGAGCTCGGCAGCCACTCGGCCAGGCTCCGAAAAACCCCGAAACCCCGAAACCGACGGCCAGCGCCGAGTGGAAAGTGGGCTCTCCTTTCCAACCGACCCCCGCACGGACCACCGACCACGGCTGACCACTGCTGACCACGGACCACGGTGCAGTGCAGGTGCAGGGCGTCAACCGCGCTGCCCCGTCGCACAGTCACACCAGGGTCACACCCACCCTCCCCCGCGCCATGAGCTCGCGACGGGCCTCGACGCGTTCATCCCGTGGCAGCAACGGCACCTCTCGTCGCACCTCGTCCGGACCACCGACCGCGACGACCGCGACGACCGCGACGACACCGACGACACCGACGACACCGACGCTGCCTGCACACCACCCCACCTACGAGTCGTTCGCTGATTTGGTCCACACTGGGAGTGCACCACCTCAACACGCTTCCCCCAAGTTTGGGCCTTCGTCACTCTCCAATGCGACGTCGAGCTCGTTGAGTCGTTCGAGTGCTCGTCGACCAGGCGCAGCAGGCGGGAGCGCCCACAAGAACCAGCCCACGACGACCACGGTGACGCACACAACACCTCACGGGGAGACATCGTCCTCTTCTTCTGCCTCGTCACCTTCGTCGAACCGGCACACCCGAGTAGCATCCGCCATCACTCTGCCTGGCAGTCGGAGACCCCTCACAGCCGGCCCCCCACTCACACTGGCCGCCCCGTTCGGCACGCCACCCCACCGTGGAGAATACTACGCCTCCACGGGCGAACGTCTCGCAGCAGGAGACGACGACGACGAAGAGGAAGAGGACGACGACACCAGCTGTCGAAGGGTCGCACAGGGGATCATGGGCTACAAACCACAGTCCCACCAACCACATCCCCCGCGCACCAACTCGGACAAGAAGCACCCCCTAGACCACACCGGCACCCCCTCCTCCTCCTCCTCCTCCTCCTCAACCACCCCCGACCTCACCACCTTTGACCTCGTCAAGTTGACCCTCGGTCTAGCCGGTGCTCAACTCGCGTGGACGGTCGAAATGGCGTTCGGCACACCTTACCTCTTGTCCCTCGGTCTGACCAAACGCGCCACTTCCCTCGTGTGGCTCGCAGGACCGTTGGCAGGCTTGATCATGCAACCTATCATCGGAGCCTTGTCCGATGCATCGAGAACAAAGTACAGACGAAGAGCGTTCATCGCCGCCTCGGCTACCTCCGTCATCGTCTCGACTCTTTTCGTCGCTTATGCCAACGAGATTGGCTCCTTGTTGAGTGGGTGGTCGGGCCTGGGCGATTGGGATCCCAAGCAGGAGGACCACGTTCGAGCAAGTGCGATCGCGATTGGGGTCCTAGGCTTTTACGTTCTCGATTTCAGTCTCAACGGACTACAGGCCTCGTTGCGCGTGAGTCGGTGATCCGTTATACCCAACGCTCACGACGCAGCACGGTCTGATCCTGACGCCGCATCCCCCCCCCCCCCCAGGCCCTGATCCTCGACCAATCCCCACGGCATCAACAAAACGTCGCCAACGCGTGGCACGGTCGCATGACCCATTTCGCCAACATCTTCGGCTACGGCGCGGGTTACATCGATCTAGGGCATTGGGCCGCCCTTTCCTGGGTCGGTGGAGGTCAATTCCGTAAATTGGCCGTCATGGCTTGCGTCGTCATGACCCTCTGCGTCGCCATCACCTGTTGGACCCAAGTCGAACGCATTTCCTCCTCCGACCTCCAGACAGCAAACCGGGGGATCCGCTGGTCCAGCATCTGGATCAACGTTCGCAAAGCGACTCGCGAACTCCCCCTCTCCGTTCGAAGGGTCTGTTACCTCCAATTCTTCCAATGGACCGCTTGGTTCCCCTTTTTGTTTTATTCGACGTCGTACGTCGCCGAAGTACTTTATGCGAGTCTGCCGCCTGATCAAGAGGAACCTTCGACGGATACGGCGACGAGGGCTGGTTCATTGGCTCTGCTTCTTTATGCGCTCGTCTCCCTCGGGTCGGGATCGTTGCTACCCTGGTTAACGACTCTAGGCCGCAGAAAATTCGTCGACAAGCGACTATCAAGGACGTCGAAGAAGGGTAGACTGATGAGGCATTTATTGGCGAACATGACACCGAGGAAGATGTGGACATTAGGGACCGCGTTGTACGCTTTTGCCATGGTCGCGACGTTTTGGGTCAAGACGGTAGAAGGGGCGATGAGTATTGTGGCGTTCTGTGGCGTTTCTTGGGCAGTGCAGTGTTGGGTGAGTGCCTGGACGGAACTCATCCGGGATGCCTTTGCTGATTTGTATCGCTCTCACTTTAGGTCCCTTTCGCCCTCGTCATGGAATCCATCCGCGAAATCGAGCCTGCATCTGCTCCAGTCGCATCCTCTCTTCCCTCCTCGGAAGACGCACGTACGAGTCCCTCTCAAGCACCCTCCCGAACAAACTACGGGAGTACGCAGAAACCCTTTTCGCCTCCCCCGCCACCTTTTGCGCATTCCTCTTCGCAGCTAGAGAGGGTCAGACAGGGGTTGGCGGAATGTTCACCGCTTTTGTCATCGAGGCCTGAGGGGGTTTCGAGGAGTTCGCCACGTGGTTCTCAAGGACGAATGGAGGAGCGCGGCGATCGAGAAGCGCATTCCGATCCAGCCGCATCGAAGTCGAGCTCTACAGCGGGAGGTACGATTCTCGGCATCCACAACCAAGCGTGTTGCGTGCCGCAGTTCTTCGTCGCTGTCGTGGCGGCTTGCATCTTCTCTCTATTGGAGAAGAAACGTTCCGTAAACGAAGGGAATGGGAAACCGACCGATCTCGTACTGCGACGCGGACTCGAACTCCTCGCCTCCACCTTCGCTTCCGAAGGTGGAGGAGGTAACGACTCCGAACCCACTGACGGTCTTCGAGGAGCCAACGACGTCGTATGGGTACTCCGTTTTGGTGGCCTTGCGGCTCTGGTGGGTGTTTTCGTCAGTCGTTATCTGTTGGAGACGAGGAGTGAGGCCGAGTATAAGAATGAGGTCCTGGCGTGGCCTTTTCAGTTGGTCGAGGAGGAGGAGCAGGGGGAATGAGGAGAAGGTCTTGTAGCTTCGTTGGTCTTTTGCGCATATTTGTTTTGTGCGTAGTGGCAGTTCATTTTGTCCCTGTATTCTTATACACGACTACATAAGATTCTCGTATTTTCGTCTCGACAGGGGGTTAGAAGAGTATGACAACATTATAATAGCCACAAAGGAAGCCGCCTACGCAAACTTATGCATCCGCCTCCGCCTCCACGTCCCCTTCCCTCCCCCTTCTGATCAACCGATACACATCCGCGGCCAAATACAAACTCCCCGCCACCACGACCCGATCCCCCTCCCCTAAACTCTTCAAAGCCTGCTCAACGTCCCCAAAGACCTGCACCTCTTGCACGTGCTCGAACGCTGGCTCACGAAGAAGGATCTTCCTGATCTCTTCGGGGGGCGTCGGTTCTATCCAAGGCATCCCATCGGGATGACTAAAACCTACACACACGACCTTGCGGATCGATCCTCGGGGTCTAAAAAGGGGTTCCAAGAGTACCGTCGGTGGTCTCGGAGCCGAGATCGCAATGATCAACGTCGTCGGTGCCGAGTCCTCGGTAAGGGTTTGCAGGTATTGGTAGAGTTGTTCGGCTGATGAAGGGTTGTGCGCTCCGTCGATCAAGATGGGGTGTTTGGTCCTACTGATTTCAGAGGGGAGGTTAACCCAATCCAATCGTCCTGCCCACCGAGTCGCTTCAATTCCTTTTTGGTAGGCCAGGGGAGAAACGTTTGACAAAGCCGGGACAAGGGAAAGAGGACGGGAGGAGGTACGGAGCAGTTCGACAGCGAGCAGGGCAACGGCACTATTTTGGTATTGGTAGGAACCTGGGAGAGGGAGGTTCGCTTGGATCGAGATGGGAAGGATTGTGGAGCGCGTTGGGGGGAGGGAAGGAGGGTGGGAGGAGATGGGAGCCAAAGGGATTGAGACGAGGGAAGAAGTGGGCGACGACGAGTTTTGCGTAGAAGCGTTCGAGGTGGCGTGATGAGGTAGAGCTTCTCCAGCAATGTACAACCTCGCCTCTTGTTGTTTTGCTATCCTTTTGACGACGTCTTGTACCTCCTGATGCCTCTGCTGTGCCAAAACGATCTCGGTCCCCTTTTTGATGATTCCCGCCTTGACCTCTGCGATCTCAGCGATCGTATTCCCAAGGAACTTCTGATGATCCAGTTCGATCGAAGTGATGACGGACATCAGCGTCTTGTCCGCCGGGACGACATTGGTCGCGTCTGTGGCTCCACCCATCCCGACTTCGATGACCGCGAGATCCAATTTGGGTTCGGTCGAGGCAAAGACTGAGTAAGCGGTCGCGGTGAGGATCTCGAATGGGGTCGCACCGATCTGCTCGAGCTTGTTCGTGTGCATGACCTGAGCTTTGGTCGATTCGTAGATCTTGCGAGGGACGGTCCGGTTGTGGGGGAGAGTGAGACAATCCCATTCGTCGACCAAGTGGGGGGAATTGAACCTTCCCACGCGAAGACCGGCGACGGTGAGCACCGAGGAGAGGTACGATGATACGGATCCTTTGCCATTCGTTCCGGAGATGTGGATGATCGGTGTCGAGAGGTGGGGCGAGTGGAGGCACGAGAGAAGGCGGTGAATGCGAGCCAGTCCGAGCGAGATGCCGGACGACGACATGTCCGACGCAGAGGGAGAGTCGGGAGAGGGGGAAGGGAGAGCCGATGTCGAGGGACCGTTGGATCCTTGATTGGAGCTGGACATGGGGCACTCGTTGGAGAGGCTTGTGGAATGCAGTGTGCGACCGTGGTGAGGCGCCGCCGATCGATTGCGGAGCTGGCTGCGAAGCTCCACTTGCTCTCCTAACGCCGATCAGACCACGCGACCGTTCCGACGTTCTCGGCGACTTCTCCGATCCCTTGAGAACCTGTGTCGGAACGGAATCAATCTGGCGAGCGTCCGATTCGGGTGGGTAGAGGCGAATGCTGTAGATAGGCTGAGAGAGGCCAACGACGTCCGCTGTACCTTTTCCCAAGCTCGCGCGCAGGTCTGTTTCCTGGATGTTTCCTGACTAATGTCACACCCGCATCGGCCACTATTCGCTTCCGGTTTGGTCCCCTCTCTGTCTCTCCCTCTTCACCATCGATCCTACTTCCCTCAGCCTCTTCCTTTCCCTCCCCAGCGGCGGATCTTTCCCTTTCATGGTCGCCGCTGCTCGTCGTTTCGTCATCGCAGGTCAGTCCCCGTTTCCTCCTCCTCGCCGCGGCGTCAACACGTGACTTCCCTCAACTTACCGTTTGTCTCCCTTCTGCCAGGCCTGGGCAACTACCCCTACCCTCTCACGCGCCACTCTATAGGCCAGATACTACTCAAAGCCCTTGCCCACAAAGCGTCCTCCCTACCCCACTCCTCCGGAACTCCCCACCTCAAACTCGATTCCTCTAAACACGTTTGGTCTACGATCATCACCGTTCATTCTCAGAATGCTGCGTCCGCCCGAGGGGTGGCTTGCCTGCCGTTCGAGTTGATGTTCTGTCTTCCCAAGAGGTTGATGAACGTTTGTGGACCTGTGATCGTTGAAGCTTCGAAGAGTTTTTTGGGGTCGTCGGCATCGGCATCGATGGTGCATTCGAAATCCCGAGTGGACGGATGGAAGATCTTGACCCTTCAAGATGATCTGGATCTCAAGCCTGGATCGTTCAAGATTCAGCGAGGAGGATCACCAAGAGGTCATAATGGAGTCAGGTCCGTCGAAGGCGCTTTGGGCAATCGGGATTTCAATCGGATACGACTCGGGATAGGCAGACCAGAGAACAAGGCCGAGGTCGCCTCCTATGTCCTTGAGCCTTTAGGAAGAGATGAGGTGCAAAAGATCGATTGGGATGAAGGCACCCAACGGGGCGGAGAATTGGTCGAGCAGATTTGGCTCGACGTGATGCGGATAGCCCAAGAGCACGCTTCGAACAAGCCATCAACCTCGACGTGAATTCCGCCCATCTAGCAACAACTACTCAGACACTTCATCGCATGATGCAAGGTGCAAACTTTGATAGCCATTCAGAACCCAAAGCGTCTGGGTGTCCTCTTAGGCGTCGGAGCTCCCACACCGGCGATCCTCGGTGTACTCGCCACACTCTTGGCGGCCTTTGCTCGTTCCATGGCCGCTTCTTCGTCTTTGGCGAATTGGAGCTTGAGGTCCATCTCGGCTTGGGATTCGGTTTCAAACGCTGTGGAGATAGAAACGCAATCGTTAGCCTTGGGGCCCTGTAATTGATACGCTCAGCAATGGAACGTACCCTTGTCACGAGCACGTCGAGCACTTTCCCCGAACGTCTGTTCGCGAATCGAGTAGAACTGCACAAACACCCATCGCATATCCGGTTAGCCCGCATCCGCATCCGACACCAACTCAACACTCATCGACTTTACTCACCTTGTTACCCAACTCGGCCAACCACTCCGGCTGCACCGAAGTCACCGTGGACATATACTCTTTCGAAGTGAGCACCAACTCATGGTACACTGTATAATCGGGTAAGAAGCCGAGACCGTACAACGCGCTCGTAGGGTGCAAGTTCATCGGCACTCCCGTGCGACAATGCTGGTATTCTCCAATCCCTTTGACGCGGGCGGCTTGGTGGAAATAGGCGGCGCAGATCGTTTTGCTGTTCGAACAGAGAAAGGAAAGACGGGCATGAGAACCCAGAGCTTGGCTTTTCCTGAAGACCATGCAGTTCAAGAATCTCACCGAATGACGTCCCAGTCGGTACCGCACGGAATGATGTCGAGCTTTTGATGTTTCATGATGTCGAGCAGTTGCATGCGCACTTCACGAGCCTTGCGCAGGGTCTTCGGGTGTAGGAAATGCTTCGTCGCCCAGTCATCCCGGTAGCTGCGATGGTGAAGTTGAGGTTGGGTCAGCTTTTGAGTCCTTTTGCGAGAATTCTCGATCGTACAAGTACTGACCCATTGCTCTTCCACTGGGTATAAACGTGCAAGAGCGTGAGATGATCACTCTCCGGCACGAAGAACTTCTCCCTCGCCGCATCACTCTCTTCGATCCTCTCCTTGGGGCGATAGAACACGCTCGGAACTGACAACATCGAAACGATCGTCAGGACCTCAGTCGAACAATGACGTTCGACGGAAACGATGAGCATCTTGGCTAGTGCAGGATCCATAGGGAAGTTGGCCATCTTGCGTCCGAGCGAGGTCAGTTCACCCGTGTTATCGAGCGCACCGAGGACCCAGAGTTGATACATCGAGTTGAGGATGTTCTCTTGCGGTGGAGGGTCCATGAAGTCGAACTCGAGGAGGTTCTTGACCCCGAGTGACTTGAGAAGCAGGACCGTGTTGGCGAGGTTCGTACGTTGAATCTCGGGAATCGTGTTGGGAAACATTTCGTCGCGGTACGCCATCTCGGTGAAGAGTCGATAGGCAGTACTGTTACGGCGAGAATCGCGTGAGCGAGTCAAGTCAAAGCGCATCGTACAGGAAGAATGAGGAAAGGCTCACCCTGCACCAGTCCTTCCAGCTCGCCCGGCTCGCTGGTTCGTGTTGGCTTGACTGATCGGCGTCACTTGCAACGAGTCCATACCCATGCGAGGGTTATAGACCTTGAGCTTACTGTAGCCAGCATCAACGACATACATGATACCATCGACGGTTAACGAAGTCTCGGCGATGTTGGTGGCGACGATGCACTTGCGGCGTCCATCTTCGGTCGCCTCGAAGATCTTGGCTTGTAGATCTGCCGGCATCTGCGAATAGATGGGTAAAACGGCTAACTCGGCCGCATCTTCGACTTGAGCGAGACGCTCGGTGATGACGGCGCACGTGACCTCGATGTCCTCTTGACCCGTCATGAAGACGAGGATATCGCCAGGTGGGTGCGAAATGTGAATCTGTAGAGCCTGCTTAACCGCACTGTCGACATAATCCTCGCAAGGTGTCTTGCTGAACAGGATGTCGACCGGGAAGGTTCGGCCCGGTATCGTGAAGCAGGGAGCGTCGTCGTAGAACTTGGAGAACTGCAGATGCACAAGATGAATGACTCGTCAGTCCTGGTGCCTATGGCCAGGAAGGATCCGCACGCGACAGCTCTCACCTTTTCGGCGTTCATGGTGGCAGAGGTCACGATGAGCTTGAGATCACGTCGACGAGAAAGAACTGCAAAGAACATTGAGATCAGCACCCGCAGAACGAGCCAAGACACGTGCAACAGCGCACTCTTCCTGAGCAAACCCATCAAAATATCGGTGTTGAGGGAGCGCTCGTGGGCCTCGTCGAGGATGATGACGCTGTACCGTTCCAGATCACCCTCGTTGAGGGACTCTCGAAGAAGTACACCATCCGTCATGTCTATAATACAACCCACTTGCAAAGCTTAGTCTCTCATTTTTCGGACTTATGGCCGACGAAACAGGCTCACACTTGATGACGGTCTTGTCGCTTGTACAGTCTTCGAAGCGGATGACGTAGCCAACCTCTGCCCCAAGCTCGACCTCCATTTCTTCACTGACTCGCTTGGCAACACTCATCGCGGCAACACGACGAGGTTGCGTGCACCCGATGATCCCAAAGTCGCTGTAGCCTTCTTCGTGCAGGAACTGCGTCAATTGAGTCGTCTTGCCCGATCCAGTTTCGCCGATACAGATGACGACTGGACCCAACGATGTCACCCATGTCAGCCGCAATGTCTGAATTGAGTCCGAAAAAGGGCTCACCTTGGTTTTCTCGAACGACCTTGAGCAGATCCTCGCGAGAAGCGAAGGCTGGCAGGTATTGTCGCTGCTGTTTGAGCGACTTATTGCGAGAGAATGCACTCGAGCCCTGACCTGCGGCTTTGAGATGAGACGCAAACTTGGAGTCCGAGTTGGCGCTCGTGTCTTCGTTGTCTTCGTCATGTCGCGCGCGCTGCTTGCCCTTGGCGATGGACGCGGTCGGAAGTTCTGCAAATCCGAAAGAACAGAGTCAGCGCCCGAGAAGTAGACCCAAGGTGTGATCTCTCATCGACATACTTTCCGGCTCCTCCTCCTTCTCCTTGACACCGGTCAGGTTCCCCAACACCGTCCCCGCCAGCTGCGCAACCTTGGCCGCTGCCTTTTCTCGCTCCTTCTGCTGTCGCCGTTCGACGACGAGCAAGCTGCCTTTCTTGGCAAAGACGGCCAAATCACTGGTCGGATCTCGGATTGGGTTGACGGGATCGAGCTGCTTGGTGAACGTGAGACGACCGTCGAGGAACGGCGGCTTGAGATCGTGGACCAGCAGATGGACTTTGGTCTCTTCGTCGTCGTCGAGCGAGTCAAAGTCGAGTTGTCGGCGTTCACCCGTGACACCCGAAAGCGCCAGTCGGTTCTCCTCCCACGACTCGTTGTCGGCGTTGTAAGCAGCTTGACGAGCCGTCACGCGCTTCTTGGGTCCTCCGCCTCCGTTCGCTCGACGCAGTAGTTCAGCCTCCTTCTGGCTATCATAGTCGTCGTAGCCACCGAAGGCCGAGTTGTCCCCGGCCTCGCCACCCATCTCATCCGAGTTGTACCAGTCTCGATCGAGGCGCTGTTGCTCTTCGGCCCATTCTTGCTCGTCGACGACCGACGAAGGGGGTGGAAGAGGACCCGGGGATTCGTCGCCGAATCCGGCTCGGACGGATCGAGGGGTGTCCCACTCGCGCGCACTCGAGCCTTTGGTGCTTCCATGGACCGAGGATCGGGGTGTCGAGTCCCACGAGTGGCGAGGACGTGACTGACCGCCACCGCCGCCACCAC